ACACCACATCTCAGTGATGAAGTGTAGAACAATGACCTTTTTCCGATTAAATAAAGTATGAAACTTAGAAGTGCTACAGAAAAAGGGAAGAGTGAACAACGATACGTACTTTACACTATTTATACTCATTCATATGCGCATATTTCGTCTGTCTTTTACGGGCAAAACAGACAGTTGTACTAAAATGTCAGAAAACAAATCAAGACATACTCATGCTGGTAAACAATTCAGATAGAAGTTTAATATATATGATACAAAGTGGAAAGAGCTGGTTGTGAATGCAACTACTTGATAGAAATATGGCTGGAAATTTACAGAATACCTTGAACCGATTAAGAACTAATAACTATTCGGCTACGATCATGTGACTGAGTATAAATCTATTCAAGATAAGACGTCACGACTGTTGAATGATGAATAGGGACCAGTGAGTAATATAAAGCTAAAAATAGGCAAATATTTAACTTTTCGGTATCCTACCTACACTCTTAAAAGTTACATTTGTCCGCACCTTAGACAGTGCACAAACCGGTAGAAAATGAATCCGCTTGGATCAATTTTTACTGTATCGAAAATAAAGTTAAATATAAATTACATTCTTCTGTTACCGAAAATAAGCTACTAAAACACAATGAGCTGTATCTTTATGTTTAGCAAATAAATATATGCATATATGACTCTGTTGAAGACTGTTAATGGGGGAATATTTAGTGCGATCAAATATTCACTTCAATACTGAATATTATACTGAGCCTGTATTACTGATACTACTGTTATCTAAAAAAGCGGACCATATGAGAGATTGAAATCTAATTGTTGTCTACTGGAAGTCTTTAAACAAAAAGTGAGAAGTAGGTAACAAGCTGGACACACTCAACATGCATAGCCCTTATTATCTTCAGGGGTTATCAACAAGAGAAATAAGCAAGTTAGCTGATATGAAGAAAAGTGAGTAAATGAGATTAAATATCCTCATCTAACTATGAAAAGCGATTGGCTATCATAGCCATCAGCTATACCAAAGCCAAATGAAGCGAAAAAGGTAGATATCTGGTATTGTAGAAAAACAAACCGCCATAATTCAATTGAAAATATAAAAACTGTCATTTTCCACGACTGCAACAAGAATTAAGACTTTTGAAGGAATCGTTTTCAGTCAGGAAGTATAACAAAGCATATAGTGAAGCAAAAGTTAATTACCGTTGCTTGTAGTTATCTGATCGACCAGTTTCCTGCGAGATGAACTGTTATTGCCGCACTAGATTGATGGTTCAATCATTTTCAAACGTCAGTAGTTGGTGATTGAATTCAAACAAAATTTGATCAGCAGTGGGGTCTCAAAACTCAGTTGGCAGAGTACCGAGTAAGAAACCGGGTGTTCACTGTTTCGGGTCCTCCTACAACCTAAATTTTCATTTTACCTCCCATTATCACCCAGTATCGATATTCAGTATGTACAAGTCTGCTAGTTAGTGATAACTAAATGCAATCATTTTTTGATATTCATTGTTCATCGTTTTCATTACTCCGGGAAAATTACCTTTTCATAATATCTTCCACTTGGAAATTAACTGTTTTTACGCTTTTTATGTTATTCCTCATACTTTGTTTGCTGAAGCCAATCACAGCCAGTGATAAATATGAAATGCTAATCGAGAAGAAAGTGAAACGTATTCTAAAAGTGAAAAAAGTCACAATGGATGATGATGCTGAATATACATGTAAAGTTGCCAAGAAAACAACTACTGCCACATGCACTGTGAAACGTACGTTGAAAATTAAATTAACTTATTTGTTTCTTTTCTGTGAAGAAGTTTCATTTACAAATTAAACTGTCGTTGTTTTTGTCATAGCTGCCGAAAACTAATTAAGGAATAGGGAAAATCTATTTTTGAATTCCATTGAAAACAATAAACGACTTTCAATGCTTCTTCTAAGAACAAATATATATGCGTTAAGTGCTTATATAGCTGAATCAAAGTGGCCTCAATGTAACGGAATACACCAGAGTGGAGTTCGGGATACAGATAGAATGCAACAAAACCGCTTGTAGGTATTTCCAGTCATTATCAGCTTGGGTGTCTTTATTTCATCTGAAAACTAACTTGATAGCTGAATTAAAGAGACCTAGTCGCTTGTTTAAATGGTAACTATGGTGAGCTTAAAAATCGCTCGGAACTTAATAACTTCAGTTGAATGTTATGATTTTACAGGGAAACAGATATATTTTCACCAGCCCCTGTAAGTCGATAACTACTTAATCACAACCTTGTTCTTATCTCATATCCTGAGAAATATACACCACTATAGCACTCTGTGACTCTGTCGAAAATATCTGAGCTACACAAAAAGCCTAACGACAAAAGCGGCTATAAGACATAAACAAACTTTGTTGTTTATAATGTACATAGATAAATGCAGTTCTGCTCTTCTTTCTTTACCAATCTCTTTTCAGTGATAACAGAGGTGACTCGCTAAGTCATAACTTTGGTATTAAGTTCCAGTTTGACTGGTTAAGAATTCAGTAATTAGTAGATTGTCTCATACTCCACTGACTTGAGCTCCCTTTACTAAGACCTTCACCAGTTAGAACCAATTATCAAGATGATAAGCAGTACATTTATGCTCACATGAAAAGTACTACGAATGCTAGGTGGTGTATAATTAAACTGCAGATAAGATTCATTTGCACAAACATTTATTAATTGTTTGAAGAAAGCCAAGTAAACGATGCTTCTTAAATTGGTTTCCTTGGCCATAATAATGATAGAAGTTTTACACTTACATTCCCTTTTTCCTACAAAGTATACAAAACTTTATGAAGCTTTATAATCATTCTAATTTGTTATTTTAATTTTAGCGGATGTTGAATTTAGGCAAAACCTTATCGACACTAAAGGAATTGAAACTAAACACAAAGAATTAGAATGTCGTGCATTTAATCCTAAAAAGTATCCAGTAAAGTGGTTTAAAGATGGAGAACCAATTGTATTCAATGATCGTATTTCATCGACAGAAATTGAAGGTTCTTTGTACCTCATATTTCAATATTTGGAAATGGATGATACAGGATATTATAGTTGTAAAATTGGTAATCATGAAACTCAAGGACACTTGGAGGTGAGAGATAACCCATTTTCTGTACTATCCTAAAAAGAAACGTTAATGTTGAATAAATACTTTAGTTTTATTTGAAAAGGCTTTCGTAACAAAAAAAGTAGGAAACAAGAAATCCCGGTGAATAACATTATCTCATTGATATCAAAGTAATTAGTTTCAAGACTTACTAATAGACAACAAGCATTAGGAGAAACCTAAATGATCAAAAGAAAAGAGAGAGGACGATTACAGCGAAGGAAAAATTGTCTTTTGGGGGAATTTATCAAAAAAAGCTAAGTGTTCTGAGTTTACTTAGTATTCTGTGACATAAGTAAATATTGATGAATGTGCAGAAAGATTCACCTTTAGAAGGATAGGTGTTGAACAAACTAAGTCATGAATAATATCTGTAGTAACAATATTGCACAACTCTTATTCGAGATTTCGAAGAATCATAATTTTCTCCCAGTTTGAATAAAAATCTTGATCATAGATTGCATTATTCTAAGATTCCTAATAATAGCAAGGAAATGTATTTGAGTACAAATTTTTGCATGGACAAGTAATTGACCTAACCGACAGAATAAATAAAAAAGACCAGTTAAGTTAAGCGGTTATTGTTAAATTCTCTGTTCAATTTTGAACACAATTTGCCTACTTGTCTTCAGAGATAATCCGATTTTTGGAGTTTATCACTACACAACTGGTCATTTTAGTTTATAAAATCAATTTCAATTACAGAGAAGATAAAAGTAATATATTTCTACTGTGAAGTACGTCATGAAAATAGAAAGATTAGTAGCATTCAATAAAGATAAAGCCAGTCCAGTAATCGATCTTTGAGCATAATATACATGGAACCAAAAACCTATTGCTTACTGATACTACCAATAAGTCATATATTATTGTCAAAGTAGTGGTGAATTCTGTAGAGATTCCAGTTCTCATCCATCAATGTTTATCTCTGAAACAATGTTTTAAGGGTTTTGAGATGTAAAGCTAGTAAAAATCAATGAATACAATGATGTCTTAAAAATATCACTGTCAAAACTCAGCAGAGATATGTCTTCAATAGGTCTTCGATACTAAACATTGCAGATATATTTAAAATGAACGTATGAAAATAATTGCCAAATACCTGCATGCACCACTGTTGTATGTCTGCATTCATTGAATAACACTGAAATTGGCAGTGAGTAAAATCAATTACCACTCCACTTCTGCTGAACAATGCAATACCTACTAATTAGACCCAAAAAAGGATAGAAAATGCGGCAAATATTTTAAAAAGTCATTTGGCCATATATTTGGCTATCTGATTGAATGATTTCTTGCAACTACTGATCAACATTTCTGCAGGGAACCCAAGGTATATGACGTAACTTGTAAATACACTTAAAGGGCAGTGCTTGCACATATGCTAACTTTATATTATAGCCTTTATTCGTTACATCCGTTTCCTTTCTCGGAAACTGAAGTGACTGGTGTGTTTCGACTAGGAAGTTTTACAGGAATATAATTTTGTACACATCAGTGATAGACCTATTGTTAACCAGTCCTCTCACAGTACCTTCTAGTTAAATGTGAGCCTTTCAAACGTTAATCGAATTCATAATGTTGATTTAAGAAAACCTCTTCACTTTCTTTTTTTCTGAAAGGTACAAGAGTGTGAAAAACCACCATCAGTTGACCTTTCAAACTTCAAGAATCAGGCCACATTAAAGAAAGGAGCTAATTTCATGGCCGCAATTCCGTTTAAAGGTAACCTCCTTATATCTATAAGATCACTAAAAATGTTTAACTGCCCCAGGATGAACAAGATCATGTATTATTTTACGTAACTGTAACTTCATTCAATTTTCAACTTGTTTGCTCTAAAATGGCTCCTATATGACAATGCTAATGAAGTAAGGAAGTGTGATTCAATAACACTGCAAACATTTTTATAAGGCATTAACAGGATGATAACAGAAGTGATATCACTAACTGACAGAAGTTGGAAGTTGTGAACCACTGAACTCCAACCAAGTGACCGAATAATTAACACGTTCGCTAAAAAAATCTGACGGACCTGAGTTCGATCCCCAGTTCGATAGCCGGTGCGTACTGCTGAGGAGTCCCATACTAGGACAAAACAGCTGTTCAGTGCTTCGAAGTCTTCAATGGTTCTATAGCTGATGTCAGTTCATGATGAATGTTACGCCAAATCAGATTAACTGCTTATTCTTGCTATAAATTTGCCGGGTTAACAAGTGGTAAGATATTGAAAAAGGTCAGGTAGTGCTAAAAGACAACTTCAACTCAACAAATTTTATTTCATAACCTTATTGCTTTTTTGATAACACTAAGTGAGTCGTTTTTACCTACATCAAGTTAAATTTTACCTGACCACGTGATATTTGTATTTATTACGTAACTGGCCAGTAGAATTGGTTTTTCACATATAGTTACGGTTGAGTTTAAATTTCATTTAACTTTTTTGAATGACCAGTGCTATCGTTTTTAAAATGGGCTTTCTTCACTGTGGCTTTGAGGTTGAGTGTATTTAGATTTATTTGAATTCCATGTATACCTTGTTCATAAACGTCGAAAAGTCCGAAAAAATTAAAAATAAAAGCTCAGCAATCATCATCTCCAAGCCTTCAATAAAAATATTGATGTTGGATAGTAGCTAACAGTGGAATCTAGAACTCACGTTTCTTTCTCTTTAGCACTTGTCACCTGGTAGTATCAGCCTACTAGTAAGTGACGTTGTTTCCGATAGGTCCTCGATTAGAGTCTTATCGGGAACAATATCAATCACTTAGAAGAGATAAATCCAGCTGACGACTCCCAAAAAGGACGAAATGTACGTCCTGAATTCCATTGCTAACCACTATCCATCATCAATATCAAAACTGAAAATCATGACAATATAAAGGCAACCGCACAGGAGCCTATATGCCAATATTGCAGAGTAATTCAGTCCAATCAATGACGTAGATTCACAAGTTGTAACATCAAACTTCAATAAAAATCTTGTTCCACTCAATAAACAGTAATCTATACAACTTGACTAATATATTTAGGTTTATGCTAATAAAGCCCAACTAATGCAAAACTTCATTTACTGCTGAATGTTTAGATCAAATATTCTAGTTTTATGATACTTTCTGAAAAGACAATTTAAAAGCCACAAAACTCCTGAGTTATTATTTCGCTAAAAATTTAAATTTCATAAAAATTATTTATATATTCAGGTATAATATATTTTAGTAAAATGGATTTAAACTAGGTCTATCTCAAAAGCTCTACACAATCACTTTGTTTTACTATCTTCCTCATGTTCTAAAAATTATGTCATTGGTATTGCAAACAAGTAAATTATTCCTTTATTTTCTTAACATAAGATATTAAGTAACACACACAAACAGGCAAACCTATAAACGTACATGCGATACATATGCGTATGTGTATACTTCCATGATTCCTGTCTTAGAAATTATAACTTCAAAAAGCTGTTAGGTTACACAAACCCAATATATATATATATATATATATATATATATATACAGTATCTTTAGTGTCCAAAAATACAACTTTCATTGTTTGTCAGTACCATCTATGTATATTTTATTTACGTACATACCTTATCTGACTACCTTCATAAAATTGTATGCCTTGAAAGAACCAATTTGAAGTCTACTCTTTTAAAAAATCTGCGGTAGAAAATGCTAGGTAAAACAACAAGTGAAACATGAGAGAAATAGTCATTTCTGATAGTTATTTAACAACCAGCATTAAATTCCCTTAGTAGTACATCATAGCAAATTCTCTTGTTGTTCACTGAATTGACACAAACTTACTGTTTTCAATTATATTCATATGTGACCGAAATTCTTATATATATATATATATATATATATATATATATATACATCATGTCAAAGACAAGTGAAATATCCTACTTGGAATAGGAAGATGAAGGCTGGAAGTGGTGAATATTGGACAATAGTATTTAGATTAGTACTAACCACTATTAGTTCAGGTTATGAGTGCTCTACAACTTTTATTTAAACTATCTGGTAAAGCCTCAGTCGGTGAAATAATCTTCCTCTTCAAAAATGGTTAGCAAGGTTAGTGGAAATTCTAAATCATCTGTCTTTATTTATGACGATGAAGTCAATCTAAAAGTTGATCATTGGATGGCAATCGAGATACCTGTCATATTTTTTATCGTACATATTGACTTAAGTGCATCAACGTAAATAGTCTTGTGGTATTGTCTCCGACTTCAGTACTGAGTGATTTGAAAGTCAATCTCTGTGAGAACACGAGAATCATCAAGGCTACAGACACACTGTACTGATGAGTGCTAATAAAGGTGAAGCCTAGGTCAAGTAGGCCTTTTTGACGACTCATTGCTAATGCCTAAAGTCATTTATCGTCTTCTAAGCCAAAGCCGTCTCAGGTAACCTAACTAACAATCGCTAAGTCAACATCCCTTAACGATTGAGGCTGATTAGTGCTCATATCGAGAAGTTAGTGTGTTTAAGAATTAACAATCATGTAGTGCTAATCCATAAGATAGCTGAAAGAAATATAGCATGAGTAAAGTGGTATTCAGAACTGGCGAGCAAGTGGATCTGTAGCTCAGTCAGTAAGAATCGCTATTCATGCTTTTGTTTTTTATTAACATGCATCGTGTGAATTTATTGCGCTGTGTAAATCGCCATTCTTTACATCAGTCAAAAAAAAGTAAACTTTAGGAACAGTTATTATTCACGAAAATGGTTAATTAAAGTAGACATCGGAATAAACTGTAAAAGAAATACAGATGTACCAAAAAAACTAAGATTTTCGATCACATTTAAAGTCATTAATGTTTATTCCATATTCTTTTGTCCATTCACTAAGGTTTCCCTGTCCCACAAGTTGTTTTAATGTGCAATGGTGAACCGATAAATCAAGAAATCAAACTAAAACCAGTTATCAAGGGTAATATTCTCGAATTACAGCTAGATGATGCTGCAAGAGCTGATAGTGGCAAATATGAATTGAAACTGAAAAACGAACTTGGTGAAGCGTCTGTTCCACTTGAACTTAATGTCCTCGGTAAGTAACAATGAGTTTAGTATCCTTTATTTTAGCTAACAAAATAAGTTGACATTACATTTATCCTATTTGAATGAAGTATTACTAGTTATACAGATATTTGATTTATCATTTATGATCTTTTCCAAACTGGAAATGAAACGCTAACCAAAACTCTACTCTACATTACAACTCGATCAAAACAAGTCCATCTTAAGTTTAAAGTGTTCAATCCTTTTGTGAAATATATATTCAGAGAAATGGACAGAAGTCATTTTCCCCTCTTCATGAATATAATTACAGTAATAAGTATGCATGAAATGCAAATCACAACTTGAGGTGAAATCAAACTTGAACATCACTAATTTGTAAGTTTGGAATAATACAAGAAGTCCTGTAAGTGAAAATCTGTTTAGTTAGGGAATGAACTCTATCAAATAAAGGATTACATTTTATCTCCTGTTGATTCGTCGTCAAAACTATCTCCCAGAAACTTGACCGAAATGTCACCAACTTTTCTTCAATATAAGATTTTCACTTTCCCTATTTTATATTTTCTGGTAAGCCCCTCTGATTATTTATTACCATGGTCATCATAGAGACAGAAATGTCATTTATTAAGTGATGCTGTATCACTATGTCCTATGTCAGACAAAATGAAGATAGAATCTATCTCAGATAGTCATATCGATAATTAAAATGACTCTCTACCTGTCTAATTCAAGCAGAGTTTGATTAGTATGAGAAGCCCTGAATAGTCAGCCTGTGTGAGTACGACCAAGTGATACTAGCGTGTCACAAACTCACATAGAAGGCGAATGAGATCTTTTATGATTTAAGTGAAATAAAAATCTATTGGTAGAACATTGGGCCAGAACCCCGGTGGTCACTGGTTGGAATCCTGTCGTAGCCTAAATTTTCATTCCACCTTCCATCATCACTCTCTATCAATACAACTCTACGGAACCACCGTTATCTTACAAAGTCAAGCTGATTATCATTAAAATGCATACTCTCACATTGTCTCTCATATAGATTTTAGTGAAAGTCACTTCTTTAACCATCCATTGTGAGATGACTAACACGTTATACCATTTTATAGGGAAAATAAACAAAATGAGTGACTTCCGTAGACTCTGGTAACACTAATACTTGCTCAAACATTACTTGATAATGAACAGTCTTATATACGCCTAGTGATTTTAAGGCTGTAAATCACCGTTTTCTCTACATAGTTCAGCTGACTGAGACCACGATGCATGGAAAATAACATAAATGTGAAATTAGAGTTAGATCAAACTGGTTATCAGTTATTCCCTCAGTTAAATTTATGCTACATCTTGTTTCTGTATACTGATCGCTCGTCTAACGACAAAGTTTCATGATAATATGAAGAGCAGTTAAAATTATTTTCTGCCCCATATGTTCTGCAATAAGATGGAGATCTGTATTCGACTTGTTGATTTCACACAACATAGTAATTCAGTATCATTTACTGAGTGGGATTTTATTGCTCGTAATCATATTAAGATGGGAAAGTTCCAGACATTTTATAGTTTTAATCCTTTTTCTTTGATTTTATTGATAGTAGGATTTCCCATACATCTGAGATTAGCGCTGAATCATTTCTGTTGAATGAATATTTGAAAATCAACCTCTCCATACACCAAAATACATTATTATTTTGAAATGTAATTCTATCCCATACCATTTTATCATTTCATGAACATCAATAACTGGATTCGTTCGCTATTTTCATTCTGACTTTGGCTACGTATCTATGCTCTAAAAACTTGACCACCTCTCTTCCGACGGCCTGACCTGTGTACTTGACTTCACAGTCATTACAAATCTTTTGCAGCCAAAATGAATACTCATATGTCTTTTGTGCCATTTTGAATTTGCGAATAAATATAAGATGGTTATTGACAAGTCAAGTTACGCTGATTTGTTTCATTTCTTCCTGACTTTCCATTCAGACTTTTGTTATTGTTATTTGTTATTGTTATTGTTTTGGAAACCTGCAGATTACTCACCAAAGTTTAATTTAAACCTTTCAGTAATTTTACTTAACTGCTAATAAACTAATTTCATTTATTTTCAAGATCGTCCTGGAAAACCTCGTGGACCATTGGAGTTAACAAGTTTGTCAGCCAAACAGTGTGTACTTGAGTGGGGTGAACCAGAAGATGATGGAGGCTCACCAATTAAGCATTACGTCGTTGAAAAAATGGATGTCGCTGACGGTAAATGGAAGCTGGTGAAAAATGTTAAGACGCCAAAATGTGACGTTGACTTGGAAGAAGGCCACAAGTACAAATTTCGTGTACGTGCTGTTAACAATGAGGGTGAAAGTGATAATTTAGAAGTTGAGAAGGAAACATTGGCCAGAGATGTTTGCGATCCACCAGATTCACCCACAGGACTAGAGGTGAGTTAAATAGTCAACATTTTGTGCATAAGCCTTCACTATACTTTGACTCTATTGACTATATGATAAAGTAAAAACTTGAATTTCAGCTTCTTGAATAAATGTACCTACTGTAAATTTAATAGCAATTCATAACTTAATAAAAGTTTGTTACATAATGTAAAATAAAAATATGTGAATGTAACTTATGAATTTCTGAAGAAAATGAACAAATGGAAGATGCAAACATATGATCTATCTCCCGCAACCATCTACCTATAGTTCAGAATTAATAAAAAAAACTACGCTTCATATACATACAATAATTGAAAACCTTATCAGTAGGGATCAGTTAGTCTCTACAAACCCTTTATTCAATGTTTTCTGAAGATAAACAAGTGAGCGACAGAAATGCATCTTCACTCAGGTCCAGTTGCTAAAGCTTTGTTCATCTCCTTAAGGAATCTTGAGTGCACCATTCTCCTCCTGTTTGTGTTCTACCTTTCTAACTAACAGTTCACTTTTGAATAATTTTGACATTTCATGCAATTTTATTTGTAAACATGTTCATTTTCGATGACAGATGACTGACAGCAGTTGACAGAAAACCCTGCTCGGCCTAGGTTTTGTGCTTTTTGACAGTCGTCAGTTAGATGGATCTACTATCTCGAGGAAAATGATGTCCTCAAAGAGACTTGAACCTGTATTGCATCTACAGATGCTAGCACTGAACTATTGCGGCCTCGACTGACCTCCTGTGGAAATGGAATAGGTGCATTGATTGTACGATAGAACATGGTCAGTCCTTAGCAGTCGACAACAGGAAATCGGTTACTCTTCAATGACCTAGGAATTTTGTTTTCATTTTTTGTACAATAGATAGAAGATTGGGATCGTGATCATGCAAATTTGAAATGGCTTCCACCACGACGTGATAATGGAGCACCAATTACAAAGTATATTGTTGAAGCAAAAACTAAAACTAAAAATAAATGGGAAACAGTTAAAGAAGTCTCTGATCCAAAAGCCAAAGTCGATTTGAAAGAAGGTGAAGAATACGAATTCCGTGTAATTGCAGTTAATAAAGCTGGAAAATCCGAACCTAGTCAAGCTAGTAAAGCATTAATAGCCAAACCACGCTTTCGTAAGTAATTACCGTTGATTAACTCTCCTATATAAAGACTTAAATATTTTATTAGCAACTTACTGTTTTCTTTATGCCACAGGAAAAGTAATTCTATCTCTCTGATAAACAGTTTGGGGGATGTCTGTATCTACACAATTATAAGATCTTGTAGTGTTACGTCGTAAACTTTGATTACTGTAAGTTATTTGCACTATGCTTAACATGATGCACATTTTCCCACTATTTCACTATAAACTGTGTAGAAAACATGATGGTGAAGGGCTCTACAAATCTTAGTTTTAACGTCTCCTAATCTTACATACTTTTGTGGAAAACTGTTTTAAACTAAACACAAAATTCACCTACGTTATTTGACATGTCCCTCTGTTCTGAGATTGATTATTTCAAGACAGTAATCACGAACTGACATCAGCTGGGGAAATAGTGAAAGCTTGGGAGCACTGGAGTGCTGAGGAGTTCCATACTGGGACAAAACAACAGTCCAATCCTCCTAGGTTTTCAATGGTCCTCCAAATGATGTCGACCAGTGATCGATACTACCTTCAAAACAAAATTCCAATGAATCTGAAACTATAATATTATTTCTTTGACCAAAGAATTATCAACTGTTAAGTTGTAGGTTATATTGCTAATTTCCTCCAAATCCACTTTCATATTTAGCACTAAAAATGTAATTGTAGAATTGACTGGTACAAAATTAGTTTATGTGTTGAAATTTCAGTGATTAATAACTTTAGGTTTAAGCGCTGTACGCGTACACTGTCTCTAAATAGATGTTGTTGCCATATTTTAACTCTTGAAATGCCTAGAAACTAAAATCGCTCAGCTTCCGTAAATAAAGACGAAATTACACTTTGAAATGTAAGTAATTACAGCCAACGAGTTTCTAAGACGGTAACTGTGGCATGCAAAAACAAACCACTAAGTCTTTATGGTCTGCAGTATTATTCGTTTTTATTGTATACTTTCTCTGTAAAAAAAAAGCAGAAAAATAGACTGGGTTACAAAAATATGGTTGTCAAAACACTGATAATCCACTTGCGTGTAATTGTTTTGTGTGATGCTGTTGTATGGTAAAGTGTCTGTATACACTTTCAAAAAAGTTTCTATTAATAATTTTGGCCAAGTAGAACAACATCCATAAAAATTTAAGATATACTACAAAAACAAAGAGTAGATGCTGGTTTAAAACAAAGTATAACGTACGCTTGGCCATACAGGTTAATGAACTAATCAAAAATGCTGGTGTGAGCAGCTTTACATAATAGCTTACACCAGCTAGAAAGAACTAAGCAGTTGTGTGACACGTCACTTATCAATATTCTCAGGTGTGATCTGTTTTACTCTTCTTCATTTCTCTCTTTCTCTATAGATGTATGTTCTTTTCTTTTCTACTTTTTAATTAGTGAAACCATTCATCGTTAAAACTGGTATCAAACCGATAAAAGTTAAAGTTGGTGAAGTTGTTCAATTAAAACTGGATTATCGTGGGGAACCGGATCCTGTGGCTGTCTGGTCTAAAGAATCAACTGTAAGTAAACTTTTTATACATACATATTTTTCTGCGGTACTGATGCATCTTTGGAAACCAATTTCAAAGAGCCAACGCTTTTGTAAAAACTAGACAAATAACTACCTGACAAACTTATTTTTAATATGATTAGGCTGACTAAAGCTAACTTGAGTTATGGCATGATACATATCAGTAGTCTACCATATTATATAGTCATATCGGATGGTGCCGATAAGTTTCGTTCATTTTTTTTATGCTTAAATAAAGTGATTCACAAATCGGTCACTGCAGAGAAGGAAATCATATTATATATGTAACAATTCAAAATTAATTTTGGGTGGCAAACAGCGATAATGATAATTTTATAGTGGTGAAACTCAGAACGTTATAATGATTCCAGATCAAACATTGATAAGTGTTCTTTTGAATGGTCTTCTGTTAGTTTACTGAAACAGATTTAACCATCCTAGTTCAAACAAATTAAAATCACTATTTCACAAAGGTGTCTTCAATGCAAACATTTGATATCTGAAGCAAGCATGTGCATTTAGTAACTCTGTTGCTTATGCTAATAATTACTTATGTACACACCCAACTGTTGGTCTGAGAAAAGAATCACCTTAATTAATGTGGTTGGTTATCAAATACAAAATTATATCTCCACCACACATCTCAAACATTCCTTGGTTCTCCCACCACTACTCCTTTTCAATAGTGAAAAAGCACCAAACTAAATTAAGTTTATGGGTATCAGATGAGAGAAGGTTAGGTAGATAAAAACCATGAAAAGGAGTGGCACTCTTTAGTCACACTTCTTCACTCCGAATTTAACAAAGCCGTTGTTTATGATCATCAGAATTGACGAATCATTTAGTCACTGAATAACCAATAATCCATGCTTTGAATGGAGACCAGGATTTCCTCTCGAACATTATATGTTTATTACGTAGTTTTACTAGTTCTAAATTGGATAGTTAAATGACAAAACTGTTAAGCTTTTGCACAGCAGTTGATTATATATGCTTCTTAATATGACAGTTATGTGAACAACTGAGAACGTTTTCGGCAAAAATCACATTTAAATATGATAAAACTAGGAAGTCAAGTATTAAAGATGAATTCAATAAGCAAAAGTAACGTAAAAAGACTTTCAGATGAGATGAAGTTTTCATTGTTGATTGGTATAAATCAGAGAACGGTGAAAAACATGGGAGCACTGGACACCTGTTTCATCTTGGTTTGTGGCTTCTTGACAGTTCACATCCGTGCCATGCGGAATTCCATCTAGAACCTTGATGTTTCACAGTGAGCACTTTACTACTCAAACAGAAAATTAAAATCCGCTGGCTCATATTTCTTAAATTCTGTCAATTTACGATCATCCAGTTTCCCACAAACACCTAGATAAAATAACAATTCGATACTTGCTAGTATATTGCTTCAAGGTGAACTTTCCGAAGTTCTACTAAGAATCCATGACGTTTGAGGTTAAACAAGTCAGGTATCAGACTGAATGCTCGCCAACAGCATTGTATGATGATCACGTTATATCATGAATTTACAGAATTCGAAAATAAGAACACTTGGGTTCCAACCAAATGGCTGTATTTAACATGCTACCCCCAAGACCTGGTATTCATGCGCTTAAATTATCGTGAGGTGATGAGTGAGCAAAGCTGAGAAGAAGACGTCTACTACTTCCAAGTTTTCAATAGTCCCTTGCATGGTGTTTATTCATGATGAACACTTTTTTAAAACAATTCAATTCTCTATGAACCTTCAAAATAAATCAAACAGTTATGTGTATTTATGCTAGTAATACGAATGGCCCATTTAATACTCTTGATTCGCGTCATTCAGTCATTTGGGAAGCATTGTCCAATATTGCTGATTTACTCTTTTAGTAAACCATACAAACTTGAACTGAAATTAATAAAAGTCATTTCTGAGGTAAGGGAATTCAGTAACAGCGATTTCACTATCTTCACTCAGTTTACGCGGTTTATCCTAGTTAGTAAGACAGCTATACCTGTCGCTAATAAAAAATATATAAAAGCGAAACAAGAAGCATATGGCTGAATATGTTGACCGTAAAATCTGGTTATTTTTGAACGTATATTTCAGAAATGAAATGTTTAACTCTTATGAAAGAAGTTGCATGGAAAGCCCCCATCTTACTCACCGTTATGTAAGATAGTAAATAACTAGTGGGTTGCATCATGAATTATAAGACACAAAATACAAGTCAGCATCACTTCTACAATTTTCCAGAAATGCTTACTGTTTTATGTAAGGAGATGAAAGTAAATTTCATTTTTTAAAGAGCTTCTTTTACTCCCCAAATCTCTTGAATTCTGTACGTTGAACTGAACTGCTTCTTCGAGAATCAAGCACACTTCTGTTACGCGGTTGAATACTAAGAATTTAATAAATTATTTACCTACGAAGTAAGCATCGTCATCAATGATATTGAAATAAGAAAAATTGACTTATTCTTCCATTCAACGCTTTTTCATTCATAGCCTCTTGAATCGACACCAGAAATTGAACTGATCTTTGAATCAAGAACAGCTCATTTGAAGATAGTATCAACTCAACGCAAAGATACCGCTCTTTATACGCTTCGAGTTAGTAATGAAGTTGGAGAAGATCAAGCTAGTATTGAGGTTGTTGCACTTGGAAAGCCATCTCGTCCAGTTGGCCCATTAGAAATTACGGATGTCACGAAAAATTCTGCTCAGCTAAGTTGGAAGAAACCAGAAGACGACGGTGGCACACCTATCACGTATGAAATATATATAAATTTCATTCCAAAAAACATTCCTTTTTTTCATGCTTTTATTAAAATGGTCTCTTTCATGTACTTTAAAGCTGCTTTTAGTTGACCTGGGCTATCAAATCCCAATCATTAATTTTTCACTTTATATATGATCTTTATCTTTCAGCCAGGACATACGTATAGTGTATTTAACTCCAAATATAGTTGTTCCGTAGTCTGTTTCATATTTGTATCAAAGGCATTCTTAGGATATTGCACCGTCTAGCTTAAACTAGCTACAAATAGATGAGATGTTTATCATTATTAGTCCATGAGTTACCCAATAACTTTCGTCTACATTAGTAGGTAAAATTTACCAACTACTAGAAAATTAAAATTAAAAATGTCCCTATGCAAAGAGCAGTATAATAAAATACGATATAATTAAGAAACATCGCTTTACGCAAAGTTAACCTGTCGGCTTTGAATATTAAGCTGTCGAAACGATAATTGTGCTGAATTACCAATAGTAATACTACGTCTGCTGACAGTGAAGGCTTTGTAGCAATCGAAGTTCGATTCTTGTCTTTAGATGAGTACTTAACACCAACTCTTCAGAATACCAAGGGTGCCTCAGTCACCTCCTTGGAGGGAGAAGGACTACAATGTTCATTGACTGTCTACTTCTAGCATCAGTGATACTGTTACTCACTTATAGCTTGGTTTGTCGTTATAACTGTGCTTTCACAGTAAAGCTTTAGAAGTACTATTTACTTGATATAATTTCTCTGTAGGCAATGTTTAGATTAACTTCAAGGAAGTCTGAAGTCATGATAAAGAACTATGCAGTATGTCTTGGTCTCTGTTTATTTTTTTTGTTGCTGAGTTGTCACATCCTGAATTTCATATTATATTACTGTGCAAAATGCTGCACGAATAGCGACGATTTACAAGAATAATGAGGATGATATAAAACTACTCTTCTGCTGGGATTTCATTGAGTCTCATTGTAGACATGGGGAGTTCTAACAGCCAGATATTATGTGGCTTCTAGTTCATTAAATTAACCACAGCTTATAGAATAAGGTGTAATCACAAAGCTAGAAGATTAAGTTTTACAGTGTAAAGTGGTGAAACTTAATCAGTACAGCTTCCTGCTGACATATAAGATTTGTTTTTCTTTTGGAAAGTTCAAAAATTAAAATCATCTTAATTTATACCACAAATTAACAATAAGTTTTGTACACGGAAAAGAAGTTTACTTTACTGGAATTGTATTGAAATGTCTTTTAATTAGTGTGTAAAATAAGATTTGTCAACAAGGAATTCGAAAAACCATTTTGACATGTTTTTGTCACTTGATTATTGTGCGTTTTGATGCATATATATATAACAAAAGTAGGCTTAGCAACTAACAAATACGGTTGTAAGGTTTGTGTAACTGTTTATTTGGTTTGCTTCCATTCTAGAAAAAGTTTATGTGTATTATATGCTAAAAGATTCCAATTCTAAACTCTTCAGTATTAAGAAGTTTTTTGGCAGCTATGAAATACATTTAGACAAATTTGTTTCATACTTTAAAATGTTAAAACTTGGAGGAAACCGATCTTTAGAAATTCACTTTAAACTACCAACTTGTAAGTAGAGATGATTAAAAGCGTCTTGTTGACAAACAATTTTTGCATCCACTTGACTGAAGTCTCCCGATCATGTGACCCTTTGAACTACTGTCTGTCATCTTGACATACTGTATTTAGGCTACAGAAGCTCATTGTTCGCGAAAAGTCAATGTAATCTACCATATACTACTTCCAAATCACCTAAACAGCACACTACTGGAAGCCTGTCTGTTAATATGTTGTTGACCACTATCTTTGGACAACCAGTCCATATACTTGATTGAATATGATAACATAAAATCAATTAGCAATAATTATTGTGGTCAATGTATTGAAGTATTTGGTTGTTGAAAGAAAAGCTTTTTACTGGTTTTCATCCCTCTGTTCTATGTTTTCCGATTCAGACATTATAAAGTTGAAAAGATGAATGTTAATAAAGGTCGTTGGGAACCCGTGGGTGAAGTGACCAGAGGATTAACAATTACCGCTAGCAAACTGGAAGAGGGTCAGCCATATAAATTCCGGGTAACTGCCGTTTCTAATCAAGGAGACAGTGAACCGCTTGAAAGTGAAGCAGAAACGGTTGCTAAAAATCCGTTTGGTAAGTCCTACTTGATAGTTTTAAGAGCAGCTAAAAGTTACTTAGTATATACACAGGGTTCAAGTATTGACGAAATTTACACTGCTGTTTATTATTTTCTGAACATATGTGGTTCAGCACGTACAGTTTAGTTCTGTAGGAATTTATTGTGATAAGCATGAGTAAATATATTGAATAAGCTACACTGAATAATCTTTTACGAAAAAACTAGATCGTACTTGGCTGATGGTGACCAGGAGTGGATCTTAGAATGTGCACTTTTTTCCATCTCGGACTCCTATTTTGGATATACTTTTATCCAAATGAGCTATGGTGCCCCCCCCCGAGACTCATTAGTCAAGAGTTCCCTGAATGAGGAGATACTGAAAGCAAAATTCATCCTAACTGGTTTATAACTGCTCTGAATGTCATTAGTTGACAAGCAAACCAGATTGCAAACCCATAGACGTTTTAATTTTACTGCTACCGATGAATAACAATAGTAGTCGTCTATAATGTAAGCAAAAAGTACCTAGTTGATTACGTTTCATCCCACTGACTAGTAAATCACGTTTCCGCCACATATCAAATTACCTAGAGTCCTATTGGAGAAATAGCTGTTTGGTTATTGAGATCTGGGGACTCGATTGTTGCATCAAAATGATCCCATATGTTGGTCATAAATGAAGCTCAGTAGTTTAGGCTTTAACCAGCATACTTCAATTACCGTAGAGTCATTAATCCATAGCCATATTTATTTCATACTAAATATTTTGTTTATTATTGAGTGGCCAATTTATTTAAGAAATACATTTCGCTAGTCAGTTACTCTTTGCCATGATATTACTTTGGCATTTTGCCACAAAACAGCCGTCATAAATAGTTTTTAGTTAACTGTAACGGTGTAGTCATTCCTACACAGCTATACCAATTCGAATTAAAACTCAAATGTGAAGATTTAAGTGAGTGTGAACATTAGGCCAAAAACCGAAAGATCCTAAGTTCCTAGCTGATTGTGCGTTAAGTTTCCTGTCAGAGATAAATATCATAGCTGTGCTATTTAGGCCTATAATAACCACTGTATATAACTTTGAACTTGGCAAGAAATGATTTAAGCTTTTTTATTCATCTGTCATTTATGCAATATGGTGCATGCCTTGTACACATAAAGATTAAAACATTTTAACTGCCTATTTAGTCAAGAATACACGATGGTATAGGCATTAGGAAGGAGAGAAATAAGGCATTAAAACTACTATTCTTCATATTACTAACAACGTTATGGCTATAAACACAAGAAGGATTGCTAACCAATAAAAGTAGCTAATACGAAACATGACAAATGGGGATTAGTTACTTACTCTTCGTAGAGGACTGTACCCGCTGAATAATGAAATTGTCAGTCGACAAGGTCACATAAAATTAGATATTTCCTAGTGAGGTCCCAGTCTCTAGTTTCACCTAGGTATACTGCGTGATTATCAAGATAGAACAAGACGTTTCAAACTACTATTATCTTTTCAGGCTTATATCCAGATGCAGAAATAGAAATATTGCTTATGTGAGTAAATTACTTACCAGTGTTTTACTGGTATGATTAGGAAAAATATGTTACACAAACTTGCCTGGTTCAAATTTGAACAATATTCTGAAAAGAAACATAAATGCACAAGTGATTGTGGCGGAACTTTGAAAGAGAAATCCACACTGGCAAAATAATTTACAGTATAACTACTTGTGTGCATAAAATATCTTCATGTAAGTAGCTTACGATCACAAGCATTTTAATTCTATTGGGTTTGCAATAAATATCTTAACTAAATCATGAAGTGTCTATTTTAGATAAAAGTATAGGAACAAACAGGCACAGGATTTGAAATGTTCAAAATGTCTAACTCAGCTTTGTTAACTGAATGTTAGCTGTAGTATTTTGCAAAGATTCTGATACGTGTACCTAATGCCAAATAAAGAGGTAAAAAAGCATAATACCACTTTATAAACATTTCAGAGAAACCTGGTGCACCTGAAAAGCCAAAGATTGCTGACTATGATCGTACTCACATAGATATAGAATGGGAACCACCGGAGGACGATGGAGGAGCACCTATAAAAGGCTACCATGTAGAACGCAGGGAACCAAGATCACAACGTTGGATGCGACTGACGCGTGTTCCTCAACCTGATCTCACATTCTCAGATTCTGGAGTTCGTGAAGGAAAAGAATATGAATACCGAGTGATAGCCGTCAATGAAGCTGGGTTAGGAGAGCCGAGTCCTCCAACTGACTTACAGTTTGCTAAAGCTAGTCGAGGTTAGTGGTAGTGAGTTTTTAAAACTTGTAATAATGCTAAATTGTTCTATTGGTGATCAACATACAAAATCATGGATAATTCTAATCATCATTTCAGTGACTACTCAGTTTCAGGTTGAACTAAGAGGACTTTCTAAATGAATTTTTTCTCTAATTAAACCCTTAAAACACATTTGGGTTGATCAAATATATTGACATGAGTTTGTAAAGACATCATATTACCCAACTTCCACTTTATACTGAAAATTTCGAATTTCATCCAGTTACTTATGTGACACAACTTTTACCAAAAGTCATATTTCGATAATCTGAAACAGCACTGCATGATCCCCACTGGATCACAGTCTAATACCTGGATTTTTAATTTATTTTCCTTTATCTGGCAAATTAGGTAGCATTCAATGTATATTACACGAATTTAGTGAAGGTAAAACAAAAGTTATATCTACTTACTGAAATCACAAGATATATACAGATTCCTCACACATAAATTCAACAGTAGGCGTAATCCAGTTCACTTATGAAATCACAAAAGAAGAATGAGAACCAACTTTGTTAGGTGGCAGAGTAAAACGAAGAACACGTGGTGGTTTAGATACTACCGTCTAAAGGAAACCAACACATTCTAACAGGTATCTAGATTTCAAGTCATCTCATCCAATGTTGGTTAAGGTGAGCTTAGTCAAATGTTCAAGTGATAGAGCTAGAAAACCTAATAATCCGTGCTTTGACCTAAACAAGGAATTGAAATACATTTAAAAAAGCGTTAATAATTAATACTTATCCTCTACTGTTTATTAAGAATTTCGTACGGACACATGAAACGAAATAACAACAATAATACGAATACAAATAATATCAACCACAAGAGTAGAAATAGGTTCACATCCTCTATTCTGTAACCACATAATGATGCAACATCAGAAACTTTGTGTAGGATTCTCAACAAGGTTGGAATGAGGGTGGGATTTAAGCCTACAAAATAATTCAGAGATAAGGATCCGATAGATTTAATTAAGCAAAATAATCTAATCTACCGAATTCCATGCAATGACTATGAAGTCAAGTAAATAGGTCAAACTAGCCGATCGGAGATAGTTAGATTAGCGGAGCATAGGAATTTAGCCAAATATTGAATGATAGACCTCAGTAGGATCAATAATCTAGAAGAAACCTCGGCTATTGCAGTTCATACATTAACACAACCACACAATAGTGTGGGATGAAATTATTTTATCGAAGTCCAAAATATAATTAGGTGGAGAGAAAGAGTGGTAACCAAATCTTCGTTAATCGAATCAACAACACACAAAATATGTAACAGGAATGACGCAACACATATCGCAAAAGTGGAAAATTTTACCATAACTGAATACAAAGAATATGAGGAGATACGGCAATAAAAATCAGATTTCGAAAGTTATATGACTACTTTCAGATGATTATGAGCAGCAATTTACCCTCAAAACGTCCTTGAGTAAATAATACTGTATCACTGTTTGTCACACAAACAAACAAATTTAATATGGAATTTTGAATGAGGTAAGCGGAATTCAATCCAGTTCAGTTAACTTTCTGGATTTAATTTTCTTCGTGAGTGACTGCGGCTGAACTAAATAAATAAATATGGCAACAAATTAACAAATGGCGGCTCAATAGACTGAATATATTTATAGCAAAAAACTGTAAAATCAACGGGTCATATTTTGTAGTGTTGGATAACCGTTATACTATGGAACAAAACATCATTTTATGTTGAAAAATTAAGATCCGAGTTGCACTGATCACCTGTAATTTTTCGACAAAAAACAAGTCTTCAGGTTGGTATTCATCATAAACTGACATCATCTGGAGAAACAGTGGAAGCTAGGGAGCACTGGATAGTTGTTTTGTCTTAGTATGTGACTCGTCAGTAGTGCTCATCTATGGACCTATCAGGGGTCGAATCTAAGACCTTATCGTTCCTTGGTCAGCACGTTAACACTGAGCAACTGGGTTGGGATCCAGTGGTTTGTATTTCCTACTTCTTTCAGTTCACGATGTAGTGCGACCCCCATCCAATGCCGTAGTTGAGCAACTGTCCTCATGCTCGACTTGGTTGTCCCCACCGGTCACGACTTCACAATACGACTTCAGGAATCACCTCTCAAAGCTATTGGCCAATGAGAACTAGATTAGTTCAATTTCCAAAAACTTTCAACTGAAACAGCAAGTAGCTATACACTACGAGATGTTACCATTGTATTACAACACTTCAATGAAAACACTGACTTTATTGTTGAATTTAAAGTTATCTGAGCTAGGTGAATTATCATATGATATTTGAGCTCAAAGACGCTACTTTCTGCGTCAAATAAATATCAGTTGAACATTAATAAATCAATACTAAACACTTGTCTCATAAAGTTCTGGGCATTTTATCTATGATGAACAAATTTGTCAGGAAATAAGTCTCACTTTCAGTAAGCTGTGTAATCTATTCCCCTAAACTTGTAGAACAGCTTTCTATTTCCTAACACCTGACAAATAAAGTAGTGTGTATCCGCTTTTTATAACATGTATTTTTGGAGCCATAAAGATAGAAGGCAAACTTTGATTTCAAATTCATGTTCATCGAGTGAACATTCAATAAGAAAAACAGAAAATAATGCACATTTTCCACTCCTCCCTCCCCCCGTTCACATTTAATATTCTTATCTTCATCTCATGGAGAAAAAAATCCTATTTTCATTTCAGAACCACCTAAACTGAAGTTAAGTGAATTACCATTGGGTTTGAAAAAAGAAATACGATTACGAGCTGGTGAACCATTACACATGTCGATCCCAATCACTGGTGCTCCTACACCTACAATAACATGGTCAAAGGACAACAAACCAATCCCAACACATTGCCAACTTAAAAATTCAGAAGAAAACACTTGCTTAGACGTAACAAGATCTGTTCGTGGGGATTCTGGTCTGTATAAAATCAATTTAGTTAACCAGTACGGTCAAGATGAAGGAGTTGTAAATGTTATCGTAATGGGTAAGTGAGTATACTAAAAATCATTCTTACCAGGTACACATTTGAAGTTTGTTAGAGGGATAACAGTGGCCTAACTATTCCTGTATATACCTTGTTGCATAACAGACCACTGAAATTATGAAGTTATGTTCCACTACCTGTGTACCATTAATTAGTGTCGCTTAAAAGAATGATAAAAATATGGCAAATAAATAGTAAAGTTTAGAAACTGTGAAACAACCAATCACAGATTGTCCAAATCATCTTTATTGAAACAAGCACCGATAATTTTACACTACCAACCTGTTAAAGAAAATGAAATGAATTTAAATAAGCGCAAATGAACTGCCATCATACCATCAGCAGAGGATCCACTTATATGCCAAAAATTGTGAAAGTAACGCAGACACACTCTAAGCCTTGTAGCATTACTCAAACTATTTTCTAACCTCAGCCTAAGACTATCAAGAGCGATAACTTGTATAAGAAATGAAAATATGACAACAACAACCTTCCTTTTATTTTAAATTGACTAGAACAATAGAAAGTGAATTGACACTTATGCATATATCGCTTTTTAGATAGCATAGTAACCATCGAAATCATCGAAGAGTCACTCATGCTTACGAAATTTAACAAGTTTCTCCAAGTTAACCACTTTAGTGAGTAAAAAACTCTTTGGCAGTCATTCTAAAACATATACATTGCCAATATGGGGTGATGACTCAAAGTGAAATGAAAGTCTGGGTCTCTGCAGGGTTCGAATTAACCGCTTTTGGACTACCAGATAGCTCTTTGACCAGCTTATCTACCACACCCATCTGCTGATTAGATCTTAAGTTTCCTTGAGTCACTAAAGGTTTTCCCCACCTATCATGGTAATCTGTGATACATTACTCTCCGTTCTGTCTCATATAGTCTCACTGATATATCCCTTTTGTTATCGCTAGTCGTTTGTCATACGGAAATTCATTTTGTAGGTAGCAATGAAATTAACTTTACACTTTTCACACCTTTTACTACTGGTCACTTCGATCTCAATGGATTATATAAAAACTATTGACTTTTCAGCTCTCTAACATCATTGGTTGCTTTTCACGTGCCTGAAAAGTCTCTGACAACTGGTTCTCGCAATCACAATGCTGTAAATAAAAAGTATATACTCCTATGTTCTGCTGTATCTTCTAGTTCAACAAAAATTATAAACAGCTTACTTAAACCTAAAGTAATCATTCACTGTTTTCTTTATCGATGCCCTATTGATGTGTTGTACTGTGAGACGATTGTTTGGGTATGAGCTATCTGTCACTCACTGAATTCAGATTACCTTTAAGACGCTTTACACCGTTAAATAGAGTCCAGCGAGATTTTACTAAAGCCGTCTACTTAGAAATCTTTATCTTACCTTATCTCTTTTGTCTGGACAAAACTCAAAGCTACATAATCAAACAATAAAACATTTCATGCTACCCTAGACATGACTAAAGTAGTTTGAGAGCTTACAAACTATTCACCGTCAGATGTATTGTGTTTTTTGTTGAGACAACACCTTTGTCAAAAGAACCGTTAATCAGCAATGAACTGCTATCCTAAATATCCGTATAAGTAGACCAATTTACTTCAATTTTTAACATGGTGTTTTACACCTAAATTTTTTTTATCTACGACTGTATATAATAAAATATCACCTCTATCAATTAACGCATTAACTCATCTCAAGACAGATTCCTTGCAAACTTTCCTCGATATTTTTTCCATGAGTAAAAATCTATTCGTTTATGTGAAATGAAGATTTTTAACGCGAACCTATTATTCTTTTATCCACTCATCTAACTTATTTTCAAAGAGTCCTTAAATCAAAGGAGATATGAAAATTGGTTTGTGCTTTATACCATCGTTATGAAGAGTGAAATAAGGCTAACCTCAACATGTGTTTAGTCAGACTACAGAAAGCGAAATAGTTTCGTTTGTCAGCGAAATCACTGTATTTTTAAATAACGAATGACAAATAGTGGTGCCGATATGATATCTGCTTATTAATTTACGCCAAATATATGGCTATGGAAGGATGTTTGTTCCTTCCCTACTATACAGCTGTGAGATATGATAGTTGAAAATAGATAATATTGAAAAGTTAGAAGTAATTAAAAATTAATATCTTTTTTTTATTGTATAATTAGATAGTCAGTGTTCAATGTGAAGTGGTTTCCAGCATAAATATGTAACTTGGCTAGTACTATGATTGTTATTGTTTTTCCGTTGGGTTCCTAGTGGAACATAGGGGTTCAGTAACACGCCTCCATTCCACTCTGTCCTCTCCAGTCTTCAAAACCTGGCACCACGACTACACACAAGCTTCTATTTCTTCCTCACATGATCTCCTCCAGGTCACCCTTGGAAGCCAAACTCGTCGTTTCCCCTATGAGTTCTACTTGAGGGCCTGGAGCGTGATGTCTCCAGTCGGCCTTCTCAGTGTATGGTCAATCTATCTCCACTTCCTTCTGTATATTTGCTGACCGATAGCTTCTTGGCTGGTTCGTTCCCAGAGTTCCTTGTTGCTTATTCTTTCTGGCCGTCGGTTAATACTATGAACTCCTGCAAAATATTTGGTAACTGTCTACCGCATACTACCTCACTATATATTCACTTTCAGCTTGAATAGTGCGAAAAACCTAATATATGATATCAGTTCAAGGCGTAATAGGTTATCGGCTACTATAAACATGAAATTTTGGGCTTGCTTTCTTGTGGCCGACGATCACAAGCCACAAAGACTGAAACCAACAACAGTTGTACACTTGCCTTCTATTCTTATCGTAGAATTATTATTCTTCTACTGTTTTGTAAATGTAATAGCTTGAACTAATGTCATTCACTTGGTTTTGAAGAGATATCGGCTGAGGAATAAAGGAAACGTATTAATTTTAAGTTAACAAGCGAACCAGTTTACATTAATAACTATATAACTACTGCATTTACAATATGATAATAAGACGTCAAATCACGTATATGGAATGAATCCATCTATCTTTTCCTACAATTATCTGACTAAATATGTTTCTCATTTTGGAATGATGACAAAAATACGTGCCTACTTTTGATTTTGAAAACACAGAAGGAGAGGGGTTTATTAGGCGATATAACGAAATCAATTACGACCAATAATTGGCACTGTAATTTATCATTTGTTGATCAGTTGGTATACAAACAGTATACAAACAATTTTTGTAAACTGGTCATGCTTGTAGCTACTAATAGTAGAAGAATGAAGCTGTAATGTTAAGATAAGTCAATAACCTTACAACTTAGTATTAAGCGCCAACAATTCTTTCAACTTTTATTAAACTACCAGTGTAGTCTATAATTTTCCAGAACAAATTGTAAACTTCATGAGTTGCTGTCCGATATAACTTAATGTGAACAACCTGTGGACACTTGAAAAACAGCCTTCAGAGACCATTTACTATGGTAGCTGGTTTTCTAGAAAAACAGAAAGGCAGTAAGAAAACTGAAGTTGTATCGCAACGTCAATATAAGTATAAAATACAACGATATACATATATATATATATATCCAGCTTTTTCAAAATAACATTTTCTATTGACTTCCTCTCTTCAAACAGTTTCATTTTTGCATGTGAAATCATGTTTCTCATCCCCAAAATTAGGAGTATTTTGATTGGTTATGAAAGACTTCGGGGATTTTGGGCTTCTTTGAAGAAAGTGAACAATCTTTTTGCACATATATGGCATCTCCAAAATCTTTCCCACATTTTTTTATATTTTCAGTTAAAGTTACCCACATTAAGCAATAACTTCATACACATTAAATGTTTTGGCTGTCTCTTCACTAACAAGTTTGATGTTTTTAACGTTCAATAAATAACCCGATTCTAACCTCACTTCAGGTTCAAAAAGGCACGCTTAATAATTTAGAGCCTAAAAAATAAAGTTTTGACACATTGGTTTGAATGAATTATTGAACCCCGTAGGTTACTTGAACAGTAATAACACTAATATAATGTACCAATCGAATTAAATGAAACCATAAATATTATCGATCGAAACATAAAATCGTTCAGATAATTACCTCCCCTTATCCCTGTACACTAATAACTGTTCAATATTCAATGGAATTTAGTTTTAAAATACAAAATGACATTCTTAACCTATCTTTATTTTAAAGAGTGAAAAAAATAAGTGGTAACTAAAGCATGTCATTTGTAATAATGTCGAACTAAATAAATTAAATTCCATTTATTCAGAAAAAGTTGTATCTTCATCATATTCTCTGTATTATTAGTGCTAATGTCGATGTACTTTATCCAATTTAACATAAAATTTCAGTGAATGAGTGATTTATGTGGACAGTTGTTTTTTAAAATAAACAAATACAATTGTTTGCGTTGTACACATTTGTGTGTGTGCGTGCATATTTGTAAATGTTCTAGAACTTCTTGTTATTTATCATATCTTATTGCTTCATTTTAAATACCCGTGTCACTATATTTTTTCCTAATGAATATGCTTGTGTTTATACATTTGCGTAGGAGTTTAGAAAGGTAGACACACTTGTGCGTCTTTATTTGTTTTCATATTTTCCTTCATCATTTTTCTTTTTCTTTAAAAAAAAATGTAGACAAAGCTTCTGCACCAAGAGATGTAGAAGCGATCGATGTATTCGCAGAAACGTGTAAAGTAACTTGGAAACCTCCGGAGGACGATGGTGGGACACCAATAACAGGTAATGAATAAAACTCATTTATTTAGAAAAAAGTATCTGGTGATTTAATCATTAAGATTATTTGTGGAAACTTCTTCAGCTCATACTTAGTCATCAATTCATTGTGTTAGGTAGTGGAAATCAAGTAAATATATAAAATTAATTTATTTCATAAAGTGTGTTCCAATTGTTGTGAAAAGTTCCATATGGACTGATTTTAACTGGTTTACGAATTGTCTTAATCTCGAAAATAATCTAAAGGTGAATAATGAATTTAATCTATTGACTGACTATTTTCTTTCACGAAATAGGATTTCCTTCGACCTGTTATTAATTAGGACGAACAAAGAACCCTCATTTCTGTCTGAATCACTTTTCTAAGAAGAAGTGTTTGGAATAAGCAGACATTTCTAAATAATTTTCCGTTCGTTATTATGTTATTCCTTGCATTAACCCATCGTTGATTGGACAATAAAGGCGACAACATACAGACCATACTCGTCCCAAAAAAGTGGATAACGCTCTGGCGTTCGAAGCGATTGTCCCCGAGTTACAGGCCCAGTAGGAACAACACCACTCACTGAGAGGCAGATACATCCGGCTGACGAGTCTCAAATAGAACGGGACCTGCGTCCAGGACTCCACTCCTAACATCTTTCCATTATTAATCTTTTTTTCAGTCTTTAAACAAATAAATGGCAAACATTGAGAGAGTAGACAAGTTTTCTGTACATGAAGTCCCAACAAATATGAACCAGATAGTAAATAGACAATAATCACTAGTACGCTTCAAATTAATAGTGACTAATGGCATTTATCAGTCAGGAAGTGAAAATGAGGATGTACTGAAATAAAATTTGCCAACTTGCAGTTAAACACTTTTTATGCAAATAATATCAAGCAATTGGTAGCAAAGGCAAATAATACTAATTTGGATAATGATATGCCTATTTATGAAAAGTCACTAAATGAAACGCATTTCAATAGTATAAAGTCTTTCATCCTTTACTTATATCATGTAAAAGAGTATTGGTATTTAGAGCAAACGTCCTATTAAATCACCTTTTGGTGTCAGTCCATTCATTGTGGTTCACTGAGGTAGACATCAAGTACATTTGACATATTTTGTCCGTAGAGCTGGTCAGATTAGAAATAATCAGCGTGGTAAGTCATTGGGTTTTGCTTTTAAGCAAACAGAACAAGTGGTCAGCTTAGTCTGGAGGAAGTAATTCTCTGTGTGTTGAAGAAATTCTCACTCAAAAATCACTAGCAGACCTTTAGTTGGTTCCTATGGGTGAAGTTGATTGTCTTCAACAGCCTAACACATTAAATCTAGCCACAAAGTTGATAAATGAATTAAAAAGAAAGCCTGCCTCATCTTACTCAGGGAATAACCAAGGTCCTTGTTAAGGTGAGTCATCAACTTAGTGCGGATAACAACCAGTTGGTCAACAAAAAATATCTGAGACAGATGACAGCATTAATCATTTGAACTGGAACATTCTTCAAAAAGGTGATGCTTATCATTTTGGTGTGCAACCTGTATTGTTATACTTAATACAGAAAATGCATTTCGACAAAACGTTTCTCAAAGCTTATCGATCCTCTACTTCCTGACATTGAAAACCAAAAAAAGCATTTTTAGTCCAGGTGACTGGATAGTTCTAAGAGTAATCACCCTTTACAAAAATAAACAGTTCTTCGAACAGCCTCTGAAATCCAAAGGATACTAGGTGTATACTTTTGTCTCTACTTGAGAGGCTTTAGGATTAGACCTAAAACAACTAAGATTGATCAGTTTTCCGTTTTCTGAAGTGGTTCTATGAGTCATCCATGACCAATACACAAAAAGACACATTTACGTACTTAATATTACTACATAAATCACTTGGTTTTTCTATTGTTATTGTTATTTTGCTGCCATTATTTACACCCTAGATTATTTGGTCGAACGATGTGATGAAACAGGCATCTGGGAAAAAGTACCTGGATTGGTTTTAGACAATTCAATCAATATCAAGAATTTAATAAAGGGAAAACAGTATCGCTTTCGTGTATTCGCTGTGAATTTGATGGGAAATAGCGAACCAGGGGAAACCAAAAAGGCAATACTTGCTAAAAATCCTTACGGTATGTTTAAAGATTTTCATTTGTTTGGTTTTGTTCTATGTTGTGTTTTAGTGTTTGGGTGAGAGCAGATTATTTAGAATTAAGAGCAAAACAACGCCTTAGATTTACCTAACAAGTGGATGATATATTTTATCACAAATATTATATAGTATTCAGAATTTCTACAGGAACCTTGAGACCTTATCTCACTAGTTGCTCCACTGCTGAAAAAGGAAAAGACAATAAATAAGTAAATTATTGATCAAAAGGTTGACGTTTATATAAGCCGCTGCTCCGTTTATGCACATGTACAAGTAACCCCAGGTTTTCTGAGGTACTGTAGACAGTGAATTCAAATGAATTTATAGCCCACCCTAGCAGCAATCAAAACAATCAATTAGGTCTCTTCATTAAAGCTGGAAAAGTAGATTTTCATAAAATAGAGAAGTCGAATTGGTTATTTCAGTTGTTGCTAGGGCCTTTAAAGTCAGAATTTCATCTCTCATTTTTAAGGGATGCGCCAATTAGGTGCTCTTATGTGTCATTAGGAAACTGATCACAAACTTCAAAGTATACTGATAAATCTTCAATGTTTTCAGTAAATTATACTTTCTTGACGTATTGCAGAAGTGGCTGTGTTCACTTCTATTATCTAAAGTCAAATATAACCAATATCTGACTGAAAACGGGATTTTTTTTTACTAGAGAAAATGTTACTCACCACTATGTGAAAAAAATTAATTTTTAAAAATATGCAGATTACAAATCAAAAAACAGTTCATCTTTAGTATATTGCTGCTCAGTGTTAAGTAACCAATAACATCCCTCCTTAAAAGTGAAGTGCAGGAAAAACTTCATCATCGCTTCAAGATCCAACATTCAACGGGAATCGATTCCTGTGATAACGTTTAATTAGCAGTACATGATGATTTTTTATTATATATCGCCCCACTTTTTTTCCGATAGGTCAAGACAAGTTTATCCATCATTTGTCTGTAATGACTTTGCATTGTTTACGTAACACTTAATTATGCCACATTGTGCTAAATAAAGTAGATGGAACTAGATTGTATTTAAATTGACCTGAAGATGGAAAGTACATTGGACAAAGAGTGGGTAGTAGATAGAATCTATCGGAAGTGTCTACAAGTAATTCAACAATAAATGCCAGTATATTTAAGGGGATCAACCAACTAAAAAGCAAATACTGATTGACACAAAAAAGAAAGCGGTCCCAAGAAACCAGTTAGTCATTTTAACCATAACTGTGCTCAATTCTCATAAGTTGACCCGCTGAACTGAAGTTTTTACGAAGAATGAATAGTCATTTAACATCAAATTGTCAAGTTTTCCCATGGAATTTATGTTGCATAGACTTCATCCATCTCTGAAACCTGAATAATACGGTTGAAAACTATGTCTTTAAATAAATGTGAGCTTAAAGAGAAGTTCTGTCAAATAAGAATGAACATCAGTTTGCTGACGAATACGCGTAAATAGATCATCTAGTATGGTACTTTCAGAGATGACGCTCCAGTTTTCCTAAATGCTTAGAACCAGGTAATTCACTGCTGTAAACTACAATTCGAATTGCACCTGATCACAAACCGAAGGAGTTACGCTGTAATAATATGTATGTTTATCATATGCTGTAGACTAATGCTTGAGGATTTTCTTTGGTAAACTCTATGTAGACCCTCCTGGTGCACCGGAAAATTTGAACATTGATGAATTCGATAAGCGTTCCGTAAAACTATCCTGGAAACCTCCGGCTGATGATGGCGGCAATCCAATTAAAGGTAGGTAATCTTAAAAGCTATTTTCTTTTTAATTAGACTATGAATTCAGAAGTGATAGTTTTGTAATCTAAAGTGAAAATGTTCCTATCAGCTTTGTTAATGAGTCAGTCAGCAGATAATAATCAGCATCTCACTTCATACCTTGGTGTTCTATCCGGATAATCAACGCAGCTCTGCATGAGGTTATCAGTTGCTGAATCAGGTGGTATTAATGTCTACATTCGATATGCTGCCCTATTCACAGACTACTGTGGACTGTTAAGTGTTGTCAACAGTAATATCAATGATAAAAACAAAGTGCTAATGTACGACGACCTGTCTCTTCAATGCAAACCTGCAAATCTTTGAATTTTAGACAAGTGACTAGAGGGCACCTTCTGAAATCAAATTTACAAACAAACATTACAGATTGTAGTACCAGGTAAACGGCTTGCTCTTTCCAAGTATCAGTTTCTCAGTATCGATAAGCTTTGATAACCAAGTGACTCAGATTTATGAATTATTGTCCATAACTCATAACATTCAACGCTACATATGATGTGGCAGAATTTAATATAACTTATTGCGTGATACTTTCAATATTCCGTTGCTGTACTGGGTCGAATTACCCGGCTGCTGCTGGCAGATAAGCTCCTATGAGGATGTTTAGATTTTGCCTGAGTACTTATTATTTTGCAATCTGCTTGGTGGCTAACAGTGGAATCTAGGACGCTCGTTCCATCCTATTTTGGACTGTTCAGCTAGATGTACATGCACCCTTGTGAGTTCCTACTGAGATTCCAACCCAGTACCCATCGCCTCAAACGCTCCAAATAAAACTGTGATAATATTGTTACATTTTTTGATGAAATGAATATGATCAGGAATACAGAAAAATAGTGTTCATCAGAGAAGGCTGAAAGTTTAAAAAGAGTATGCGTAGTATGCCTCTTTTATCTAAAACTGTCTGGTGTTTTTCTTAAAAAGGTTACCTGATTGAGAAAAGAACACCTCGGGGAGAATGGCGTAAAGCAACTACATCGCTTGTCCAGGATACAGAGGCAACAATTACTGGAGTCGATGAAGGTCAGACATACGAGTTTCGTGTTAGTGCTGTTAATGATGCCGGACCCGGTAAACCATCCAAGACAACTCAACCACATTTAGTTAGAGATCCAACATGTAAGTTGCGAAATTCACATAACTTCTGAGTAGTCTATGAAGAAAACTATATACCACATATTTACCCTATATTTTTTAGCTTGAAACCTCTTTTTTCCATGCCTCTGCTTTGTTACCCTTCCAATGAACAATCTTTGGTGTTATAAAAAAATGCCTAATTGTTTCATCTTGTATGCTGGTCATACAAGTACGAATTAACACTCGCCCTTCACCCAAATCACTCAAACTAGACAGCCAAGTAAAATCTCATCTATGCAGACAGATAGTGTGACAATACTCCAAGTAACTGAAATAATATTCCCCTTTATTCGCTTGAAATAAATAGTATCATAGTACAAGGATTACTTATTAGAGCCACCTAACAGAGCTGCATACTTGAATTCAGCAAAATTCTTTAACTGTTTGTAACCCGGAGTCACACTAATGCCAAACTATATTGGTAGGGTATTTAGTCGAGAAAGGAACGAATGTGAACCATTTGCAAAGAAAATCACATAATTTTATGTGTAAGTGTTCAGAGGTTTCATGGATGATGTTCAAGTAGAAAGATAATGAAATCAGTAAGGAAGTCGGTTTACAGATAATGTCTTTAACACTGATGTTTATTTTACAAACTTATCAACAGCCTCATGAAACATATTGTAAGTACTCTAAGCAATACTGTGTACTAACTGTATCGGCAGAATAATAACTCATGCCTACTTCACCTTTGAAAGGTTTTTGTTTAACGTTCCCCAGGATAACATACCAAAAGTGATCAGTTAAGTCATCACCTCTATTATATGTTTAGCTTACTCATGAAGACGAATTACAAAAATTTTCTGTAAATATACAGAAACACCATAGAATGTGAAGACATTGTATATCAATCTACATCACATTAGCACAGTTTACGAGAATAAACACGTAAAGAGGAGTGGTATCAAAACTAGAGAAGGAAATATATAAAACAGAACAAAGGAAACAAGTAATGAACTCTAGTGAAAACTGAGTTATGAGATGTTTCAAATTTAGGCAGGGTAAGGTTGAAAAGATACTAATCGATCTCTGTCACCAAGACCACTTTTGGACTGTCATTTATAATATCCAAAGTCAGTTTCATCGGATCACATTGAGACTTCTTTCATTCTACTCACACGTTAAAGATAACTGTGCTTCAAAGCAAACAGTAGTAACACATATCTAAGATATTTTCGTACCACCTCCATGGATGGGACTCCAAAGTCTTGCACATTTATTTACCTTAACACAATCATCACAATCTATGGCTTCACAATAAGCAAATAAGATTTCAAATCTATTTATAAACGAATAGCTGTAACCTTCTCATCTTTTCTGTCCTTTATTGCTGTAATGCACGCCAATGCTGTGTTATAAACCTTCGTACATGGCTCATTCAGTTAAATATATACATATATATGAACGGGACAAACGGTTATGGCTGAATGTAAGAATACATGTACATGTACACTTTGCCCCTAAGTTGATTGATGTAACAAACACTTCGTTATTCAGAAGGATTAACTAATGGACAAAGATGAATCACTGCGAAGGAATAAAACATGGAGGGTCATTGCAACCTAAATCCAAGTCATTTTCCTTCCCTCTTTACTATATCAGATATTATCTTAACTTCTATGCATGTATCGAAGTTAACAATATTTAAATCAATAACCAATACCAATAAAGATCAGACAAATATGAAAATAAAACAAAAGCAATCAATGAACACAATTCAGAACAAACAAACTTTTGTGTACCGACCATTGACTACAAGGGGATGAATGCAGTTAGAATCATTTGTCCTCACTAAGTGATTGACAATTAACAGCCCATTAAAGGCATAGTTATTTTTAGTTGGTTACTTTGAGCGAAAACATCTTGAACCACTGCCACATATTTATGGGAAATCAGTTTGTACACTGTTAGTCATTCCTTTTGACTTTTCATATATTTTACAGAGTTTCTTCAAAATGGATTTCCCGACGTTCTAATGAGTGGTCATGACCTGTAGGATTCACCAAGTCGGTTATGAGGGCTGATACTCGCCGGCTGCATGGAACGATAGTCGTGCTGTATCTCTAGTTTATAGAAGTAGGAGTTAGTGAAACATTGAATGTCATCCTAGTAACTAAGTAGTGACATGCCCACCAAAAGATCTAACGGTCTTCGGCTCAATCCCCCTTGGGTTATGCATACTTAGTGCTGAAGAGTTTCAGATTAGAACTAAACAACTATTGTGTGCCTCCTAGCTTCCGTAGATTCTATAATCGATATCAGTTGGTCATGAAAATTAAGTTGAAAGAAAGCCATTGTATTTCCAAAAGACTGTTAGCATGAAACATTGGTATGCTTTAAACTAAATACAACAAAGGTAATACGGCATAAGCATTGAAAGGTACATCCAAATAGTTGCGTAACCAGTTTTACCATAGCCAGTGATTTGGTTCTCAAGAAATAACTGACTCACAAAATAGTACTACATTGTCCTAACGGTCTAAATATTCATCATCGTAGGTTATCAGGTCTTAATATATGCGTTCGTTGAGACAGTTTTAGTGCATGGTCACTGCTAAACCTAAGAATAACAGTCCACTCATTGTTAAAATGAGCTATTTTACCACTAACTTAACAAACCCTATGATAAACTACTATGGCAAATAACTAATGTTATCAATTTAGTTGTTATCCAAAGTATTTCACTTTGATGGAAGATCCATATGGAATCCTGTCAAAAAAATTACTTGCCTTTACTTCAACCCTCTCCCTCAAAAAATATTCACACTTTCTGTAATAACTTTTTGGGTAATTACAACAAAGTGAATAGTCTTAAATGCAGAAATGATGGAAAAAAAGACCATAAAAGACCTACTGTGAAAGGAACAGTACCCTAGACTTCTAACTGGAAAGAATAACTTGCTTTCCAGGTCAGGTGTACCATGAAGGTAAATACAAACAGATAACATACAGTCGATAAGTTCAAACCTATCTTTTGATAGCACTTTTTTCAATACGAGAAGTACGAAAAGTTTAGGTTCCGTTTTAAGTCTTAAAAGAAATCTAAAGCACCTGTTTCTCCAAGAAAGGAAGAATTTTATCTGGACCATAGTGACTATATGACTAATTTCATCTCTTAACCGAGTAATATTTTCACCACGAACCGAGCCCTCAGAACTGCTAAGAAGAAAACACAAATCATGACTAATACTTCAATTTAAAATATCAATTCTTTACCGGCCTACTTTTTAATTCACGACTTGTCAAGACTCTTCGAAGGTGAAACACAGCAAGGACGTTCTTCAGCACTACCAAACAGAGAAGTATTTTTCTAGATAAATTCAAAATTTCCTAGTTAGAATTGAATGATCACTATAAAAAGGATACTTTAATGATTCAAAATGAAACTGTTCTCAGTCCTTGCAGTTATCAAAATATTTTCAAGCGTATACATTGAATAACAACCACCGATAGATGGTAGAGATAGTAAAGACAAATGAATGATTACCCTTGTTTCCATAGCGGACATATAAAATCATTACCCGTTGAGCTTAACTCCACATTTCAAGACATTTCATTCAAAGTTTGTGATGTTCTTGCCAAATTTAAGCTTCGTAACTAACGTACTCCATTAAATATGAACAACAAAATGTATTTGCTTAATATGTTAATAATAATAATCGCTGTTTTCCAAACAATATGTATGATATAGTGTAGAATTCTCAGCATGTAATTTTCCAACAAAGTTACTCCTAGAAATGGGTATTAATAACAGTAATCAAGGCATTAATGTGAAACACCCAGCTGGTACTGGATTAGCGTTCGGTCTAGAGTGAATCAGTAGAAACACCAGTGTAAGTTTGGTGGTGGTACATTCAGCAAGTACAAGAATCTGCAACCCAAGTTGAGTATCCATGGTAGAGAAATATGATGTACTTTTGCACACTTAAAACTCCACTTCCATATAGCTTAACATTTTCTCTCTGTTTTGTTATTTACTCGAGAAACGGTAACTTGAAAACATTTTTAAAATGTACAGAAGTACACGTTACGTTCAGAGGATATATTTAAGTGATTAAAACAAATTGAAATGAAAAAAATTGATATGTATGTTCGATGAAAAATTGTGGTAGCCAAAGGTTCAAGCGGGCTACCGTTTTTTAAAATTAAAGACTTCAATCAAAGCTCTAACTTGGTTCATTTACCTGTTATAACTAAACCCCTGCATGTACACTTCTCTTTTTTAGATCCACCTGGCTCACCTGAAGGATTGAATGTAGACAAGGTTAACAAAAATGGTGTAAAACTTTCTTGGAATAAACCTCGACGTGATGGTGGTGCTCCAATTACTGGTTACATTGTCGAAAAGAAGGGTGATAATGATGAGTGGATCCCTGTTCAAAATACAGCTAATCCGAATGCATTCATTCCGATGAAAGAAGGTGAGACAGGACAATTTAGAGTTCGTGCAGTTAACTCAGAAGGACCAGGAGAGCCGACTAAGCCAACAGCTGTAATCACTGCTGTAGATCCACCTGAACCTCCACGACTGTGTACACCTGAAGAAGGCGTTGGAGGTCCCGGTTCAGGAGTTGGTGGGCTGAAAGATATTACTCTGAAAGTAAGTGAGCTGATAAAACCACTAAAAATTAGTACTTATTTTTGATGTGTTCACCATCCTCTTTTGGTTTTTTCGGAAAATAAACCATAGTTAGAGTTCCAAAAACTCAAAATAATATTTTAAATTACCTTTTAGGCTGGTCAAGAATTATTACTAGCAGCTGCCTGGTTTGGAAATCCTAAGCCTACTGCCATATGGACGCAGAATGAAAAAGCTGTCAAACCAGATGGCAAACATATTCAAATCACCGATGAACCACCACCACCACCACCTGCTAATCCTGGACCTGGTGGAGCATTAGAACAATCAGCTGGTGGCACGGCTGTTCTTCGAATTCCAAAAGCTCGACGGAGTGATGGCGGCAGCTATGAACTAACACTGATGAATGATCTGGGACAAGTGAAAACATCCTGTCATGTTGAAGTATTAGGTATGTGGCGTAGCAAAAATGACATATTTATCCCAAATAAGTCAGTATTTTTAAACGAATGAATTAAAATGTTAACCGTTGCTAAAACATAGGGTACCTAGGGAGTTTCCCACTAATAAATTGACCCTTTCAAAGTAGCAAGTAACTTAACAGGAAAACCTTCCAGAAACAGATTAGACAGTCCCTCATAACTGAACGACATTCTAACTGCAAATTTAGCATCTGGTATCTTAAAGTGTAATCATTTCCGTCTTAACTTAGGATAGTAAGTCTACTGTTGACCATGCATCATGAATCAGTAGTGGTCTTGATCGATCCTTTTATAGATCCAAGATTCCAATATATTCTGAATTTAGCGTCTGATTTCGATTCATCATTGGAGTAATAAAAATACAGTTTCATAAACTTGACAAATCACCAAATATGCTTCTATCTGTAAACAAAGGTCTCAGTCCCTCACACTGTTAAAATACCTTTTTTTCAGTGATTAGGTAGTTTTTGAAAATACACTTGATTGGAAAACATATTCAGTCAGTTTCTGCAGTTTATCAGTTTATATTGCTTTAAATCTTACTTAAAAAACTAATAACATGATAGGTGAAGAACTAGATTTTATTATTAGTTTGAGAGAAAATGAATTTATGTAATGTGCTTTCGGTGCTGTAGTGTAACTGGGTACTAACTTGCTAGTTGTCTCTCCTGATGACTGTGTTCAAGTGAATTCAACAGTTCAAGAGGGTAATAATAGAATGTAGACTTACAACTGAAGTGGAAAGTGACTGCTGAAACTCAACCTACTTTGTGATGAATAGATCTTTCATCCACGAATTACCGTCTGCTACACTTTACTGTATATAAAGATTATCCTACAGTGATGAAATAAAGTAATTGATTCAAAGTAATCAGCATTACAACAAACCAATCCTAAATCTGTGGATTTCGGTTGTAGGTAAAAGTGAAGATGAAATTTTAATCCATATCTCCTTGGAAAAATGTCAAAAAAGGTAGCTATTTTATACTCATAAAGCTCATTCCAATGATTTTAAAAACAAAGATTTCTTCAGCTAACATTACTAGTTTACAAACTTTATAAATTACGAATGAGTATAATTAACAACTGATATGCTTAGCATAATTTTTTTCTCTTTCTTTTACTTATTTCTTCATTTACCACTTACTTAGATATCCCCGGACCTCCAGAAGGACCTCTGGAAGCTACTGATGTTAATGCAGAAGAAATTTCACTCAAATGGAAACCACCATCCGATGATGGAGGGCAACCGATTACGAATTATATTCTGGAAAAACGACCCAAAGGAAGTGAAGCGTAAGTAAAACAAAAATAGATTCCCTAAACTTACTACTAAACAGCTGTACGTAAAGTTATGCAAAGAAACTATAACACCAATATTGGTCATACAAACTTAATCTCAATGAAATAAATCCCAATTCCAGAGTAAATAGTAGCTCTTGTTAGGCATCATATATTCCTTACTGATAAATACTAAGTTCTGAATCTAGCTCCCATGGATTAGCGTCTGATACCTTCAGAAATGAACAATATAAGAATATCCTATATAAACTAGAGGAATTGAATATGTAAGCAGTGACTGAAGATTGAAAACATTTATCATCCCACTCCATGGTGAATAAATCATCTTCTGACCCGTAGACCTTTTTTGTTGTGTTTTTCATTCTCAGTCAGATCGTTATACATCGATAACCTTTCTTAAACCTCATCAGAAACAATCTATGTTTATGCCGGGCTGAAAGTTAGTACTACAAATCTATAACTGTCTGGGATCCTCGACTAATAAACAAGTTCACTAGTTACTAGCCAGTCTTAAGCCTGGATAAAGAGGCAAGGTTGGGCATAGGGCTAGCAACCCTACCCCATAAAACCAATTCAGTCGCTAAAGAAACTTCAAAGTACAAAGAAAATATCCATGATAAAAACAAACTTATTTCTCCCTGGAATCAGAGAGACGAAATGACGCCGGTTGGTGAAAGCTTTCAGGAAGCCAGTTGGCTGGATTTTCAACACCAACGTCAAGTCAGTACTTCTATATGATTCACAAACTTGACGCGTTACGTAAAGCACCTCCAACAAACTGCAGACATATCACCAGCTGCCGCCTACTCTCACTCGATACTGAAGATCAGATGGATGGCAAGAATAATGAGAATAATCAAGGAGGAACTCTGGCTGGCTGGCTGGCTGGCTAGCTGGTAACGAACCAACCAAAAACCCACCGCCCAACGCATATGCAGAAGAAAGTGGGGATGGATTCGATTATACATGCATTGGGAAGACGGTTGCGGGACACAACGTGCCAGGCTATCGAGTGGAAGCCAACTGGGGAACGACGACTTGGGCTTTGGAGGGTGACATGGAATAGATCGTGTGAGGAAGAAATGGAAGCTTGTGTGCAGTGGTGAAGCCAGGTTTTGAAGACTGGAGAAGACAGAGTGCAATGGGGACGTGCTACTGAAACCTTATGTTCCACTAGGAACCCAAAGGACAAATATTAAATCATGATAATAACTATCAGGGATTTCCCATCAGACATACCTCATTGGTCAACACTGAATTGCAATATAAATATTCTTGACATAGCATACACTTACCTGGTTATCAATCGTAGGCACTGTTATACTGATTTGGTTGACTGTAGCTAGCAGAGAAATCCAGGTAGTGCGTTTCGTCCTTTTGGGACTCGTCAACTGGATGTACCTGCACCCCAGTGAGTGTTGTTGTTCTCACTGAGACTCGAAACTCTAACCCGTCACATCAAACCCCAAAGCGTAATAAATATTACTTGTTGAACAAGAAGTGGCTATCGTCCCTCCGTGGCATAGTGGATAACGATTTGGCATTTGAAACGATGGGTATGAGTTTCGAGTCTCAGAGGGAACAACAACACTCACTTGGGTGCAGGTACATCCAGTTGACGAGTCTCAAGTAGGACGAAAAGCACTAGCTGGATTCCTCCGCTAGCCACAATCAACTAAATTACTGTAAATAAAATTCATCCAATATAGAGGCATCTGCATAGGAGCCTATATGCCAATAGAGGTTGAACAATTCGATTCAATAAAACAACTGTACTATTAATCCCAGTTTCCTTATTGTTGCAAATACGCCCTGCTAAGGAATACCAAACAGACGCAAAACCTAGGTACGACGCATTTTGGTGACTGACTCTTAAAGTCGGACGCCGAAACTGAGTGCCCCATAGGGTTACATCACTTCACTTAGTGGGCATGCTACAAAACTTGATTCATAAACTTCGATCAGTGCTAAACACTAAGGATCAAACAACTAGATCGGTTACACAATGACGATAAATTTTATATGCATGAGCCATTCCTACAGGGGTCTGTCGTAGCCTGCGTAGCTTGCTGGTTAAATCTCTGACTTCAGCACTGAATGACCCAATTTCGAGTCACTTAGGGGACACTAGTCCTCTCATGTTTGTAGGTGCACATGATAACGCAGCTTTTCCTGCTCTTTGAGTCTTAACATCTGATCCCTAAGACTTACACACAAATACATAGAATATTGTTGTCCTGAAATAAGGTAAAGAAAATCAATTTGCCCTACCTGCGATTAGATAATGTATTAAATTTTAATTACACTAATTTCTATCTAGCTCATTCACTTTTCAAATCACTTCTGTTTAAATTTTTGCTAAATCATATCTCATCGTAGCATTTATTTTCTTTTAATTAATTCAGTTGGCAGAAAGTAAGCGCTTTTTTGAATTCGCCAAATGCAACTGTTCGTAATTTAGAACTTGGACAAGAGTATGAATTTAGAGTGATGGCTGAAAATGCAATGGGTATCAGTGAACCACTTTTAACAACAAAACCAATTAAGGCAAGACATCCTTATGGTAAGATCTTTCACCTATTGTATACTTTATTTTAATGATTTCATATCGGTTAGCATTAATGCTATAATAGCTTTATCACATGCTCATAAAGATAAATACAGAATGATTAACAAAATGAATACCCTGAAACATATTGATGTTTTACAAGGACTGTTTTGGCACCTACTTTGGTGAAATCATTGTGAAATCAGCACTAATAAACTCATCTGGTTTTATACTGAAATATTCATCAATAAACTTTGTGACTGACTGAACACCAAACGACTCACCACTACATACGTACCTATAAACCTCATACATTCATTCAGTATTTGTTGTCTACCTAAAAATGCTCAGTGTATTCAGGGACAAATGATGATAACGTAGTTACACTTCATCCATTCATGCAAAAGCCAAACAAAATTCCCGGCGATTAAAGTGAAATTGAAACACTGTTAATAGTTGAGTCTCAGCTATGGATCAGTAACGCGGAGGTTGCCAGTTTTAATTCTACCTCAACTTAAATTTACCTTCAGTTTGGAGATTTGAGAGAATTTATTGATCTCAAGTTTCTGTTCATCACGAACCTACATCAGTTGGAGAAGCATTTAGAATCTTGAAGCCCTGGACAACTGTTTCATCATAATAAGAGACTTCTCAACAATCCACACCCATGACCTAGCTAGGGATCTGACACAGGATCTTCTAGTTTTGTAGTGAGTATGCTACGATTGAGCCACTGGGTCGCGGAATGAAAGAGGCAGGAAAATGTTGACCCATGGGTTCTGATCCAGTGGCTCAATGGTAACGTGTGAGCCACAAGTTTTCAATTGTTCTCCAACTGATGTCAGTCCATGATGAATATCAACTAAGGTTTTCATTTTCTCTTCAACTATCTCTGCATACAAGTACGACTTTTCTATTCTTAACTTTATGAATTCACCAGGTAGCTTTTCAAAGCTTAAAGAAAAAAATCTAACTGAATTTCTATAGGTATCCAACTTGACAACATCGGGAAGAAATAAATTCTCAATGTTTAGATTACTAGCAGTTGGCAAGCGAAATCTTCAGTTTTGTATGGATGGTACCTAATTACTCAAGTTTCTCATTCATATCCTCATTTAGTTAATGGTGACATTACTTATAATCGTAATCCTGCTGACATCAAAATGTTAGATGATTGAAAAACTACTCAATCACAATGACTGTTAATGGGGTACGAATAATTTGTAGATAATTTGTAAATTTTTCATTGAATCAATTTGTGATGGAAAATTAATAATTAGACACAAGTAAACTGATTACATAGAAAGTGTGTTAATACAAATTTCACTGTTTGAATTTCCCAGTTTTAAACTATTCATGACATTTATTTTGATTGATGGTGACTAGCAGTGGGACCGGGGACGCGTGTTGCGTCCTACTTGGAACCCATTAGCCGGGTCTACCTGCATCTCAGTGATTGAAAGCTTTCCCATTTAGACTCGAACCCAGCACCTATTGCTTCAAACACCAAGGCGTTATCCAGTGGGCTACTTAGGCATGATAACCACCTTTTGTTCAAAAGGTGTGAATTGTTATCATTTATTGATACTTGTGACCTCCCTTGGTTTTGCCCAACCGAATGATGATAAATGATGACACTTCATACCCATTGGACAAGAGGTGACACTCGTGCCTCAGTAACCTACTGGATAACTCTCTGGTGTTTGAAGCGACAGGTTCTGAGTTCGAGTCGCAGTGGGAAAATCTTCAGTCACTGGGATGCAGATTCATCCAGCTGACAAGTCCTAAATATGACGAAACGTGCTTCTTGCATTCCACTACTACCAACCCCTAAGAAAATAAATCATAATGAATCTTCAGTCACTATGGCGTTGTCGGTATAGGACCTCATATGCCTACAGAAATCAATCGATTCAATCCAGTAATGGCATAGTAATGTTAGTTAATTAACGAGAACAAAATTTAAAAAGTAGTAATAATGTTATTATTGGCAGTTCTGATGATGCTTGATATCATGGTGACAAGAAAAAATAAATCAAAGATTCAAAATTGAATTTCACTCCTGATCGTTAAGTACAAATACAGTTTTGTACAATATTGAAGTAATTAGGACGTAAAAAGCCTGAAAATTAATCGTTACTTAGACAATACATGAATGTAGTTGTGCAAACATTTTCTGCCCACATGGACAATAATTGCTTATCTGATTAACATTAGCCTTGGAAATCTTTAACAGACTACTTAGAACTGCAACTGAAAATTATTGTTTAAACATGAGAAATAGTATACAGAGTAGCCTAGACCACTGAAATTCATATCCACCCGATAACTTAATACCACAAAAAATAGAAACCCTATCAACATGCATGAAAGACAAGCTTTGAAGCATACTAGCGCGTTCCTTAAGGGCACGACCAATCAACTTCAACTCATAAAAACGGATGATTTTAAAGGGCACTCTAGTAACTGCTCAAATAATTATTCAGATTTTAATATTCAGGCTAGAAACGTAGTCTTTCATATAATATACGAGCTTAATTGGTTACCACACCAGTTGTTAGGGTGGCCTTTAAAATTACTCCATAAAAACAGATAGATTGATGAACGCGCACGAAAGTGGCAAAACTGGATAAGTTGTTCTCCATTTCGAGAATCACAAATGGTAAGTGCGAATCCCTAGGAGATTTTTAAAACTGGCTCAATTTATTTCTCAAGAAGAGTTTCTTTAGGTGTGTTGCTGACACAATGAAGCAACAGATTAACGGTAAAACTGACTTTTTTTAAATCTAACAGTCTACACCATTTTTTATTATCTAGAAGTTATAGATGAAATTCGATTTATTTCATTTAAAATAGTCAGAATAGATTCTTTTTGTTATGCTTTCGAGGTATTTTAGTAAAATATATACATTTACGCATAAATTATCGCTATCTATGCCCACCTGTGATAATCCACAGGTATTAGTGCATCACTGATAGAATATCTACCGAAAAAATACTTATGAGTGCTAACTAGCACAAAACTCGAATCCAGGACTTCCTGTCAACTGGTTTATACCACTTCAAAGTAAAATATCATCATAATTCCCCTATATCAGTAAAAGTCAGTACAAATATCTGCTATTTCTTCTAATATTCTATTGTCGGTCTTTCAGCTATGGACACTTCCAACATACTTCTAAAAATATATATCTAACCTGATCTCTTGAAACGTTTTATAGTTTTAATAGCATAAAAGTCAGCTAAAAGTGACATCGTAATAAATAAATCTTGGTTTGTCCATTTTAAATGATTATCAGTGTCTCCAAATTAGTCTCTGGGATTCCGCTGATAAACTCTCTGATTGACATATGTTGGCATGTATAATCTCCATTATTTTGCCAAGTAATACAATACTCAATATGGACTCAAAAAACATCTAGTCACAACACTCTTCTCCTATAACAAATACGAAAACTTTATGGACCTGAGTTTTCATCATGAGAACTTTAAATTCCACTTTTTCTAACCAGTATATACATGTGGTAGCTAGAATACAGATGAAAAGCTAAAATCAAAAGCCGAAATCTTGTGTGTAATTCTACGTGTAAACTACACATTCATCTTGGTAAAGCCAAACTAGTACCGGTATACTCTTGGATACCATTTATCACCCGTTTAGTAAATATATTCTATCATATGATTAATTCCCCTAGAAGTGAGCGCAACTTGTAGAGCATATGGCTTTTAAGGAACTACAAATATTTCTTCAAAGCTCCCAATTGGTTATAATTGCTTAGCGTCTTGCAAACTTTGGAGTTTGGTCTTGGACGTCTCATCACCAGACTAGGTGACTTCACCACCACTTACTGCCCAAAGAATTGAGGTATACTTAAGTTGCATAAATGTTTATGTAGGATATTTGCTGACCTTGAGTGTTACTATCGTGTGGGCTAGGGTGAGCTATCCTTCTTTCTTATCTGAGGTTGACCGGTTTTAATTGTTGCTATCGTCTGGTCCGTGCTGTTGATCTAGTGTCGGACTGATTTCCATTTGGCTGTTCCTTTCTTATTAGTACGTGTATTGGGTAAAAATGTCCACCTACCCGTTGATTGCCGTGTTTCACTCTGATCCCGAAAGGATGAATTAGTCGGTTGATAGTTTCTGAGACATCTTTGATGTATGGTGAAGTGGTTCGTTTTGTAAGTTGAAGTAATTATCCTGATGTGCTTTCTGATGATAGGGATTTCTCGATGAAAGGAGTGTAAAATGATTATAATGATGATAATAAAAGTGAATAATACAGAGAGAAATGAAATGAAATTGACAAACCAACCGAAATGAATTGTTAAGGCCAAGATAGACCAAGTGATTTTACAAAACGCTTTTGAACTCTAAACATTACCGAGTTCAGCTCACTAAAGGACAGCGAAGAAAAACAACTTCATCCATATGTGAACACCTAGTAGGTTAGGTCATTCAGCTCCTTATCCTTTAAGGTAATTTACAAAGTTAATTTTTAATACTCCAGGAGTCTACACTTCAACCACTTATGCATCGCTGAAGCATTACTTATACATGAACGAAAACCGAAACCTTGCGTTCCAAAAACGTTTTGTGAAACCACTTTTTCTATCTCGGTCTTTTGGTTTGTTTGCCAATTTCATTTCACTCTGTATACCTTACTTTTATTATCATTATCACTATTTTACATATCGTATAAGGCGTATTTTTACCTGTGTAATCCCAGTGAAGTCTATTAGAACAAATAGTTAAATAAACAAATATTCTGTATTGTTCATCAACGTTTCGATCTTGCTGGGAACATCGTTTTCATCAGTATCATGAATTTGACATTAGGTTTTGGTACAAAAGGTTGGTTTTAAGATCATCCAATTACACCGTGATATGGAACAAATAACAATAAAATGTAGGGGAGTGAATTAGTAAATCGGCCAGTGAGGCATTTTCTAAGCTCGTGCAAGCAAGGAGGAACAAAAATAGGGTGAGGAAATTTAGTTCGACTATAAAAAGTACAATGGAGTTGTGTGCCATCATCAGGGGTGAGAAATAGTTAATTACTATTTTGAAAGACGAGTTATTTGAACGTCAAACAATCTATAATAATTAACAATAGTCATAACGATAAAGGTAATTTTGTGATACAATGGAGCATTTCGAACAATCTGATCTCACCTGAACTTGTCGAACTATTTATAGGAAAGTTTACGATAAGGGTCAAATCTGTAAGAAACATTAAAACAGGGAGGATCGAGAAAAACATCACTCTTTGTATGAAAATTGTAATCAATAGTACCAAAGTAGCAAGGTTCAACATGAGTACAAATTGCTTTTGTAGACATAAAAAGGGGGTTAAATTTACGGATGACAAGAGCTTCAAGAAATTCAGGCTCTCAACCCTGACCACTATTAAGTAGTACTTCAAAGGCTGTTTTCATGCCTACCCTATGACTAGTTTCTAGTAAGGGTTTAGTAATAGATGAAGATGGACGTTTATCACCTGAACTTATCGGGTCTGTCGAGATCATTTGTCTTTGAAGCCATTTAGGTACATGTTCAACCATCCTTGACTGTACATGACGATAACCCCTCCCTATCTGTGTTCTTCTATTCCTGTTTTCCCCACTGACTTCATTGACCCTTTTCGTGAACTTTCATGTGAATATTAGTATTATTGCTTGTATTATACTGTGGTTGATTGGACCGAATTGATCGGTCTCTATTGTCATATGGGCTCCTGTGCGGATGCCTCCATATTCCATGTGTTTTAATAATATGTAGTAATGATGGATACTGGCTAGCAGTGGAATTCAGATGATCCATTTTGTCCTACTTGGGACTCTTCAGCTGGATGTACCTGCCTCCCAGTGAGTGATGTTGTTCCTACTGGGATTCCAAATCGGGACCGATCGCTTTAGATGCTACAGCGTTATCCACTAGACCAGCGAGCCACGATAGCCACTTCTTGTGCGACGACTACGGCTTTAGCATTATTCATTGTGTTATACCGTCGTTAAAATGCGCATCCTGGATTCCACTGCTAGCCACTATCCATCATTTCACATAAATAGTTCCACAAGTCTATGTGTGATCACACTGTTCGAAAAGTTTCAGATAATCTTCGTCTTCTTATTACCCTGTTTAAATTTATCAAAGGGGACAGCTGCTTTAAAGGTACTTCTGATAACAGTTGAAGTATGAATCATAACAAAATAGATTGTGAACTATATAGAATAGTTCAAACAATGTAATATAACCTAGAAAGGAGAGTGAAATTGTTAATAACTTTTTAATCCCATTACATAATACTTGGTTTATCTACTGTTTACATCTAAGTTATATACATTTGATAATTTATTTGATTGTGGCTAGCAGAAGAATCCAGGATGCACGTTTTGTCCTACTAGATACTCGTCAGCTAGATGTACCTTCATCCGCATATGAGCCCATATGCCAATAGAGGTCGGACAACTCGATCCAGTAAAACAACGTAGAATTAAAAGCATATCAACAAATAGTGATACGTACATTCGGTTAATCATTCTATATATTATATAGTCCATTTCGAAAAGGATCTTCCAAGCAAATCGAAAGATTGAGGAATAATACAAAATATTTGTTTTCTAAAAGTTTGTTCTAATATACTACGCCGGGATTGCACAAAAAATACACCTTATACGATGAATTATGCCAACTCGATGCCCAATCCTTTCCAAACCATCCAGTCCATTATTGGTCAGGATACGTTCAAAAATTACACGTCATTGACAGTATTTGACCTATATTTCACTATCTAATTTCTTAATGAAGTTAATTGGATAGTCATAAGCTCTGAACATCAGTGATACGAAACCTGTCTAAATGTAAGATATTCTGTGGTGACAAGCAGACATGCATGAATATGTGATATACCTAGCAATTGGGACATGACAAACCCATTGACTATTACCAGTATAAAAAACCGACTAGAAGACTAAGTTTTACTGAGAAAATTAACGGTTGAAACGAATGTCTGAGTGACAATACATTACTCAATGAGACAATGTATATAAATAAGACAGTTTAAAACCCACTGAAAACCCACTAAGCAGTATAAACCAGTGCCTATGATAAATAAGGAACTAGCATACACTGTTACCTTTCACTGATCAAACAGTTGAAAGCAGCTGCGTAACACTTTATCTTATATTAAACTAGAAGATTCAGAAGGTTTTATTGAGGAATTTCTCACTAGGTTACATATCACTTCGAAGTCCTATACTACAATGGAAATACTGTTCCTGTTGCTCAGGCATTCAGTAGTTCTTTACTTGATACTGATTCTTTAAAGTCACTTTTGAACAAATGAACATAAACTCTTAACATACAGGATAAAAGTTACAGTATTTATTTCAAGTAGGTATTTATAAAGGACTGATATCAGCTGGAGAACCTGACAGCAATAGACACCTGTGTCGTCCTAGTATTGGACTCCTCAGCAGTGAGCATCTGCGACCCTGCCGAGGATCGAATATAGTTCTGCGGTGTCTCATACTAGGACCACACAGCTGTCCAGTGCTTCAAGTTTTTCAGTGGTTCTCTAACTAATATCAGTCCGTGATGAGACGAACTTAAAATCAATAGATCCCTATAAACATCCTTCATCGGCTGTGATGGCTTGGACATGTACTGAACATGCTAAGCCAAAGCCTACCTCAACGTGCCGTACTAGAGGAAGTTGGATTAGTTTGGAAGAGGGTCCAGGGTGGCCAGACCGAGACTTGACATCAGTCGATGCAATCCCTGTTAGCCTGGTACGTTTTCAGTGATGTAGATTACCTGGCTAGTGCACCCGAAGCGATAGGAATCAGTGGGTGAGGTCTTTTGGTTACATGACGAAAAATCGGCGACAGTGGCGCAGATGAATTCACTTCTCGACGTCTTCTGAAGCTTGAATATTCTCACTAACTGTTTATTCTCTCACACAATTCTGTCGACTTTGATATCAATCTTTTTCTATCGACTTGTTCTGTGTACACTACTGTGAAGTGTGGCAAGTTGAGTCTGTGCACTTTTGTGCGAGGTTCTATGTTGATTTTATCACTCAGTCAGTCAGTCACTCATTTATAACAACATACTTTTGTTATAATTAGCTCAGCTATGAGTAATACTAGTTAATTAAAACAAAAAGAAGCGGATAACTCGTAAGAAAAAGCAGTATATATTGTTAACGAAACTCCTGAAATTTAACAGTGTTTACTTTATCTTTTTTTGCAAAACAGATCCACCTTCAGGTATGAAGAAACCCGTTGTTGAAACCACAACAGATGATTCAGTAACCTTGTCTTGGGAACCTCCATTGAAGGGTCCAACTACAGGTTATATTGTTGAAAAGCGACCCAAAGGTTCTAGAGAATGGACAAAGTAAGTAATTACTTTATCAGAAATAAACCGTAACATTATAGCCTACTCAACGAGTGCTTAACCTTTCTTCTAAAAAAAAAAAACTTGTAACACTATCACCTAAGTGCATCAAAACTGTCTATGCTTATTTTTATGTAGCTAATATAATTTCACTGTCCCCAAGTTCCAATGACCAGCTGATCAAAAAATTAGAGTATAACTCAGCATACCACAGAAGTAGCTAGTAGCCATGTAAAAACCGAACTCGAACAAGAATAGGCACTATTCTTATTATTATTTGTCCCCTGGGTTCCTAGTGGAACATAAGGTTTCAGTAGCACGTCCCCATTGCACTCTGTCTTCTCCAGTCTTCAAAACCTGGCTTCACCACTGCACACAAGCTTCCATTTCTTCCTCACACGATCTATTCCATGTCACCCTCCAAAGCCCAAGTCGTCGTTCCCCAGTTGGCTTCCACTCGATAGCCTGGCACGTTGTGTCCCGCAACCATCTTCCCAATGCATGTATAATCGAATCCATCCCCACTTTCTTCTGCATATGCGTTGGGCGGTGGGTTTTTGGTTGGTTCGTTGCCAGCCAGCCAGAGTTTCTCCTTGATTATTCTTACTATTCTTGCCACCCATCTGATCTTCAGTATCGAGTGAGAGTAGGCGGCAGCTGATGATATATGTCTGTAGTTTGCTGGAAGTGCTTTGCGTAACGCACCAAGTCTCTTAGCCATTATATAGAAGCACTAACTTACTTAACTGAGATTAGTGTTGAAAATACGGATCTCGTTCACGCCTTATGCTGAGTGCAGTGCAGTGTGGTAGATCTCCACACTGATTTCAGACCAATAAAGGAATATTTGTCTTACTGTCTTTCCGATCCTGGCTTTGACGTTCTCATCTGTACCACCTGTAGTTGAAACGATGCTGTCTAGGTAGATGGGTGAAAGAGGCAACTTCCTTTAGATTTCTACTATTCGTGGTGATTAGGGCTTGTTGTTGTTGGTTGGGTATCTTCATCACCTCTGTCTTCTCTACGTTCACCTGAAGGTTGTCCCGTCTTCAATGCCTTGCCTCTTCTGTCAACTTATTAGTTTCCACCTGTAGATCTTCGAGTTTCTGCGACACTAGACATAAATCATCATTGGCAAAATCCAAATCGTGTAGTGTCTTTTCGTCGATCAAATAGCATATAGCCCTCTTCTTGCTCCTCACAGTTTGCTGCATGATCCAGTTGACCACAACCAGGAAGATCATTGGTGATAGTAGGTAACCTTGTCTTACTCCTGTCTTCAATTCAAAGACATCATCACTGAGCTTTCCATTGTCAATCACTTAGCATGTAGCACCGTCATATAGCTATTGAATGAGGTTGATAAAGGTTTGTAGCACTAAAACCGTAGTGTTGAGGCGGCTGCCAAATTACTTCTCTGTCGACGCTATCGAAAGCCTTTTCAAAGTCGATAAAGTTGAGGTAGAGAGTTGACTCCCATTCTATGCTCTGTTCTCTGATGATGCGTAGAAGAATAGTCACCGCATCACTTTAACTATCATTTGCTGTATCCAGCTGTTGAACGGGTGGTGAACACACATTTATTCATATTGCATCCTATTAGCTACATATTCAGTCCTCCGTTCAACCCTAGAATATGACATCATAAAATAGATGCATAACTTACAAGTAAGATATCTAGAGTAGTCGTTACTAAAAAACCTGTACTTGTAGAGGTAGATGAGTAAACCCATTGACTTCGCATTGGAAAGGTTAATCACAAGCTATTTACCATAAACCCAAGTTACATAGTTCCAGTTTCTCTCCTCCTTCAATAGACTTCAAACTGGCATCGTAGGAAGTACTGTTCTCTTGAACTAGCAATAATATAATTTTATCGATACATAGGCCAATGTACAATTAAATAAACACTGATTTCGATACATGTAAACTTAGAGTATAAAATTCCGACACAAAATGTTTATAATAACTTAAATAAAGATTTCAGACTGTTGACATCATATGAGAATTTCTCTCGAAAAATAAGTGAATCCCATTAAATGTCCCCACGACTCAAAAACAAGTATCAAATACGATGAATAACTGAATCATTTGAACCAAAAATTATATAATTAAGGGTACAACTAAAAATACTGCTAGGAAAAAGAGATTAGTCACCCTTTTCTAGTGAAAAGAATAAACTTTAGCAAAATTTTTGTCTAACCAACCATTTTTACATTCATCTATGGTAGTGACAACTATTACAATCACCACCGATTGTAGTTTATACAGGATGGATGATACCTTCTCAGTAGTATGCGATTATAAACCCAACTTGAGAATTCTCCTATAATTTGCAGACAAAAGCTGTTTTAACACTGATCAATGAAAAAAGGAATCATATCTTTTTTATACATAAGGAGATCCCAAATTATTCGCGTCAATAGAAACAGGCATACACTGACAAGACTCAAAACTGTTTCGATCAGAATACTGAAACCAGGAATATCTTCATTAAAAGTTTGGTTGAACTCTTTGCTTTGACTGGTGGCTTGATAATGTGGTCATGACTAACTATTTTTTGCAAATACTCAAAAAGTCTATGCACAAAAAACAAGATACAACCCTAGACTATTTGGGCTGTACTAACTTTTTTGATATTATGAACAACTTATGCTGTCTAACCCTTTTAAGGTATTCCTCTAATGTAACACTGCTGAGAACTACAACCTTTTAGTTGGTAAGCGAAAGGAGATAATAATCATTAACTTACTGCTTGGTAACATAGACATTCATTTTCTTGTTCATTTAATAAAATTAGATATCCACTGGGTCTAATATCATACCAATAATAATGATAGATTCTAGTATTAACATAGCATTAAGATTGATTTCTAAGAGATTTTAACATGGAAACACTGTAAAGTTGCATTTTTATTTCATTTACACTAATAAACAATACACAGGCTAATTTGGTCTTCTTGTGAAGTGAACCAGAATTGCTAACCTAGATCTCAAAATTCAGTTAACAAAAGTGTAGTTTTTAATTGCCTAACACAAGAAACTTGCTTGGTAGCGGTCAGAAACAGAATCCTGGACGCACGTTCCTTCCTATTTGAGACTTGTAAGCTAAATGCACCTAACAGGATTATCGCATTCCCCCCGGGACTCGAACCGAAAACCCATCGTTTAACAATTCATGGCGTTATCCACTAGGATACCGAGTCTCACTAGGCACACTATCACTCACTGAGGTGTAGGTACATCCACTTGATGTATACTAGAGAAAACGAACAACTCATTCCGGTTTTCAGTAATAGCCACCACCCACCAAACAAAATTAAAACGAAGCTTGAGGCATCCGTTTAAGAAGCCCATGTGTGAACAGCTTCTAGTTAGTTCGGTTCAGAGAAATAGTGTCAACAGAAAATTAAAAGTATCAATAAATACAAAAAATTGTTGATTGGATATGAAATAGAGAAACATTTCAATTTTCAAATATGAATTGAGGCAAAAATACCTTATGAATAATTTTGAAAAAATAATTAACATATTAAAATAATACTACTAACCTTTATTCAGTAGGCAATCGATGAAAGATGATATTTTCCTACAAACTTAAATTAGGGTTCATTATGTTTTGCCCAACAGAAAACAGAATTACTCCCATTAAAAATTGTAGGCTCCTAATACCGTTTTTATTTCGAACGTCACGTTTATTTTCTATGAACTAATCAATTGAAGTCGTTTTTATAATTTCCAAAATGATTTCTTTAATAGGGCAAATACAGGCAATGTTACTGGTACTGAGTATACAGTAAAAGGTTTACCAAAAGGGAAAGAATTTGAATTTCGTGTCGTACCATACAATTTGGCTGGTCCTGGTGAACCAAGTGAACCGACAGATCTAGTAAAAGTCCAGTTCCCAACAAGTAAGTTTTCTTCAAACATTTAATAGTTGTCAAACTCCAGATTGGTGAAATGGACATTGTATTTAGTTCGAGGCTAACTTTTTTATCAGGATAACACCAGCTGCAAATCATAAGATAACTGACTGGTCTTTCTTTTTGAGACTGAAAGTTGGTATTTCTAGTTAAGTGATCTGTGTTGCAAACTACAATGACTCAACGAACTACGCTAGCTGGAACATTTGTTCCTTATGTCCTACTGTGTCACAAAAGTTTGTCGATTAGTGTTAAAACAAAAAGCCGTTACCACTGTAGTGTCAACTGCTACACTATAACTGGGTCTAGGGACGAAGTCGTACTGCTTACCAGAAGGGATGTGATAGCAGTAAGATATTTCCAGTGGATGACCAGCAGTACCATCCTGATGATGTCTTTCCTATGAGAAAGAATACGTCAAAAAGGTTGGCGGCAAAATTACCACACTCCTCCTTACCCCATGGTATTCCGGTACGACCTGCATGAGTTTTTCTTGCCCTGAGTTAACATAATGAAACCTCAGTTCAAAAATTCTGAGTAGTCCATACGTTGCAGGCCTCAAACAGATATCTGATAGGCCCTGTGGTCATATTCTTTTTACTTTCACTTATATTGTAGAAACAACTTCCATGGTATCGGCAGCTGGAAAGTGTCAACCATCCGAACACTTCATGCACCATATAAAACTCAATTCACCATAAAATTATCTCCTTACTTTTGTCTCCTCCTTTGCATTCACTTTCTGATACTAACATTAAGCCCCTCTATCACTTATTCAGCCTCTTAACCTGCAATTCAAGCTAGCGAAACACAATTCCTAGTCTCCTAAATCCCTGCTATCAATTTCACACTGAAACTTTCAACATCCGGTCCCTACACCGAATAGCACAACAGATATCTTTTGCCAAAACTCGAGTATCTACATCCCTCGATGTATGCTTTATTTCTGAGACGTATGTGCATGACTTGAGTGTTGTTATTCGCTTCACTTCACTTGTTCAATGCGATAAATCGTCAAAATTCATTATACGAGTTTCCGGGTATTCAATAGCTACTTCTGGTGGATTTACTAGTGCTGGTATAACAATAAGTCTTCGAGCAGACGGTGCACTTCTCAGGTGAACACCAGTTAACAGTTGCCTGTGTGCTGTTAGATTCGGTGGATATATAAGAAGTGGGAAGGACCGTAAGACTTATCGATACCTATTCATAATCTATGCCTCTATCAACTCCAGTTTGGATCATACAAAGGATGAATAAGGTCAAAAGCTGTCTGTTCTGCTACATTAATTAAAGTGCTTATATGCAGTCATAAAAGACTCAACTAGGAAATCTGAGCCAATAGGAAGGGCATCTTGGTAGTATAGACTCTATTCCAAACCAATGAATCGTCGGCGGTGATCATCTGTTGCAAATTTGAGTTGCCAATCACTTTTTTCTGGTTAGCACTAAATTCAAGCCTAAAGAGGGACAGTGTCGCACTCAGGATATGCTTACGTCAAACCAACGATGGACACAAAGAGATCATTTTGCTATAAGCCATCGTTGGAGAGAATCACTGGAGGATTGTCACTTTTCCTGTTTGGTTTCTGATCGTGCGTTAGTATGAGCATGTGTTTGTCCATCCCTTACTGGTCACGGTAAGAAGATGGTAGCTAAACCTCTGCATGTTTGTTTGGAAGATGAGAAGGTTGAGTATTTATTTAGGGAGGAGATAGCTAAGTATTTATCTGAATGTGACATGAGTTCCCATCCTGAAGAAACTTGGTGCGATATTAAGTCTTCTGTAGGAAATCTGGTAATGACAGTTGGCAACCTACATCCAAAGGTTAGCAAACGTTAGTGGATTTCCACAAGTCATCCAAACTGACTAGAGAGAGAAGACTCATTACAACTGTCTCTGGCCACGATGAGTAGCAAAAGTAACTCAACTGTGAACTGACGAAAAGTCTTCACAATGGTCGTAAGCAGTGACGAGTGGCGAGAGCCAGAGAGATGGAGAAGACATCAGCTTTAAGTAATACTCTGCAACTATTTAGGTTTATTAAGGATACTAATAATAACATCACGATGGTTAATGAAACCATCTATCACTGTAAGGGATGGGTTCATGATAATCTATCGGGACAGGTGACTGGAACGTTAGGCGTAACACTTTCAAGCACAGTTCAGCTGGCCCACAACAAAGTTTCAGTTACCCAGCATGCAGCCTGAACCTAAATGTTGGTCCTTTGACTCGTCTTGAAGTTGAGAAGACCGTTTCAAACGTAAAACGATGCAAAGCAGTAGAACCTGATGGATTGTTACCAGAAGCCTTTAGAGACGGAGGTAAGAAATTACTGACGAGAGTAACGGAGTTGCTTGGTGGTGTATGGGAATCAGAGGTGGTCCCCTCAGGCCTGTTTTCTTCAATGAACATTTCAGCCTATAGGAAAGCAGAAAAGTATTGTGGTAGTGTTTGACTTTGAAAGGAGCACCGAGTAAGTGCAAAATGCCAATCAAAGCTTTTTACTGGAACTTGTACAGCCGTGTAAGGGCTTACACAGAAATATCATCTGAACTGACGAGATGTAGGTGTATTAATGGACATGACTTTTGGGACATCTGACTTCATAGTGAATGATCTACTCCCTGGAAGATGTGTGGTTGAATTAAAGTATCCAGACGATATTGTCCGGTTAGACGAAGATGCTGAAGAAATGCAAAGTCTTCCGAATGCATTGAGCAGAAATCTGATTTATTTGTCATGAGTTTGACACTTGTCAGATTTAAGATGGTGCTTCAAGACAGGTCTGTAGCTACTTCCAGTTTAATGATAGGGAGTGAAGTGGTGGAATGCATCGACCACTTCACTTACTTGGAGAGTTACATCAACCCAAACAAGGTTTTTGTTAATGAAACCTTAACTTGGATAGATAAAGCGCGTTTGACATTTACAAAACTTGTGTCATCTATATCGCCGGCGAGATATCCGACTATCCGTTAAGGGACAAGTATACCGAGGTGCAATCCTTCCTGACCTGTTATACGAGTATGAAACATTCGCGTTCAAGGTAGATATGAACAGAATGCTAGTTTGGGAACACATACATTTTCGCAGCACTGCTGCGGTAGGGTGGAATCACCATGTGAGTAATATTGAGGTTAGGTGAATGCACTAGGCAAACAGGGTAGGTAAGTCGATCAAGTTTGGAAAGATCTCCAACTTAGGTGGCTTGTGTTCTATATGCCGACCCACTGCATACCTAGACGTGAATGTCAGCCATAATAGGATTCTGTTGGAAGAACATTAAGTGTACCAGACCTAAATGCAACATTTGTCCATGAGGTCGCTAATCGTTGGCCTGAGCCGTAAGGAGAGCTTCAAACTGACTCGTTATGATTCTCTTTGCACGCTCCTGTGAAGTGCGTCAAATGTCAAAATGCATCTTTTCGTGAGGTTCCATATTGACTATGTTTGCCTGTCAAGCCCCCTCTTGACTAAAAATGTCGTCTAGCATATTTCACTCTAAGTTTTTCTGGTTCTTATTTGTTCAGTGGAGGCTAGCAGAAGAATCTGAGATGCCTAGTTCGTTCTATTTTCACATGGTCTCATTGAAGCGATACCTCGTTATTGCTCTAAGTTCCATTTTGATATTAGTTAACTTATGACTAAACTAATTATCATAGTCATCAGGTTTCTGCATTCACTACTGCTAGCTGTCTCACATGTCGGTTGATAAGGAATTTCAGGACAAGATGAAACAGACATCTATCACTCTATAGTTGTAATTTAATTGTTTAATTGAAACTAATATGGAATCGAAACTACCTTCATCGCCTTTCCTCTGTTGGAATAGTGACTATATTATTAAACATATCCAAGTAACAGAAATAAGAAGGGTAAGATTTTTGTCATCTAAAATAAGCTCCTAACAATGAATTTTATGTCCATTATCCAGTAAGTATGTTATGGTCTTCCTGGTATTGAAAATGTCAACGTCTAGAAAGTACATAACTTTAGCTTATAATAAACAATGAAGAAATGTTTAGCCCCCAACGACACTTTATAAGTAAAGAATTCTACCTGTAATTTTTTAAAATCTGTATAAAGCTTCTGCTTAATGCTTGTAATCTTCCGTTCCTAAACTGGGTCGAATCACTTGACCCCTGTTAACAGATAGGCTCCTATGTGGATGCCTTTATACTCTCCGGATATTCATTATATTGCAGTTTATTTCGTGGCTAGCAATGGAAACAGCTCGTGCCCCAGTGGCCCAGTGGGTGACACTTCGGCGTTTCCAGCAACAGGTCTCAGTGAGAACAACACCAATCACTGGGTTGCAGGCACAACCAAATGGTGAGTCCCAGATAAGATGAAACATGCGTCCTGGATCCCACCGTTAGCCACCAAGCAGATTACATCTGTGTAGAGTTTTCTTCATCATTATTTTTTACCAAACTAAAAACAGTGAAAGCACACACGTGACATAGCAAAAGAGACATTTATTTGAATAAATCTATGAAATGCGAATGAGGATTTTTTTGGCTTATTAGCATACCGATTCACGTACATAAGTGTTCTCAGTACTTTTAACAAAATCCTCTACTTTCTCTGTAATTTCATTGAGTGACTCTAAAGGCCATTTCGGCAACTACTGAAATAACCAATTAGGTTTCTTTCTTTTATGAAGAATACCCGTTCAGATAAAATAAAGAAATCTAATCGGTCATCCCGGGGACTGCTAAGGTGACCTTTAGACCCACTATTAATTTTTGATTTCTCTACTGGTATTACGTATAGTGATATCTGTTACATCAAACTAGTCTCACAAATCATGTTTTTCTCCAAATCTATTGTTTTAACCTTCGATTTTAATCTCACAATAAACATTTGAAAATTCACATTTCGTGCCACAAGACGAACCACTGTGTGAAAAAAAATGACAGAGAATTAGACCAAATCCACTAATTCAATGAATGACACAATGTCAAGTTATAATACAAAGTAGAGGAGTGACCCTTAAAGGCCACCCTGGCAACTACAGAAATAACCAATCAAATCTCATCATTTCGGCTGGGAACATAGTATATCATAAAATAAAGAAACTTAATTGGTCTTCTTATCAGTGTGACATTTAAAGTAACTCACTAAAAGTTCAGCCAAGTGATACACATAGTTGGATAAAAGAAGAGCAACGAATGTAGGTTACACCAACTTCTTCCTTCCCAATGAAGTAATCCGAAGCCTTTTAGACACATTCTGAAGTAAAACAATGGTTATCTATATTTCTTCACATACCATAAATATTTTTCTAAAATGTCACTTAGATTCAAGCTACTGTTTAGTTGGTACAGACCTACTTTAAACCCCACATTAGGATCAACTATAGAATGCTCTAATCTATCGAACCTTCAAAGTATATGAGGGTTTCTTGAGCAGAAAGTTAAAACCCCATGTACATTCTTATCTTGAGCTAACCAAACAAACACATAAACAAGAAATTAATATCAGTAATTAGCAAAATTACTTTGGTGCTCATTCATTTCAGAGGACCATAGGAATCACAGAGTTCACTGTTTATTTTAGATGCAGACTTTCCAACAGTAGATTATTGTATGATGTTATCAATTTCAATAAACTGAGGTGTATATTTTGTTTCCTATGTATACGAGTTAGCGATTTTGAATGTGGTATGATAAATTTCCGCTTTTTAATTGGAAAAGTGAGATATGCTAGTTTAATAGACAAGAACTGCCAAGGAGAAAGACAGTTAAATCTCAGTTTATCGTTAGTGGATCCTCTACAATGAATCAATGTCATCCGCCAATTCTATGAATGATGTAACAGTCGATCAGTTACGCATAGTTTTCTGTTGCACTATACGATATCAACACCACCTGATGGACAACAAATTGGGACTCACCGACTACCTTCTTTATAGTGAAATAATTCACTAGTCAAAAACACACTTTACTGACTTATTTATAACCAAAAAGCTGGTTATAAACTAAATCCAGTTCTATTTAATGGTTGAATAACAAGGATTGACAGAAAACAAAACGATCTTGAAAACAAAACTATAAAGTTATTGTTATAAGAATGCACAACTGCTATACCATCGTTTTACTCTAGGTTTTCGCTGGTGGAATCTTAGAACTACTGGAAAACAACAAGTACTGAGGAAATTCCAAGCATACACAGAGAAAACCAATAGGTCCTAGGTTTTACACATGCAAAAAATTTAGTCGTACAAATCAATAAAATGTCTGAAACTCGAATTAATTAAGCGGAATTCAAAATTACCCTAGATAGGATTTTACTTTGATAACTGATATTCCAATGACCTTTAAAACTCACTGTCCGTTACCTATATCCAAGGGTCTTTTTTCCAAGCGCTTATTTGTATTAATTAAAGTCTACTTTAATCTTGAGTTGTTTTTTTTTATTGTATTAGCTCCGCCTAAAATAGGCCGAGATGTACCACGTGAAGTAACTGCTCGTATCGGAGACCCATTTAAAATTCATATACCTTTTACTGGAAGTCCACCAGATAAAGTTGAAGTCACAAAGGTTAGTTGCTTTTAGTATTCTTTGAGTTCCATTGTTTCAAACAGAAATCTATTCATTCGCTTAGCTTAATTGTAGGGTATCAGAGTACTCTTCGTCAACTGTCTACAGATTGACAGACGCTAACAACAATCTAACCACTGCTGAACATCATGAAGTAGTGGTCAGAAAGTTACTCTGATACCGTAATCATCATTAAATAATACACAGGCTCTACAGTTCTTCAGATCGGATATAAGTAACTCAATTTCTGCATTAGCTATCAGTGATTCGTGATGAAACATACTTTAAAACAACAATAACAGAGTTCTAATATACCATTCCCGGATTAAATAACTCCTAACCACACTTTTATCCTACCAATGTGGTCACATACAATATAATCTTAAGCAACTGTTGTACAACATTCAGGTTTTCTGCCTAAAAGTAACAGAAGGTAACTTATTCAAAAAAGTATGACAGTCTCCTCAATCCCTCTTATTTTGTAGGAGATTGATTATTCTGACGTACTAACAAAGTTCAATTCATATTCGAGAGTGAATACTTTCAACAGATTTATGGTTTTGCGATGGGTAGTCCATTAGGACCGTCGGTAGCCGATGTATACATATATTGTAAACATGGTTAACGATCTTATCAGAAGAATTTCACTTTATAAAAGATATGTCGATGATATAGTCATTATAGGTGAAAAGCCATATGATGCAATGTGCCTGCTACAGAAGATGAATACGGCTCAAAACCATATTAGCCTTCCTTGTGAGCAAGAGATGAACTGTTAACTTCCATTCTTAGACAAAGTGCTTAATCGACGTCACGATGGCCGGATCAGAAGGTCAGTCCATAGCTATCGCCCAGCCCAATGTTTAGTTAGCTGTTTATTCAACAGGGCACACCGCATCTGCACCGATGACATTAAAGAGGAAGAAACCAAGTTACTGGTGAGAACACTCACATAGAGTGGTTACTCGTTGAAATTTACCAACAGGTGCAAAACCTGTGTAGCACTGAAAAGTATGAGATGTTCCGTTCCCAAGAAAAATGTCTGCATCTGTTTACCATTTAGAGGTGATTCACATAGATTTATTATAAGGAAAAGGCTCACACCAGCCATCTGTAAAACGTATCATGCAGCCAAGGTCATCATTGTAGAGAAGACAAAATCCATGTTACAACACAAATCAAAACAACACGTAAACGACCGTATCACATCTCAGTGTCCTCATCAATTTACATGCATGTCTGGACACACATAGATAGGGAGGAGTAATCGTCATGTACAGTCAAGGATAGTTGAACATGTACCTAAATGGCTTCAAAGACAAATGACCTCAACAGACCCGATAAGTTCAGGTGACAAACGTCCATCTTCACCTATTACTAAACCCATACTAGAAACTAGTCATAGTGTAGACATGAAAACAGCCTTTGAAGTACTACTTAATAGTGGTCAGGGTTGAGAGCCTGAATTTCTTGAAGCTCTTGTCATCCGTAAACTTAACCCCTTTTTTATGTCTACAAAAGCAACTTCTACTCATTATATAGGTAAGTTTTAATATAATCCTAACATATTTAGAAAATCGTGAACAGGATTGTTCTGAACATTTCGCTGTGTATGTCACAGCTTCTTCAGCAGAATTTGTACTCATGTTGAATCTTGCTACTTTGGTATTATCGATTATGATTTTCAAACTAAAAGTGATGTGATTTAGATTTGGCTTTTTTCTCTATCCTCCCTATTCTTTTGGTTCCTTTTGACTTAATTGACCCTTTATGTAAATTTTCATGTAAATAATATTGTTGCATGTATTATCCCATCGTTGACTGAGCCGAATTGATCAGTCTTAATAAGCATGTGGGCTCCTGAGCGGCTGACCTTATATTGCCAGTGTTTTAATTGTATGTTATTGATAGATAGTGGTCAACAGTGAAACCTAGGACAGGAGTTTCGTCCTGTTTGGGACTCGTCAGCTGGATGTAATACAAGCAACAGCATTATGTGAAGGAAGTTAAAAAGCCGCATGGTTACTTTGATATGAATATGAGAAATAAATTACACTCGAAACGTCATCCAGTCAATAATATAGTATCATTGTGCGCCATATCAAATATACAATCTAATATGAAATTATACTCTACCACAGGGTCCAAGTTTTCTTCTTACATTAACAAAATGACAGAACTTTGAACAGATAGCCAATAGTCAATGAAGCATAGCAAGAAGGTTAGCAGACAGCCAATAAATTCTTACTAATTAATCTAAGGCTACTTTTCTATCCTAATTGAGGGTTGTATAGATGAAAGCGAATTTGTACAAACCTTTGAGACCAAACCGTCGAAAGTTTAGCATCGATTGTCCTCTAAAACGATAGAAAACTATGATATAATGTTACAATGCAAGTGCCTTTGGTTATAGATAAGTCATTTCCCAATTGTTTTGATAACAATTTCTTTCCAACATACAGAATGGAATTCCAGTACCTCTTGAAGGTGGCCGTTTCAAAGTGGAAATAACTCCAGACGAAGTGATTATCACAGATACAGAAGCAGAAAAAGGTGATGCAGGCATATATAAAATAGATCTCGAAAATGAGAAGGGCCGGGATTCAGTGCCGATTGCAGTCAAAGTTGTAGGACCACCTGAACCTCCTCAAGGACCATTGGAAATCAGTCACATCAAAAGCAGTTCTTGTTCATTGAGTTGGAATCCACCAACAGTAAGTAATTTAATGAAAGTGAACACTTTTGATTAGAAGTTGGTAACTTTTAATACACATACCTCGGTGGTTAATCTATCCTATACAAATGTTCTGTTCTAGTGATTCACTTAGTCTGTAACCCTTTAGTTTTTCGTATCATTTTGTGAGTAATTTCCCACTTCGTGATATCACTTCTTTTTTTGCAAACGCGTATTAATCTTTTAAATCGATGCGAAATTCCGAAATCATGACCTACTATTTAGACAGGTATAAACCGATTTAAACCTTATATTTCTTTGGATAAGAGCATTATTTCAGCCTGCAACATAAGTTATTGTGTTCTGAAGGTAAATAGTATCATCACGAAATAACCTTGTTAGTGGCTTGACTCAGGTGTTTCAAGCTCTTTAACAAGCAGCGTTGGAAGATAGTTTACTAAAGGACACTTTCAGAATCACTTAGCAAGTGATTACTCTGACCAACAAACACTATGCTCAGTTGACAGAATGTTGGATCGAAAACCTGGAGATCTGTTGGCGAATCTTCATTTAATCTATATTTTCCTGCAACAGTAATGACTTTGTCCACTAATAAGTATTTATATATAGGATACCATAGCTAAAATACAACACAAAGATTAACTCATGAAACCGCGTTATGAAATTCTTTCCATTTAGTGAACCAAAACAATTTGTGTAGTTTGTGCGTATACCCTATTATCTAGAAAAAATAATCTCTTGTATGAGATATACTATGGTACGTGACTCAAATGTCAGTTTTTAGTCCATACTTATGCTATGAAATCTGAGTTTCTTGAGTCATTTCTTTGCTAAGTATCTGCAGAAATAGTCAATTAGAACAAAAGTACATGACTGGAACTCAAATGTAAACTCAATTTAGGTGTGTTATGTTATCAGATAATCTTTGAGGTTCACCAGCAAACAACATATTCCATAAGCGTGCTATGTTGTAAAATAATACCTGCATGTTTCTGAGGTGACCGAGCGAGTTATAATAATAATAATAAGCCAACGAAAATAAGGTCATGGGATATTTGTAGTTGATACTAATAACAACTGTTCTCCTTCAGGGCGTTCCACTCCACTCAGTCATGAAGATAGGAAGACAAAGACCAGGCTGTAACAAAAACACCATTGGTGTACAGTTTTCATGAACATTTAAGAACACTAGGTCAAATGTTGAATAGGATAAATTATACAGTAAGGTTTTTCCTGACCACACAGTAACATGAAACAAAACTTGAAATCTAAGACTTCTACCTTAACAGTTAAATTACTTAAAATTTTGATTTTCATTTGCGCAGTTTCATAATAAATCTTATTCCAAAGTAATATCTAACAATAGAAGTGAGGTCACCTAATTTTAAATTAAAATTCATGTCAGCCTACTTGATATTGTTTGTTTCCACTGATTACAGGGTTACATTAGGTATTAGTATGAGAAAATCTAATCATGTTTGCTTTTTTTGATGAAAAGCAATCGATTTAGTGTACTGTGATAGCAGTTACACACATATCATACTGACTTGTTTATACGAACCAAGTAAAGTTAACAGTATTTATGGTGATAATTCTGATCAGAGGCTAGATTTCAATGGTGTTAAATTCATCTCTGTAACTATTCAATATTCTGATTTTCATTGGTTATTCAACTTTACAGTTCACAGGAAGATTTCAGTCCTCTAAAACAACGACTTCCTTTATCGATAAAAGTATCTTCAACAACGTATGCTTAGATTACCCATCTCACATGAGGCTTCTCACAATTCTTCAGTGTTAAGTACCAAATAATTTACCAGTTGTCAGTAAACTTCATCAGTCATAAGTAGTATAATAAGTCGGATGTGAGGCGTAATATTCGCCTATGACACTGGGTGATAATCATCGTACATCGCGAATTGTCAGACGTTGGAGGTAGTGAACCACTGAATTTCAACCCAGTGGCTGAGTAGGAACATGCTCACCTCAAAACCTGATGACTGGGGACTCGATTCACACTTGTCGTTGGTGCGCAGTGCTAAGAACAAAAAAACTGTCTAGTGTTCCTAGGTTTTCAATGCTTTTATAACAGATATCAGTCGACGATAAATGCTACCCAGAAATAGCATAATCCTTTATGTATAGCATATTTTGTTTCTGATTTTATAGAACAACAAACAAGAAACTTGGAATGTAGAGACAATACTTGCTGTTATCCAACAGCCAGATAGGTTAATTTTGAAATGTAATCCCTGAGGAATGCGACTTCAAGTCTCGAAGGGAAAATGTATTTCCTGTAGGTAATAACTGAAAAATCTACACTCAAGACACTCATCGATTGTTGCAAAACACCTTAAACACTATACAGCGATTTTTAATTCCGTGGTGTGTTTATATTGAATACTTTACTATCTTCGATTCTGTTAAGCAGTTGAACGATTAGAGCATAACTTTTGAGTAGAGTCATAAAACTTATTTAATATTAAGAAATGGAAGCTTTTTTCTGCACCAGAATGATACTCTAAGTAAGAACTCATCATCACTGAAGGATTTGTTGTTGCAAAATACAAGATAAATAACTAAGATTCTATTTGTAGGTTCGTGGGGATTTATTTATTGATTCCAGGTTGGTATTCACCATGAACTGGCATCATTTGGAGAAACTCTGGGAACCTGGGAGCACTGGAAAGCTGTTTCATCTTAATAAGGGACTCCTCAGTAGTGCTCAATCATGACCCTTTCAGGGCCTTCAGGTTCCGCAGCCAGCACTCCACCATTGAGCCACTGGGTCGAAATCCAATGGTCCATATTTCCCACTTCTGTCATTTCACGATATAGCGTGAACTTCATTGAATGCCGTCGTTGATTACCTATAATGAGGCATAAGGTTTTGCTCGAGGTCGATTTCGTTGAAGATATGAGATATTTTCATTTCAACTAAGCCTTTCGTTATCAGTAATATTTGCGAAATGTATTCTGACCCTACTAAGCTCGTTTAGGGGTGTCGATTATTTGTGTGAAGCGACTACTTCGTTTAACTGTGGTAAACATTGAATCGATTGAATATTCACATGAAATAATTGTAAATTGCACTGAGTTATTTTTATTTCATTTTTGATTTATATTACGCAATGTTATGCCACTAACTAAACATGGTGTAAGGAGTCCTGGTTTCGTCCACTTCCTTTACGACAGTCAATTTGAATCATTTTGCGTATGTGTAATGACTGTACATAGTGTATAGTCACTTGGTTTCATTAGATTTATAAAGTAAACTGTTATTACTCTTATCTGAAAAATACTTTTTTATTCAACAGGATAACGGCGGAAGTCCTATAACAAATTATGTTGTCGAAAGACAAAATACCAAAACAGGAGATTGGATTACAGTGAATTCATTTGTTCGTACACCGAATTGTGATGTAACTGGTCTAGACGAAGGTAATATGTATCGTTTCCGTGTACGTGCAGCTAATGAATTCGGTGTAAGTGAGCCATTAGATGCAGATAAAGCAATTATTGCAGAAAATCCTTCTAGTAAGTTTCTCAATACTGTTACAAATAGTAAAGAACTTATCTAACACTTTTGTCACTACATATGCTTTATTCTACGTTGATATCAGTTTCCTTTATAAACTAACATATTTACCGAGGAGTTAGTCCCTTATCAGTGTGAGTCCGAGGAGCACCATGAATAAACACTGGAAAAAAAAGAAAGAAACTGGGACAACGTCATGGTTCATGTTAGTGTCTCCTTGTATAACTGGTATCAGATTGTTAATAGAACCACCTTTATACTCTATTTTACGTCTAATAGTGGAATCTAGGATACGTGTTTCGTCCTATTTGCTACTCATCAGCTGGATGTGCCACCAACCTAATGAGTAGTGTTGTCCCCACCGGAACTCGGGCCTAGTACCCATCGTTTCAGACGACAAAGTGTTATCCACTAGGCCATAGTCGTCATTTGATATGGCACTTTTTTCAGTTCACAGCTTTCCGTTATTTTGCTCACATATCAATCAGTCTTCTTTGGCGTTACACTGTTGTTAGCACTTCCATTTCAAGTTTTTCGATTTGTTCACCTAGATAAATTAACTTACGTAGAACAATTCATTACTGTTAGTTGTAAAGAAATTGTGTTCTCTGAACATACAGATTCAGGTAAAGACTACTAAGTGAATGAATATATACACAAACTAATCATACCGTTATGATGGTTATAACTATGTTATGGGCGAGATTTATTCATTTTTCTTCGAGTTTAAGGAGGAACAAACTACCAGTTAACTACTAGCCTACTTAGCCATGAAAGAATGTAAATATAACCAATGATACTGATTGGTATGAAACACTGAAGTGCTAAAAGAGCCTCCACAATTGAAAATATACTGCTAAGACATGTTGTGTCAACCGGAATAAAAGAGAGGAAGGACATCCATGGATTATCCAACGTTAGAATATTGGTTTAGTTCTTCTGAAAGATATGACAGGCCTAATCCATATTTCGAATAGGGTTTACAGTGAAAGATTGTGAGAAAATCTTCATTATAGTCTGATGACCATAATATTTTAAAAATTTGTCAGTGAGTGGTCATTGAAAGCAGGTATTGATTCAGTGGTGAAAATGTCTCATATCTTCAACGAAATCGACCTCGAGCAAAACCTTATGCCTCATTATAGGTAATCAACGACGGCATTCAATGAAGTTCACGCTATATCGTGAAATGACAGAAGTGGGAAATATGGACCATTGGATTTCGACCCAGTGGCTCAATGGTGGAGTGCTGGCTGCGGAACCTGAAGGCCCTGAAAGGGTCATGATTGAGCACTACTGAGGAGTCCCTTATTAAGATGAAACAGCTTTCCAGTGCTCCCAGGTTCCCAGAGTTTCTCCAAATGATGCCAGTTCATGGTGAATACCAACCTGGAATCAATAAATAAATCCCCACGAACCTACAAATAGAATCTTAGTTATTTATCTTGTATTTTGCAACAACAAATCCTTCAGTGATGATGAGTTCTTACTTAGAGTATCATTCTGGTGCAGAAAAAAGCTTCCATTTCTTAATATTAAATAAGTTTTATGACTCTACTCAAAAGTTATGCTCTAATCGTTCAACTGCTTAACAGAATCGAAGATAGTAAATTATTTCATATGAACACACCTAACACCATTCAATTTTCTTAGGTCAAATCCTATGCTTAAAGTGATGGAACCAACATCACCTCATTTCCAATGGTACCATTTTGAATGGATTGGTCAGAAGTTAATTACTTACACAATACTCGTTAGAAGAGTTATCACAACAGTTCATCTCAAAAAGTACTGCGGACATGTTTGATTGCAGCAGTAACACATGATAATCTTTTGACCATATGGTTGAAAGGACAAATAATTTCAATTTGCGATGGAAACTACTTTCAAATCAATAAACTCAAAAAACTAATAATAGAGTTAATTTCCAGTACTCATTTATGCCTTGAGTCTGGATGGATTTCTGGAGGTTCTAGTGATGGATCGTGACCTGTTGGGTCAAGAAAGTTCCGAGTGAGGTGCATGCCAAACGATGATATTGGCTGACGGTTACGCTGTATTGCATACAGATAGACAAAAGCAACATAGAACCTCGTACAAAAGTGCATCGATTCAACTTGCCACACTTCACAGTAGTATACACAGAAAAAGTCAATAGGAAAAGATTGATATCTAAGTCGACAAAGTTGTGTGAGGGAATAAACAATCTCAAGATAACAGTTAGTTAGAATATTCAAGATTCAGAAGACGTCGATAAGTGAATTCATCTGCGTCATTATCACTGATTTTTCACCATGTAACCAAGAGTCCTGAATCACTTATTTCTATCATATTGGGGACACTAGACAGGTAATCTACATCACGAAACACACCTCAGAGCAACAGTCAGGGACTTCACCAACTGATGTCAAGTCTTGGTCTGGTCACCTTGGACTCTCTCCCAATCTAATCCAACTTCTCTCAGCATGCCATATCGAGGTGGACTTTGGCTCAGCATGAGCAGTACATGGTCAAACCATCTCAGTCGATGAAGGTTCACAACCTCATCAGTCAACTTGCCTATGTTGCTTAGTACCCCTCGCCTAACTTCAAAATTGCTCACGCGGTAATTCCACTAATCGCCGCCAATGCTACGAAGACATTTGTGAACAAAACCCTGTGACAGCTTTATATCTTCTACTTTTATCAGTTAGGTCTCACAGCCGTTCAGAAGTACAGAAAGAACTTCAGTACGGCATACTCGTGATTTGACAAATAGTAGGATATCTTGCGGATGCCATAGGTGACTCAAGTTGGGAAATGCCCAACGACCTTCTGTATCTGAGCCGAAATTTTGTCAGCAACCAGCCCGTCTGGGTTGATTAAACTCCCCAAGTAACTGAAATGATTAAGGCATCCCACCACTTCACTCTTTATCATTAAACTGAGAGTAGTTGCAGACCAGTGCTGGAGCAGGTCTGAGATGCATGCTAAACATACTCAAATTTCTGCTGAAGGCGTTCACAAGACCCTACATTTTTTTAACGTCTATACTGAGAATTGATAGAAATAGGAATTAGTGAACCACTGGATTTATTTACCAGAAATATGATTTCATCTACAATATTAAAATGTGTAAACAGTTTTTACTCACCTAACGGATGACAAGCAATACTCTTGTGTTCTTTCCTGATAAACACTTTTAATCATTTACATCTTTTTAGCTGTACCCGGAGCTCCTGGAAATCTTACACCAACTGATGTAGATGCAGACAAGGTAACTCTAGAATGGACTAAACCGAAATCAGATGGAGGACGTCGTATAATGGGCTATGTAATTGAATACAAACCTGTAAATTCCGATGAATGGCGTACAGCTCCAGAAGGATTAGTCAAGGGTAATTCTACAACAGGTGAGTGATAATTTGGTACAAAATTACCATAAGAGAAGGAAATAGGGTTCGAAAGTCAGCACTTTTTAGTGAAAAACAATTGACCACGTAGGTAACCATTAGGCTTCGGATATTTTAAATAAAAACTGTCGGACAACTAGTGAAGACAAAACTAGTTGAGAAGCTAAACAAATATGTACGGTTATTAAGATCTCATCAGACTCATATTTTAATACAATAACTTATTCACCATGAAGGTGTATTTTACCTGTGTGATCCCGGCGTAGCATACTACATCATAATGTGAAACAAATCCCATTTGGAACAACAAACTGTGTTTATAAGGTAGACTGTAGTGAATACGACGCTACATACACTGGACAGACATCCCATCAAGTACAAACACATCTAACTGGACACGGTCAAATTTAAAAGCAACCACCGAAAAATTCTTATGATCTGGGAAAACTTGAAAAAGGCTCTGTCATCGCGACTCATCCCTTATACTCAAGTCATAAAAATATCATTCGAATAAGCAAGTCTTGTTAAAGGGTTTTCTTTCTCCCGAAGAGGGAGCCATTGTAGAAGGTTTGCATATCTGTTCGTACCCTTCTGTGGTCAGCAGAAAAGATGGGTTAGACATCCCACAAATATGTCAAACATTAGTGACTCGCATAGACAGTTCTAAATAATATATAAAGAGGAGGTAGAACAGAACTTCATTTACACTGTTCCAAATTATTTACTCCGAACGTATTCTTCTTGGAATAGTTTCGCTTAATCGTCTTAATTTCTTTAGAAAATATTGGTTTTACTTTAACGACTTGTCTAATCCTATTGCGTAACACTTTAGTGATTTACCATTTTCATCAATTTTTCGCTGCTTTCTGAATCATATGCATTCCATGAACCATTATATATATATATATATATATATATATATATATATATATATATATATATATATATATATATCATTTCGATTATCTGAGATAGCCGTGGTTTGGCAGACTAGTATTGATACTGGGTGATGATTGAAGGTGAAGTGAAAATTTTGAATTGAAATAAAAATCTTATCAGCTATTGGACCGTGTAGCTCAGTTGGTGGAGCACCGGGTTGGAACCCCGGTGGCTGGTTCGAGTCCAGCCTCGGTCCACATTTTCATCTCACCTTCATTTATCACCCAGTATGAATCTAATTGTGTTGATCCGTTTGGTTGAACATAAATGATGTGGTAGCTAGTTCACAAAGTTTCATGGAGGATTCCAATAGGCACAATATTTTTCTTAACTGGTTTAGAAAGTCGAGAACTTCTAAGCACCTTATTAAATGATATACAATAAGCAACGACCTGAATGAAAATTATTCTTTGCAATAAATTCTCTTCAGGTTCTACAGTTATAAAATGCATTTGTACAACGTAAAAACAAGCTACGATAGGTGCAGGTACATTTTCAAAATGAAGTGAGATCTAGAGATTGTAAGGAAATCGATTTATCTTTTTTAATTTGTCAATATTGGGATGATACATATACATGAGAATGATATGATGGTGAACAAAAAGATAGAGAATAAGATGCGAGGGCCAAGGGAGAAGTAACGCTTGGACATGTTCTTTCTGAATGCAGAGTTCTGGCTTGATCAGTCTTATTGCACCAGCCTCCAATATGTTGAGCAGGCGTTGGTGAGTTATATATGATGTCGTTTTTGGAACACGATGAATGACATTGTAAGCTCTATTAGCATCTATGTGGTGCCATGTGTTGACTAGGACTAAACGTTTCACCACTTTCACTTAGCCCTTTCTGAACCGAGCTGGTAAATGCTCTCGTATCTGGAGGTGCACCTGCCTAATCGTACACTCTACTTGACTAGTTCCACAAGAACAGCTAAACTGATACATGCAAGATGAAGAGCTAAGATCAGGTAGGCTATCCTTTAGTCTCGGACTGAGCTTTGGCTGACTGTTGAATGATATGCTTTAAGTGTAATCCGAAAATCTCAGTAGCAAAATCTTTGAGGTGAATACCGAGTGAAACATGCTTCAGTTTCCAATAGGGTTTCATTCATTTCCTTCAGGCCCGTAATACCTAAAAATGAATTTATGCAACACAGTTATTGTCATTAAATGCAGTGAATGAAAGAATTTAATTACTTACACTTTTACCGTTTATAAGTAGTTTGTAACGTTGTTTTTTGACACTAGTAATTTCTCGTTGCTGTACTTGGTCGAAGTGCTTCACCTCTGTGGTAGATGTGTTCCTGAGTGAATGATACGTTACTTCCCGGATATTCATTATGTTGTAGTTTATTTGCTGGCTAGCAGTGGAATCCCATACCCCAGTGACCCAGTGGCCTTTGAAGGGATGAGTACTGGATTCAAGTTCCAGTGGGAAATGCATCACATACTGCGGTGTAGATACATCTGGCTAGTGAGTCCAATATAGGACAAAACGCGCGTCCTGAATTCCACTGCTCGCCACTAAAGAGAGTACAACAGTTTGTAATGTCATGAAATCTATATGAATATCTATCACTGATGTGAATCCAAGTCGTTCAAATTAGAAAAATGTTTCCCAACTAACACAAGTAATAGGATTGACTATTGAGTACTATTCACCAAACAGTAACATTATCTTATGTTTATGATCTTGACCCAGTCTGGGTTTAAACATGATGCTCACCATCCAATTGGTTCCAGATTACTGGTTACACTTAATGGTGTTGTATGCTACCACAATGTGACTCACTTCCAACTTTTAATATATCAGTAAAGTATCATGCAGATGAGATGTCTTATTTTAGTTGGTTGCAAGTAGTTAGCAGAAAACCGTGAGTGTATGTTTTGGGCATGTTTGCACCCATTAGAAGACATAGCGCAACCTCAAAATTGCTGGTGTGCCCTTTGAGATCCGAACCCGTGTCACCCAGTTTTCCAGTCAGTGGCATTACTAATGAGCTATCCAGGCCGCAAATGACATCATGTATGACTGGAATTAGAAACGCTGTTTGGTCACTGGAGGACAACAAATTTCATATTGTCTAGTCCTAAATGCTGACTGGATTCTACAGATCATTTTACAGTCTGGTATCCAAGCCGGAAGACTCACCACTGAGGTCCACTTTGATGGGTGTTATTTGCTTTCAGGCAATCCGTAGGAAGCCACGGGTCTAAGCTTCGTGCTTTCTGACACTCATAAGCAGGGAGTACTTGCAACCTTGTAGGTACTGGTGTTCCTCTGAGATTCTAACTTATGTCACCTAATTTTAATTTTACTATCCAATTAGTGATAATGAGAACAGAAGATTTTTCAAGTAGGGTGTTGACCTGTTAAAATAAAATGGAATGGCAATATTCAATAGATCTCTTTACAGTAACTATCACCTTCCATCACTTGACCAGATGTATGCATATGAAGCCATTTCGAAGATTTTTATTCTGATCAACTGTTTTTACAAGTTTTTAATAATGGGTCATGGCAACTTGTAGTTATCCGAGTTAGATTTAATTGGTTAGACCAATTGCAGTGTGTGAAGGTAAAAAAGGCATAATAGCTGTTAATACTTCTACAAGACATGTGTCGATAAATGACCGCATAGAATGAATCGCCTGCAACCACCTTCGAAATTCAGTACTCTTTTGTGTTTAGACTTACCATGAATTTGTTAACATAAATGATTCGTTACTGTTTACCCAAAATAATTCACAGTTTGTTTACATGAACTATCAATTGAACTTTTAATTTTCTGCTTCTTTTAAAATGATATTTCACAGTTGATGGACTGAAAAAAGGAGAGAAATATGTATTTCGTGTTAGAGCCAAAAATGAAGTCGGCCTTAGTGAACCATGTACAGCTAATAGACCAGTTGAGTGTAAACCGAAATTCAGTAAGTTTATCATTTTGTTGTTGTCTTCTGACCTCCCCCCCCCTCTTTCCTCTATAGAATAAATACTTGGTTCACAATCATACTAATTCATTTGTTAATTCATTTTGCCCTAATATTAAAGCGTGTCATTTTGAGAAAAAAATGAACAACCAATGATAGTTTAACCAATTCTCATTAAATAAACTGACCAATCAGGTGAGAGCAAAAAAATTGAGGAGTGAACGAGGCACTGATTGGTTAAGCAGGTAGGTGAGCAAATTAATGTTTGCGACAATTTCATCCTCTTATAAATTTTAGTAAAATAAGTGTAATCATTGGTGCATAGTAAGAGTGAATTCAACTTCAATGCATCTGTCGCTCTAGGTTGTAAGCTGATGATGGGAATTCAATAAATGGAACTGAAAGCTTACTACACTTCAGTTGTAGGAGCTAATCATACTTTGTAAAAATCTAATTTTGTAATGAATTAGAGATAACTTTTTACTCAGTGGTTTACTGAAAGGAATTTTTAGAATTATATTTTTCGCTTAAATCAGGTTTAAAGGTCATCGACATTCGATCACTAACTATGGTACCTAATCTGATTCGATGATTAACCGAAATTGTTCCTCATAACTCAGATGTAAAGTATCACTTTGAAATAGTACGAAACAAAGGGAATTAGCCTCGTATCGAGTCATATCAGTGATTCGGTTTTGTCTAATTAGCCTTCACGCTAGTTTTTCATCAGAAAAAGAGGTGTATTTGTCACCATGATCTCTTTTAATACTGTCCATTCACATTAGATAAGCTGACACATTTAGAGTTTGAGTCGATTCAGTTTTCATCCTATCGAATTACAAGATTTTGAAAAGCAAAACTGTTGTAACAGTAAGTAGGTAATGTGAGTGTATTTTTGCGGTAATTATGCTAATTTAACTGCACATTAATGGTCGGCTAAACTGATTGAAATGAAAAGACTGAACTGCACCCATAATCACTTACTAGAAGTATTTCTAGCAGTATTCAAACTCAAAAACCAGAAAAGATCAACAGGTAGAATCAACAAGGAATTAGACGAGTCACTTAGATGCTAAAAAAATGTACGTGGTAAAATAGTTACCATCTAACTTTCGAATGGGAAATAGTCTTCTTTGAGTAATTCGGAGGGTGTGAGCCAGCTGACAAATTTCTACCAACCAAAGCAAGCTGTCATTTAATCGTCTTCAACACAGACATTAGATATACTAAACTTTGGTCAACGAAATGGATCAAGTCTATAAGTCCTTGCGTCAAATGCAACTGATACTAACTGACTACTTAGTTAGGACATCAGTATCGTGAAATGTAAATATTTGTCTACGTTAAGAACTGGACATTTACATCGGTTACCCCCTGGTAATCAATTTGCCTGCTTGGCCCAGTCCTATAGTGGGCCAGTCGTGGCCCGACTACTCTATTGGTAAAGTTTCTGATTTCATCATTGAGTAATCCAAGTCCAAATCACCGGAGCAATGCCAGTTTCTTCATGGTTTCAGAATCATCGTGTGCCATTAAGTGCCAATAAGCACGAAATCGAGGTCAAGCAGGGTTTCATATTGATTAACTTCTAGCATCCAACATACAAATATTTCTCAAAGTACCCCTACTTACCAGGAAGGTTTATGCTGAAATTAAGCAGTGTATCTCATGGTAAAGCAACCCCCATCGGATTCAAAAGTGAGGTTACTTTTTTTCCTTTTCTTATTTACTCTCCATTACTATTGCATTGTTAAGCTTTTTTCCAAAAGAAAGGGGTTTTCTGCTTTGATTGTCCTAAATTAAGCTCATTTCAAACTACCAACGAACATGTGAGATACATGAGCAGCAGTTCTTTGTTATGTTGAACAAAACAACTGACCTTGACTGGAAACATGAAGCAATAGGATTGGAGATAGCATGGATGTTCATTTATCCAGTAAGACTATTGATTGGATACAGATCACCTCAGTGAGATATGAAGTCTCAGTAGTTATCAAACCTATACAGCGACTGCTGTCATTGTGAGATTTACTCGAGTAGACGGACCCGAGAGTCATATAAAGTCAAAAGTCTGCCTGGTTTTCTCTTGCAAACAATTATTGGTTCTACACTTAATAATAATTAGTGCAAAAAAGTGTACACTTAAATTCTACGTGATTTAACAGCAAACTAAGTGTAAGCTACAGTTAATAAGTGGTGAAAATGATAAGTTCAATACAGCTGAATACCAACTCATAATTTCGACCAATCAGACAACAGGAAACGGAAGACAACGTCAGACGCAGAGGATAGTAGGAAACTACGTGCATAAATATCAATTATTCATAAATGGTATAATCAATAACATGAGAAATGTTTCAGCTGTATCCTACACTACAGTGACAAAAGTTAGTAAAAGGTTCATTTGTGTGACACAAACGTGATAACTAACTGAGCTTATATTATAAACATGGCTGCTGTGCATTACTCCTTTTTAAAAGTGACTGCTACTGATAAGTAAGCTGTTATTTTATTCAAAAATGTACTTTGTTATTTCAGCCACAGCCGATAGTCCAGGCACGCCTAATGTTGAAGATGTTGGAAAGAATTTTGTTGATTTAACATGGTCAAAGCCAACCAAAGACGGTGGTGCTCGTATCACTGGATATTTAGTAGAGAAGCGTAAAAAGTTCACTACAGACTGGGAACCTGCTACAGCCGATGGAAAACCGGTTACAAATAATCAAGCACATATTGATGGTCTTGATGAAAATAATGAATATGAATTCCGTGTGAGCGCTGTAAATGCTGCAGGAGTTGGTGAACCAAGTCAGCCTACAGAATTAACTAAAATATGTCCTAAAAGAGGTAAATGGTGAATATTAAAGTTGACGCTTTAGGTAATTTGTATAAATTATCATTATTGTTTATGGGTCTGTGTATTGCTGTATATTTAAGGTAGAGTTAACCTTTACAGGTGGTACCTTAATATTCCGTCGTTATTTCGAACACGTTATAATTATCCACTTGCAACTCACTATTAATTCAGTATCTTCCTTAACTCTCATTTGGCTGACGTCTAGCGACAGTCATAGTTTTGCTTACATCGCTCATTACTTTTAAATTAGATCCTTTCTATTATTCCAGTGTCCAAGTATTTCATGTGCTAAACAATTTTAGATTCTAAAATCCAAATGAACTGATAGACTTCAATGTTAAACTTATTCTTTTATTCATCTTGGTGACTGGCATTGGTATTCGACTTCAAATAGGCTAGGAATCCAAAGGGGAAACGACGAGTTTGGCGTCCGAGGGTAATATGGTGGAGATCATGTAAGGAAGAAGCGAAAGCTTGTGAGTAGTCGTGCAGCCAGGTTCAAAAGACTGGAAAGAACAGAGGGAAATAGAGACGTGCTACTGAAGCCCTATGTTCCACTAGGAACCCAAAGGACAAATAATAATAATCAGAAAATTTTAGAAGCCTGGTATTCAGGTTAATCAGCAATCAATAGATATATAGATATTGATCCAATCTGTCAACCAATAGGAAGCAACAAGAATGTTAGGGTTCATATCAGTAGGACAGCCAATCTAAATGAACAATAAGAGACAATGACAAGGCTTTGGCGGAAACAGTCAATCACACACATGGTCATCAGGACAAGTACTAAATCAATTGTGGAAGAAACCTTATAGCTCATTTTTTTTCTAGATTTTGTGCTGATGATGTATAGAATGATAATGAGACCTCTAGCATGCAACCATCCGGCACAGAGAATACAACACCATCAAAAAATATTCAGTTAGGAAAAGTGGTTATGAAGGCACATCCAGCCTACAACATTAAAAATGAAGGCCAGAAAACCTTATTACTGCTTTTATTCCTCCCAAAATCTCATGACAGTTTAACTTGAAAAGGCTTACCCTAAAAGTCATAAAATAGGATAGGACATATTCTTCGTTGATAGGCAGGATTTTCCCAGAAAATAGATTTTCGAGATTGCCTTAGAGAGTTCGGTTGGTGGTTGAACTGATTCCAAACAACTAACAGCAATTTCATCCCAGTTTGAGGATCTTCAGAGATGTGAACCTATCACCCTTTGAGAAGTTGATCTCAAGACCATCGCGTTTATCGGTGAAGGGAAAGTGGTTAGTGGTTTAGATGCTTATAGCAAGTTGGTTTAAAACCACCTTTCCTGCCTATTATATCATCTGTCTGGTAATCAAATTTCGTGACTCTAAAGGCCACCCTAGCAACAACAACAACAACTGAAATAACCAATGAGATTCTTGCATTTTATGAAGAAACTACCTATGTAGTCGAAATAAATGAACCTAGTTGGGTATTCCAGTCGTTACTAGAGTACGCTTTCAGCCACTCAGTCAGATTATCAGGAGACTTTAAAGGCCACCCTGACAGCAGCTGTAGCAACCAACCAATTATCGGTATTCCGGCCAGAAAGTTTTTCACAAAATATGAAAGCCTAATTCGCTGTCTTAGCACTTGCTAGAGTGGCCTCAAATTCACTCAAACTATCTGGCTTCAAATTTTAGGAATGATTCTAAAGGCCGCCCTAACAATAAAATAACCTATCAGACTTCTTGACTTCATGAAAATCTACCTGTCCAGTCAAAATACAGAAATCTTACAGGCTATTTTAGTCGTTTAGTTTCACTCTGAAGGGTGACTTTAAAGGCCACACTGGCAACTGGTGTAGTAACCAATCAGGTATTGGTATTCTCGTTGGAAAGGTAGTTTTCCATAAAATAGAGAAACGTAATTGGCTATCTTAGCAGTTGCTAGGGTGACGTTTAAAATCATCCACTCTAAATCTTTGGTTTGACTTTAAAGATCACTCAAGTTATAACTGAAAAAGCCAAATAAGTTTCTTTATTTCTGTTGATAAAGCGGACTTTCGTAAAATAACGGTGGCTAATTGGTTTTTTCAGTTATTTTGTTAGGGTGGACTTTAAAGTCACTCTAAAACTGGGTGAAATAACCAGTCAGATTTCAGAATTTCGGATGAGAAGATAACTTTTCATGGCATAGAGAAAATAAATTGCTCATTTCAGGAATTACTAGGGTGGCCTTTAACGTCACTTCGAAAATGACAGTAGCTACCTAACCAATTAGGTTTCGCTATTTTATGGAAAGCTAACTTCACTTGTGAAATATCGAAACCATATTGGCTATTACATTGGTGTCTGGAGTGGGCTTAGAGTCACTCCAATTTTTATGGCTTGTCGAGAACCCTTCAGGTAAGCCTAGTAACTACTCAACTAGTCATTCAGATTACTCTTCTCTATAGAAAGGTAATCTTTGTCATTAAACACAAGAACCTGATTATGTACTTCAGTTTATCACTAAGTCTTCTCTCGTGTCACCCATCGGATCAAATAAATTACATTGTGAACATGACGTGACTCTAAAGTCAGCCCTAACAACAACTGAAATAACCGATTAGATTCCTATATTTTACGGAAATCTGCCTTTTCAACGGAAGTAAAAATATCTGTTTGGTTATTTCAGTACTTTCAAGTATGCCCATATGAAAGTGAACCTAACTGTAATCGCACTTAAAAACATCAAGATTTTAAGCTCAGAGATTAGGGTTTCATTTTGTATCGTAGGTAGATTTGTATCATCTGTATTCACCAAATAAATTTCTTCTTCCCTAACATTTCATTTAATAAAATTTACATTATTGGTTAACGTATTAACATTTTATTATCGTACAGTAACACAAAGATGGTACAGTTGAACCAACAAATAACCTCACACTTAATAATTCGACTATTTTAAAATGTTCAACAGTGTATGTAGTTCATTTAAACAATTATTCTTTTCCGTGTTTAGATAAACCACAACCACCAACAGATGTTATGGCTAAAGATGTGTATGCAGATAATTGTGTACTAGTATGGAACGCACCAGAATCAGATGGAGGATGTCCAATTATAGGTAATATGTTGACAAGTTTATTTTCTAAATATGAGCAAAAATATTTTCAGGGCTACTCACTGTTCATTGAATACATTGTATACAAAAGAAAGAAATGTTCTTTCTACTTCTAATCATTTTACTTATAAGCCAAATAATTTTCCGTGGTAAACAGCAATGCCCAACTGTTACGCCATTATTCTCTCATAACGTTTCTTTTAAATCCAGATTGTTACATACATCTGTAGATATGGATGTTCTGAGAGTAACTCAGCAATCATGTCTTGATTTGGCGATTAAACACTGGAGCACACTTGTTACGTGAAGGCTTCTTTTACCACTTAACAGTCTAAACCTCAGATGTAATGAAATTTGAACTTGTAACCCATTGATTAGAAGTTGACAACGTAGACGTATGGATTATATTTCGACAAATAACACTCATTAATTTGACCCAGTGAAATGCTATTCTTTAAGGATAATAAAATTAATGAACTGATGACACTAAGTCAACTGATATTACAACCAACCTTGAGCAGATGAATGCCAGTAAATATATTAGCTACAATTTTGTTCACTAAACGTACTAAAAAACTGCTGTGCCTAATATGTATTCCGGATAATTAATCATATTCTTTGTTCATTTTCGTCTATCTCCATCAATTTTATTAACCACAACTCAAAGGCTTTTCAGCGGGGGAATCAAAAGAACATAATTTTAAAACACCGAGTATAGAGACGAATAGAAATAACCTCCTAGAGATGATTCACGCTATATATAATTGCGAGTTAACTGTTAAAGTTGTCAGTTTCACTTCTTCTATCTTAAAAGAAATGTTGTCGAAGGTGGAACTGGTAACCCCTAAGCAAAAGTCATCAATAATGAAACTTTATTAAAAGGAAAATGGGGTCAGAAATCCGGTGGTAGCTGGTTCGAATCTGGCAGCAGTTAGAATTTCCATTTCAGCTTCAATTGTCACTCAGTATAAATACTAGTCTGCAAAACTACGGCTATCTCGGACAGTCAAGATGATAATCAATATGCTCCACCCTTCTCAGTCCGTTAGATTTGGATTGAGATGAGAAGTCCTGACTAGACGGTCTGTGTGATTACGATCAAGCAGTAGTAACGCGTCACGAATTCACATGGTAGTCGGGTAAAACCCTAGGTGACTGAAGTGAAATGAAAATCTCGTTAGCAGTTAGACCGTGTAGCTCAGTTGGTAGAGCACCGGGTCGGAACCCCGATGGTGGCTTGTTAGAACCCGGCCGTGGTTCAAGTTTTCACTTCACCTTCAATCATCACCCAGTATAAATACTAATCTTTCGAACTATAGCTATCTCAGATAGTCAAAATAACAAAAGGATATGTGTTTATAGGTTTACCTATAGATAAACATATTCATTCAGATAGCAAAGTGTGTAAGGTTTATTCTGTAATTCAGATTAATACAACAATTATCATTCACCAATAATTGAAGCACTGAAAACAAATCATTCTGAATAAGTACGAAGACTGGACTTCATACGCTTAACTAGTGATGACTAATAATGGTAGTTACCTAAGAATGAGGTAGCTGAAATACTATTAGAAGATGGATAAACTTTTGGGGAATATGGGGAATCTTGATGAACAAAGCTATCCAACTGTTTTTTATTCTGTTGAAAAATCTGAGCTGAATTGAATGAAATCAGAAAGAAAAGACTATCATCATCATAAATTAGCCGAGAATAATGAAAAGTAACCATCATTTTACCTGAATTGAGTCTTTTTGAAACCCACTCAGCAACCTTTTTCTCATCCGCACAGTAGGCAGTAAGCCAAACTTATTGTATGAGAGATAATGATACTACCTGGCTGTCCAAACGTTGTTAAGTGAGGCGATACTCAAATCCGTGACCCACTGATTGAAAGTCAGCTCCCTAAGCCAGTGGTAAATGCTGCTTCAGGTTTGATAATTGCTTATAAACACTTGGTATCGGGCATTCAACACTAACCGTTACCGAAGGACTTCGATTTTTTCAGTCGTTTCATTCACAGCAGTCAAGTGACTGCCAGCGATTCTCATTTTCGCTCCAGACCAAACCATTTATTTCAGCATGTCATATCTCGTTTGGACTACATTGATCAGCAGTTAAAATACCTTAATATTATTTTATCATTTAAAATTCTCTTTTACAGATTACATTGTTGAAAAATGTGATGCAACTACTGAGATATGGGAACGTGTCCCAACCGTAGTCACTGGTACAAGCTGTCCAGTAAAAGGTTTAATCGAAGGTAAACGATATCGTTTTCGTGTATCAGCAGTGAATACTATGGGACCGAGTGAACCAGCAGAAACGAATACAGCAATTACAGCCAAAAATCCATTTGGTAAGTCGATTGACAAATGGGTTTATACTAGGCTATATTGTTACACATTGTTAATTTATTGACGTTTAATTATCTTAATACGACATCAGTCGAACATATTGATTATACGATGATCACCGGTTCATTACGACTAGTTGTACTAGATTCGCTGTTTACTATTTCCTAGGTAAGTAGGTAACATATGTAAAACGTCTGCTTTTCTATGATGGTGAAAATGGAAAATTTGTCTTGAGTTGATCTGGCTTTTGATATTCATTTACTTTAGAGATAGTCATTATTTGAGGAGAGGCTAAGCTAACAGAAAGGATTATGTCAGTGACTGTCACAAATTCCTCAGTTCATAAAGTCGAACATCAGTGTACACATTTTCAAAGATCATCCAATATATTTAAAGTAAGAGTAAAACTTGAGCCCTGTGGTAGAGTATAATTCCATGTTAGATTGTTTGTTTGATATGCCACACAATGGCAAGGTATTATTTGCTGGATGACTTTTGGGACAGAATTTACAGCTCATATCATAGTAATCATGTGGCTTTCAAACCTCCTCTACATAGTTTGACAGCTTTTCATTCGTTTATTTGAATAGTAGTAAACTTTTCCAGTTATCTGGAATGTTGAAAAATCTTTTCTGTTACATGTGTTAGGTGTTGGTTCGGTGAGCAAAGATTCTTCCAGCAATTTCTCCCCGCACCTAGCTATAATGGATTTTAGAATTGTCACTATATCCCAGCCTATTGAGTGATTAAGGGTCAGTACATGGGGAGAGATAGCCGAGGTTTTACCTAAATTGACTCTAAAACAGCCTTTAGACCATTGTATTGGAGCCGTCAACACCGTATACCTAAGTTCATTGAAGCCTTAGCTATAAGAAAGTTCAAACTCCCTTCGTGTATTCAAAAACAGTTTGTCCTACTTTGGTAATCTTTATCTCATTTTAATGCCAAGGGAGGTGTGAAAATGCATTATTCCTCCTTATTATTCCCATATTTTCCGAATTCTGCATTATCTTAATTTATTTATTTTACCCCACCCTATTTTCATCCTTTATATAATATGCTTTGACAAGTTAACGTGTGGTCAAATTGTTCGAAATATACTGCGCGAATACACTACATTTCTCAGACAACCTCCATCTTCTTAGTACACTATGTAAATTATTTATTTTAGTGGGGTCTGTCATTGTATGCTTCGCAAAAATTTTAGTGTTCTGCCATTCCGACAGACACAGCTCGGCTGTTTCGACTCATATACTTGACCTCACAATCATTACATGGTATTTGATAGATTAAATTATTTTTATAATTGGCGCTACTGGATCTTTCAGCCTACAGAGTTTCTTTCTGATCGAGTTTGCAGGTTTAAATGCCACCCTTATCCTAGAGTTAAGAATTTTACATGAAATTTCTTATGTACCTTCTTTATACGTCAACAATACACAGGATTTGAATTCCCTCTTAGACAAGTTGCAATCACCATTAATATTACGCCACTCCTTCTCTTATCATTCCTTATACACTTTTAACGAATTGAAAAGTAGTGTCTCTTTGATGTGTTTTAGTTCGTTCTTTAGGGTTTTCTGACTTACTAGATGCTTGGATTTCGAATCATTTCACCCCAGTCTGTCAAGGTAGGCTTTATAAAATGTCTAAGTAATAGGGTTTGAAGTTTGACTAGTTTGACTGGCATTTAATAATAAGAAGAATAAATTCCGCTCAGAACGTCAATCAGGAACATTCAGTATCAGCTGCCATAATTCGTTGAAGCAAAGAACTTACCAATAGTCCTGTAATAATTGAGAATGTAAAACTCATCACAATCCTGATTGTTTTCTTACCCTTCAGATTCTCCTGATTCACCAGAGGATGTAAAAGTCGAGTCTTTCGACAGCCATGGAGTTACTTTGACATGGAATCCACCGGAAAATGATGGAGGAAATCCAATTCAAGGTAAAGCTATCGTAAAGTTTACAAAATATATTTTCTTTTATACACATGTCGGTAATAAATGGTCTTGATATTTGTTCGTTATAAATTCTATGCTCATTTTTTTTCATTTTTGTCTCACTTTTCTACTTTAGGCTACCTAATCGAAAAACGTACACCAAATGGAGAATGGAAACCAGCAACAGTAGGATTAGTTCATGGTACAGAAGCTAAAGTAATGGGTTTAGAGAAGGGTCAAACTTACGAATTCCGTGTTAGTGCAGTGAATGATGCTGGACCAGGACGTCCATCAAAAGCAACATTACCTCAAGTTATCAAAGATCCTACATGTATGTCATTATATATGTACATATATTCTATAAAATCTATTTTACAATTATTAATGGTGCTAGATAATTCACAAATTAAATATCATGTCATTTTAGATCCTCCAAGTTCACCAGAATCACTTAATGTGGATAAAGTCAACAAGAATGGAGTGAAATTATCATGGCAAAAACCAAGAAAAGATGGTGGAAGTAAAATCACCGGTTATCAAGTTGAAAAGAAAGATGAGAATGGTGATTGGGTTCCTGTGAAACAGACTACTGAACCGTGTGCATTTATTCCAATGAAAGAAGGTGAGACTGGACAATTTCGTGTACGTGCAGTGAATGATGAGGGTCCGGGTGAACCGACTCGTCCTACTGCTCCTGTGACAGCTGGTGACCAACCTGAAGCACCGAGAATATGTACACCTGATGATTGTGTTGGTGGTTTGGGCAGTGGAGTTGGAGGTCTCAAAGATGTTAAGCTGAAGGTTAGTCATTCAGATCTTCCTAACATAAGGATAAGGACTATTTCGACTCCTGAACTTTTAATATTTATAGAAAGAAAGTTTATAACATGAGGTTTCAAACAATACTATAACAGTTTGATTGTTTAGTTTCATAATTGCTGTCTTTTGTAGAATTTCTGTCAGTTTGGAGTCTTCGATTTATTTCAAGCCCATCTACTAAATTAGGTGTGAGGCTGGAGAGCATTTATTTACGTAAAAACCCGTAAGACGAAAATCTAGACGCAATTCTGTAGATCTGTTAAATACTCTAGAAAAGTACAGGATACCCTTGATGTGCTCCTATATTATTCAAATCACCTTCCTAACGTATCGCTAAAAATGTAGGGAGCTGGAAAACCTGACTATCTCCCGAAATTCCACTTTTTCTAGCCACTTTAACCTCAAGTAAGTAGGCGTACACACTGCCAGAAGTAATACGTCTATGTTAATTTGTACATAAATCACATTGATATGATTATGAGCAATAATTTATGCTCGAAACGTAATCAAGTAAATAATACTGTATCACTGTGCGCTACATATCAAATAAACAAATCTAATATAAATCAGAGTCTGTTCAAATTATTTTCGGTTCCAAGTATCTGAAATATTCTGCAGCGTAGTCTACCATAACCATTGGTTTGTAAAGTTTATTGGTGGGATTAAAAATGTCCAAACGCTCAAAGTCGAAGGAAGTTCATAAATCTTTTAGATAAACAAATTACCTATAAAAATTGCAAGATATTTTTCAATCGATTAGGTATTCAGGAAACAAAGCGTGAGTTACAGGTTAACAAAACAACTACTTCATTTGTGTTCCAGCTATACTGTATTATCACTTCAGCTATCTGAAATAGCTGTGGTTTGAATGACTTGTATTGATACTGGGTGATGATAATCAATATGATTTCCCTGTTTCATTCAGTTAGATTTTGATTGGGTTGAGAAATTCTGAGTGGACAGCTAGTGTGAGTAGGATAAAGTGGTAGTAAAACATCGCGAATTCATGTGACAGTAGGATTGGAATGAAATAAAATTTGGTCAGTAGTCAGGTCTTGTAGCTCAGTTGATAGAACACAGGCTTGGAAACCCAGCGTTCGCTGGTTAGAATTGTTTCATTTCCCCTTCAATCATCACCCAGTATGTATACGAAAGTAGCCTTTCTATTTAGTGAGAAAAAATAGTATTTACAAGTAGCTGTATTTCACGATATTCTCTTATCAAGGTAAAAACAAAATCTGGGTTTAATTATCTCGGGAAATCACAAAATTTCAATAGCTAATTTAGGTCAAACAACTATTGTATACTAAAAAGTATAGATATACTGTTTTGTCTGAACTTAAAAGTTTCACTCTGAGATAATTAGTTCCATTTGAAATCAATAGCCAGTATCTGCGTCACCAATAACTAAATGATAGAAAAGAACCTATCATCTATGAATAATTGTTGTTGCGAAAGCCTTAGTTAAATCCATAGGAACATCGGAAATATTGAATATCTTTAAAGGTAACCCTACCAACCAGTGAAATGACCAACCAGGTTTCGATATTTCACCTGGAAAAGTACTTTTTCATAAAATAAAGGAATGTAATTGGCTGTCTTATCACTTGCTAGGGTGGCCTTTGAAGTCACCCGAAATATTATCCTTCAGAGATGCCTGGAAAAATAAATTAGTTTTCATCCATTTTGGGGAGTCTAAAAACAATACATCTCAATAATGGTCAATGAAATACATTTTTTGACCCTCTTTTGTTCATGCTTCAATGAATAAATCATGGAAATACCTATTAACTGACGTATGTGTTGCAATTTACATCTAACAAATGTGGATTAGGCTATTTGTACAAGACTGTTGTGATCTAGCATCTAATGTTTATGAAACTTATGCTGATCAGTAAAATATTGCAATCCACCTTTTTAATACTACAGTAAAGTGATCGAGTGGAAATGACTGACAGAATAATAGGAAATGCGAGAACGCTACTAACGCAATGAGATACTTGGACTGGATACGAATAGCGACTGTTCTCCCTCAGACCTGATACTTCCCTAAGCCGCGAAAATCAGAAGACAAAGACTGACCTGTGACTGCAAAAAAGACACTTTATTTGACATGTGGTACATCATTTATTTAGATTTTCCTCAAAACATAAAGCCACTAGGTCGAAAATTGGATACTTATTTCCATTGGTCGACTGAAGGACAAAACTGTTCAGTGAGTTTTTCCGCCTACCCAGAAACATAAAACCAAGGTTGAAGTCCAAAACTTCTTCGGCAGCTGATGACTTGAAATACTAATTTCGATTTAGGTCGTTTCCTATTAGTAGTTAAAACTGTATGTTGAGTTATGTTGTTACAAGAAAAATGTTCTTCTATTAAAACAGATGTAAAATGTTTTGGTTTTAAGAATAGAATACCATGTAAACATTATGCTATTTTCTGCTTTAAAATACCCTGATTTATAACTACCTAGGCTCTATATAATTACTGACAGTATATTTCTGTTTATCCTTTGTGTTTTTATTAGGCTGGTCAAGAGTTAAAACTCCCTGTTGCATGGTTTGGCCATCCAAAGCCCACATTTGTTTGGAGTCAAAACGACAAACCTATAAATGTTGATGGTAAACGGGTCACTGAAATAAATCGGTCTTTACCACCACCAGCAAATCCTGGTCCCGGCGGACCTCTTGAAATGTCTCCTGGAGGTACAGTAATCTTATCAGTTGGAAAAGTTCGTCGAGCTGATACAGGCCGTTATCAGTTAACACTTATTAACGATCAAGGTCGAACGACCACATCTTGTCAAGTAGAAGTAATCGGTGAGTATTCCTTTATTAAATGACTGGAATATTTATGTATGTATAATTTCCGAATCAGATGTTGTTGAAACAGCTGAATTGCCTACACAACAGTATCTATAAGGAAATGAGTTATGCACCTCATAATAAAATTAAGGAAGAAAGATAGATTGATAGCTTGCTAAAGATTAGCCAATCCCAAGTTTTTAGTCTTAAATGCTGAGGGAATTGTAACGACCATTTTGCACACGAGGTTACCAAGTTAAAGACTGACCAGCGCGGTGCACTTTAATTTATTTTAGCTGGCTACAGTGAGTCAGTGGAAAGCCCTGATCAGTACTTGGGACTAGAGAATATGAAAGTGATTACTCTCCAGTGACCACTCGATGTATCCAAGCCAGTCTTACAAGAGGTCATTCGTAGCTCAAATAACTCAGTGGTAAAGTTTCTGACTCTATCACTGGGTGACGTGGATTCAAATCTCTTATGGGTTATCAGTTCCTTCTAGGATGCAGATATACCTTGCTGAGTGTCAACAAGTATGAAACGTAGGTCCGGGGATTCCTGCCAATTCCCGCCAATCAGTTATATTAATGAAAGAAATATCTAATATTTAGCCAAGTATATTTCCTTTTGACCTTCTGAGATAGCTCTGATTTGGTAGACTACTTTTGATACTGAGTGATGAATCAAGGTGAAATGGAAATTTGGGCCGTGACGGGATTTGAACCATTGACCACTGGGGTTTCTAACTCGGTGCTATCAGTTGGTACAACATCCAATCGGAAACTTCTATGGTGGCTGGTTTGAATCCTACCGAGACCCAAATTTTCACTTCACCTTCAATAATCACCCAGGATCAAGTATATTTCAGTCAATTATTGTGTTTATCTCAGGATTTATTTCACACTACCATTTTTTAACAATTTTAAAAAACTTCCCTCCAGCTCTTTGATTTCCATCCCATCCATAATCGTTAAAAATTAATGGTTAGTTGATTTCTGAATAACGTAACTCATTCTGTAGACTAAATGACATTATTGTCTATTTGTAATCGGTTGCGCTGCCATCTAGCTGCATAAACATACTAGCAGTAAGTCTCAATGAACTTCCAGCAAAGGTATTAGGAGTTCTTTGCCTTTTCTTTAATTCAGTCGTGGGATAGCAGAACTAATTATGATCATGAAGACCTTGGGTGGTAGTCATGTTATTTCGCGAATCGACAGAAGTAGAAAACTGTGAACCACTGAAATCCAACCCAGTGGCTGAATGGTTAGTGCGTTCGCCATGAAACCTGAAGGTCACGAGTTTTATCCCTAGCCAGGTAGTGAATAGGTACAGGTGAGAAGTCCCATACACGGACGAAACAGTTGTCCAGTGCTCTTAAGTTTCCAATGGTTCTGCAACTGATGTAAGTCCGCGATGAATGCTACTTTCATTATGCTTATATTAGAATCACAAGGCTTATAAAAAGTCGTTAACACCTTTCAGCCGAAATAAACAACAGGGTCTCCTTATTTCTACTGAAAAGATAGTTTTCTTCATAAAATACAGAACTCTAATTGGTTACTTCAGTAGTTGTTAGGATGACCTTTAAAGTTAATCCATGAGACAGGTATAAACGGTTATTTGCATTAAAACAGCATGCAAAAAGACACTAACGCGAATCCGAACAGTAAACACCAGTGAGGTCAATAAAGGATTCCACCATCCTTGAGTGACTTAAATCATGACCTTGAGCCGTTTACCATATTTTCAAGTCAATAAAAATTTTGTCGGTGGTACCAAAAACAACATTCAGTAAAATTGTAACATCACACTAAAAGTGATTATTTCACGCTATTTACCTATTCTATACATCTCAAGTGTTAGCGTAGCACACCACAGTATGGCATCCTGACCTTAATACTAAATATTAAGTGCCAACTTTTAATTTAAAGAAGGTAGTGAAGGGAGACGAGAAGCCATAGACTAAAGAAGAAATGTTTAGTGTTAGCAAGTGGTACAGTAGCCGTTAAATATGGTACAACTTGCACTAAAACCGTCATTTGCAAAATGTGCTTCATTTCCTCTTCTGCTTCTATCTTGATTTGTTCTTAATACGCCTGCGTTGTCTCTTGCGTTTCTCTTGGGAAAATCCTGACTCATTGCTGGTAATTCCCTATGATTTCTGCTGCCCACTCAACATATACTGCACTGATAGTGGTGTCCGGTGTGACACTGAAACGTTTTTCAACTAAAACACTAGCTCAAGAAACAACTCACTCTGAACATCAACACCATGGACTACAAAAATTCGCCATAATTTCTAGACTAAGTTTTTGAAGGTTAGACTTTGAAGGCAGCATATATTCCCCATAAGAACCAAAATGACACTTATTTCTTTTCTTTTTTGTACAGATGTGCCATGTCCACCGGGTGGACCACTAGAAGCCACAGATGTCAAAGCAGATGAAATAACATTAAGATGGAAGGCACCAGAAGATGATGGTGGTGAACCAATTACTAACTACGTCTTACAAAAGAGACGTAAAGGTGCAGATGAGTACGTTGACTTCAGTAAATAATTTATCGATCCAATCAAATAATCAGTTTTCATCTTTTGTTAGATCTTAAATTATTTTAATACTAAATGACTGAGACCAAGTTCAAATTGTATCTGTCCAAAGTTTGTTGAAGTACACATTTTCATAGGTTACCAATATGTGATCTGAACATAAATATCTTTGAAACACGTAAATTTGGGTTATCTACATGTAGCTAACCAAAAAGTGAAAAGGAAGAAATCTTCTGAGGCTAGAATCAGTATTACATTTTTCCACATAGTTTATATATATTCTCAAGTGAAGTATAGTGTAAAAAGCTAACTAAACTGTCATTTTTATGCTTTGGTTTGTATTTTAACTTACACTGAATAATCGTGATTGTTTCGTGATCTTTTGAAAAATAAGGCTGCCATATTGCCATCTATGAAGCGGACTGAAAAGTTTAATTCACATGAAAGAATAAAAGTATTCACTCACCAAACTTAATGAAACAAACAAGCCTCTCCTTTCCAAGAGTTTTAACAATCATATAGGTTCCAAAATCGATGGAAAGAATCTCTTAGTTTGGTATAAAATCTTTATCAAAACCTCTTTTGAATTTAGACAGATTCCGGGTGGATTCCTAGACTTATATCTTCATTCTACTTGAAAGAAGTCAATAAAACATCTTTACATTCCCAAAGAAACTCATTATCTAATATGAAGTTCGATACTACAGATAAGTAAGTTGAAACAACAACTGACACGCTCACTCCTGAGTCTAAGAAAGTGGTCACGTGTACAGACTACAGTGGGATACTCGTAAGAACCTTTCGTCAATGCTCTTCCCTTTCTTTCAGTAAGATAGAAATATGTGGCAGTTTCATTTGAACTGGATGTCTTTGTTAGTGAATTGTAAGACTACCTATCATTTGTTATTACTTATTGGATGTGAAATAAAAAGACATCAGTGGGTGAAAATATAAAATTATGTAAAGTTTTCACTGCATACTTACATCATTGTGTAGCTATTTTCAACAGTCCTGAAGAAATCGATATTTTTACTTTGATCTGGGATGAAAAAACTTTGATTTTCCAATGATCGCATATCATTTGAGAAATACGTGTTCATCTTTTACGACTGAAGTGTATTTTTAACTTTGAAATATGTTATATTTCTATTTTTATTTCATAGTTGGGAGAAGGTCAGTGGATTCTTAAATTCACCCAGTGCGACAGTTCGAAATTTGGAAGAGGGAACAGAATACGAGTTCCGTGTAATGGCTGAAAATGCTATGGGTTTAAGTGAACCTTTAGTGACTAGTCAACCGATTAAAGCTAAACATCCTTTCAGTGAGTTTAAAGGGACGATAACTCTTGCTTAACTATTTCAATTCATTGTCAATATTCTAAATTTCATCAGTTAAGATGGTCTATAAGACTGTAACTGCAGTTAGTTCTACAACTTCTGATTATATCTTCACAATCTAGTGATTGAATTCACAAAGTAGTCGGAAGTCTTGGGATGGTAAATCATAGAGAAATCTAACAACTCAAGAGTTGTATCAATCACTCTTGCAAGACTTGACGGTTTATACTGAAGAGCGCAGAATTCCAGACAAAACTTCAAGTATATATATCTCCTTCAGTCATAAAGTTCGCTTAGAAATAAAAAAAATCTTCACTTTTCACCAAGTTCTGGAGCATAATCACCGTTTTTCACCATAGAATGGATATATTTTTTGATATTAGACTGATGTCTGATCCATCAATAAGGAGGTTCCTTTATGAAGCTTAGGCTGCAAGTTTTATCAGGTCATCATATCACTATGCTTATTCCACGTGAAGTCTCGAAGTAATGTGTTAACCATAGTGAGCTACCAACTTACTTTCATCATTTTCTCCTCCACTTCGTGATAAATTAGTTCTCTGTAGATGATGAAACTAACAATTACTTGAAGAGTGTTAGTCAGTCTGCACTCTGTTGAAAATATATTCTTGATGGATCAATTGCCCTTGGGAATATAGTCTTTTCAAGTAGCTGGAATGAAAGCCTAAAACTTATTTGTGTTTCAAATACTATGGTTAATACAGCCTAGTGATTTAACATATATGAAACTGTATTACCTATATTATTGGGTGAATTTGCCATGGTGAGGTTATTATTTCAACACAAATATGTAGAGAAGGAAAGAGACACAATTGTTAATAAAATGGTTGGAGGCAACCGGTAGGAACTCACGGGCTTAGGTTTATTGCTTGTTGGTACTCGTCAACATGATGCATCTGCTTCCTGCCGATTGCCTCTAACCTTCTAACATTAGTCAAAGTGCACATTGATGTAGAGTCTGCTAACCTAATGATAAAATTATAAGACAATCGATAGAATTCAGTCAGCACCGTAGGCTAAACAACATAAAATTGGTGACTACCTAGTGACCAACCAATTATAATAGTTACATGAAAATAATGTCTCCTTAGAAGCCAGTCAGGAAGTCTTTTACACTAATTTAGTCTTTTCTTAGTACGATGAGACTGCATACTAAGTTCCTGAGAATTGTAGTTATGCAAATGATCATTATGAATCAGGAATGTAGGAATATTTTCAGCTCATATTCATACCATAGTTTTAAAGCACAAGTTTCATTATGGTAGATGCGCACTTTGAGCAGTGAAGTAGTTGACCGGAGTAACTTCGGTGAAAGAGACGGGTCTGTGGATTCAATATTCAAGCCTAATGTACTGGATGAATTTGTTTAATGCGCAGAGCTACTCGGTACTAACAAGAGCCCATACTAGAAGAACAAGAGTTGTAACTGTAAATTTGTATTCACCGAACTTTGAAGCTATGGGTCTTTGGTTCGAACCCAACTCCACCCGCTTTAGTCTGGGTAGTATCATAAACCTTCATACAACACTTAACGTATAGCCTGGTATATAAGAAACCTGTACCATGTTGACTTACATTACTACCTATAAATGAATAAGGTGTGTTTTGAAACTGCAGAATGACTACGGAAAAAGTAAATATAGAGAGATCATGAAGTTCCGTACTTTTCGTTTTGACCATCAAGATATTGTAGGCTGTCAAACTGAGCCTTTTAATATCATCTGAGTGTTTATTTACAGGAAGTGAGAGATATGAAGTCAAACAATCAGTGGTGGTACATCTCCAAATATACCTTATCTGTAGACTGCAGTGGCTCAATTCTTAGATTTTTTTCCATATGTAACCTTATGTTTCATACCTTTTCTCTTTCTGTTCTGAAATATGATAAACTAGGAAACCATGTCACATACTCAGTACCAAAAGTACCAAGATAACCAATATAAAGATTAATACGTTTTTCTTCAACTTCCTAATGTGACTACCTAAAAAAGTAGTAAGGTTATTTGACAATCATTTCGTTCTGTATTCTTCTTAAACAAAATATTCAGATCCTCCATCGGGTATGCAGAAACCAACTGTTGAGGACACAACAGATGACTCAGTTACTTTAGCATGGGAACCTCCACGTAAAGGTCCAGTTACAGGATATATTGTGGAGAAAAAAGCGAAAGGAGATAAAAATTGGTCTAAGTAAGTTTTTTATTACTTTCTGTGTTAAATAACATATTCCATTTGGCGAAAATTCGTCGAAGATCCATGATGATAACTTATTCTCTACTACAGCTTGGACTTTCTTTAATAATCCTGTGTTCAGTAAAATACATAACCAGCATGATGGGAATATAAAAGTGGTCGAACACCACAAAGCGTGTTACGCTCGTACGCTCGTATATATAAGCCAGTGAATATAACTCATTTCATAGGAATCATATACCTTGAAGTGCTTTCATTCAATTATACTGAACCAATACGGAAGAAAAATATCTTGAACGTTGATTAATTGAGGTAAATAAGAAATTTTGATTTCTGTAAGCAAGAACATTTTAGAAAGCTTAATTTAAGCTGACACTGTTTTTGAAATCAAGGAACGGTTGTTCTGCTTTTAGTTCACCCTGAAATATATACTGCCAGTTGGTATACGTAATATTCCGATGTTACTGTTTGAAATTTCTCGTTGTGTAAGCAATGGCTGTCGCCACTCAGTGGCCTAGTGGCTTTTGGAACGATAGATTCTTATGGGAACTACATCACCCACTGAGGGACAGGTACATTCTGCTGGCGTGCTTTGAATGGGAAGTAACATACATTCTGAATTACACTGCTAGTCAATATCTATCATTATCATAAGTGATGTAAACTTTTGCATACTGTTCAATCAATTCTTTAGTTTCTAATACTTTTCTGTTAGTGATTCCATGGTGTACCCATAACTAGGCGATTTCAAATGAAAGTCTTGTTAATATGGTACTTAGAAGGCAATAATAACCAATCAGAGTCTACAAAAATAGGTGCTGATTATGCAAATTATTCACCACAGAATTTTATGTTTTCTGTGCAGACCAGGATGAGTTCCTCAATGGTCTTGCGTGGTCTAATTGTATAGTCCTCAGTGCTGACCAAATTCTGTCGACTATTTTATACTATGATCACGAGACAAGGAGACATCACATCACTGTGCACTTTCATTGATGCTAGAGGGCTGAAGGCAATTGGCATGAAGTTCTGCTTGGTCTGGATTTTGTGCTTGTTTGCACTCTTCAGCAAAGCGTATCTGCAACCCTGAGGAAACTGATGTCCTCTGACAGATTCAATTATATGCACGGGTTGATAACTAGAGCTGTATTTTATAACATTGAGAACTTTTTGGTTAAATATCAAGATATTCAGATGGTTTTCTCCCTCTGGTTACTTCACTTCTATTGATCATTCTTTATGTGTAGAAAATCTTGAAATTTTGATTATTTTGAAATATACTCACTAATTTTGCCTAGGATTACCGTGAGCTGTTGGGATCAGCTTCTAATCAAGTTCTTGGATATCCTTATGTTAAGCTCACAATTTTATTTTTAAGCATTTTGAAGGAAACCAATAATGATTTTGATGTAGAATCAACAAATAATCACTCACAAAGTTAACTACAGAATAATTATCGATTAACAAATAAAAATGTTTTTTAAACAACAATAATAGAGCCAATGCCGCACCTATAACTGGTACAGGTTATACTGTGAAAAATCTACCAAAGGCAAAGAATTCGAATTTCGTGTCATTCCAGTGAATGCTGCTGGACAAGGTGAACCGAGTGAACCGACTAAATTTGTTAAAGTTCAGAAACCATTGAGTAAGTGGAATGTTTAATTTATCTTTGTATGGTAAATCACATTATTTATCACTTTAGAACCAGTTATATGATATGGAAACAACTCAAATGAGATCGACTGACTGATCAAGTTATATAATATTAGTAATTTTACATTTATGAGATAGGTTTCACTGTCATTACCTTTTCTGTTTCACAATCCATTCAAACAATCTCCCTTAAGCTACTAACAACAAAAAGATAATGAAATAAAATATTGTCAATTTTTGCCGACTAACTAGAAGATAGTGGAACGAAACATAAGTCTTATTCGTTAACCCAGCAAATAAATCAAATTACATACGAGTCTCAGAAGTATTTATACTCTTACGAAAAGTGCAGCAGTGAACATGTAACGTGAAATCTTTACTGAATTTCCCACTTACTTTTAAAACTCATTCCCTTATTAGGCTGATGAAATGATGAATTAAAAGGACACCAACTGACCACCAACGGGTGATGGATTTGACTTTTTACTCCTTAGTGCTCAGTAGTGATCCAAGTTTGTTGGTCAGTTTTCAAGTATGGCCACTAAGCTATATGACGGAAAATTGTTGTTTATCGTATTTTATCGTTGGATATTAGGAGACAGTTTCACAACACCCTGTTTGATCTACGTTTCACACTTGCTAGCATCCATCAGCAACGCTCATCTGAAAGCATGCGGAAACTAGTGTTTGCTTGGTGGCTCGAAAGAGTCATTCAATGTAGTCTTAGCAATTTAGTCATTTAAATTGAACAGTCAACATCTATGATATATTACTGTTTTTATCTTCCTACCACAGTTCATGAAAGATAGGAGTGGCTTTAAAGACCACCCGGAAACTGATGAAATAACCAATCACGTTTCTCTATTCTATGCAAAGTCATCTTTCCAGCCCAACTATCGTAGCCTGATTGGTTATTTTGGCAGTTTCCTAGGCTAGCCTTTAAAGTCGCCCAAAGATAGACTTGTTGTTAAGGTGGTAATCTGGATGAATCATATCTATTGACGTAAAAACCGAACTGGAATATAGAGTGATTTCTGCTTACTTTCGAAGAACAAAAAAGTGATTACTTGCTCAACTTTGAGCTACTTTAGGGGGGACTTTAAAGGCCACCCTAGCAACAACCGAAATAATCAATTAGATTTCTCTATTTCGGTCGAAAAGACAGATTTTCATAAATAGAGAATTCGCATTGGCTATTTCAGTTGTTGCTAAGGCGTGTTCCCAAAACTTGTTTTTGACTAGGATTATCTAATTGCTTATCTCGGTTGCACGCAGTTGATGCAAATGCAGAGAAATGTCGTCAATAATTTTATCTGTTGTTTATTTACGTGACCCTTTGAATGTTATGCTGGTTTACTATTTTTTTATAACTTACTTTCGAAGATATAATTGGGAAGAAGACGGACATTTTCATCCTATCCAGTTACCTAATAGTTGCAAAAGAGAGTATGTAAAGTGCTGAAAATTCTAAACCACATAGAAATTACATTAAATATTTTTATCATGTGTATACTAATTGACCTGGAAATCTGCCAATACATCTGTTCCACCAGACGGTATTATTATAAAGAGTTCTGGTAATTTGTAACTTCGCAAACACTTGCGTCCATTAGAGTTGTTCTTTTGCGCTGAAGACAACTAGAAAATTTTTTAGTTAAAAAGCCCATCAAGAATGAAAACCAGTGCAAGTAGACAGGAACATTGATAAAGATTGTTTTATGAGGAATAATAATCGGAGACGGTAAGAAACACAATTGGCTCGTCAACTTGATTAATATTTCTATTTTGAAATAATTGAACTACTGAAGCAGTTATTTAACGTGGATTACTGATCCCACTGTTCTCGGGTGCATCTGTTCACACTTTCTCACCTCAACTATTCAATCAGACTGTGAAAGCCCACCACCTAAAAGAATGGTAATTGAGCGCAACCACCTCAGTAGATAGTAATCCGATTGTACTCATCCATTAGGTTTTCAGGTAACTCTAGACAAAATATTTTTAAGGAAGAGAACTGTTCAGTGTTCTGCAAGCTTTAAGGTCTGTTGCTGAATGTTACATCATCGGGCTAGGCGATTTCATCAGAATTTATTTCATAAAGAAATGAAGCATTTTCAAGTTAGAGGAATGTTTATAAAGGATATATGCCAACCTTAAGCGTTATTGATTGGTAAATTCACCACAGAATTTTAGTAATAATCAGCATTATGGCTGACTAACCAACACGCTTGTAAAGGATCGCATTAACCTGTTAGAAAAAACGTTACAAATAAAATATATAGGAGTGTTCAGTGGCCTTTATCTAATATGTAGACTGTTTTAAGTTCATGAACAAAAAAAGATAGTCAACTTATCGTAAAGGTAGAAAGACCCCTTTCAAAATTAATATGCCACTATTTATACACTTTTATGTTAAACGAAGGATAGAAAACTAGATGATTTGGATTGTCTCAAACATCCCGATGAAGTAGTTTGTAACAACTGTGGACAAAAATTTGACCTTCACTTTCTATAACTTTGACAAACGGTAATTTAGATGGAACTATTTAATTTGCACATTAGAAATAAACTAAACTTGACTGTTGAGAAAAGATTTTTACACATCTTGAAGATATTGATGCAAGATAGGTCCATAAATAACGTCAATAATGTAGGAGTGAAACTTGGGCACAGTGGTAGAATGCAATGCAATGCATATCACACACTGGGATAGTAGTATTTACTGGATTATGTTTCTGATAGTTTTTTGTCCATAGTTTTATCAAGATGGCTACACAACTTTCAGACGTAGTTTATATAGTTCTGAGTTAAGAAGTAGGATTTCCCCTACATTCTGACAGATACTGAGTCATTCCTTTTACATGTATTAGGTGTTGGTTCAATAAACAAAGATTCAGTTACCAATCTCTTCCTCCATCAAGTCGAAATTGTCAGATCCAGTAAGATAGGGAATTTAGAAAAAAGCTCGACTATAACTGTCCATGCAATTACACACCACCACAGAATTCAATGGAACATGGTGGAAATCCTGAAAACTAACATAGAGGGGTGGAGGGAGGCATTGATAACTGAATCTTTGTTTATTGAACCAACACCTAATACATGAAAAAGAAAAGGCTCAACACCTGTCTGGATATAGGGAAATTCTACTACCCATATCACAAAGGAGGCGAGAGAATTAGAACTATGTAGACCATGTCTCAAAGTTGTGGAGCTGTCTTAGTATGACTGTGGAGCACAAATTATGTCCGAAGTGTAATCTAGTAAACAATACTGTTCCACTGCGTGATAAATCTAAAAACCTAACTAAAACGAGCATGACGTCATTATTTTGAACTTCGCGTTGGAGACTGACATAGACCGAAAAACAGTTCAGTAGGCCTAAAAAGCGCTGAACGTCTTTTTCGTCATGACTTAAAACTTGAAACAAACCAGTTAATTTGATACATGATTATTGTTATTATATTCCTGGGTTACATGAGTGATTTTAAAGGCAACACTAGCAACTATTGAGATGACCAATCAGCTTTCGGAATTCCAGCTTGGAATTTAACTCTTGAACTGAGCTATATAACATTGTTACCAATTAAGTCATAAGTAAAATGACTTAAATAAAATAATACGACCAGTGACTCTTACCTGAGATTCATGTTTCCCACTTTTCGGTTAGTATAACAACTATCGTATGAAACTATTTTTTAACATTGTGAATCAACACTTCTGTCTTAATATTTCCATTCATATAGCTATACCAAAGATAAGTATTGATGCGCCAAAAGAAATCAACGCTCGCCTGGGTGAACCATTCAAAATTCGAATTCCTTTCACTGGTGGACCACCTGAAGAAGTTGAATTGGCTAAGGTGAGAGAAATGAATCTTCAATAAAACATGGATCCTCTTAAAATGACACTACCTTTACTCTTTCCGGGTTACTAATAAACTTATTTCAAACAAACCCAAGAATAATGAGAGTAAAATGAAAATATATTATATCGACACAAGAAGATAGCCCCCATCAAACAGTGAAATTTATGGAACCCCTGGAAACTTCTGGATAGTTTATAGGCCTTATGTTTCTAGTCACAGACCCCTCAGCACAACGTACTGGCAGTCTAACATAGCATTAAATCAAAGATTTTCTAGCTTTGTACTGAAGACAAAACTACTAAATTTTTACCTCAGGACTAATGGTTCGTATTTTCAGTTAGCTATACATTTTAACACTTTGGTGACAATGAGTATGTTGACTTGATTCCAGAAGTTTCATCTAAACATTCAGATGTTTTGTAAATGCTTTCCGCCTTCAGTACAGACCAGTAGTGCTCTCAAGTCTTAAAAAAGGAATAACAGTAGCTTTGACTATACAATAAACACTACCTTTTCTAACTTACTAAATGAAAACAGTAGATACTATACTGATTACAGGTTGGGAAGAAACATAATCTGTGTACATATTGTTAGTCAGAATATAGTAATGTAAACACCGAACAATTGTTCCATTCATTTGGAATTGAGCTCAGCGGTGGTATACCTGGACAGATTCATTGCATAAAGTCAACAGTAATCTAACTGACACCACAGTTGGGTAGTTGAACAATTAAATGTTCAGCTGCTAGAAATCTCACCCAAGACCACGGAATTTGCAAACAGTTCACTAACTGATAAGACAATTTAGAATTAAATTTTATTTCGCTTAGCTCTAATAATTCATTTTATGATCAGTAATATTTAAATGGGTATTCAGTGTTCCGAATCAAACATTTAATTTTGAAATCTTTTATGATATTAGAATTCAGTATTCCTGAACGACTTTGCTTTTTCTATCTTTTTAGCGTACATTAATCAGTCTTATTATCTACATAGTTCTATCTGATTATGTAATGTGTTACTACCGTTTCAATTTCTTTTGAAAATAGGATGGAAAACCTGTCCCTCTGGATACAAACCGTTTCAAACTTGAAATAACTCCTGATGAAGTCATTATAACAGATACAAAAGCTGAAAAAGAAGATGCTGGACAATATAAAGTTGCACTGAAAAATGAAAAAGGTGAAGTTTCACACCCACTTACAGTAAAAATTCTAAGTCCACCTGATTCTCCTGAAGGTCCTTTGGAAGTTAGTGACATCAAAGGGGAATCGTGTAAATTAACATGGAATCCACCAAAGGTAATTTTATTGTCATATAGTTTCTAATAATTAAGATCAATTAAAGCTACAAATGAACTGTTCCCCCTCATTATATTATTGTAGAAAAGGGTTTAAAATTCCAGTAAAATGTGTTCTGATGAAAAATGTTTTCATTATTTTCACTCTAGTAACCAGAAACCGAACCACACATTCACTGTATAGATGTCGCTGAGCAACCCACTCAGGTCATTTCTAGTTTCGCGTAATGCATATTATATTAACTAATTAAAATGACTAAAGTATAACTAATCTGACATATAAAACTTAATTTTCTTTTAGAATAATGGAGGATGTCCCATAACAAATTATATTGTGGAGAAGTTAGAGCCAAGAACTGGAGAATGGTTACCTATTAGTAAATTTGTTCGATCCCCAGAATATGAAGTCACTGGCTTGGAAGCTGGCAACAATTATAGATTTCGTGTACGAGCTGAAAATGAACTTGGCGTTAGTGAGCCACTTGAAACACAACGTTCAATATTGGCGGAGGAACCAAGTAGTAAGTTCATTTCATTTAAATATTTTTACACTAACTATTTAGGTAAGATGCTTTAGAAAGAGTAGGGATGAAAACGAGAAGACTGAGGCACAGGAAGGAATGTTTATTATTGACATCATGTACAGTAGTCATCAAATATTGTACACCTTCCACTCAGACAGTCATTTGCATAATGTACTTCATTTCCTCTTCTGCTTCAATCTTGATTTGCTCTTAATACGCCAACATTGCCTCTTGCATTTCTCTGTGCAAAATCTTTACCCACTGCTGGTAATTTCTTATGATTTCTGCCACTTTCTCAATATATACTGCTTATATCCATTCTTATCAGCAACGTCCACTACAGTACGATAGTGTATAAAATGTTCTCCATATTAGTCCGGTAAATTTATGGAAAACGCCAATTAAAATGAATGAAATACGCCATCTATTAAGATATAATAATCAGCTGTTCTTATTTTCATTTATCCTAATAAATATCTATGCTATCACAGAGAAAGCTCTTGACAAAACGAAAAACATGTAATTCAGAAGTACAGAATCAGATGAATTATTTAAAGTTGTCTCCGATATATACACAATATTGTTTTCACTGGTGAAAGTTGTTTGGACTAATAGAGAGAGGAATATTTTGTGAAACAAAAACTATTAAAACTTTTCTTAGTAAACTCCTGTTTAAGACATTTTCAGCAGATGTAATGTGTTGTTTTGATATAGATGCCTAAATTTCATTGCATACTGGTTCGCTAGTTGACCTTAAAGAATTTCAGAAAATATTTACAAATTTGTTTATTTGACATTCATGACATTCGAAAGATATAAATTTAGGATCAGCAACTGTTTAAATTTATAACAAATGTTGTACTTCTTATTTAGGATTCCTTCCAAAACTAAATCATTACTTTCAAAAAAATAGTGGGAAATATTTTCATCAAACTGACCCCTCATGTACAATTTGTAAATCTGTTACTTACTTCATCTATCAATCAGTTGGAGAAGTGTTTTCCTTGTTTGGTGAAACGTTACTGCAATGACATTTCAAGTATTAAGCGCGATTTCTGAACTGCTTTTCGTTTTTTTTTTGACTATTTCTAGAAAGGCAATCTGGAAATTTTCTCTCGTCAACCAATCTGGTATAGATATATATGTTGGTGTGGTTTTTTTCTTAAACTTTCGAGTATGCTGATTGGTTATGAAAGATTTCAAAGATTTTGAACTTCTCTGAAGGGTTAAGAGATCATATCAGACACCATAAGAAGTACTACCTGACTTGCAAATCATTCAGCTTATCAATGATTGAAGTGTAGAACTAATATTCATCCATAAAGTTATACTTTATTTCGTGAGTGCTTTCATCTTCTTAAATTGTATTTTTTGTTACTTTCTCCAGCTGTACCAGATGCTCCAAATAACCTATCAGTAGCTGATGTTGATGCTAACAGTGTAACCCTAGAATGGACTAAACCTCGTAACGATGGTGGAAAAAGAATAAATGGATATGTAATTGAATATAAACCCTAAATTCAACGGAGTGGGAACATGCTGCAACTGTCAAAGAAACAACTGGCACTGGTAAGTAGTTAACTGAAGAACAACTACTCGAACTGGTATGTTGTAACCAGTGCTTAAACATTTCCGACATCTCATACCTTTGTTTTTTAAATTGTTTCTTGTACAGTATAAGCAGGTTTAGGCTTGTTTTCTTACTCGAACAAAGCTGGGCTTAGGTTATTCGACTAACAGCCCGATAGAAGTAAGCAAAGACTCAAGTTATCACACATCAATAACATAACAGAAGAAATAGAGTAAAATCATGAGAAGGCTACTGAAATAACCATAGGTTCTGATTAGACCTTTATTGTCGCGATCCCTTCATACAGATGTATTTCCCTTCCCTCTACCTCAGCTGCAGTCGGTGTCTTTGAAAATGATTAGTAGTGAAAGGTAAAACACTGAAAATTAAAAAGTTAAAATGATGCTTCTTCAGGGCTTAACTTCAATAATTGACGCAAATTCTATTAAATTGTTTGATTTCGATAAGTTCGCCTAGAAAACCAGTTGACAATAGCAGTGTGGTTTGAATAGGCGGTTTATTTTATTGAGTCGTCGTGCCTCCTGTGTGACTCTAGAGGTCACCCTAGCCACTACAACAATCATCAGTTAGATTTATTTGTTACTGGAGAAGCTAGCTTCTCAAGTAAAGTGAAGAAAAATGGTTGGCTATTTCACTGGTTGCTGAAGTAGCCTTTGGTTTACCTACTACCTAATTTAATACTCGATAAGATAGACACTTGATATCTACAAAGATCCTTAATAACTTAACTAGTGTGGATAGATTAATTACTAGAATCTAATACAACTCTATGATAAAATAAAACAGTAAGAGAGACTTTAAAGGCCACTGTAGCAACGATCAAAATAACCAATTACGTTTCTCTTTTTCGTCTGGAAAGGTAGGTTTTCATAAAATAGGGGAGTCTAATTGGTTATTTCAGTTGGTGCTAGCAACTGATGAGACAGCCAGTTACATTCCTCTATTTCATAGAAAGGTACTTTTCCAGGCAAAATACCGAAGCTTAATTGGTCTATTAAACAGTTCTAGGGTGGCCTTTTAAGTCACTCGAGAATCCAGATGAACGAAGAGAAGCCTATAAAAGAAGCTCATAAGAATAGGATTTATTTTGCTGATATCAACGCTGTATTTTTTTATTATTCACTTATCACTCATACGAATATGGTTGAGATCACTTTAGTAACGCCTACTTACTAAGGTCAAAATTGTTCAGTCCTGGGACACTCCTCATGTGATTAAATGATGGGTTCATCATTTAATCTGAATGAGTGTCAATATTTATGACTGTTTAAGGCATTTGAATTTTGTTTATATGATCATATGTAGTAACAGTCAGCTGTTGGTAGGTTTACGTCTAGCATTTAGGTACTCTGTTGCAAGAGTATGGGTAGAAGAGTGAGTTTGGTGGTTGACCACTAGAATCTGGAAGAGAAAAACGTGAGCCAATGACTCAGTAAGTACAAATTATATATGTATAAGCTGATTATGTTAAGTTGTAAACCAAAAACTCTATTTTTATTTTTTAGTCGACGGTCTAAAGAAGGGAGAGAAATATATGTTCCGTGTCTCAGCTAGAAATGAAGTGGGCGTTAGTCAGCCTTGCTCAACCAATCGTGCAGTGGAGTGCAAGCCAAAACATAGTAAGTAAATATTTGACTTAAAGAATAATGGATGTTTTTCAAGGTATTTAGATGAACTTACACAAAATATTAAATGAGTATCAAAAGCTAGTTATAATTTGATCTTGTAATGTCAAACCTAAGAAAGAAACACACAACATTACCTGGATTCTCAAGTAATTTCGAAACGAATATGAAGAATCTGTGTTCACGCATAAGCCAATGAAGTCCATTAAAAAACAAACCACTAAAGCATTCACCTGTCACACGTACCAGCCAAAACCTTGATGAGAGCTACCTTAGCTACAGAGCGATGTCTCACAAATTTACTTTTACACCTACGCAATCAGATCATCCAGTACAATTGTGGTTTTGTCATCAGATAAGAACATATGTACCAAAATCCATTGCTAACCCCACAGTATATAACCAATAGAAATGGAATGGCGCACCCGAATAACAAAGGCCTTCGTAAATTATTTGGTTGAAATTTGCTAGACACATGGTTTTTTTATCAGTTCATTATTGTTCATAAATGTTATCATCATATATTATGACTGTTTCCTAACTTAAAGGGAGAACCGTTTGACGTGTGCTGGGAGATAACTGTATTTACCGAGTCTTAAATTAAAGTGAATGAAGTGAAATAAAAGTCTAATTGTCAGTCGTGTTTCTTAGTTCAGTTAATATAGCACTGGGTTGGCCAATGGTTCGAACCCTGCCAAGGACCAAATTTCTAGCTTCACCCCTAATCATCATTCAGCATCAATACACGTCAGCGAAACCACAATTATCACGGAAAGTCACACCGATAATAAGGCACAATTCACAAATAGGATGATGCCACCTGGTATTACACACATAAGAACTTTTTATTCCGGCTGAAGACAGAAAGTTTTTAATAAACTGATAACATTTTCCGACGGCTTGTGAGAATTGTGGACCACTTAGTTTTCAGAGAAAAAAACAGTTGAATGTATTTTGATGTCGAAAAGTCAAACAATTTCTGTGGATTGTGGTTTGAACATACAGAAATTTGATCGTCCCTTCAGAATATTGTGACAATCAGCTGTTGGTAGGTTTTCATCTAGCGTGTAGGCATGCTGTCGTGGGGGGACACGTAGAAAAGTGTGTGTTTCACAGTGATCACGAGAATCTGGAAGAGAAAAGCGTGATTGACAACTCAGTAAGCACACAGGATGTACTTACATCTAATAATAAAAGATAATCGACGAGCAGTAGTAATTGGCAGCGGGAAAGTGAAACAGTCTAGTAACCGGAACTGGAAAGTGGATGATAAAGGTTATGAATGTGTTACAATATTTCTTCTATTGAGGCAACAAAAGATCATGTGATCATATCACGTCTAAAATACATTTAATGCTTGAATTTCCCGAAGAAGTTAATAACGTTCAAATATATACACAGAGGGAGTTATTTTATTGTGGTATGGCAACAGAATCGCCTCTAGACCCCTCCTAGCTGACTGCTTTATGGCAAGTCTAGAAAACAAAACCTTATCAAAAACAATCACTCAGCCTCATATCTACAAAAGATACGCAGATGATTTCTTCATTATTTGTGAAGAGAATGCAAATCTCGAAAACTTGCTTCAGATTTTCAGTAGTCCTCATTCCGTTATCGAATTCACTCTAGAATCGGAGTGGAACTCAAAACTCCACTTCCTTGGTGTACTACTCCAAAAAAAGACGACAATTCAATCCAGAGATCAATTTACAAAAGTAAACTTGGGACAGACAGTTTATTAATTTTCAAAGCTGTGTGGCTTTAAGTATAAAGAGGAATCTTATCAATTCATTCTTTTCGAGAATACGAAAAATATGCACGGAGAATACCACTCAAGGTGAACTAGAAAACTTGCGAGAAATCTTGATGAAAAGTAGATACTCACTGAAATTTACAAATCAGTATTTAAAGCCAAAAACACGCCACGGGACGCGTGCAAACCGCTCCACAAAAGATTTTCCTGTCGGACCTCAAATTTAAGGAAGATAATGCTACAGATACACTTAGAAAGTGGCTATCAAGAGCCATAGACAGAACATTCTTTGCCGCCAATCTTAGAATCATATTCTCCTGTCAGAAACTTATTCATAAGTAGGTGAAGGATATTTAAGAGCATTGGGCCACACCAGTGTGCGTATATTAGTTTACTTGCTCCTGTTAAGCTGAGTACATCGGCCTTATGCTAAGCCAGCTTACACAACGCACTTGGGGACACTAGTCAACTTGGCTGACAAGGGAAGAATGTAAATGCATCCTCAGCTCTGTAACAGAACACTTAGTAAACTCAAGACGTTTGAGACCTCTTCATAAATCCTTCAAAATTTTGTACAAAGTGTAACCAAGCCACTGGATGGGAGTAAGGCTACGACATCTAGGTGTAGTTGAAACATGAGTGATTCAAAAGTTCGAACAGTCATTATGCGTTCAAACCTCTTTCTTTGCTATGTTCATTGTAGAGGTTCAATCACTCTAGATAATTCTCATACGACGTAACTATTTTTGTTTTGTTTTCATGCTGTTTATTTTCCCCTTTTAAATGCCTATAGACATAACGTAAATTTCCCACGTCATGCAGTTTATATTGACCTCTGACTGGGAATTAATCTGGAATGTTCTATCATTTTACTGCATAGATGGCTCTTGTTTTCAGGTTTTATGTCATGATGACATGATATCTTAGTCCATTCATAATTACAAGTCTTATAACCAAAATACGGCATAAATCAGGCAAACGGTTAAGAATTTAGATATTTTTACTTAAAATTATGATATGTAACGGATGTTATCATAACTAAAGAGTCACGTAATTTTTAACTATACTTCTGTCCTGTATCAAGTCCCTCAGTTTCTAGACCATCATCGTAACTGTTTGCATTGTCAGTTTCTGAAGAGATCTGTAAAAACAATTATTTCCACGAAATGGAGAAATTTAGTGTTCTGAAGTCATTTTAAATTATTTATCTTCCTTCTATTCTATTTCTAATTGAAGACCATCAACTGGAACACTATTGAAAGTCATCAAATGATGGACAAATGTGCTTGACCTAGATTGAAGATACTGAACAGTGCACAATTTCGATCCTACTTAAAATTGAATCTGGAAGTGCCAGCCCTTGGTTTCCATGCAAACAGATTGATTATACATTATACATTCAATTCTGTTAAATAAATTAGTGCAAAGAAAAACTCAATTTATAAACATGATTGGCAAAATCAAACCTAGGCATCCTATAATATACTAGGTGCTAGCTAAACCACTTAAAAATGAGATACTTTGGTATCGACTAGGAGTGCCCGGATAATAAATCCATTGTAACCTGTATTCTGTCAACTTCTCTATATAGTTTAGGTCAACAAATATTCAAGGACTAGTGACAGTCTGTAGATTTTTCTCCTAGTGGTCACTTTAAACATATTGTTTAGATTTTATAGTAGTAGGAGGCAGTGGCTAGAAGCGGAATCCAGGACGTACGTTTCTTCCCATTTGAGACTCATCGGTTGGATATTCCTGCCTCCCAGTAGGTGGTATTGTTGCCACTACGACTCGAATCAGGGACCAGTCACTACAAACTCCAGAGCGTTATGCAATAAGCCACTGAGTCATGGCAACCAGTTCTTGTGCAATGGATTTAGTTCTTATGTTCTTGATTGTATTGTTCAGAGTTAGCTTTTGGAGACTTTGTGGAACTCCAAAATGCAGAAGATAGTCAAATTTTCTGTTTGATTCTTTCTTAACAGCTACAGCCGACAGCCCAGGTAGACCAAATGTGGATGACGTTGGAAAGAAATCAATCGACTTATCGTGGTCTCGACCAGTTAAAGATGGTGGAGCCAGAGTGACGGGATATATTGTCGAGAAACGTAAGAAGAATTCATCAGACTGGGAACCTGCTGTCCCAGGAAATACACCTGTAACCGGAACACAAGCGCATATCGACGGACTGGATGAGAATGGTGAATATGAATTCAGAGTCAGACCAGTGAACGCAGCTGGAGTTGGTGAACCCAGTGAACCAACTGCAATGACTAAAATTGGGCCAAAGAAAGGTAGGCGATGGTCTCCAAAAAGTTCTCACTTATCATCTATGTCAACTGAAGATTACAACAATGCAGACCAATTTTAGTGATTAACTATAAAATTCTTTTAAAACATCAGATGTAAGAAATCTCAAAGTTTACAAGCCTTCCAGATCAAATAAATAATGATCGAAGACGGGTACTCATTGATGACATTCAGTGAAAACCATTGACTGCAGCTGAAATGTGTCAACCATTGGATTCTAAATTAATAGTTGAAGGCGAGATGTTTTCTGTGATAGTTCAAGATTTTTGACCTTATCCGAATGTACTGCCAAATTGAAACAAAAGAGCTGTCCACAGCTTCCTAGTTTTGAGTGGTGTTACATCTATTATTGAATCTTAGGGAAAGTTATCTTGAAAGCAGTCACTTCTCTGCAAAATATTCAGCATTAGTGGCAGTTTTCCACGTATTTATTCGTGAGTTAAAAGGTGATGCACTTGTTACTTGCAAAGTACTTCTAAGTGATACGATATGGTATCTGAGTGATACTGCTAAGGTTTTAAGGAATTATTTCGTAAGCGTTTTACTATGTGCACAATACATCATTGATGTTAAAATGGTAACTCAGAAAATCTGTTTCCACCTTTCCAAGAATGAGTGATACGGTTTCAAGTTGTACGTTTTGTGTTCTAACTATAAATGGTTTTGGATTTTGGCAGAGATATTTTCCCTCATGAGAAAAACAATGATAATTTAGATCCAAATTTGAGTTGAACAAGGTCTGTGTTATATGAGATGAGATGATAAGTATCTCGATTTCAAAAGGATATTACTCCATATTAAAAGAAACATGGACCCTGTTTTATAAAGTGGTAGATAAATTTATGAACTTGGTTTTCTTTATCTAATAAAACTTCCGTTTATTTTTGTAATTAAGAAAAAAGCCCTAATAATCTCACTTTCAGATGCATTTCAAGATTTTTTAATTCCAACAAAACACTTTCAAATTAGCACCCCAGCTGTATGAAGACATTTTAACTATCTCGAAACAAAATTAAATATAAGTGTCAAAACTCAAGTTGGTAATAGTCATAGCGTAGACTGTATGTTAGTAGGTGTTATGAAAGTGGAAAACTTTTGGGGTATTCTTTGTATCAGGGATACTTTAAGGTATGCTTAGTTTTTTTTGTTCCCCAATTTCTGACAGATAAACCGAAAACCAACTAGCTATAACTATATCAAATTTCGCGGAAGGACGAAGAAGAATAGGTTCAAGTTGTCAGAAAGAGAAAATCATCGCAATGAAGGAAATATTTAAATAACTTAGAAGGATATCAATTATAAGGGGATCATGCTGCTGTACGTATGTATAGTACTGTAAAGATTATATATAGGTTAATTACACTCTAGACTGGTAGATGGTTGAACTGCTGCTGTATTTATGACCCTAATATTACTAACTTACTACAATCCACAGTTGACTATCCTATAACCAAGTCAAATGACTGAACTGGTAGCCTATCGACAGTTTATATTACTCGATAATATCCAGAACCAATAACTAGAATTGTGGACATTTGTGAAACAAAACAATCCCTTATGCACAAAGATATAATCAAGGTGGTATAAACATCATATTTACTTGAAATAACAAGTAGTCAATCAAGGAGTTTAGTGAGGTTAGCAGCCAGATAACCAAAGTGACGTTACGGTTTTATACGCCTTAACAGCAAGAAAAAAAATGAGGAAGAAGAAGAATGAAGCTACCTGTTACACTATAACAATTTTTGAGCCATTTCACCCACCGTCTCCAAACTTAAGTACTGTTATCTCGAGGGCTAAAATCATAAAGCCAGCACTTTCCTACATGATTCTAATCAAAAACCAATGAAACTATGGTTTGCCACAGCCTCTTAATGTGACCAACTTTGGTTATTTTCTAACTCAACCCTACTACTGTTCATTGAAGTATATAGCATGGGCTCTTAAATTTGGGTATCGATGACCACTATATCAACTGATATTTTATTTTACGAAGACAGGATGAGTAGCATTCAAAGTGTTTAGTGAAACAAGTTTGAGATTGTTGATAATACTTAAATATTCCTTTTCAGCGTCACTGCTAAAGCAACATCTTACTAGTTTTCTTAGCATACTTAAACAGGTGAAAACCGGATGTATCAGTGTGACAGTACGTTCAATCACACTTCAAAATAATGCCACTTACAACTGAACTCATAAGCGTTTAACAAGAAAATATCTCAGCAAGTCTGAATCAGCATAGAAAATATTTTTGGCACTTTCTTTTATATCATACAGATAAACCCAGCTCACCTGAAGATGTTGAGATCACTGATCTTACAGCTGAAAGCTGCAAACTAGTTTGGAAGCCTCCAACTAAAGACGGCGGTGCCCCAATCACTGGTAAGAAAATATTGCTGAAATCATTATTTATTAAATTAGCACAATACCTCGAAGTCATAACACAGTTTGTATAGCATATGCTGAGTGTTTCTATTATCTTAGCACAGTTAGTTTAAAACTGTTGTATTGAGGATAGATGTTCAACTAAGTTGTCACATTACAACGTTTCTTGATTTAAGGTATTATACCGTAAATTACTGCACATATTAGAGTGACAGATCCTGCCTAAATGTCATAAGTTGGTGCCTGGACATGGATCACAGGTCAAGCAATCCGACAGCTCAGAAATATAGTAGAGACATAAATCTTACCTTAATTACACATAGACTGGAATGTGTGGCTATAATGAATCACAAAATTGATATTCTATGGATCACTTAAGTGTGTGAACGTCCCTCCCTAACATATGCAAAACTTCCTGCTATCGATGCGTCTATAAGCTCGTCAAATGTAGAATTAGAGTGAATTCGCTCGGCTCTGGCATCTGAAGTGACGGGTGCTGGGTTCGATTCTCAGTGGGAACAGGATCACTTATTGGGATATAGGTACATCCATCTGACAAGACGGACCAGTTCAGTCCGGGATTATAATCAAGAGGAAATTACAAGCATCAATAAATAGATATAACTGAGTAGTTTGTCAAGGCCCGGCTGGAGCGTACCAAAGTGATCGACAGTCTTGCAGAAGTATGGAAATGAATTAATACAATCATAAGATATTCTTAGAAAAGGTGTAACTAAGTGCTAAATGTTGTCTAGTATTAGGTGTTTCTTTGAACGACTTCAGCCAGTGAAGAAAAACTTTTTAACTAAATTCCTGAATGCAGCAAATATTGCTGTTAGAAAAGCTTAAAGCAAATCAATTAGTGGTATAACGCTATGGTTCGTAAAAGTAGTGGTTGGTGTGATTCAGTAGCCTAGGGGATAACGCTGCGATATATGAAGTGATGAGTTCTACGTTCGAGCCTCAGTGGAAACAATATTACATTTTGGGAAGCAAGTACATTCAACTGCCGAGTACCAAACAGGACGAAACACTTGTCTTGGATTCCACTGGTCCAGGTTCTCACCCCACATCTTCCCACTTCTGGATGTCCACTGATTACATAGACCACAATTCTGAACATACGCTACAAGAACTGGCAGTTCTAGATTAGTTCCTGGCACCTGCTTGGAGGAGCCATGCGTGCAGTTCATGACCAAATACATGCTTAGGCGTGGGTGGCTCAGAGATACACTAATAACTGGAATAAAGTGGTTAGGAAGAAGCACTGAATGCTGGCATGTTGTGGATGGATTGGAAGAGTCTGATGAGGCAGGCGCTGAGGCGGAAGATCGACTTGTCACGGATATTTTGCAAGGAGAAAACAGGTTAAAGCCGCTTTTGAGCAAGGCTTAGATTGTTGCAGTCAAGTGTACATTGGTATATTGGTACCAAATTATTGGTTTTAAATAACTTTGAGGATTATATCAGTACTGTGCAGAGAAGGAAGTGGTAGAGTATATTTTGCCTCAAATTTGAATGTATTCCCATTTAAAATTTCCCAAGTATTTCAATAAATGTTGCAATTTGAATTCAATTAGTATACCAAGCAAATATATGTGCTAGGAGTATAGCTGATAGCTTGGTCACTTTGCACAAAAATATATGCTGATTAACAGTATCGCTTGTTATCGTTAGATAAAACAGGGTAGCGTTACGTTCAAACAATTAGCAGCATATGAAGTTGTTCAATGTTGAATGGTTCCTCTTAATGACTAACCTTCATTGTTAAATACTTCAAGCTATTTTATTTTAAAGTCTTTATTTGTGATACTGAAGTAAAAGTGATACGTGTTTCAAAAAGAATTTTAGTGTTCATTTAAGGCAATTTATTTTACAATTGTAAGATAAAATTCATTTAAAATGAAGTTGCACCTCCCAGCATATTTTATTACTGAGCTTTTATTCTATTTTGGTTATGCATCATTTTACATGTTACTGTAAAATTAAAAATCTCATATCTCTACTCTTATTATCTCGCCTTTTCTTAATGAATGTATAGATTACATCGTAGAGAAATGCGATGCAGCAACAGGAATCTGGGAGAAAGTTCCAGCTATAATTGTTGGGACATCTTGCCCTATAAAAGGTTTGGTTGAAGGAAAACGTTATAGATTTCGAGTATCTGCTGTTAATCCACTGGGTCAGAGTGAACCTGCTGAGTTGTTGAACGCTGTGACAGCCAAAAATCCTTTCGGTAAGCGAATTCATTTTTTAAAAAGTATTTTCATCATCAAATTCCTTTTCCAATAGATGCTCCTGATTCACCTGAGAATTTGAATATGGATGCATTCGATAAACACTCTGTGGATCTTTCATGGACTCCTCCAAAACACGATGGTGGTAATCCTATCAAAGGTAATTACATTGAAAATTTCACATTTTAAGTGTTATATTTACTAATATGATATTGTAATAGTTATTAAAGCATTACAGCTTTAGCCATTTAAGGCGATCTTTCCGATTAATAGTCAGTACTACTCATTTCATTCATAGCACTGATAACTATGTTTTTTCAATGTTTATATCGTTTTATTTGCAAAAATAGGGTACCTAGTTGAAAAGCGTACACCTAAAGGAGAGTGGAAACCGGCAACAACAGGATTGGTCACTGGTCCTTCTGCTCATCTAACAGGTCTTGAACCAGGTGAAACATATGAGTTCCGTGTAAGTGCTGTGAATGATGGTGGACCAGGGCGTCCGTCTAGAGCAACAGCACCTCATGTTATGAAAGACCCTAGTTGTAAGTTATTATTATTTACCGAAAATTCTTTAGTATTTTGTATATCTTATTAATCTATGATGCTGAGAGCAAACTAGTTACGTAGCTTTACCATAATAATAATAGCTTTGCTTCAAACAAAATGTGTGCTACAGTATAGAATTCTTAGCACGTAATAGTTCAATGAATTCATTTTCAGTACAATATCTTTAGGTGAAATAATCATTGCATTTAAATATGTTAATAATAACAGTAATGAAAGTCACTATGTGAAACAGGTATTATAAATTAACTTCTGGTTTGACCGATGAATGCATAGAATAGCGGGCGTAATTATGATGGTGAAAGTTTATTCAGACAGCGCCAAAATTTGCGATTCGACATAGTTATCCATGGAATAGTAATGTACAGTAATTCTGTGCATTTATAAGCCTAACTCTTACTGGCGTATCCTTTCTTTTGGTTTTTTGTCAGCTTGGAAAACGGCAGTTTGAAATCATCTTAAAAGTGTGCAAGAATACATGGCGCACTTAAGAGACATATTTAAAAGATTAAAACAAATGGTAAAGAAAGAATTTGATAGCCCAAAGTTTAAGAAGACTGTCTTGACTTTTAATTCTTGTATCTGAACATGGATTTGAATGTATCCTGACCAACAAGGGACTGGATGGTTTGAAAAAACTTGAGTAGCTATGGGCACTACGATGTATATGGATTGGCTGAATATTATCAACTAACGAAATTTTAGTTCTTCAATATTAAGTTCTACATCCAGTTAGAGATGAGAAATGGGTGTGATTTAATTTATTTTCTAGCTAGTCATTAACAATAGCGTTCAATTTAGGAAACAATCTCTTAGAAATGAATTCCTTTGAATGTGATTTCTCATTAATTAAATAGATCCTGCTGCACCACCTGAGTCTTTGAATGTGGATAAAGTCAACAAGAATGGAGTGAAATTATCATGGCAAAAACCAAGAAAAGATGGTGGAAGTAAAATCACCGGTTATCAAGTTGAAAAGAAAGATGAGAATGGTGATTGGGTTCCTGTGAAACAGACTACTGAACCGTGTGCATTTATTCCAATGAAAGAAGGTGAGACTGGACAATTTCGTGTACGTGCAGTGAATGATGAGGGTCCGGGTGAACCGACTCGTCCTACTGCTCCTGTGACAGCTGGTGACCAACCTGAAGCACCGAGAATATGTACACCTGATGATTGTGTTGGTGGTTTGGGCAGTGGTGTTGGTGGTTTGAAAGATATTTCTGTGAAAGTAAGTACCATAATATAAATCAAAAACATTTGATATAAACACTTAAACCATTGTTGAGTTGGATTACTATACTGGTACTGGTACTGTACTGGTGTTAATACGTGACTTCTCATTGGCTAATTGCATTTATCTAACCTTAAGGGTAAGGCACATTATGTTCATGGGTTATTCATTTTACTGATTATACTTGGTAACTTGGTTGAATGAAATTGATAAGCATTAAAATATGACGGAAAGGCAGAATTTATTACTTTTCTAATTCCCCGCATACAGTTCGTGACTGTTTAGCTTTCTCCGATTGCTGATGAACCAACCTAGTCTGACGATGAGACACTCACTATCGATATTCAGAATGCATGTCACGATGATCTACATTCTGGGCTAAAAATCTGGACCATAGCAGACTTTTTCGATTTATACTTAAATTTAGGATGCATATTCTTGTACATGTCTTGGATAGAGTATGTATTTACCAGTCTCAAGGTCATGAACGCTTCATTTTATGAAGTTTTCTCATAGCATCGAAATAAGATTTGATAACTTTTGTCTTGTTCTATGCAAAATAAAGTGTCTTTCAGAGATTCAGATACATTATCAACAATTATGGATTAATTTGCCTAACAGTAGTACTTGCAATGTATATCACGAAATAAATACCTTAATGAATCTTCTTTTTTTTCCTGTCTGTATAGGCTTATATTTTCATAAACATGTGTTAAGATAACAGTGGGATTATTTGTATTATCAGTTTTCAGAAATCCGATTGAACCACCGATAGTAAATGAAATAGAATGTAATTATTTTTACTATTATGTACTAATCAATAATGTGTTTACTTAATAAATAAGGCTGGACAAGAATTAAAATTACCAGTGGCTTGGTTTGGTCACCCGAAACCCACATTTACTTGGACGCTGAATGGTGAACCTGTGAAAGTTGATGGAGTTCGCGTTACACAGAAAGATCAACCCTTACCACCTCCTGCTCATCCTGGACCTGGAGGACATTTGGAGCTTTCACCTGGTGGTGTTACTGTGCTCGTTGTACCTAATGTGAAGCGAAGTGATCACGGAAGATATCAATTAACAGTCGCAAATGATTTGGGCCAAGCAAGTACTTCATGTCAAGTAGAAGTATTGGGTAAGTCAGGGAACACAATAATCTCAAACTAAAATTGATGTTTTATCATGGTTATAAATAAAGTCATCTAGTCTGTAGGATACTAAATGGAGCATATAAGAGGATTTCTGGTTTCTTCTACTTTGCTTTGCCTTGACTAATATGGTTATTAGCTTTAACACAAGAACTTCTACTGACAATGTTAACAATAATTATAAGCTCATTTGGATTTGATGTATGAATGATACACAGGCCAATTTAAAGCGCAATAGGTTTCTGCCAACAAGCGCTGTTAAAAAGATACTACTTGGTAATCTAATTATCACGCATAACATAAGGGTTGAGAGGAGGAGATTAGTAAATCAAATGAAGAAATATTCTTTTCTGGAAAGTTTTTGAGCAAGTTTACAGGTCACTCTGACAATGACTGAAGTGACCAACCAAATGTCTTCATTCAATGAAGAAAACTATTTTTCCAGCCTAAAAAGTAATCTGGTCTGTTTATTCAAATGGTTGTTAAAGTTATGAAGTAAGCTTACAATAATGATAGCAATAATTAGGGCCGACTTTAAAGGCCACCTTAGCAACCATTGAAATAACCAATTAGGTTTCTTCATTCAGTCTGGAACAGAATGTTTTCATAAAATGCAGAAGTCTTATTGGTTGTTCCAGTTGTTGCCAGGCTGGCCCTTAAAGCCACTTTATAATCGAGCGACTTTAAAGGCCACACAGGCAACTGTGGAAACAACCAATCAGGTTTCGGTATTTCATCTTGAAAGGTGATTTTTATTTTCATAAAATACAGAAGCCTAACTGGTTTCTCCACAGTTGCTAGGGTGCCTTTAAAGTCACTCTGGATTTGTGTTTGATTGCGTGGCAAATCATCTCAATCGTTTAAACACGATGTTAAACCATTTCTGTAATTAGATTCATAATCAGTTTGAGTAAACAACGGTCATTAGGATATCAAGGATAGAAAGTGACTAGAAATAGGACCCAGGATGTGCATTTCGTTCTATTTGAGATTCGTCAACTGGATATACCTGCATAACTAGCGAGTGGAGTCCTCATTGAGACTTGGACCTAGTATTTGCCGCTTCAAAAGTCGGGATGTTATCAACTAGGCTAATGATCATGATAGCCACTCTTTAAAAACCGAATGTAGTTTTATGCTTAGACTTGTTATTATCTTTCTTTGATTAGTTTGGACAGAACTCATATACCTTTGTTGGTATATTGGTTCATGTGTGAATACCTCGATATAGCTGGTGGTTTCATTTTAACATTAGTAGTGCATAGTGGCTGATAGTGGAGTTCAGAATATGCCTTTCATCCTATTTTGGGTTTGTCAGTTTTGATAGACATGCATTCCAGTGAGTGATGCTGTTTTAAATGAGACCCGAATCAAGAACTTGTCGCAAACCCTCACTGATCAATTTGTGCCAATACTAAGGCTTCCGCATAGAAGCCCATATACCAACAGAGATTGATCACTTCGATTTAGTATAATGATCAAGAGAAAGTTACAAGTTCACTTAGTAAAGAAATATAATCCATGTGTCTTTCTCGATAACGTCTTATCTTTACTTGTTGTATGAACCGGTCTTTATGAACCTGTTGTCGTATAAATTGGTATAAATGCATGTATATGAGCCTTTTTTGTTCTTTTACCCGTTCGTTTTACACTGTCATTTAAACTTGAAACAATTGGTAGTACATGCAATAGAATTTCATGAACACCATTATTAATCCCCCAAAAGTATTTGAAAACTTTACATAAACTTTTACAGTGCTTGCTCAAGGCTTGCATAATAGAAAAAAAAATGAATTTTACAATGTATGAAGAAAATAATCTGATGTAATATTATTCTATATTGATTTAAGCCATGAATGCATCCTTGTGGTTTCGTTCATCTCTTGTACAAGTTGGATTAATTTATCATCTTACATTCTTTAAGCTAAACAAATACCTATAAAGGACACTGTACAAACTGAGAATCCTTCAATAAGATCGTAGTTTAGTGGGTACTACTGGTAAGAATGCATATAAGCAGTATATGGTGAGAGGTCAGAAGAAGTGGACAATTACGGGCGATGGATAAATATTCTGCCCAGAGAAGCACAAAAGAGGACGTAGCCGTATCAGTAGGAAGGCCAGACAGGAGAAGAAGAACTTAAACATGTTGTGCAAATTGCTATTTCAATGGAAGTTTATAATGTTTAAACAGTAATGCATAAATTGTCATAATAAACATTCCTTCTGCGATTCACCCTTGGCCCTTTTCCTTCAATTGGTGTATCTGCTTCTGGATGTGGTGAAAATTCCGTGGTCTGTGGCGTTCGAGGATGGGGATATCAAGGTCTTCCTCAGGGACTTTGAGTCAGTGGCGGAGTTGATGGGTGTCCGTGATCCAGGAGCGAAGGTCATGGTTCTTGGCACGTAGCTGAGAGGGTCAGCGAAAGCGGCATATGACAGCGTGGAACACGTGGATGAGAAGGAGACTTGGGAGAGAGTAATCGAGCACCTGGAGGCGGAGTTTGACAGCCCAACGGTCAGGGAGCTGGCAATGCAGCAGTTCTGGAGCATGAAACTTGGAATAGACAAAGGTCCGCTGGTATTGGTTGTAAAGTTGACAAGTCTGTTTCGCCAAGTAATTCCTACTCTTGAAGAAGATCCCTAGAAGCAGTTCTTGGCAGCGAAAGTAACCGAAACGCCATCACCCAGCACCTATGATCAGTGAGCACATCCTAACCCGAGGATATTAGTGAGTTGGTGAAGGTGATCAGCCAGTTGATAGGTACAGCAGTAGTTGCGGTAGAGTTATTAGATGTAAATACCTTGAAAAAACAAAAAGATAATCTTCGGGAGAAGATAGCTGCATTTCGATTGAATATCGATAGGCAGAGTGAATGCTTAGCTAGGTAGAATATTTATCCATCGTCCGTAATTGCCCACTTCTTCTGGCCACTCAACATATACTACTTATATGCATCCTTATCAGTACTATCCATTACAATAGTTCATAACTATTTCGTATCCATTATACAGTTTTCATTAGATCTACTTTTGTGACTAACATTAACTGATATATTTTTACACAAAGAATAGACATATTTTTTGTTGATAGATGAATGAATGAATGTCTGAGTAATAAAATGAAACAAGAGTTCAAGGTTGGATCTAGGGTAATCTAAATTTGACATTCAGATTGAAACTTTTTTGTAAAAAGCACTTTGAAAGAGAATGTCAGTTAAGAAAATAACAATACTACTCTAAATTTAGTACACCTTCAGTTATGAGAGATTCACTTTTAGTTCTGAGACTATTATCTCTGCTTCAGTTGGTGTATATTATCTAAATGCACAAACTTAAACTTTACAGATTTCTTTCTCAGTGCAATGAATTATGTCAAGAAGCCTGTGAATAGACATCAGCCTTGTTGACTGATTGGTCGACTTCATTCTGGTTTTCGCAATATCAGTTGAAGTCTCATTCATGTCGTGGAGGTATTTGACAGCAGTTTTATCATAGTGTTGAACACCTTAGAAGTGCTCATTCACAACTTTGTAAGACAATGAGCCTAGGTCCACCAGGTTTAATGTAAGAACAAGTTATGATTCAATATCTATGATGTTAACCAGTGGTTCACATTTTCCAACTTCTATTGATTCTTCACTGTTCAATGTCATTTACGAGCACTTGTTCACACACACACGCAATCTTAAGAAATTCATCTTATCACAAGCATATAAATGTTATTTGACTGATTCGTTTGTGGAGAATTGTTTGATTTAAGAGTAGTTCTCATAACACTGATATCTGCTCATGAATAAAACCAATATACACATAGATTATTCTTTTTCAATCAGTAGATGCTATCAGAATGAAATTAGTTTTATGAGTCGGTATTTGCTGCTTATACCTCTGTTTGGTTTATATTCAGATGCTCCGTCTGCACCAGGTGGACCACTTGAAGCAACTGACGTTAGTGCAAATGAAATAACTTTGAGTTGGAAACCACCAGGGGATGATGGTGGACAACCGATCACTAATTATATACTTGAGAAACGTCCCAAAGGTTCAGACAGGTTAGTTAGTCTACTTTACATTTTTCAAATCTTGTAAATTGACATTACTGATGGTGTTTTGTAAGGAGATATAATGATTCACTAATTTGTTTACTTGTTTACTTAGTTGGCAGAAAGTTAGTGGATTCTTGAAGTCTCCGAATGCCACTGTCAGAAATCTTCAAGAGGGTACAGAGTATGAATTCCGAGTCATGGCTGAAAATCCACTTGGAGTCAGTGAACCGTTAGTTACAACTCAACCCATTAAAGCGAAACATCCATTTGGTAAGTAACTAATGACTAGTCAAGTCATGTATGATGGATGATATTCTCTTTGGTTATTCCTGGTCTATGATACTATGACTTGATTTTTCATGAAATAATTTTGAATGTAAAATCAGCTATTTTTAGGAAATCAGTTCTCACTAGAAGTTATTATTTGAGTTAACTTACTCAAAAAGCAAAGACTACAAAAGGAAGGATGGAAAGATATTTTAGTTTCTGGGGTTTGAGCACCGAAAACCATCATTTAAGAAAACTTCCATCTGCCTTTCTATCTAAAATTCTTAGGTGAGATGAAGGAGAAAACGTGTAACTTATGGGAAGGGTTTTAGTAGTGTCATGTTCTCTGAGTCAGCACAAAAAACATAACACCACCAAAGTCTTAAGTGAGAATATAAATATCCGTACACAAGATTTTAACTGGTTTCCCTCAAAATACTGCTAGTACTACTTAAAACGCTGTCTTTGTTTTGGTTTTCTACACTTCTGTGACTGACTTATTATCGTGCAGTTATGATAGTAAAGAAAACAGTCTCAACTGCCTACATGTAACATTAAGTTCCAGACATATGGAACAAGTAGTTAAGCAGAAATTTGTTCATTTGACATCATGCTAAATAAGTAAGCAATGACTGGCAGTGTAACCCCATCTAAGCTGTTTCTGTATTCCTGGTTGCTTCTTTAGATGTTCTTTCACTTGTAAGCCTACGTTTGCTTATTTGTATCTTTTTGATGTGTTCCAGACCCACCTTCAGGAATGTCTCAACCAACAGTTGAAAATGTTACAGATGACTCGGTAACATTATCGTGGGAACCACCAAGAAAAGGTCCGGTCACTGGTTATACCATAGAAAAACGTGGCAAAGGAGATCGCAACTGGTCAAAGTAAGGAACTTTTTCTTAGAATTTATCAAATGAAAAAGTTTCTTATGCTTTAAGTTGATGCCTTAAATTACCAACCACACTGTTTTCTGGAATATCACTATTATCAAGTGTGAGACAATTGGCTTATCGGTTCCCAAAGTGTGTTGACAAATATTACATTAAATTTATAATCCGCAAGATATTCATCGAAGAGTAGTCTTTTCACCGAATTTATTCTCGAGCTGTACATTCGTAGACATATGACATTTAAAGACTGCAATCCATGAAGAAGATCAAACTTAAATAGTGAGAGTGTTATTCCTTGCAAGCAGTAACACTAAAACTATACCCGTCGCACAAGAAGTGGCTGTCGTGGCTCGGTGGTGTAGTGGATAACACTCTCACGTTTGAAGCGATCTCTCTCGAGTCCGAATCTCGGTGGGAACAACACCACTCACTGGGAGGCAATTACATCCAGCTGACGAATCCCTATTAAGACAAAATGTGCATCTTGGATTCCACTGCTAGCCACTACCCATCATTACTACACTTAAATACTGAGAGATTGAATTAACAATAATGTTGGTCATAATAATGATGTTGCTAATTGATGTAAATGTTGAATGATAAGGAAGAGGGTTATGTAAGATTTTTAAATCCTTTATAAGGTGCATATAGATTACAATGGGGTAGAAACATGTTGAAGTTAATTAACAACCAAGGGATTAGGTAATATGAATGAGACAAGTTAATTAGAATAAATTGAAAAAGTTTAGTTAAAGTTGCAGGTTATTGGGAAAATTAAATGAAGTAACACCGGAAATTATCAAGTGTAAAAATAAAATAATAATGACCAAATAAAAGAACAAAAATTAATCCAACAGAAGAGGTTGAAAAAACAAAACAAGAAATAAACCAAGACTAAATTAAGGTCAAAGTAGAGGGAAAAACTGCACATACTTGTTTTGCGCACAAAGGTTAAGCTTCAGATCATGGATAACCAAGGCCTCTGTTGTTTTTAGAAGCTGAAGAAGGAGACATGAAATGTTTGAACGAATTCGATAGACGACCTTAAAAACATTTTTCGGGTTAGTTGAATGGTTGGAATCGACCAGATGTTCAAGGATAGCACTTCTGATGTATTTCCTTTCACCCTGATAAAACATGTTCTCGTACACTTTTTGAAAGCGATCTCTGACAACTGGCGATCTACCTGCACAGGAGCAGGTGAACTAGTAGATACGCATGGACGTGGCCTGTCGAGAACAATAAGCAAAAAGTAAAGGTCAAATGAAGTTTGGCCGGGAAAAAGGTTCTACTAGTTGATCTCGAAAGACGGCTTTTTCTGTTTTAAAATGCAGAAGCACTCTCTGATGACAAATTCTTTTCATAGTTTTTTCAGGTGATAGATCTCTGGGAACAACAGAATTTCAGATGACATTTACTTTCTAACTAGGGAATAAATCAAGCTGAATTTGTTCAGACATCTGATTCTGAACATTGGTAACAATTGCCTCATTTAATTGAAAGACATTTCAATGAACGTGTCCAAACTTTTCTGCAGATGGATTTTGATGCACTTACCGCTTTCTACAGTCTCATGTTCGAGGCTCCTTGATATATTTTGCATACCAAGTATGTTAGTAAGATCACTACACTATATAACCAGTTTTCGACAGACCCTGAACCATAACGCCATATTTTATGGTTTCTTTTCCGTTACATTAGAGTTTTTTACAAGTAATACATTAAACAGGCGATTATGATAATACAAAATTAGTAATAAGGTTATTGTCTTTCCTTTTATTTTTGACTAATAGCAGCAAATTAGTTAAGTTAATTTGTATTGTTTTATTAGGGGATCCACTAGTAGATAAATCATTTATATAATATGTATGACACCACTGACCTATGTAAGATCTCTGAATGGTCCGATTCTTGGTGAAATTGGAATTTAATTCTGAAACTGTTCTGGTTAGGCTTTGATGGCTTTGCAACTGGATCATTTAATTCATACAAGCAAGATGTGAAGTTCGAGCAATGAAACTAAATTCAGTGACGGGTTTATTTCCCTATTTCGCCTGCACATAAAAGCTTGAATATTGAAGGAGTTGAATGAGCGATTGATACTTCTCAGATGACTATGTTATCGGAGATTTTGTCCTCTTGAGCTGTCTGAAAGGAGATGTGAATTACAGATAACAGCTTGGGCAAATTTCACCCACGACTACACAGACACTAACTAGTAAGACCTATTATACATAAGTTGGTGGAGCTCTTCTTTAGCCCGAAAATTAATAATCGCATTATCACACAACTCTGGTGAAAAGATCATAGTATCCTAGGGCTGGCTTTTCCTAACATGCTGTTTCTCAGTTAAAAAGCAGCGTCAATAAAGGTGATGAACATCTGTGGGAATATTTTTTAGCTAGTCAACTTCGGCAGAGCCAGTGATAAAGCTCTGTCATCTGGTCTGTGATGAAACTGTGGGTCCTTTATCACATTTAGTCTATACCGACTGCAGCCACTCTTTATGATAGGGTGGGACCTAGAAGAATATGCTTATCTGTGGGTAGGTGGCTCAACTGAACCATTGCAGTAGGCCCCTGTGACTAAAGCCTTGGAGTTGAAGCAACAATTGTGAAAGACTGTCAGATGAAGAATCAAGAAACATGGTAAAAAGTGGCTATTTTTTGAGCAAACAATAAAATTCCTTTTATTGATTACATGAAGAACAAGAACATCAAACTGAGCAGCATAACGTGATATGATTTTGCTTTGTTAGGCTTTCTTCAGCTAATTAATAATTGATTTCATCAATACTGATTTGTTTTATTAACCTACTTTTATCGCATGTTCCAATTCAAATGCATAACACCTTCCAAAAATGTTTAGGGTAAATGTACATCCATTATCAGCTACTGAGCATACAATCAGAGGTTTACCTGAGGGCAAAGAATTTGAATTTCGTGTTGTTCCATTCAATGCTGCTGGTCCAGGTGAACCTAGTGAACCGACAAAGTTGGTCAAAGTTCAGAAACCTAAAGGTGAGTTCAGAAAATACTATATTTACTGTTGATTGTCAATCTTACAGCTAAAATTCATATCTGTACTAGACAGATACTTTACTCTAGGTAAAGTATGAAAGGTAACTATACACTTGTTGATCGTATGTTTTAGTAGCAACCAACTGCTCTCCACATGCGTCAAATATTTCTTAGGATTCAACCACTTGTGACTAATCAATATTACACAAACTGTCACTTTACTGACTGTAAAGTTAAGATCTACTTGATGATGAATTAAAGTCCTAATTGGCGATTGAAGCTGTGAAGAATCGATAAAACAGATACGAAAGAGCTTTAATAAAAGATTGTAGGTGCTGAAAAAAATAAATCATAGAAAACCTAAGAGCACTGGACATACTTTTCATCTTATTGTGAGGCTCCTTAGAAGTCTGCAATAACGACCCCTTCAGGAGTCAAACTCAGGACCCTTAGGACTCATGGCAAATGCGTTAACTATTCAGCTACCGGCCCGGAGCTCAGTGGTTCACAGTTTCCTACCCTTGTCAATTGGCGATATATAGTGACTGTCACCCATGGTCTTCAGTTGATATCTGCTTCGCTTCTGACTGGTTGACCCCACAGGTCACGGCTTCCCACTTGACCTAAGCACTTTTGGTTAAATGTGAAGGTCATCCATAAGTGTTTTTCGGCTCAGTTGAACTCCTGATACTGTTTATTACATCATTATTCATTTGTCTGTTATTAGCCTTGCATCATTTTGCCTAATATTCTTTTTGCATACAATATGTTCGGAAGCTTACATTGGAAGCTAGTCAATCACATATTGACCATTGATTGCTTTCAGTCTGTTGTTGGTTTTATACATGACGAATGTTTAGACGGTAAAGTAGTGGTGGTTGAACTCGTAGAGTCACTAACTAGGATGAAAGAGATATCCAGTCTTCCTTAGTTTCCTGGATGGGTGGGAGGGTTACTTGTCTGTAGTGAAAACTGTCCAAAAATATACATATAACTCATACTCATACTTATTTGATGCTATTCATTCGTTCTTCAGAATTTTGTTGACTAATGTTTCAACGGTTGATCAACCCATGTTTTGACAGACGCTTAGTCTAAGAGTTTAGGGGTGGTTATGAATTGAGTGGAATAAAGCCATTAGTTAACTGTTGCCAATACAGTTACTCAGCCATATTATATTCTTGAAAAAATGAATTAGTAAATCACCCTGATTATTTCTCTCAGCTAAGAAAATCTCCACAGCTTGTATAGTATTCTGAATATCAATTTGGAATACATTTAAAGTGAATTACTTCTAGTTAAATTAGAAGTATATTGAGTGATTCTAGAAGTCACTTTAGTAACTAGTAGAATAACTACTCAGGTTTCTTCATTTTCTAAATAAACTACCTTCCCAGCCGAAGTAGCGAAGCCTAACTGGTTACTCTAACAGTTACTAGGGTGGCCATTTAAGTTACTCTGTAGTCGAACTACTCTAAAGGCCACCCTAGCAACTGCTGAAAAACTAACCGGGGTTCGACATTTTGGCTAGAAAGTTGGTTTTTCATAAGATAGCGAAACATTGGTGTCGTTTAATATCACTCTGCGCCTGAGACAAATTTGATTTAATTTACTTCAAGCCCTTAAATTGTGAAATAAAAACTAACGTCCAACGTAGGAACTACTGCAGTAATTTATTGCGCTTCTTAATCTTGCTTAGGAAGTTAGTTTTTGCATAGAATAACCCAGTTGGTTATTTCAGTCTTTGTTAGTATGACGTTTAAATTCACTCAATATTACAGTGACGTAGACTTTTGTCTTATAGTCACGTAGTTCTATATCAAGTTCTTAATGAGAGACATTTATGATTGTGTGATGAAGGAATATGGGCCACACATAAGACTATGTGCTCTTTTTAGTTTTCGTAAATGAAATTCTTTCAGCTGTAGGAAGATCAAACCATAAACAACAGTTCAGCTAAATTTTCATTCATCTCAGTAAAGACAAAATCAACCACTTGCTCTATTTAAGAAAATCTTAGCTTGGGTACTTGTTTGGAGGTGATGCCAAATCCAAAGTCACCGAATAATAAATACGTTCAAGTCATATATATTGTGTTGACTTCTTCGTCTACGTATATTACTTTGGTGACAGTTGCTTCAGATTTATAAACGCATTTTAAGCTTGTAAGTTTGATGATTCTTATCAAACACCTTTTGATTTTCTATAAACACATATATACAAACAGCCGCTCCTAAAATCGGTCCTGATGCACCCAGACAAGTCAACGTCACCAAGGGTGAACCATTTAAAATTCGTATCCCATATACTGGAAGTCCACCAGATGTTGTTGAAGCTAATAGGGTATGTTTTACAATTTAAAAGTTTTCAGATGACCGAGTTTTATGCCTATTTTTATATCATTTTAGTCAATTAACAAATTTCATTATGACCAGACAAAATTTATGGGATCAAGTACTGATAACAGTTTAGTGAGGTTATTGAATTCTTAGATGACTCTAACTACACGAAACTGATTCACTCTGTATTTATGCTTTTATCAAGGTAGGATATATGATGTTTTCATTCATGTCTTCACCAATAAACCGTTTAGGAATGCCCAACACAAACAAGGGCAATTTCGCCCTTATTCTATAAGATAATAATTTAATTAAACTCTTATTGGACTTTGAAGAGTTTGATACGTTTAGTAAGTGATTCATTAAACGAGAATATTGAAGGAAAACCGTGTCACTTAGTCTTATCAGAATAAAAATTTGATTCACTTCACTGATTTAAACGGGATGAGAACAGACAGATTTGCACAATACGGTGAATTTAATGTGTTTCGTAGCATCCTCTTCAGCTGCACACATGCTGATGAGTTTAAAAGATATGATACACGAATGAAAAAGAATTAAAAGCTATCATATGATGAAGACTGGAAAGTTTTTTAGAAAGATTTACCTTTTAACAAGGTAAGAATGATGCATTTTTGGGGATACAGTAAGTTGATTGTACTTTGAAATGTTCTCCTTAGGTTGGTAATGTGTTTACCATAGACCTAGGGCTTCTAAGTTCAGTTTTGTATGGGGTAAGGACGTGCAGTATGGAAGACTTTAAAGATAGAGGAAATGTCTACTACACACTGGCTTGGAATGGTCTCCAGAATAGAAGCTCTTTCACAACTGTTGAATCAAACCTACTGTGTAAAGACTAGTTTCTGGACTGTCCGGCCACTACTTAAGCCATGGAAGCCTACATCCATTAGTTAAGTAACATTTTAAACGGTTTTATTACTTTATTTCTTGGTGACGACAAGCGATGGAATTCAGGACGTTTATTTCATCCTGTCAGGGATCTTTGCGTCCATGTACTTGCATCACAGTTAGTGATTGTGCTTCCACTGACACATAAACCCAGAATCCACCGCTAAAACTTCAGAGGGTTATCCACTAGGCGGCTGAGTTGTTATGACAGAAATATCTTGAGCAAGGGAGACTTAATTTTTATTTACTTATACTTGCAATTAACCTTTGATTATTTTGCTGAACCGAATTAATTGGTTTCTATTGGAACAGTCCAATAAAATAATCAATGAAAAACTCCGATTATCGGTTAATGTCTTATCGCCTGGTAACCAGCGTTTCTTAATTATTTATCGCTAAAGTTTTATAGTAGTCACTGTAAATTCAGAAAAGTACTAAAGGGTAAAGCTCTTGTGAAAGGTTTTTTTGAAGAGTAGATAGTTAATCTAATAAATGTATATACAAAATTTAGTAAGCAAATCCATCAAATTTAATCTGTAGTTTTGTGGAGATTTATTAATTGATTTCAGGTTGAAATTCATCATAGAATGACATCAGTTGGAGGGACATTGGAAATCTGGGAGCACTGGATGGCTGTTTCATCCTAGTATGGGACTCCTCAGCAGTGCAGGACGGAACCCAAGACCTTCAGATACTGTGACCAGCACCTTACCAATGAGCCAAAGGATCGAAATCCAATGGAACATGTTTCCTGCTTCTATCAGTACACGATATAGCGCAACCTACATCCAATTTTGTATTTGAGTATCTGTCCTCATGTTCAACTTGGTTGACTCCACAGGTCGCGACTTTTTATTGGAACTTTGGGAATCACCTCTTGTAGCTAGTCACCAATGAGCGCTAGATTAACTCAGTCTAGAAGTTACTGGAGATTTAATAATTAATTTTAGTTTGAAACTTATCATGGACTGACCTGTGGAGCCAACGAAGTCAAACATGAGAACAGTTACTCAATGACGGTATTGGATTGAGGTCGCGCTGAAAGAGGTAGGAAATATAAACCATTGGATTCAGACCCAGTGGCTCATTGGTAACGTTCTGTCTGCTGTCCTGAGTTCGACCCCTGGGAGGGTGGGGTCATGGGTGAGCTTTCCTGAGGAAGCCCATATTAGGACTAAACTACTGAACAGTCCTCCCAGGTTTTCAATGTCCCTCTAGCGTATGTCAGTTCATGATGAGTCACAACCTAAAACCTGTTAAATGATTTATCTGAATTTATGTTTTGGTGCCAGTTACAAATCCTTGACACACTGTTCCATTATGGCTCAAATTTACTTCGGTGACCATTTTTAACTTTCTCTTTGAAACATTAAGTCCTGGTGAACTGCAGTATTTACAGAACATGCAGATATATGAGTGACCTTCATTGAGTCGACAAATGTTCTGCATGTTTTCAAAAGAAGGAAAACTCAGTGGAAAATGACACCTGCTTTGTTTTTCGAGGTGTTGTTTTTCTAGTGTGGAATAGAAAGTAATGCTATTCTAATACAAATAGTGCATGGTGGTTTTTGGAGGCAGTCGTCTCATTATTCAGTAGCTACGCAAAATGGGTAATAAATGTTTTGTTTACCTTCAATTCAGTAAGATGTTATAAGGATTTCGACGAAAGCTATGTGGTGAACATCAATGCACGTTGCACTATACTGATTGGTGTTTTATTATTTCTTTAATTTTAAGGATGGTGTGCCAGTCATCTTAGACGATGGTCGATTCGTTTTAACCATTACACCTGATGAAGTCATTATTGTTGGCAAGAAAGGTGATACACAAGATGAAGGAGCATATAAAATTACACTGAAAAATGATAAAGGTCAAGATACCTTGCCGATAAAGATCAATGTTTTTGGACCACCTGATAGTCCACAAGGACCGCTTGAAGTGAAAAATATCAAGGCTGATTCATGCACACTATCATGGAAACAACCTAAGGTGAGTTAGAATTCTTGTGACAGTTATAATGTAAATATTAGTGTATATTCCTTTCAAAGTTAGTAAGGTTGAAAATATCTGACATCAATTTGTTAACAATAGAATAAAAATTTCAATAATTTTCTACCTATTCGCTAATTATCATAAACTTACGGAAACTGGGAACTTTCTTCACAATACTAAACTTCTACAGATAAAGTATGGTAAGTTAGAAAAATGTCGAGCAATCTGGGCCAACGGAGCAAATATTTTCTCCATTAAAATTTTCTTTTTTTCAGTGTTTCTTTTCAGGAGAAAAATTGATGCAAGGATATTTTACGTTAGTAAATATTCCATCAAGAAAAAACAGTTTATTCGAAGTAATCTATCTCTAAAACATTTGCTTACGCTCATTTGGGAAAGCAGAATTAAAATACTACATACTATACTACTATTAACATTATGCGAACAGTCAGTCACTCAAACATATCTGACACTGATTCAGTTTCATTGACTCATGTCAACCACGTGTTACCTTGAATGAATCATCCCTGAAAGCCGAATAACCACTTCTAATTAGTGATCTGTCTTCAAAGAGAATGTAAAACACAAGAAAGCCTTGAATGTAATTGGAAATCAGAAAATATGAACAGAAAGCAGTCCTGAATGCTGATGCCCCGATACTCTCTGCATACTTATTGTTATAAATGACTTGGTTGAAATTGAAAGTTGAATCTAGGACGCACTTTCCGATGGTCTGGTGGATAACGCTTTGTCGTTTAGAGCGATAGGTAGTGCATTCGAAGCTCAGTGGGAGCAACATCATTCACTGGGGTGAAAGTACGTCCACCTGAAGAATCCCTGACAGGAAGAAACGTGCATGATGGATTACACTGCTGGCTACATTCATACCAGTTATTTTTAATAAATATTCAGGGAAATATTGTGGTCCACTTACATATAGTAACTTTCCAGAAGACCATAACTGAGGAGTTATAGGACTTGACTGGGATGATTGCGTAATCATGTGGAGGCAGTCTACATAAAAATAATGCGTAGTTGGGATAAACGGTTTTAATAATATCAGATAAAAAACATAGAGAATATGGAATAAACAGACGCTTGTAAATATGACGAACACATTCTCAGTCCAGTAAAAGGATAACAGCTGCCTCCGTTTTAATTATGCATATCCCATCAATGTCATTGAGTAGCATTCACTTTAGATTAACAGAGAAAATATACTTTACTTTCGTAGTTTTGAAGAAAATGGCTGTTCATTATTTTGGAAGTAGGCATCGTTATTTTACAAAAGAAGAAGAATTTAGTAGTGATGATTCGAGGAAAAATTAAAAATGTTAACATGCACATTCCTTTCTTTTATTCAAACTGTAAAAACTATTAGGCAGCGCAATTGAAGCCATTTTTATTCAGACTATAAAGGAAATGTATTGGTGGTGAGTAGTAGCTAGCAGCGGAATCTAGGGGTGCATTTCGTCGTATTTGGGACTCCTCAGCTGGACGTACCTGCCTCTCAGTGAGCGATATTATTCCCACTTAATCTCGAACCCAGATCGATCGCTTGTAACATCAAAGCGTTACACACTAGGCCATTGATTTATGATAGCCACTTCTTGTGGAACATGTATAGTCTATATGATGTTTCTTGTATTACCACATTGTTGACTTGACCGAACTGATCGGTCTCTATTGGCATATGGGCTCCTGTACGGAAACCTCGATATTGATTTTTGTTTCAATGGTATATAAATGATGGATAGTGGCTAGTAGCAGAATCCAGAAGATGCGTTTTGGCCTACTTGAGGCTCGTCAGGCGGATATACCTACCTACCAGTGAGCGATTTTGTTCTCACTAAGACTGGAACCATTAGGAACTGATCAATTCAGCCCAGTCAGCAAGAAGATAATAGAAGCACCAATATACAAAGAAAATTTATTTGAAATAGTATTTGTTATTATGTCATGCATAGTGGATATTAAAAACACTGAGATCTGTTATAACACAGGTGAGAGTCCTCCATTTCAAAACAAAAATGTCCACAATGAATATTGAAAATTGTATTTAAGATGTCGAAATATAAGGCATCACATGGATATGTTTCAGAATGACTCAAGGAGAACAGTAATTGTATTTGCAGTGAGTACATTTTGGGCAGTCCTATAAAACAGTCCCATCAATGAGTTCATACATGTTTAGTCACATGGCATTAAATGCCTGTATTTGCACTCACTAGCAGCATAGACTTAGTCTTATTTAAATTATAGCCTTTAGAACCTTAGTGTTGATCATAGTAGTATAGAACCGCACTAACTAAAGGGAATATCACTACAGATGCAAGACCTATTCATAACTAGATCAGACATAAACTCATACAGGCATCCAATATCTGTTTGAACAGTCACAAGTCAGAACAAATAGCTACTGGAATTTAGACTAAATATGTATTTTTAGAGTCAGTGAAAGAGAGTCCTTATAGAATACTTATTTCACCCATTTAATTTTTTTTACAATGATTAAGGGAAATGAATCACTTCCTAGCATTCAGTCAGACCATGTCATGTATTCAATAAAGAATAATGACAATAGAGGTTTAACGAAAGATAAAATCAGTATTGTTTACATAATCAGGGGAGTTGAAGACTGGTTCTCATTAAAATTACTGAGAAAATTTTGTAGGCTTAAGTTTTCACAACATAGACCACTTGTGAAATTGGCGTATTAAGATACGCTTTAAGCTCCTCAGTGATGGAGGTTAGCATATATTCTTCTAATTGTTGTTCATAAAAAGCTTCTGCTTTATCACTTCTAACAAATTCTTGCATCTATAATTTCTCTGCATTTGTTTTTTTTTTACTATTCTTACTTAGGAAACTGGTGGCTGTCCAGTAACCCACTATGTAGTAGAAAAACAAGACCAAAGTACTGGAGAATGGACACCAGTTAGCAAATTTGTACGTGGTACAGAATATGATGTTCTTGGTTTAGATGAGGGTAAAAAGCATAAATTCCGCGTTCGAGCTGCAAATGAATATGGTCTCAGTGAACCACTTGAACTGGATCATACTATTACTACAGAAAATCCATCAAGTAAGTAATGAGACATTGTGTTTATTCTCTGAAATGTAAACTGATTCGAATTTCATACTCGCTATGAAATAATATTGGTATGGTAGTTATTGAAAGATTGGCAGTGTTAAACGCTGTTTATTCTTGTTTAGGGGCTCTTCAACAGTTCACTTTCTATACCAATCACTAGATCAAATGTACATCCCATGAACTTTGAGATGGATGCATTAATCTAAAACCTTAATCAGACGAATGTGTGCTGAATTCGAGAAAGTCTGAGTGAATAACTAAGATTGACCATCCTAGCAATGACTGAAGTGGCTAATCTAACTACTTGATTACGTCTAGAAAGGTGGTTTTTCATGAGATAGACAAACCTGATTGACTATTTCAGAAGTTGCTACTATGGTCTTTGAAGTCACTCAATAAATAAGTTGAATTGATTATTTTAGTCCCTGTTAAGGTTACCTTCACAGTCACTCATAACTACTGGAACAATCTAAAAAGATACTTAAACCTGATACTATGACAAGGAGATTAGGGTATTAGAGCACATTCAGCTGTGTATTTTTCGTTTGGCAGAATTAACAAGTTTAAATGACACGTTTAAACAGGAGTAGCAAATAAAACTTTGATGCATGAAAGCCAAATATAGGGCGATTTTAAAGGACACCCTTTCAAAGATAGAAATAACCGATCAAATTTCTTAATTTCACCTGGGTAGACAGATTTTCATAGAATATAGAAACCTAATTGGTGATTACAGTTGTTGCTACGGTGGCCTTTAAAGTCACTCGAAATGTAAGCAATATTCATCTTTTGAAATGGAGTAGCTATAATACTTGCCTCTAGTGGTCACCCTGACAGTCACTCAAATAACTAGATATTTCTGTTTCGGCCAGACAGGTGGCTTTTTCAGAACAACTCTAAGAGTGACTTTAAAGGCCAGTCCGGAAACTATTGGGATAGCCAATTACTTTTCTTTATTTTGTAAAAAACTATCTTTCTGACTGGAATACTGGAACCTGATAGGTTATCACAGTGGTTGTCCGGGTGGCCTTTAATGTCTCCCCTTTTCCACAAAGTGAATAAAATTGTTTGATCATTTCAGAAGTTTTCAGGGTGGCCTGCAAAGTAGGTCAACTCCAAAGGTCACTTTTCCAGCTGAAGCAGATACGCCTAACTAGTTATTTCAACCGTTGCTATGTTGGCCGCTAAAGTAACCCGTGAAATATCCTATCATTGAAAAGACAATTTTTCTAGCTAAACATAGTAAATGTTAAACTCTAAAGAACTTTATATGAATGCTGAGAATTGCTTATAAATGGATCTGTTCAGTGATTTAAAGAGGCTGTGGGATACTCGTTACGGGGTCATTTACATGACGGCAGCCTGAAGTCAAGTAATGACATTCACTAAGACCTCAAACTGAACGAGTACTGAATACTAACTACTTATTTATTATTGAATAAAACAAAACACCTTATTACTTCACTTATGTTGCTCTTAAAGCCTAGCTGCTTATAGACGCAGTTTTCAAACATTTTGTCCCAAACTACCAGCAAGACCAAATGTCTGTTATATTCCACGTTTTGAAACAAGCAAACAAACAGATTTGTTATCATCCACCTTAACTATATGTGAGTAGAAGTATTCTGGTTTGAAAATGTGGTCGGCACAAAGAGAGTGCTTTTTCGGTTGAAATCTTTGTATTTTGATGAATTTAAAACTAAAAGTTAGTTACATTGTACTCCATAATAAAAATACGCTTTGTTAGTTGGTTGGAGTTAATCGACAAGAAGTCCTGAACCTAGGTTTTGTGCCTGTCAACATTCATTGGCAGTGGATATCTGTTGATTGCGAAAAACCAACTAAAATTAATTAAAACCCCTTTCAATAGTTAATCTCCTAGCTTGGTGAATACATTTCAAAGTGGTCGGTAGAATAGAGTCAGAACTTAGGCCTAGACAAAATGAAATTGGTAATTCTGCAGTGATAAATCAATGTAACATTAGTAGTTTCTACTCGGAAAATGGGGAGATAAGTGATGCAAGTACGTCCTGATTATTTTCCGCGAACTTATTTAATTTTCTATGATTATTTTAGCTGAACCTGGAGCACCAGGAAGTATTGAAGTGGCTGATGTTGATGCCAATTCAGTGACATTGGAATGGTCAAAACCAAAATCTGACGGTGGCAGTAAAATAAATGGTTATGTGATTGAGTATAGACCAGTAAATGGTGGGAACTGGGAGAAAGCACCAACAGGACCCATTAAAGGAAATAGTGCGACAGGTAAATACCGCTTAATTAAAGGGTTTTATTGCACTTTTTTCAAATGTTAAGCATTAAAAAACATAGAAAGGACTTTCACTGATAGTGTGAATAGCTTTCATATTCCTTTATGGAGAGAAACAAAATTTTTTCAGAAAACAGTTGATGTTCCAACTATTTAGTCGAATTCTACATTAACTTGTCAAAACTACAGTTAGTTGAATTTAAATTACAAATGATCACTTCACTGTGTGTACATGGGTTTAATTGTTTCCTCTTCTTTCACTTTTTATAGTAACTGGTCTTTCACCTGGTGAAAAGTATGTATTCCGTGTTCTAGCCAAGAATGATGTTGGTACTAGTGAACCAAGTTCGGCAACACGTCCAGTTGAATGTAAACCAAAATACGGTAACTAATCTTTGCTTTATTTTCGGAGAATTTTTTGCCTTTTTTATGCTAATAGTTATGAAAAGCTTTATGAATGATAGTCCTAAAGGTGTATCTTGAATGCTAGCTTCGCCTCTGTGGCTGATCCATGGAAAAAATTGCTGAATTGTTGGATAGATAATTAATAGAATAGGTGACAAAGGATTGCATGCAAAATTTAAACAAACACAGGAAATATAGTTTTAATGATGATAATAATAACAATCACTTCGAACAATAGGACAAAAATATTTACAAAAAAAAATGAGCTCATTTTATTTCACTGCCTTTCATCAGCTGCGAACAGGCTGCAGTTAAAATGAAGCATTAGTAGTGATAATGATATAACATACCTTAAATATGTAGGAATAAATGGAGATTTGGAATCCAGGACTAACAATAAGGTGGTGAGTCGAAATCGATGACAATTCCTATCTGAATTTGCCGGGGGTTTGTGGGGATTTAGTGGTTTTTGAAGTTGGCATTCATCATGGACTGACATCAGGTAGAAGAAAATTGGAAACCTGAGAGCACTGGACAGCTGTTTCATCCTGGTGTGGGACTCCTTGGCAGTGCTCACTCATGACCCTACCTGCCAGGGCTCGAACCCATAACCTTCAGGTTCTGCGACCAGCACGTTACCGATAAGCCACTAAGTCGGAACCCATTGGTCCATATTTCCAAATTCTGTTTGTTCACGACATAGCGTGACCATCACCTAATGACATCAGTGAGTATTTCCCATCATGACCACCAGGTTTGACTAGCTTCGAGAGGTGATTCCCGAAGTTCCAATGAGAAGTGATCGGTGGGGCAAACCTGGTGGTCATGTGGACAAATGTCTAACAATGTCATTGGGTCATGGTCGCGCTATGTCGTGAACTGACAGAAATTGGAAATATGAACCACTGGACTTTGACACAGTGGCTCAATGGAAACGTGCTGGCCGCGGAACCTTAGGGCCCTGAGTTTTATCCCTGACTAGCCGGGTTATGGGTGCGCACTATTGAGGAGTCCCATACTACGATAAAACAGCTGCAAAATGCTCTCAGGTTTCCAATGTTCTTCCACCTGATGTCGGTCCATGATGAATACTAACTTGAAAAACCTTTATTTGATGAGATGGAAAATCCTGGAGCTGTGGAAAGTAGGAGTGAAACAAGCAGGCAGGAGCGTAAAATAAGGGGCTGTTAAAGAGCTAATATGCTGTGTAATTAAATGAGACCCTGGAAAATCATCAAGTGACTAGCAGCCAGTAAGTAATTGACGAAGAGATGATGCAACCAAAGAAAGGAATATAGACGGACATAAGCAAATAGACTATATACTGTTACCAGGGTAAAGGAAGGTTGATAACAGTGTCTTTCCAAGTACATAGGTCAGGTTGAAAATGCTTGATGGCGAACACTGCCACAAATTGTAATAAACATGACGTTCTGTGTTTTTCGATTATCCTAATGCAAGGTCGTGAATTAAAATGAGCTCATTTTATTCTGCAAATATCTTTGTTCTTGCACTGTCCAAATTTGTTAAGGGAATTAAATGTAGGACAATTCTGAAGAGATGTCTTCCTACTCAAATAATCGCTTTATTTTAAACAACATATGTAATACATTATGGAATCCACAACAAATAATATTTCAACAAATTAACTCCCTGTACCATATTTCTATGCGAAATAATTGTTGCATGTTAATAGTGCAAATAATAACAGTATTATAGGCAACAATTTGAAACAGGAAACTGGTACTACATTAGGGTCTGGTTTGGACTAGGTAATGAAAAGAATATCGAGCGTAATTTTGAGGGTGATAGTTCATTCAGATAGTACAGAAAATTTGCAGTTCCATATACATATCCTAGAAATAGTAATGTGCCGTATTTTTGTGCATTCATAAGTTCATTTTCATATGGTTTAACGTTTATTGTCTGTTTTATTCTTAACTTGAAAAACAGCAGTTTAAAAACATTTTAGAAATATCTGAGAGTACGTGGTACATTCAACAGACATTTAAAAGATTAAAACAAAGAGAAAAGGAAGTGTTTGATGAAACATATTTGATGGAAAATTTTTGGTAGCCTAAGGTTTAAGCAAGCCACCCACCCGTTTAACGTTTTAAGTCATTCACTTTTTGCCAACTTCATTGGAGAATTAAAAACAACCCCACTAATTTCACTTGTTGTTTTGTGAGGACTGATTAGCTTAAAGTTAGTTCTCATCGCAGACTGACATCACTTAGAGAGCTAATGGGAATTTGAGAGCACTAGTCAGCTGTCTTGTCTTAGTGTGAAACTCTCCAACTGTTCTCACCTATAACCCCTATAGGGATCAAGGCTAAAACCACTGGGTCTTGTGGCGAGTACATGAATACTCAACCATTGGGTTGTATTTCAGTGGTTTAGATGTTCCTGGGTCCATCAATTCACGATATAGTGCTACAATCATCTGATGTTATCAGTGAGTGCTTTTCTTCACATCAGGCTTGTCTGAAATCATAAGTTGCTGCTTCTTATAAGAATTTCCTGAGAATTAGGCTCTCTGGACTCCATCCTAGTAGCTAAATTGTTTCGTGTTCGTCGTGATGCCTATCACTCCCCGGGTACATCCCTTTCGAGGACGTGGATTCTCACTGTTTAGAAGTTACAGTCTAAAACAAAATATATGTCCAGTGTTCTCAGGTTTTCAATGTTTTTCCAAATGATAACATTCATTGATCAAAGCTACCTTAAAAACTACTGATTTTGGCTTAAATATTGTAAACCTTCATAGAGTAAGTTAGATTCACCAACTAGGACGGAAAAACTTAATTATTGGATTCTTTATCGGACGTTAAGTTTAATGAATCCGTTCCTACACCGAATCGGATAATAACTATTAATATTTCTCTTCGTATTCAATGTTTGAAGTCACTCTGCAAACTAAGCTCCTAGCCTTTTGTATACATCGTTAACTATTGTTTAAGCAACATAATAACCATCCACGATGGGATTGAAGTTTTGCTGAGTACATTTATACATACGTTATCCGTTTATACTAACCAAAATCATTAGGTTTCTGGGGTACACACTTTGATTTCTTAGGTACAAATAAAAATTGCAGTTTGATTTCTGCCTGGTGGTCAGTGGTACAATTTTATTCCTTAGTCCTACCCTTAATAGTTTCAACAAAGTCTATCTTTGGCATAGTTAATCTTGACTAGTATTGAAAATCTGAAGATTTCTTCCCTAAATCGCATATATTAGTTACGGTAGATAGTTTGCATTGAGGAATGATTTCAGCTGCAGACTCATTGGAAACCAGAAGACATTTGGTAGTTTCCTGGTTTTATTTTGAGAGTTCTTGACTGCATACAACCAAGATTCTACATAAGACTGAACCGAAGACCATCAGGTCTCCCAGTGACTGCGTTGGAATCTAGCTATTCACTTAGAGCCCAGTGGTTAACCTTTTATCATTTTCATTATATCCCACAACCATTATCTAGTGTCATAAATGGACTTCCAACCTTACTCTGGAGTTGGTTGACGCGATTGCTCACTTCTTTCTAATACAAATGCGTAAAAATCCATTCACAGATGAGGATGAACCAAAAGTCATCAATAAGTTGTTCGTGTCTTGGAGAGTTCGCGTATTTCACAGATCAGTATCATCTCGAGAGCGGTGAAAATCAGGGAGACATGAATAACAGCTAGGGAAGAGTTCTTAACTAGGATGAAACATCTCTTTTGCGCTTATTGGTCTTAAATGTTCCCTTAAATGATATTAATTCATGATGGAGACTGCATGAAATTTAACACTGCTGTTACATATAACATTACATCCATGGTTTATCTGTCAATACACTGACGTTAAATAACTTCTACTATTGAATAAAGGTACACACTGATTGTTATTTAGCTAGAGCCAAGGTATGTGGTATCACAATTTCATTTGTATTGGTGGAGAATAATATGAATACATGCTTTGTCTCTTGATTCTAAGAAAAATTATTTTCAGTCAGGATAGACGAAAATAACTTCCTCTTTTTTCTTCTAAAGTACCGGCAGGTAGTCCTGGTGAACCTAACGTTGATGGGGTTGGTAAGAATTGGATCGATTTGTCCTGGTCTCGACCAACCAAAGATGGTGGTGCTCGAATTACTGGGTACGTTGTTGAGAAGCGTAAAAAGGATTCTCCTGATTGGGAACCCGCAACGTCAGATGGGAAACCTATCACTAGTAATTATGTTCATCTCGACAATCTTGATGAAGGAGATATGTATCAATTCCGTGTTAGAGCTGTTACTGCTGCTGGACCAGGTGAACTAAGCAACTCAACTCCTATGATCAGAATTGAAGACAAAAAATGTTAGTCAGTTTTTAAAAAATGTCCTCTTCGAAAATCTTATTCAACAGTATGTAGATTTCATGCAAAGATGAGGCACAGATAAGTTGAAACATGTTTTGATATCATAGATACAGTAATGATGCAGCTACTTTCATTAAGTACTGAAATACCAAGTTGTCTATAAACTGTCGATTAAGTTGGATAACTTGATGAATCACAGTCAAACTACAAACTTTACTGACAGGACATAAACAGACAAAAGTACGAAAGTTGTGACTGCAACTCTTTTATTGGAAGATGAATATCACTTAGAAAAAAATGTGATCATGGTTGCAAATGACTAATCAGAGATGGAAATAACCAACATACCTCAAGTTCTAATCATCTTACCATAGAATACTTATGAACTGGACAACGCGTAGGAATCATATGAGATTCAGTGAATCATCGGAATTTTGAGAATGAATTTCGCAACCACCTCTGTCATGATTTATAACAGTTACATATAGCTCACATTGATTACCAAGATATGACAACTGTCTGAAATCACCATATTTTCAATAAGGAAGAATATCTACATGAAATACTATCGATATAACCTATAACTAGTTGCCAGATGTCTTTTACGGTTGGGTGAGAGCAAACTGGTAGGTCCAAATACACTGCTTACTCAGAATTACAATAGCTGAAAACATGAACTGATTTACCTTTGTTAATCGGTCATCTTAAATGGAGAAGACAGTGGTCGAATCAGTAAAAAAATACTGCTTAGGATAAAGATAAAATATTACAAATTATATCTTAGTATAGACGGTTTACATGGGCTTATCAGACCACTGATATAGCCTTGTAGTTTATTCTATCCATTGGCTCATAATTTTTAAAATATCGTTGAAGGGAGTCGTAAAAGTTGTACACGCCTTAATCACGGCATCCATTTTGATGTTAGTTTTACACCAAGAGGTATGGTATTGAACACATTTCGAACGATATGACTAATAAATTGTCTTCATTCATCTTTAAGGTTACATTTCCCAAAAATCAAATGTCTTTGTCTCCAGTTATCTCTAGTTTCCTATGAAACCTTTACTGAGGAACTACTGAAAGTCTGAAAGAAGAGGTGAGCTGTCCGGTTGAAGTTTAGGATAATTTAGTTAAGCCCATCTTTTGTTTTATACAACGCTGGATGCAGGATAATTCAGTTTACTTGTAAGCATCAGATCAGAATCTTGTGGTGCATATTATCCAACAACAGTCAGCTACCAGGCCATTATCTCCTCTCATCGGTGTTTTTATTTCATCTATACAGAATGGATCGAAAACTGAAAACAGCGAAAGGATCTTTATTTTAGTGTACTATAGTAGTATACTTGTCAGACAAATCATCTTGAATGTAGACTTCAAGAGAAGAAAAGCATGAACATCAGGCTTCATCCCTTACTTTTTATAGAGCACATTTCATAAACACTATAAGTCTGGGTAATCTAGATGAACTGCTTGATTGTTATTCGGTTATTGGTTTGTGATAGCACAATCTAATACATATATTTAGTCCTTGGAAATTCTCAGTTGGACATACTAGCATCACAGTAAGTGATGGTATTCCTGTTGATGCTCAGACCCATTACTCATCGGTTCGAAAACCAAATAAGTCATAGTCTGGTTTAGTGAGTCATGAAAGCTACTTCTTTTGTGATGGATGACACATGTTATTTACACTTTATACCTTCAAGGTTTTTATTTTATTAGACTGGATTTATCCATAAGGCAGGTCATTAAGTAGAGTGTTGTTAGTTGTCACCAATTAAATGACACCAAAATCATGACAATATCAAGGAGCTCATTTCCCAACAAAGACCTGTCATTTAAGTTCAGTAAGGTACGGAAATAGTAATCACAAGTGGAAATAAGTAACTACGCTATTGTTCGTTAGTCTCATAGAAAAAAACTAAATCTTTGAGATAGTAGAAAAGATTTCTAGTTCAGGATGAAAATAATAACTGTGCAATGTTCTCTGAGCTTTAAGGTGTTTCCTCGGACGTTTTACCACGAAAATAGACAACTTCATCAGCGTTTACTAAATGTTTAAATATTCCCATTGTGATAATTAGAGGACAGAGTTTGAAGCGAATATGTATTTTCGGTAAATTCTCGTCAGGCTTTACATTTACGTTTGCAAATTATTCAGTATAGACATTCGATACTAACATGGTTAAATTAAACAAAGCTGAAAGGACACTTTTGAATTCATTTCAAAAGTTGAAGATAAGAATACTAGTAAGGAAACGATGATGTTACTTCCCTGTTTACCAATGTTCCTCTTCTGGAAAAAAATTGACGTCATTTGTAGTTCACTACTAGATAACAAGATGAAGGCGGGTATAGCCTTTGCAACCATACGAGAGCTGCTCTTTCGTTGTACGACGAATGTACAATCTCAGTTTAACAAAGATATTTACCGTCAGATAGAAGGTGTAACAATTGGTTCACCATTAGGTCCCCTTCTACCCGACATGTTTATGGCGAAATAAACTGTCCTTTGATTGCAGATACATCGATGACACTTTCATTCTGTGCAGAAATCATACTAATCCTGACATTCCGGATACATTTAAACAGTGCTCATCCAGAAATCGAGTTCACATGAGAAACAAAGAAAGACGTATGTCTACCATTTCTAGATGTTTTGCGATCAGGATGAACAGATGGCAGTGTCAGACGCAGTATTTATCGTAGGAAATCATGAGTTGGTCAGTATACACATTTCCGATCATTTGTCCCTCTTACGTACAAAAGGGATTTAATCCGTACACTGATGTTTCGAGCCAGTAAGATTTGCACAGCTGATGCTTTGAACGATGAATTAAGAACGATAGAGAACTCTACGTATGAGAATTACTATCTTGTGAAGTTTGTAAAGACTGTAAAAATGAAAACAGCCGGAGAAAAGCGCCTTTAAGTAGTGCAGAAGAAACGATTGTATGCAGCTGCAGAAACGCCGACACTGAAACTCAGGAATTTGATACAGAAAACCTTCTTTGCCGCCTCACTATGTTTGAAATTTACTACTCGCTGTATGATGCCAATGCAGTTGAAGGATAGGCTTCTGAATTTGGCCACATCTATGTGCATTTATAAATGTAACTACTCCTGAGGAGATAGTTACATAAGTAGAACGACTCGGTAAGCCTATCATCACTTCATTGAACACTGTTCAGCGTGGCTAAGCAAAGGAAAAGTGAAATCCATCAAAAGCTCAATACTCGCCCGTCTAGTAGATACTGAGCCTAAGATTGACAAAACCTCAGCATTTACTATTATTTACAAAGTCCCATCACAATACTCTAAGTTTGTGGGCCTCCGATTGCTTAGCATAACAGAAACCATAGCAATTAAAATTTTTAAACCTAACTTATGTATTCAGAACATGTTTGTTCGTTTCCTTTCTCTGCCATGGATCTCAGCTTCAACCCAGATACAATTACAATAATTTCCACCCCGGTCACCCGGATAAATGTAAATATTATCTCTGTTTCTACTCTTATCATTATCATTTTATTTTTCGGCCTTAGTTTCATAATTGATTTAGGATTTTAACATTTTATTATCCAGTCTCTATGGTACATTAGTTTTATTTCCCTCTGTCTCTACGCGTACACAAATCACGCACACATATACAAGCATTGACTATTCAAAACATATAAACTTTCCGAAATTTTTTGTTGTTATCACCTTCTAATTCATAAACTCGAATTAATTTAACCATGTTCATATCAAATGACTGTACTGAATAATTTATGAATGTAAATGTAAAGCCTGACGAGAATTTACCAAAAATACTTATTCGCTTCAAACAGTCTTCTAATTTACTACATGTATTCGAATTACTCTTTTAAGCTGAATCTTAATTGTTCAACCGCTTCTGGTAGCAGATCAATGTAACCTGTTACATTTTTGTGCTGGTAGGGATGCTACTTTATCAGAGAACGTACGGGGAAATTCCTTACAGCTGTGAGAGTTTACAAAACGCTTATGAAATTATATCGGTGATATAAAGCCCACTTTACTTACGAGTAAAGGCGCATTTGAACAAGTGTCAGTGCATAGTGTGTGGTCAGACTTTGCTAAACAATGACTGATTACTTGACATTTCTCAAAGTACTAAAATAACCATCCTAATTTAGGAAATACCACTTTTGAAAGGAGGTAAATCATTTGAATCTGATCAGTCGCAGTCATTTAACTCATTTACCTGCGAAGTCATAAGTTAAGAGGAAATGACTGAAAGACAGGATTCACATTAGGAACGAAGTTACAGAGGAGTTTATTCAAAGGAGTAGATGTAAATCTCCATGAAATTACATATGACTAGTCAGCTGAGTACAGAATGATTTGGTTAAACCATTTATAAATTATTCAAACATTCTAAAGTTCGTGCTGATAATTTTCACTGTTGAACGGTCATTCTTACCACCCGAATATAATATAAACTGATTTTTCATTCAGAACAACTTAGTCAATTTCAGGAGGGTGATCTCCTTGAAAGAAAAACGCTATGAACTAAAAACGTGTACGGCTTCATCGGGTGGATGGTTGGCAACCATTCACATTTATACATCAAATTATTCTCAATATTTACAAAAAAGATCATGAGGTGTTTTGATAATTGTTATCTCTTAATAAAGTTCTTAATTACCAAAAAACATTTATTAATTTTTAAAACAAAATCAGCTACTGCCATACCTGATTTTGTTACGAAAATCCGTCCTACATCTGCACCAATTGGAGGTACAGCTGGATTTGAGGTACAAGTTGATGGTCAGCCGCTTCCTTCCGTACGGTGGTTTAGAGATGGCATTGAACTTTTACCAAGTAATCGTATTAAAATCAAACAACCGGGTCCTGATGGAAAAGCCACTCTAGAAATAAAAGATCTTGACGAAAAAGATGGTGGGACAATTACATGCCAAGTATCAAATCCTTCTGGTAGAAATTCATGCTCAGCTCCATTTGAAGTATTAGGTAAGCAAAACTGGTTAGTTCTATCTAGCTAAACGTGTATAATTTGAATTACAATGCCAGTGGTTTTGTATTTAGATACTGGTACATCAGTCCTGTTAAATGTTTCAATTATTTTTCACTAAAATTTTCATAGGAATACCTAAAGTACTAGGTGATATCAATGATAAAGTGGCTTCAGAAGGTGATCTTATTAAAATCAAAGTTCCTTATTCTGGTCGAGGTTCAATTACACTCAAACTAAAGTGTAATGGTCGGGAAGTACCGGAATCCGATCGAGTTAAATTAATGGATCTTGATGGGACAGCTTCTATTCAATTAAAAGGTAATTTTTCATTGGAAAAGTTCCATCCTGTATATCATTACCCTAAACAAAACTGCTTTTTCCACCCTAAATTTATTAGTGAATGAGATTGTATAATTCTTGCATGCAAAATAAAACCATCAGAATAAATCTCACAGAAATGATTGGCAATAATATGTTTATTCGCAATTTTAAAAACTAATGGTTATCCAACAAAGTTCGTGCAGAAACCCAACAAAAGCAAGCAGAAGAGAGAGGGATATAATAGTGTTGGAAATAAACCAGTATTTCTTACTTTCTCTTTACAAGATGAAGCTGTGATAAAAATCAACAGACGAATTAGGAGTGTACTGTCTAAAACCTATCGGGATGCAAAACGTATCCCGGTGCACCAAATAGAATTCGCAATCACAGAATCTAAATCAGAACAGTTTTAGACTCTTGTTAACTCCGACTGTATTTATCCATTCGGATGTACTTGCAGGAATAACAGAAAGGCAGCTGTCTACCAGGATCGCCAAGCATACACCAAAGAGCTTGTCCCAGAGGTTCATCCTCATTCAACAGTATAATATATTGTCACACGTGACATCGAGTAAACGCGATATCGTCTTTCACAGTAATCAACTGATGAGAGATCACTGGCTTACTCTGTATTACCAATACTGTCACTGTTCGAAGAGTTCAACTCGAACTGTCTTCATACGGAGACAGCAATTTATTAATGACCTGGTAATTAGTGAATTTTCACCCTTTTACTTTCCCCAAAATATCTTTGAAATATCTTTACTTTCTGTAAATTCCCATCCATATTCAAAACGACTGTTTCGTTGTTCCCTTATTTGTTATTGTTACGATAATTTTATCTTAGTCACTTATCATTTTGAGGTTAGTTGGGATTTCACTTTTGAAGTAGTATTTATCACAGATTAACATCAACTGGAAAACCATTGAAAATCTTGGAGCACTAAACAGCACTTTCATCCTATTCTAGGACTCTTTAGAGGTACGCACCTATGACCCGGTTGGAGATCAAATACAGGATATCCCGAAGTTCTAGTGAGAAGCTATGACTTATGTGGTCAACCAGTAGGAAGTGAGGTGGATACCAGTTGAAGACCTTGGGTGATAGTCTAGCTATATCAAGATTTGACAGAAGTAGGAAACTGCGTTACTGAGCTTCTACCCGGTTCCTGAATGATCAACGTGTTCCCCGTGAAACCTGAAGGTCTTGAGTTCGATCCGTGGTGGGGTCGTAGCTGGGGACTGCTGAGGTGTTCCATACTAGAACGAAAAGTTTGTCAACTTTTCCAAGGTTCCCCCTGGTTCTCCACCTGATACCAGTCGGTGGCGAGTGCTACCTTAAACTTGTCATTTTGTTAAGGTAATATATTTTCACATAATTATGAAACTACTTCTACCTATTCTTAGTTCTATCTCACTCATTTGGGAAAATTTCCCACTTTGCTTTATCTAGCATGTATCTAGTCCTACTGAATTTATTACCTAGACCTCCTTTGTGTTGTTAATTGTAATGCTTTTTGCAATCTCCTTGTAGAACTGTTAGTAGCTGACAAAAATCCTATGAAATAAAAATGACACCAACTTATTCTGTAAATGGTGTTCTCATTGCGTTGTCGAAATAAAAAGATTCAATGAAAATATGTTAATCAATGCCTAGTTTATCTTCAACTTTCTGTTATGGGGTGTGTAATATGCTAGAAACCGACATTTATTTAACATCAACCAATATTTTCTTCGGATACTAGTAGAGCGGTGTATTATGTCGAATTAAATGGAATTCATATCTCCTGTAATGTCAAACCAAATTTTGTACGTGAACAGTTTGTACACTAAGATAAATGGAATTTATTAGAAATAAGTTTAAAATGCATAACATCCATGCACAACATTAAAAATGTCAACTGTTGGTGTGACCACGGGCAGTAATTTTGCTTGAAATATTACAAAGACGTTTATTTCAAATTTATCTATCGTAAAGGCAAAATGGACATTCTAGAGATTTTGACAGCCACCCTCGTGACTACTGAAATAACAAATTATGTTTATTTATATTGTGAAATTACTGCTTTTACAGTTAAGACAGAAAAACCTAATGGGTTATTTTGTTTCAGTGGTTCCTTGGGTGACCTTTAGAGTAACTCGAACGTTCTGACTTCATTTATTTGATTTGATTCAACCCCGTGAACATAATTCATACTTCTACATGGTTAAAAATTCCAATGAGCTTCACTCACAGACTTCGCCCATTGGTTTAGGAAGTTGACCTTCAGTCAGCGAGTTGCGAGTTTGAACATGACTTCACCTACCAAGTCTGGAGCAGTCATATAGCGTCACTAGTCCTCACGTTAGAGGTGTGGCTCCTTGTCTACTGTCAGGAGAAGTTCGATTCAATTGAACGTCAGATTCCCGCAACCACGAATTACCAACTGAACTTGACAAAAGGATGCGATAGTAACAACCCTTTTTGCAGAATTTTTTAGTTTATAACTTGTGTTTATACATTTAAACAACACAATGAGTACTAGTACTAACCAATATTATCTACAGTAAGTGACATACTTTGCAGCACTCAAGTGACTACTGCTTTTGAACAGTCAGACATAAATGATAACCTATGGATGAAAAAGTTGGTAAAAGTAGTTGCAAAACAGAAGTGAAAAATGCTATTTAGGAATTGATTCAATAATTGATCAGAATAGGATTGCTTGGATTCTACATCTTTATTTTGATCCATTATACTTGTGTTTTTGTTTTGATGTCATTAAATATTACCTTTATTTTTGCTATTTGTCACAGACGTAACAAGAAATATGGGTGGAAATTATAGTTTGGAAATAGGAAATGAAAGTGGTTTTACTTCGGTACCATTCAATATAAAAATAACATGTAAGTTAGGATAATTCATTGGTTTTCTGATATTCTTTTCTTATTGATCATTTTAACAATATAGCATATATACAGGTTTTATATAATTAAGGCCTAAGCAGGCAATATATTTCAGACAGTCAAGTTTGTTCATCTCTAGCAATGATATCAGTTTCCTGAGTTAATCTTTTCTAACCAAGATAGATAGTTTTCTTTTGTTTAAGCTTCTTTCAACCTAATGCATGAATGGTAAGGTATTGGTTATCATTTGAGACAAAACACTTTTACCATGAAAGTAGAAAATGAACAGGGTTTGGAATGGTTGTAAAGGCCTCACTACTAATTGAATTGTTAAGGAGTGTCATGTATCAACTGGTATCATGAATTTAAAGTCACAAATATATTTTTTAATTTCCCTCTCTTGAGCAGTCTCAAAACAGGATACACGAACAATGTATTGATGTACCTAAGTGGAAACACTTCTTAGTAAATTTCCTAAATTTCGTAAAAACTAAATAGTTATTAGTAGAGTTTCTTTTAAAGTGAAATAAACATTTAAACCTCATAAAATTAAGAAAAAATATTGAATCTCCAAACATCTCTATCTTATTTTGTTTTTACTGGATGATGATTGAAGTTGAAATGAAAATTTGGACTGCGGCCAGACTCGAAACAGTGACCACCGGGTTTCCAGCCCGATGCCCTACCATCTGAGCTACTCAGTTGAGCTATCTCAGACAGTCAAAATGATAATCAATATGATTCCTTCATCTCTAATTCAGTTAGATTTGAATTGGGATGAGAAGTCTTGACTAGACAGGCAGTGCGATTACGATCAAGGGGTAGCAACACATTATGAATCCAGATGTAGTCAGGCAAAACGCTTGGTGACTGAAGTGAAATAAAAATCACGTTAGCAATCGGACCTCGCAGCTCAGTTGGTAGAGGATCGGGCCGGAAACCCGAAACTACGAAATATAACCATTGAAAAGCTTTTATACAAAGGTATAATAAGGCTTACTAAATTTAAGTGCGAATCAGTCTCTAAATGGCAAAGAAGATAATACTTCCTAGTTCTTGGTTCCAGGAGCATTTCACTCAAATAAGTAGGGACATGTATGTATGTATGTATGTATGTATGTATGTATGTATGTATGTATGTATGTATGTATGTATGTATGTATGTATGTATGTATGTATGTATGTATGTATGTATGTATGTATGTATGTATGTATGTATGTATGTATGTATGTATGTATGTATGTATGTATGTATGTATGTATGTATGTATGTATGTATGTATGTATCGTAAACTAACTGACACAATTCAGAAATGTGCGTATTATTCGTTTAGAATAAGTTGAAGTCCAGGTTTCATATCTCACAATATACTTCAGTGAATAGCATCAAATCACCTAGGGGTAATTCATGACTTGGAGTTGGGAAATACGTTAATGTATCCAAGTCATCAATGGAGCTCTGTTGACAAGTGTTTAAGTCAGTGAAAAGTTGCTCATCTGGGAGAAGTATTAATTTTCAACAAATTCGTAGTCTGTAAATACTTTTCAAACAAATAATCTCAATTAATTCAAATAATTAAAATCATTTGTTTCTGTTTCAGTATGTATGATGTTTATTATTGTTGTCGATAGCATAATGTATATAAATCAAATTAGTAGGTTTGTTTTGTTCAGACGAAAGTATAAATTTATTCTACTTCCAAATGAAATCGACATTCTTACATAGATCACGCTGCTTCTATTACATCATCTTGACTCGCTGAATATTTTCCATCTGAATGGGAGAAGCACTACAACTGTGTTTCATAACAAAGAAACTTCTTACTTTTTATTGATATGCTTGTAATTTGCCGAATCGAATTGTTTGGCCTCTACTGGCATGTGGCTCCTATGCGGGTGCCTTCATATTACCTGAATATTAACCATGGTAATTTACTTGGTTGAGGCTAGCAGAGGAATCCAAGACGCACGTTTCGTCCTATTTGGAAACCACAACCAAGTAAATTGCCATAATTAATATTTGGGTAATATCGAGGCATCCGCTAGGGGCTCACATATCAATAGAGGTCAAACAGTTCGAAATGAGAGTCCCGAATTCCTCTGCTAACAACAACCAAGTAAATTACTATAAAGAGACTTGCTGTTTAAAATATTAGTTATGTGATACAAAGTGAAAACTGAAGAGGAAATAAATTCTTGAGTGGAGGCTGGATCGGAACCATCGACCTTTAGATTGACGGAAAAGCTTTCAGTCAGTCAACAAGGGCTTTGCCCAACTGCCATGTAACTGCATGATGCGTGACCATCCATTCATTATGATCACACTGTAATGTTTCCCCAATATTTGATCAGTTTCTGTTTTAATTGCGTTTTTGGTTAGTAACTCGATGATCGAAGTTCTAGGTGGCCGGCTAGCGAACTATACAGATTAAACTGAGTAGTTTTTGACTTCTCATGCCATTCACTGATATATTTGTTTGGTTCATGACATTTATGTCTCAGAGTTTACACTTCGCGATAGATAATGACTGAGGAATTTCAAACCGGAACTCTGTTGACAAGACAGTTGAAAAACCTTTCGGTCTCCGAAGATGTCAACATGAACCATTGTAGTTTATCAGTGATTTATAGAGTGATCATTCATTGCATTCACGGAGTTCTGCTTCATTTTTTACCTCATATTTAATAACCTGCAAATTATAGGTATTACTGACAATTCCAAGTTAATAAGCGTTCGGAGTTACTACCACTTTTAAGTGTTGAATATTCAGTATAACTGTATGTCTACTTGTGTTACTTATTGCTTATTGTATTGCTTATTGTAAAGAAGTGTATAAAAGCTGTTGATCTGTCGATGTGGTAATCAACCAACATAAGGCGAATTACTTACAGTTGTTCACCAGAAGAAATCTGCTTAGAGCAACTGTATTTGAAGTTGGCAAACATTCCTTAGGTTTCTACCAAGAAGTAATTATAAGAATTGAATTCTATGGTCATAAATATTTATGTATAAACAATAAGTATAAAACTGTCAAGGTCATTCTGTGCCTTTTTTTTGTCCTTTTGTTATTGCGAATTACAATGCTTCCTATCGTTTTCTGTTGGGATGATAAATTAATTTAAACTGATGAACACTAATTTGATGCCAAAACCAATAGTTTTGCAAATTTTGTAATATCTTCTTCAGATTGTACCATAAATAAACCACTTTTTGTGAAGGTAAATCTTGAATTAGGTATAAGGTATACGAATATCCGAGACACCATAAATAAGTGATATTCATGTCTTTAAAACTACGAATCTTTAAACTAATTTTACATTTTCTTCAATATCTTTTCATGATTTGATATGGAGACATTCTCTAGTTATTATAACTGCTATCATTTAAGTTCATAACACTCAGTACAATGGTAATCTGGCTAGTAATTGAGTTTTCTGGCTTCTGCAGTAGATTAAAGAGCTGGCACTATTGATGCTATTCAGGTTTTCGTCTAACTTATAACATGATTCACATAAAATTCGTTAGTCAGCAAAACTTTATCTGAAATAACTACCGAACAACTGAAGGTTTCGAGTGATGTTTGATTGTTTACATTCATTTTATGCTAACGAGTAGCTACTAGAACTCAGTATCCTTTTATAATGATAATTACTTTGTAGCCAACCGGAAAAAGAGTTCTCGGTCATTTTAAATGACGACAGTTAAACTTATGCAATATGAATTCACTCCATAAATTCACTTCCTTTGATTGAGTTAGACAAATTAATAATGTTAAAATAATGTCACCCAAGTGTGCACATTTTATCGTTTGTAATGGCTATAATATAAATTCCATTTTCTTGACACTTACAGCTCCTCCAGGAGAATGTCAAGGTCCAATCGTTGTTTCAGATACAACACCCTTCAGTACACGATTAACATGGAAGCCACCAAAAGATGATGGAGGATCTAAAATCACTCACTATATTATTGAACGTCAAGAAGTTGGCAAAGATCGTTGGATCCCAGTATCATCTGGTTGTAAAGAACCTACTTGCGAAGTACAAGGTCTGCAGGAAAATGCGCATTATTTGTTCCGTGTTACCGCTGTAAATGACTGTGGCCAGGGAGATTGGTTACAAGTGCCTAATGAAGTGATTGCCAAATATCCGTTCGGTAAGTGGTCAGATTTCTTCATTCCGACGGTTTATACTACAGTTCTGCTGTAAATTAGCTAAAAGGTTGAAAAATGCAAAGGAAGTCTTAACTGTACGTACTAAATTAGCAGCCCTTTTCTTATTGAGGCACATTTATTTGAAGACAGTTTCACAGAAGCAATCCACACTGGTGTGCTTTCTCTTAGGCCTGGTCAACCGATGACTTCAGACATTAGTGATGAATTGAGGAACAACTTTCATATGTTATCAAATGCAGTTATACATATTCTGCTTTCTAAAGATAGAGTGCTGTCTCTTCGTTTTACTTTTTAATTGAAATGAACTAAATTATGTCTTGCTACTTCATTTTTTCTAGATAATTATTACATTAATTTTAAAGAAGTTCCAGTTGCATTATAACTTCACCCACTAGTCTTTAGACTACTCATTTGGTTCGCTTTTGCCTGAATTATAAGATAAGACTATAAATCGAACGAAATACGATGTTGCTGAAAGGATACTATAATCTCGGTGGTGGTCATGTCTTATAAATGAGTTCAATGGAAAGATAATTTGTGAGCTAAGATATCAGGGTTTGCTGTGTTACAAGTTTTCTAGCTTCAGGTATCACATTTCCATTGAGTGAGGGATCTACTTATCAACACTTACCTGTCTTAGGTGGTAGCTACTTAAAATAGATAGGCGATATAATGTTGAAATTCATTAAAGCCAAGTTCCTTTACATTGATATCATCATACAATTCCATCCTTGTTTATTGAATTCACTTCATCAACTTGGATGATCTTGGTTGTAATCTTGAAGTCCCTATATTTTCACCTGATCAGCGTTCTAGAAAAATGTTTATGCTTAGTAGTCTTGATTTAAAGTATTGTTCGTGCCCCTTAATACGGATAATTATAGTAAGAAATAGCAAATAAAACTACGGGAAAGTTTTTAGTTACGACTCAAGGTTTATTAGATTGTATTCCAAAACGAATATTATGTATAAATCACAAAATCACACCCTACGAACTCTTAAAACGTAAGAGGTTATCAACTCTGTTGATTGAGCACAGTACACTTGCTGCAATTCCTAGAATCAAAAATAAGAAGTGAAAACCTGCAAAAGTGAAAACGTTTGTGTTAACTCACATCTTCAGACTATAAATAGTAGTGCTGATAAGTGGCTTTATTTCATTTTTTTAGACAAGCCTGGGAAACCAGGACAATTAATTGCTAACGAAGTTGGCGGAGATTTTGTTAATCTTTCATGGACAAGACCTTCAACAGACGGTGGTGGTCGTATTCGTGGTTATGTTGTTGAAAAACGTGAAGTTGGTGCACAGAACTGGTCACGGATCACTCCGAATCCTATACTTACACTTAGTTATAATGTTCCTAATTTAATTGAAGATAAAACTTATGAGTTTCGTGTTATGGCTGTCAATGATGCGGGTGAAAGTGAACCGAGTGTGATCGATCGACCCGTATGTGTTAAAGATCCTAAAGGTATGAAAAATACATTTGACTGTTTTCAACTGATTTCATTGATTTACATTCATGTACCAGCTTAGAAATGACTCATGTTTTCCCAGATTGTGTAAATAAAGCTGTTACTATTTAGGCATAAGTTTCGCAGACTTATGTTCTTCACCGTTATGTATTTGGTAGAACTGGGAAACATGTTTCATCTACTAAGAAACTGTTTGTTCGTTTCCTTCAGCAATGGAGATTTTCATAATAACGTGAGTCATCACCGCATTACAGAAAAACCAGTTTACTAAACTATGACTATTTCAGATAAACGCACGATAGGTATGTGCTGAAGAATTAGTAAACGTTGAGTTCTGTGATTTCTGAGCGAATTTATGGGTCACAACATCCTCTATTGGAAAAGGTTTAAAATTTTCTAATTAGTTAATTAGATGCGACAATGACTGACAGTTCAGACCTTAACCAGAATAAACCAAAAGCGGTTCACGAAGTAAAGAAATGATAATGGGAAATGGTAACTTACAACGGCTACGGAAAACGTCTGAGCTAAACCACCCTTTATATACCAATATTTATGTATGCATCTAGTTTTTGTAAAATTGTTCATCAAATTTAGTGACTGAACAGGTCTGTTGTAATCTAATGAAGAGTGAATTAGTTTACTACGCATAGCTGTTTCTACAATAAATGAATGAGTAGCTCCTCCATCCTGGAGGATTGGCAGAAATGAGTATATTGAATTTTTTGTTTGTAGCAATAAGAGGAGACTTTTTTGTAAATAGCCCTCCTGATTTTCTGCACACCAAAGAATACTTAGTATTTGGCACCTTTTGGAAGTTTGCAGCATAACAAATTTCAGTCAGAGATTTACCAAAAAGCTATGAATAACCTGATAGGGACTGACCTTTTCCGACTTTCTAGTTTCATCTCATTTATATATTGGCATGGTATAAAAGCCTGACTGAGGTCTGGTCTATATGAACGCAAATGAAAGTTTAACCTTGCGTTGTGAAAGTCTGACACAACATCTGCGTTCACAAAAAAGGTAACTAAAAACAAGAGCTAGAATTTTCATTCTACTGGAATGGTCAAGGAAAACTTATTAACACTGACATTTTGTCGGAATGCTTTATTTATTTCTACATATGTTCGCCAAAAACAAATTTTATAGTATTACTATATAGACCAGTTTAAAAGCTGTGATGACCTCTCATTTCATCTTTATAAGACTTACTGTTCCCTGAAATAACTGTATGTTAACGAAATTCAATGACTATCCTCAACTCACTTTTGCGAATTATTTTACATTGCGAGCCTGCAACTGAAGTATATTTGTAAATAGTCACATCACTATTATTTACTTAGGATAATAAGAGCAAATATTATCTTCTGCCAAACCATGATTAGAAGGACAAATCATGAGACTAATCCTGGTGTGAATCATCCATGTATGATGTTTTAACCATGTGTTAGCTTGGTGATATGTTCATTTAGAAATGCAAGCAACGTAGGATTTGCTCTAAAGGTCATTTGAGGATTGCTGAAATAATCAGTCAGTTATCTGAAAAGGAACCTCGCCTGGTTAACTAGTTTACTAGTTACTAGCCGGTCCTAAGCCCGGGTAAAGAGGGAAGGTTGGGCATAGGGCTAGCAACCCTACCCCGTAAAACAAATCTAACCGCTAAAGAAACTTCAAAGCACAAACAAAATATAAAAAATGAAAACAAACTTATTCCCCGCTGGAATCGGAGAGGCGAAATGACGCCAGTTGGTGAAAGCCTTCGGGAAGCCAATTGGCCGATGTGTCTTCTCTCGATGAAAGCGAAAGTAAACGTGGGGACATGGAATGTCCGCACGATGTTTGAACCCAGTAAGGCAGCCCAGATTGCAAAGGAGATGAGAAGGTATAACATCGAAGTGCTTGGGATTTGCGAGAGCAGATGGAATGGGAGTGGACTCTCCAAACTGTCAACTGGAGAATCAATAATCTACTCTGGTCACCCAGACGCCAACCACGAGCACACTGAGGGAGTGGCTATCATGATGTCCTCAAGAGCATCGAAGGCTCTCATGCAGTGGGAACCAATCTCCTCCAGGATCATGACAGCAAGATTCAACTCAAAAGGAAGAAAGGTCACAATCATACAATGTTATGCACCTACAAATAATGCAGAGCAAGAGAAAAAGGAGGAATTCTACAGACAACTTCAGTCAACACTGGACAAGACGTCAGTTGGCGATATCAAAATTCTAATGGGCGACATGAATGCCAAACTGGGAGGGGACAACACGGGAAGAGAACTAACCATGGGTCGAGAGGCGCTAGGTGAAATGAATGAGAATGGAGAATTGTTTGCAGAATTCTGCGCATTCAACGATTTGGTGATTGGAGGCAGTGTGTTCAGGCACAAGGATATTCACAAAGCGACATGGACTTCACCAGATGGACACACTAAAAATCAAATCGACTTTATCTCAATCTCAAGAAAATGGAGACGCAGTCTACTTAACACAAGGTCAAGAAGAGGAGCAGATGTAGGTTCAGACCACTATCTAGTGCAAGGAACCTTCCAAATCAAGTTGAAAGCCTTCAAGGAAGCTGGTGATAGACCTCAATTCAAGTACAACACTCGGAAACTGAAGGATGAAACTACAAAGGAGATCTTCAAAGCAGCCATCAAGACAAAATGGGAGACGTCGAGGGACATCCCTGAAGAAACCTGTGTAGAAGAACACTGGAAGTCTTTGAAAGCTATGTGGAAAGAAACCTGCACAACAGTATTAGGAAGGAAGAAGAAAGAAGACAAGGAATGGATCTCGACGGATACCTGGAAGCTGATAGAGGAGAGGAGGATGGTGAAACAGAAGATAAACCAGTGCAAGGATGCTCAACGACAAGAGGAACTGAGCACAATGTATAAAACACTGGATAAAGAAGTGAAGAAGAGTGCACGCAAAGACAAAAGACACTTCTACGACACACTGGCAAGTGAAGCAGAACAGGCTGCAGGTAAGAGAGACCTGACGACATTGTATCAAATAACCAGGTTGCTATCAGGGAAGAGACCAACACAGATGAAACCAATAAAAGATGAAGAAGGAAATTTAATTACAAAAGAAGAGAAACAGAGGAAACGATGGGCCGACCACTTCAAGAAGCTCTTGAATCGACCACCACCTGCACTTCGTCCAGAAATACCACCTGCAGCCGCTGAATTACAAGTGAACATAAATCCCCCAACGAAAATGGAAGTCCTGAACGCCATAAAGCTACTGAAATGCGGGAAAGCAGCAGGACCAGATGGAATACCGCCAGAAGCACTGAGAACAGATGCAGAGACAACAGCGGACATGCTCACACCACTATTGCAGAAGGTGTGGAGGGAAGAGAAGGTACCTGTCGATTGGAAGAAGGGTTACCTTGTCAAACTGCCGAAGAAGGGAGACCTCAGTGCTTGCAAGAACTGGCGCGGAATCACTCTCCTATCCACCCCAAGTAAAATATTAAGCCGCATCATCCTGGAGAGGCTTAAAGACGCACTGGATTCAAAACTGCGACCGGAACAGGCAGGCTTCAGGAAGTACAAATCATGTGCTGACCAAATTGCAACGCTTCGTATCATCATAGAACAGAGCGTAGAATGGCAATCAGCTCTATACCTCAACTTCATCGACTTTGAGAAGGCCTTTGACAGCGTCGACCGAGAAGTAATTTGGAAACTGCTTCAATACTACGGAGTACCGCAAACCTTTATCCGCCTCATTCAACAACTATATGAAGATGCCACATGCCAAGTAATCCACAATGGGAAGCTCAGTGATGCCTTTGAAGTGAAGACAGGAGTGAAACAAGGTTGCCTACTATCCCCCATGATATTCCTTATTGTGGTGGACTGGATCATGCAGCAAACAGTAGGCAGCGAGAAGAGGGGGATACACTGGACGACGGAAAAGAACCTAGAAGACTTGGATTTCGCCGATGACTTATGCCTAATGTCACATAAACTTGAAGATCTGCAGGCAAAAACTAACAAGTTGACAGAAGAGGCAGCTAAGACGGGACTTCAGGTGAATATAGAGAAGACAGAAGTGATGAAGATACCGCACCACCACCATCAACAACAACAACAACAAACTCCAATCACCGTCAACGGGAGAAACTTGAAGGAAGTAACCTCCTTCACTTATCTAGGAAGCACTGTTTCAACTACAGGCGGGACGGACGAGGACGTCAAAGTCAGAATCGGAAAAGCAAGACAGGCGTTCATTAGCCTGAAACCAGTGTGGGGATCTTCCGCACTCAGCATGTGGAACAAGATACGGATTTTCAACACCAACGTCAAGTCAGTGCTCTTGTATGGCTCAGAGACTTGGCGCGTCACGAAAGGGATTTCCAATAAACTACAGACATTCATCAACAACTGCTTACGCTCGCTGCTGAAGATCAGATGGCCAGAAAAAATAAGCAACAAGGAACTCTGGGAACGAACCAACCAAGAACCTATCACGCAACAAATATGCAGGAAGAAGTGGAGATGGATTGGCCATGCACTGAGAAGGCCGACTGAGGACATCACGCGTCAGGCCCTCGAGTGGAATCCCCATGGGAAGCGACGAGTTGGACGTCCGAGGGTGACATGGAGGAGGTCATGCGAGGAGGAAATGAGAGGTTGTGGGCTGTCGTGGAACCAGGTTCAAAAGATCTCGGAGAACAGAGGTCACTGGAGGCGTGCTACTGAAGCCCTATGTTCCACTAGGAACCCAAGGGACTAATAATAATAATAATAATAATATCTGAAAAGGAGGCTATTTCAGGAGTCATAAGGAAGGCCCATAAAATTATTAAGAATTAGGTCACGTGATACATACTAAGGGGAGTGACTCTAAAGATCACTACAGCAACCACTGAAATAACCAGATAGGTCCTTTCTGTTTTGTTTGTAAAAGGCCTTGTAAACTTAAAAAAGTTGGTCATTATTTACCTAGGTGACTTATAAAGGAGATCACATACACATTTTTAGTTCTATTAACACCATTGTTATTGAGAATTACAGGAAGATTTCCGGAAGACATAGTGGTCGTTTATTTAATTATCAGTTATGTTTTATGTTTGGGCAGTGTTTTCTATGTGAGATATATTATCATTGTTGTTTCTTATCTGTTTCTCCTGTTAAGCTGTTTCTCGGCCCACTTTTGTCAGTGGTCTTAAACCTCAACTTGTGAATGAAGGTCGTGATGCTGTGTTCGAAGTTGAAGTTGACTGTTCATCAAATTATGATATTATATGGTCGAAAGGTCCTCATGATCTAGTTGAATCACATCGTATCGAAATGACGAAAGAAGGACGTGTACATTTCTTGACAATTCGCAACTGTGGTCTTGAAGATGCTGAAGAGTACAGTGTTAAAGTTTCAAATCGAGGTGGCTCCAAAGTCAGTCGAGCTCCTTTGTCTGTCAAATGTAAGAAAGCTTCATTGATTTCAAGCTTAATTCATATTAGAAGCTGAACCGAAATAAGTGACGAGCATAGCATAGTTTATTTGGTCATTATCTATATGATACTCCCTTTTTGCGAGAGTCAGTTTTTTTAAAGCAAAATCTGTTCACTGACTAATATTTATGAGGCACTAAATTATCATTTTTAAACCTGAATTAAGTTTGTCTTTGTTCCCCATGCTTGCACTACTTTTAAACGATTTCATATACAATAGTTATATGTATATATGACAGCAATGAATAAATTCTCTTTCTTGTCATCTGAGAGAGCATATAAGTGATTTGTGTAGAAAACCTAGCTAGACAGCCAGTGTAATGATGAACTTATAATTGCACATCTTTGATTGATATTACAGTTTGATAAATATCTCCAAATTAGTAGAATGAAATTATTAACTGGTTACTGCCCGAATCTCGGGCCTCACTTTGTAAACGTGTCACAACCTAAGCTTTTGTTTCACTAACAATCCCCTGATTATGTGGCTGCAAAAAGCCTTGAATTATAGAGATGAAAGGAGACAAGTACGTCTAAAGTAATATGTTTCTGAATGCTTTGACATGGGTAATCGGTGAGTAAATTGGCATCACTATTATCTGTCTCGACACATATCAAAGAGGATCTCCAGTTGTCAGTTTCTAACGTCCCAAACATCACAGTTATATAGTATGCTACAAGATTCTGAAGAACTGTCAGTGACTTCATATACTAGTGCTATACCTTCATTTTACCAACCTTTGGATTCATTGCTCAAAATTTATGAATTACCTTTTATCGAGATGGATAGTAATGGTCATTTTTCACAGAAAGCTTATGGGAAAAGCAGAGAATATTAGAATACCTTATTTAAAATAAGTATAGTTTGTAGACCACAGTAATGTGCTACGTGCATCTAGTTGTCAAAATGATCAGTGTATTTTGTAGTAACTAGTAAAAATCACTCAGCTATAGGCCTTTTACTGTCTTTTCCATCCGTATAGAAATCAAAAGCAAGGCAGTACCAAACATATCGGAATCATATATTCTTGGAATTAGAACAAAAATATTTTGGTGAAGAATTGGTTCACTTAACTAACTTCAGCTACAGGATTACATAAATCCGTATAAGTGTCAAAGCGTTGTTAACCTCAATGACTAGCCAAAACACTTGAAAAAACTTACCTAGAATGTACTGATGTTTACAGATAACGTGATGACCGAATACCAAAGATTTATTTAAATCCTAAAAGAATACGAAAAATGAATAAACTTTCTAATGTGTTCTGAAAAGTTTTTTGCATAAGTTATTTTAATAAAACTTAGAATGACGCACCGTCTAGAATTTTTTATGATGCTACAGATTAATTAAAAACAAGTTTGAAACTTCCATCGGTAATTACTATCGAGGTATTTCAACATTCTTAATGTAGAAGCTGGGTGTTTCGAACTTCGGTTTCCTTTTTCAATCCTACACTTCAGCAAATTGAGTTCATTTTAATTCTACGCCACTTCAATTGTTTAACGCGATTAATTATATGATAGATCATTTCAGTAACAAAGATTTTAACTACAGTTAAAAGGGTAACTAGACCATACAAGCTCTCCTTTAAAATATGAAATGGTGAAAAAATGAACAACAGATAAATTTCTGAACAGGTCCATATAGTAGCACGATAGTCAAGAAGGGAAGTGTTGTCTTTAATAACGTAACAACTTGAAAGAGGAAATTCAAAACTGGGATACTAATCTTGCAAACATATAATAGCCTCGTGTCACACTTATGTTAGTTTGTAGGAAAAGACTGACATTAATAGTGGTGAAAATGAAGAGATTATTGCATACGTAACTAGAGAGGCTATCTTAGCAATCGATTCGTCTTCGTTATTTCGGCTGAAATGGTGGTTTACCTAATAAAATGAAGAATTTTAATTCGTTACTTCAGTAGTTGTTTAGATGGCCTTAGGAGTCATTCAGCGTGTAAGAAAAATGAGTAATAGAATTTTAGAGAAATCTAATTCGGTAAAATCCATAAAATGGTGTGAAAACAAGCCGTCAGATTATAACTCTTCGTGAAGAGTTTCCAGGATAAAATATTTAATGGGATTCTTTAGGTCAAATAAATTTGCTTCTTAGTTTTTGACAGCAGAAAAATTGCTCCGTATGTGTGTAAGCAGACTGTAGTGAATCCGATGGAATAAGTGAAACAATTTCTATGCGCTGCATTCAAGCTTCATGACAGGGTTTTTACTTATTGTTTTCAATGTTACTAGACAAAAAGTGGTTTTATACTTGAAGTGAGTACCTTCAAAAGTTAAAGACTCACAATCCTTATCTTATACCTAAAATTTCATGTTTCAGCAAAACCACAAATACACTTGCCAAGTCGTTGGCAAGAACCTACTGAATGGGAACGTGGTGATTCAATCGCAATCAAAGTACCATTTACAGGATTCCCTAAACCGAAGGCCAGATGGACACTAAATGGAAAGGATATAAAAGAAGGAAAGAACGTCAACACCGTTTTAAAAGATCGTTATGCCATAATCAATTTAGAAAATGTAGGTGAAGAATTTTCTGGAAAATTAGAAATAACACTGGAGAACGAAATGGGATCGGATGCAGCTACTATTGAATTACGAATAAACGACCGGCCACCACCTCCAATTAATTTGAAGGTGGAAGGAGTAGCTGATGGATCAGCCCTGTTGTCTTGGAGTATGCCTGTTGGGACTGGCTATATTTCTCAATATATCATCGAAAGATGTGAAATGCCCGGTGATACATGGATAAGAGCCGGTACCAACCGGTAAGTTAACAAAATTTGCTAAGTGCCAACATACATGTTTTAATCATTCTGTGTTGTATGAGAACCCCACAGCATAAGTTATGACGAACCGTCTGAACTTTTCCAGTAGTCATTGTGGCACAAATATTCTGAACAAACGATTAGATGAGAGAACAATTTACCTATTGGCTCGGAGCGCGACTTACCTGCAGTTGTTCTAAACTACACGTCCTCTTTATATAAACTATGATCAAGATTTAGTCGTATAGTATGGCAAATATTGGGAGCTGAGTAAAAGGTTGACATTAGATATAGGCTGTATTTGTGTATCAAGTGATCTTTTCAAGTAAAAGTTACCATGCATCAAATTCACTTCTCGAATGTTGCTGCTTACGCTAATATGAAAGATGCCTGAACCCTATGTATAACTGCTGCCATTTGGACTATTAAACGTTTCAACGCGTATTTCCATCTACTACTACAAGTATTCCCAGTGGAATTAATGTATACTGCCTTTAAACAACATGGTGAACTGGAAATGCATTGATTTAGACACTCACTCACCTTGGTTATATAACTGTGGATATTTACTGATACTTCTGATAGTACAAATTGGTTCGTCGTGGTTAGCAAAGCTAAAAACCGAAGAACTTTCTATGAATGGACGGTTATACTACTAAATAGCAAACTATGCAGGTGGACCAACAATGTCGGCTGGCTATAACACAAACTTCGAACATTGCGCGTTTCTGTTATTGGTAGTGGAACCTATCTGTGTAATGGCAGATAAAAGTCCATGCCCGTCTCATGAGTTGCAACAAGTTTTAATAAGGGTATGCACATCAATAACTTAATATGTGAATTATATAATACAAATACTATTTTCCAAACTTTCATGAATTATCGATCTGACGGTGCTTGTAAGCTGGTATCACTCATATTAAACCCATTATATGAGAATAAGAATTTTTATTATCTTCACTTTGACGATTTGAATATGCTGTAAAAAGGTATTTTCTTCTTTGTCTCATAACCGCGATTTTCTAATGTTTTCTATAGTTTAACGGCCTCCCCTCTGTACTATTCAAGACCCTTAAAATCTTGTACATTTTTCAACATATATCAATGTGATGATGCCTGTAAACTGGCTTCTGTCATGTTAAATTACTTATGTGAGAATAAAATATTGATTTATTTATATCTACCTAGTAGTCAGATTTGATACCTGATACACCATTCAGTCTATTTGAAATAAAGTACACATAATTGTAGCCCTGAAATTTGTCAACCACCTTTAAAAAATACCAGCTGACATTGTTCTTTTTTTTATCTTAAATAGTCGGCTGATGAATGCTTTTTGACCAATAAAGACACGAAAACTTGGAATTCAAACATTAACTAAGAATTTTAATTGCTTAGAAAAGCAGCATGACGTCTATTATTCTTAAGGTAGTATTCATCATGGACTGACGCCATTTGCAGAACTGCTGGAAACCAGGGAGCACTGGACAACTGTTTCGCCCCAGTATGGGACTCCTCAGCAGTACGCACCCACAAACCCATCACAGGTTGAATTCAGGACCTTCAAGTCCCGTGACAGATACGTTTGAGACGTAGCCACTGTGTATGTGTTGAATGGTCCACAGTTTCATGCTTCTGTCGATTTGTCAGTTAGCATCCTCTTCACTTCCACCTAGTTGATCCCACAGGTCCCAGTTTCCAACTGGAACTTTAGAATATCCAACTAGAAGCATTTCACTAATGATTGCTATACAGTGATGTATTTTGAGGTCCCATACTAGGACGAAACAGCTGTCCAGTGCTCCTAGGTTACCAATGGTTCGGCAACTGACATCAGTCCGTGATGAATACTACCTAAAAGATAAGAGTTCCCATAAACCTCAAAGTATATTTCTATTATTTTAGATTTTGGTCACAATGTTTTGGAAAATATCACTCATTTATTTCATGTTGGGGAGTGTTTGATGTTTTATGGAGTGTAAGAGTTCTATGTACTGGATGAAGTTTTGAACACACGTTTGTTCACAATCATATCAATCAACCGTATTATATTGATAGTGCATTTACTTATTAAAAACATCATCATTTGAAGTAAAATAAAAATATGGGTAGCTGTTATTGATCATAGTTCATTCGACAATGTATTCATCGGTAACTGAATGGTCTGTAGTTCGAATCCTTCTATACCACAGGATTTCTCTAGACTTTCCTCACCATAAACTTACTTTAGAATTAGTCTGTTAGTCGAAATTATCCTAAAAAGATCACTAATTTTCAAACACTAGACTTTGATTGACCAAGATATGAACTCTTGTAATTCACCACTTCGAGGCTTTAAGATTAACCCTAATTCATGTTGATTTCTACGGTACTCATATTCTAAGTGTATCAACTAGACGGTTACATCAAATGATGCTGTAAAAAGTCAAGGATTTCAACGTCATCCCCTTTTTGCTTGTTTTGTCTTCTTAATTTATGAGTCATTGTCTACCTTACCTTCGATTATTAGTGATAAGTTATCGATAGCACAAAGTAATTGCTTAGAAACTTTTCCTTCTGTTGAGAATAATTACAAAGAGTTACAAATGATAAGTAGTGACTAGCAAGGGAATTTAGGACAAGTGTTTCGTTCTATTTGGGACTCGTCAGCTGGATGCACCTCCCTTCCATTGATTGATGTCATTCTCATTGAGGCTCGAATGCAGCGTGGGTCACCCCACCAGCATGACCATTTGTGATAAGCTCATTGACAGCCAATATTTGGATGTAGAAGAAATTAAATCTTTTGTTAAACAGTCAACTATATACCAAATTCTTGCATAACTTGATTAAATTTCTCAATATACTGAAATTTCATCATCTACGTTTTAATTATACCGTTTATTTTTATGATCAGTTTCTCTAGTTACAACTGTGAGGGACTTGTAAATGGGAAAGAATATCGTTTCCGTGTAATGGCGGAAAACTTACATGGTCGCAGTGATCCCTGCCAGCCTACTGAAAGTCATCTGATAGCTCCAGATGCTCGTCAGCGTGGTGCTCGTCGTGAACGTGGAGAAGGTCGTAGTGATTACAATGGGCCACCAATTGATAACTATGATCGATTTCGTAAGTCCTATTTTAATTGACATTTAAATTCTACTAATTTGACTTCTGTGATAAGACAGAAATTAGCATGACTGTAACTTATCCAAATTTTTTTTGATCGAAAGGACAAAGATCATTGATTCCTTGTTTTCTTATTTGTTGGTTGAGCTTTTGTTAATGTAGTCAACTAAAAAACTACATATTTCTGTGTCTAGAATCAAAATACTTTGCAACAACACCTTGTGAACTTCTTTGTAACAAATAAAATGATTATTTAAGTTCAAAATAACCTGCTTCCCACTTCAGGTGAAAGACCTTTAATTCATCAGACTTAACAGTTAGTCTAACGCTACACGTCCTCGATCATAGTATGTATTTTATACTAAATTTAAATCCTGTAATTCTCGGGTAAAAGACGTCATTGTTTGTAAGGGACCTGGTTTCAAGAAAGTGAAGATCTACACTCTAATTAGTCTCTTATGAACTACTGATAGTTACTAAAGCACCAAATAGCAAAATTCTATTGCTGCCTCAATGGTCGTCATCACTCTCTTCACAAAATTTCTTATTCATTGATTGCGAACTAGAGAGCAATCAATTTCATGTTGTCTGGTCCTAAGTACTTACCGGTATCTACTGATCGTTTTGCAGTGTGGCCATCGACCTAGGATACTCAGCATCGTAGTGAAATTTGATTAACGGTAGGAAGTTGGATGTATTTGGCAATCATTCAGCATGGTATTCAGAAGTATCACAAGAAGGTAATGCTAAGATAGATCAATAAAATACATAGTCTGATATCAACTAATTAAATTGTAATGAAGCAAAAGTGGCATCCAGATGAATATGTTTGTCAATCTGCTACGTATCTGGTTACTCGTTGGCTCTCTTTGAGAAGTGAGTCTTGTTATAACAGTGAAAATAACATAAGGATACTTTCTGGTCAGCAGGCACTGACTTGAAGTGGTGAAGTGACGGTAGTTAACAAGCAGTTTGATTTCATAAGTGTAATATCATAACAGCCAGCTTGTTATTTCATGAAATAAAGCTCCTAATCTTATGATGGATGTAAAATACAAAACAAACGTGATTCAGAGATATTTCACGTATTGTCAATAGCAGAGTTAGACCACTTAACTAACAACACACGTAAGCACAGAATGCCAAGTCAGGCTTTTCCCAGTGTTTCTCGGTATGCTTCATCTTAATGAGATTACAGCAGTAAGAGTTTGCTATCAGGGAAATTTCTGGTTATTGATTCTTTCTTCTCACCTATCATATATCTCTTGTGTCTTGTAGGCTCAAAACTGTTATGCTGCAAAATTGGTGATATGCTTTCCTATCCATATTTCCTCAATTTGTAATTGAATAAATGTCAGATAATTTGAGTTGTTTTAAAAAACACATATGGATATGTCTGCTATGGACTAAGCCTAAACTGATAGCTTTATGGTGGTTGTTCAACGCCTGTTGTCTACAGTGGAGTCATAAACTGATGATGTGAATATCCTTCCATTAAGGTTGTTGTCTTGTTTAAGTATGAGTTTATGGGTTTAGCAACATTTCAACACTATTGCATGAAATCAGTTTAAAATATATTCAGAATCAGACAGTGGAGTGTATTTTCTGCATCAACCCTTGTTATTAGTCTGATTGAATACTGATTTATAAGAACTTAACTACAGTAATATGTTCACTGATTTCATTCACCAAACCGATGTACCAGTAACTTATGAATTGAACTTGTGGTTTGATTAAAGGAGCATGTTGTAATGCAATATAGTTGTAGGCTTTACATCAGTTTCAGAGAACTACTTTCTCTTCTAAATTGAAGAAATGTTCCAAGTGTAATGACTGGACCTGACAAAGTCTTTAGCTTTTGCTGTGCAAGGAAAGGTTCTCTCAAACCTAAGTTAATCAGTATTGGTAGATAGTAGTTAGCAGTGGGATGTGAGACGCCTTTCTAGTTCTGTTTGGGGTCTTTCAGCTAGATGTACTTGTCTCTAGGTAAGTAGTGTTTTCACTGAGACCATAACCCATTACTGATGGCATCCACCTGGCTTCTGAGTCATGACAGCCAATCAATGACAGTATACTGCAGGCTATGCTATTTAAAGTTTGCCTTTTTGCTCAGCCTAATTTTTACTTTCTCGTTTTGCATTTATTTGAAAAGGTCAAAATCAAACTGTTAAATTTTGGTTAATGTTTCTGACTTTTAGCAAATTAGCTGAGGATTTTTATATTTTTACCATTTTTTTCATTTTACTGATTTACTACTATCTTGTCATTTTAGCACTTATAAAATCTTAAACTAATCTTTTCTTGAATTTATCTCCACCTATTATAGATCGAAATATTTGGGACAAACAAATACCCCTACCAACACAAGTACACAAAGGTGAAAGCGTATATGATTATTATGATATCTTAGAAGAACTTGGAGTGTAAGTTATCTAGAAAAATATCACGTTTAGCACGTTTTATCATCTTGGAGTGAGTAAATATTTTTTGTCAGAAAAACAATAAAGTGATTCTGTGAATTTCCTTACACTGCATAAATAAGTTAAGTGGAGATGTAGAGAAAAGTCAATCATTGATTATCTCTTTTAACAATGAGTGGTTAGTTAGTGTATTCATTTATGTCATGTTGAGTGGTGCAATTTTCTCAAATAAAACTATTAAGCTGGGGTCACGTCATTTAAGCCTATATCTTATTATGTAACCTTTACACACCTTCCGACTATGACTAAGTAAATGGCTTACTAACTAATGTGTGTATCCGACTGATCTGACGCCTTATAATCTTGGACCACTGACTTGATTGGACACATAGTGAGATGTTAGTGATCGTTTATTGAGTACAGTTTACAAGTTATGGGTTTATATGGATGGATTATAAATCCACAATACAATAAATTAAGGATACTCAATAAAGCTATTCAAGTTAGAAAATGTAAGTTACTACAAAGACCATCCTGAAAACCACTGACTTTAACCAATCAACTTTGTCTATTTTGGCAGAAAGCTTTTTTCATTAAATTGAGAAACCTGGTTGACCATTTCGGGGCTTCTCAGAGTTATTTCCAGAGTTACTCTAAAATCCACTCTGGAAAATAAGCTGTATGCTTGAATGCACTAATCATTGTTATTTTAGACCTTCATGGGTAGGAGAATATCTAACGCATAGTAAAAAGGCTTATAATAATCGTTACAAGACATTACTGTAGAAAAAATTCTGCGTATAGCTTTTTTGACAGATCAGAATAAGTGACCAATGGAAATGTAACTGTTCGAGCTCTCCAATCCTTTTTTAACCCCTTCTCTACTTAACAAATGAATGAAGAAAATTTAGTAATAGTCTTCAGTAATTCAGAGATTTGACAAAGGCTATTTCAAGTACGAACACCTTTGGACTTTAGTTTTGTGGCTGATACCATCTTCTGACAAAATCCTTCTTGGTACATTGATTCGTACCGCCTCTCGTTTGGAAAAAACAAACATATCCAGTTGAATCCAGGATGGTAAGTACAATTTTCTGACACATGCCATTCATCACTACAGTAGTGAAGAGAATAGTTGCTTTATTCAAAGGTATACAGCGACTAATAGGAAATGTTATTATTTAACTGTCAGGAAACACTTGTAGTCAGTAGTAATGTTCAATGCAAGGTATGGTTAATCTGTTAAACTTCTAACTCATTTCATCGTACCTTATTAGGATTTGAGGGAGAAGATACAGATAAGTAGTTATTGTAGCAAAAGCCAAACTGAAAATACCTTTTTTACCCCCACAAACGCAAAAGTAACGTATTCAGTCAAACTGAAATTCAGCTGTTAGGTAAATTTCTGAGTTCATATTACAAAACATTGAATCTAAAGTCCAAAATAGGGGGCTTGCAGTTATCATCAGTCAAACAAAATTCAAAGACTTGTTAGCAGTCGATCTGTTTGAAAGCAGTTTTTATAACGGGGTAGGGATTATCTAGAAAACTATTAAAGATCCCAAAGCACTAGTTAGCTATTCGGCACCTCACAGCTGGTATCTGGATTGGTAGGATAGATAATCACCGATGATACTGAATCAATGTCACTCCATTCTTTGAAGCAATAAAAGCTGCAAACACGAACTACCAGATAAATGGTAAAGTATTCGCCACCTGAAATCATGAATTATTATTATTTCAGAACATTAAATAAACTAAGATTATCCAACCATTAGTTCTCATAGAAACTTCACTTTTCCTTCACTTCTTTTTGTAAAAAATCCCAATGTTTTTGCTATTTCATCTCTGTCAAACTTGAGTCACTCTTAAACTACTAAAATTACGTAGTTTAACTCTAAAAAAGCTGTAATTACAAATCGAATGCTTGCTTATAGGAGAATGATTTGGTACCAGATTTTTAAAATAAGCAAGTTTAATGGTAGGTGTGGACATGTAAAGTGCCTCATTTTATGTAATAAACTTATCATTGTCTTTTAGGTAGAAACTAGATAAACTAGGAGAATTCAGTAGCAGGACAAATGATGACACTGGGTGACTGTAAAGGCCACCGTAGCAACTACTGAATAGACCAATCAGGCTTTTGTATTTCACCTAGAAAAGTTCCATAAAACAAAGGAATGTAGTTGGCTGTCTCATCAGTTGTTAGGGTTGCCTTTAAAGTCACTAATGCCACTTCAGTGTAAATATTTGAATCATTGACAGTCACCAGCTATCATATTTACCGAATTACGCCACTTACCAGGTCTGTCTGTACAAGAATGGAAGGATATAAAATCTGACACTAAAATGCGACTGCAGGGTATATGTGAGAATACTCTTTAGTGTTAATCCAGTTGGACAACAAACTTCTAAATTTTTCATAAAGGATTAATTAACAAAACTAACTTCAATACAGTAAACTGCTAGCATAATCTTACAAACCCTGTTTTATATCTGAATCGCTTTTAGTTCTTAGTAGAAAATAGTGAACCTGATAGTGCTATGAAATTATTCAGAATAAGACAAAAGCACTAGTTACCAGATTTATAGGTTAAAAAGGTGACTCCATATTTACTAGATAACTAAGTTATGAAGCAAATAGTTAAGTCAACGCCTAAAACGAATCACTTTACTGTACGTCAAAGTTGTCTCGGAAACTGTGAACCGACTAGTTCCTTCATTCGCTATCAATGTAGTACACACGTCAGTTAAATCCCTACGGAATATCTGACGCAAGCTGAATAATCTATTAAATAAAGAAGACAAAATATGATATGAAAAAATACCTGCGAATGCTGTCACTATCGTTACGTTGGTCAGTTTACAAGTTGAACAGCCCAAAGAATTTATGAGAATCAACTGACAGTCAAACGACATGATGTAACATCGTTGATAAGACTGCAAGTAGATGAACACAACTAAAACTTTGGTTGCAACAACATGGAAATATTATAACAGGGAGGCTCGAAAACTGCAACAGAATTATCGGAAGCATCTTACATGAATCCAGAGGCAACCTATAGGCAGGTGGACACTGATGCAATGTGTTAACTACTAAGAAGAGGTAGAGTAGAAACCAGTCAAGGAAACCAGTAATCAAAAGTTTAGTTAATAGCATAGGTCAAATAGTCACAGGAATTATATTAGTCGACACGTAGTGGGAAAGGAGGAAAATCATCCCTATTCATAAGCTATTAAGGCTGAAGTTCGCCAAATGTCCTTAATACGTATCCATGCAACCTTTTGCAGTAACTGCTCACAAAGTCACATAGCTTGGTGGTGAAACGTGTAAGAACAAAATTCAAAGCACGTGGAACACTAGACAATTATCAACTGTTGAACTATTCAGATCTTCACAAACTTTGAGTTGAAATCTATGGCCCTGGTAAAATAGCTAAACCACCCTACATTGTTATTAAAAAACCCATAGAAAAAGGTTAAAAATGAAAGAAAATAAACAGTTTATTCATAGCAATTTATTAAGTCACCTACGGGCATTATTAGGAAGTTAGACTAGAGTTCATGTGGTTTCATAAAACCGTTTGAAATAATCCAGTTTTTTAACTGACAATACCTTCTACTCGGTCATCACAACAACAATTTATAAAACTGAGGCTTATTTAAGGGATGAGAATATAGCTGCTGCAGTAAGGAAATATAGTATTTTCAGTTCGAATTTTCTTTTATATTTCTGATGGAAGTGTTTAGCAATGGAACGCAGGATGCACATTTCGTCCTATCCGTGACTCATCAGCTGTGCGTACCTGCCTCTCAGTAACCGATGCTGTTCCCACTAAGACTTGACGATAACACGAGTAACAGTGTAAGAATTTTCTTTTGTTTCTATAGAAAAGTAAATTAATATATAATGTCTCAAACCATTTCATTACTTTCCATTTAGTGGAACATTTGGTGCTGTTCATCGATGTCAAGAGAAGGCAACTGGTAATTTCTATGCATGTAAATTTGTGGATACTGATTCATCACAGGACAAGCAAGTGGTTCTAAATGAAATTGAAGTCATGAAGGAGTTACATCATCCAAAATTGCTTAATCTACGGGAAGCATTCGATGATAAAAATGATGTCGAACTTGTCATTGAATTGTAAGTTATATAAAAGATATATATAATCGTGTTCTATGGTAAGCATCACTATACTGTTTGTAGTGGAACTCATGACAATTATTTAAATCTATTTAGTTGGTTTGTTATTTATTGTTTAGTTAACCTCCTTATCATTCCAGTTTCGGTTTATGAATAAGGTGTATGTACCAAACAACAAATCATAGTCGTAGTAAAATTATTTCTGTATGATAGGAACAGGTCAGAAAACCTGTCGTTTGTTCAGTGTTTTGTTAGTGGTAGACCTGAGACTTTGCCTTTTTTATCATTTTGTTGAACATTGTTGATTAACAAAAAACAGACTGAATATATATCTTGAATTTCTTCAGCAGTGACCATGTCCAATTCTTTCGAGATAAAACACTGAATTCTAAGACATTTGAGTAGCAACTTTGTTCTTAAATCACCAAGTCAGAATACTGTAAGGGGTATGGGGCAATACATTTTTTGAAAAATCACTTGTAAATCAACCATTATTTCACATTTAATAGTATGATATTAAATGGTTTAATTTCTAAAATTTAGGCTTACTGGTGGTGAACTCTTTGATCGGTTAGCAGATGAAAGCTTCACAATGTCTGAGGCTGATGCTATCAATTATATTCGACAAGTATGTGAAGGCATACAACACATGCATGATATGAATATTATACATTTGGACATTAAGGTAAGTTATCGATATACACTGAAACCGTATTATTATTTGGACTAATCTTGAATCTCTACTATACCTAAATTTTTTATATTTTTACCATTCATTGAAATTTGTGGTCATTTTCAGTTATTCTGGATTAAAACTAGAATTACTTATTATCCATTCAGTGAACTAGAATTTTTGCGCAATTTTTCAAACTTTTGTTAAGAACCAACTGTGTTTTCATAGATTTACTAATTTTTGAGTCTAACAGAGGGAAGTAGTTTTGCGCCGATCTATTATTTTAAAAGTCACGCATGAAACGGGTTGAATTTGAATGGGAAATAATAACAACAAATCCTGATCTAACTTCCGTTGCGTGTACAGGTTTTCCTGATACTAATAGGAAGCTAAGTAGTATTGAAGATACTAGATAGTTGAGTCCTCTTTGGTAGTTGTTGCGTTATCATGACCATTAGGAAGCCTGAAAGTTTTAGTTTACTCCCTGTTAGTTCTTGTGCGTATACTAATCAAGATCGAATGATAGTTTATCATTCGCTGTTTTAATCACTTATCAGCTGATGACAGGGAGTGGTGAAAATACATATTAAAACGATCAGGTATCCTAAAATGCTGTTCTAAAACCAGAGAATTCATGAACGCGTTTCTTGTCGCTTTTCCATTTGGTTTTGAAACAAACGTTTCTAGATTCTTAAAACCATGAAAAACTCTTAGTTTTACAGTAGTATTCTGATGCATTACTTCAGCTTTCATCATAGGACTAGTATCAAATTATATATGGTCTTAGTTGTGTACTGCTATCAGTTGGAGAAAAGATGAAAACTGGAAATACGTGACATCTGTCTCACCTTACTGTAAGACTCTATAAGTGCTCTCACTTGATTTCATGGAAAACTTACTTCTAGATCTTCAGATCATTTATCCAGGTGTTGGGTTGGAATCTAATCTTTTTACTTGCACATATAGAGTTGAATTTCAAGTTCACATGGCACCATAATTCATAAAAGTAAAATAACTAAATTCATGCATAAGAAAATGAAATCGTGCACAATAAGTGACTTTACTTAACTTGCAGTCATTTTGGAGCCATGAGTTGTACGGAAATGGGTAAGGGATCCATAGAAAGCTCCTGAGCTTAGTTATGCAATAATATGTATTTTAAAACAAACAAAACAGTACGACTGATACCACTTAAATGGAATTTCTTCTTCATTTTCATCTGCCGCTTAAGATTCACTTTCTGTAAACATACATTTATTCATTGTAAGTCAACTATTATGCCTCATATCACTGCACTAAGGTACAGGGAACAAATGAAAAAAACACAGAAATATGAATATTTAATGTATGTGATCCCTACAAAGCCATGGATGCATAAGTCGACTAAACAAGACTCTAAAACAAACATCATAATCACGTTATTAAAAGTGGCGAGTCTATTATTTTTTAAGCTGGAAAACAGGCTTGTTGTTTTTAATCTAATCCACTCTTTCTAATCACATGTACTATATGGCGTAAAGAGGCAAAAACACTTATTTCGATCACAATAAACATAAAACAGCTATTACTTTTAAACTGATGATTATTCTCAGCTTTGTTTTAAACAAATATAGCGTGTCTGAAAATCTAAAGTCGAAACTGAGAATCACTTCTGTCAAAGCATCACACATTTTAATTATTCAAAAAAATTTATTGACGTTTTTTAGCCCGAAGATTTGATGTGTGAAACATCGAAATCGAAGGATATAAAGATTGTAGACTTTGGTTTATCAAAGAAATTAGACCCCAAAGTACCAGTCAAAGTGAGCCTTTCACATCCAGAATTCGCTGCACCCGAAATTACACGTTCTGAACCGGTTGGTTTCTACACAGATATGTGGGCCATAGGAGTTTTAGCTTATATACTGTAAGTGATGAGTTACATTTTTAATATAATATAATAAAACATGTTGAAAGAAGTTGGCAATTCATTGTAATTAAAATTAATCTTGTTGCTAAATTTAGACTTGATGACTCTGATAAAGATCTCAGCTGAGAGGGAATATGACTTGACTCAACAATCTTTGAGACTGGTATTACTGTCTGTAATTACTGTAGTTGACTGAACTAGATTGAGTGGTCACTGATAAAATATGGACTATTGCACCGACCCCTCAATACTTCCAGTAATTTCAGTTTGATAGTAATGATGGACAGTGGCTGGCGTCCTGGATTCCACTACTAACCACTATCCGTCGTTGCGATCCTTGAGACTGACTATCTGATCTTTCACTAGTTGATTTGTTAAATCGAAACATCTGGCGGTTTCAAATTCTTTCACTCAGTATTCCAACCAACTTATCTAGCTGATTGTTTCTTTACTCATCCTATCAGTTTTAATAATATCAAGATTCTTGATGAAGAATTTGACATTTACTTTTGTTATTCTTCTAGTTGATGTCATATTTCTTGCAAGCGTGCAAATAAGATAACTAAAGTCACAATGGTTAGTCGTACTATCTGAAGGATTTTAACTTACAACGGGTTCTTAGAAATATCTCCAATAGTAGTAAACATGTCAGTCATGTTTTTTCCTCATCCGCAGTTGTTTTAGTTTGCCACTATGATCCAGCTAAAACGAATTATGTTACTTCAGAAGATAGTCTTCATAATTCGCTTGAGTCCATCCACCTTTTTCTTTAAAGCTGATATCCCGGCCAAACTGATATACCATTTACTGAATAGTTATATCTTTATTATTTTTTAAAGAATTCATGAAATATATATATATATATACTTTAGACGCAGAGAGAAATACTGCTTTGGAAATCAAAAGATCTCATCATGTTTGTTAATCTGGTCCACTTTTGTTCAAGACAGTGTCTCAATAAGTTTTCCCTTAAGTTTTTAATGGCCACTGGAGGCTATATGGGCTTTTTTCAGTTGTTTTTTATGTAGTATGGATTTCAGGAGAATTTTCCTGCTAAAACTACCTTCACAACAGGCATAACTGACCCATATCTTGTTGTATTCCTAACCATGCAATTCGATTTCTAACGTTTTTTATAGTCTGAGTGGCTCACTACCTTTTTCTGGAAGTAGCCCAGAGGAAATAATAGAGAAAATTGGTAGAGGACAATTCACATTCGATCAAGATGCATTTAGTGGAATTTCAGCCAATGGCAAAGATTTTATCAGTAAACTTTTACAAAAGCAGCCAAAGTGAGTACCTTTATCTGAGATAAAACATTTTTCGAATTATTTTACCTTATTAGTGAGAAAATTTCCATGGCAACCTCTGGGGAGTAGGTCAATCTCTGTGATGTTAGATGTTCCTAAGGTTATGTTCATTAGTACGTCTATGATGAAGCTGAACAAGTAGTGTCAGTGGATATCCCTTCCGGATATCACTAGTTGTGGTCAATTTAGATGAGAATTCTTCATAATCTCTTACGTGATTGTGTGAGTTCCAGTAGATCGTTATGATGAGCATTATATACTTGCTCGGTTTTCCTTCACAGTTTGACACTGCCACAACATCTCGGAGTCAAATGCTGCCTTCAGGTCAAGAAGTGTGGCAATTGTCGGTCACTGATAAGTATGCTTATGTTCCAGAACTTGTCGGTCATCCTAGCAAATAAATTCCACGAAGTCGTAATATCGCCAAATTGAGTTAGTTCTGCGATCAACAAGTGATATTACTAACCATATTTTAAATGAAATAATGAATTAGGTTTTGTCATTTTGTTGGCGAGATGGCTTTTCTTAAGAGTCTACTGGGCAGGTTTGGTTAGTGCTCAAAACTTCTCTTATTTTAACGTCTACAGAAATAATATCAAGAACATTCATACCATTCAGAAGGGATTCTCCACCCCCAAAGAAAAATGAATGGTCGAGATATTCTATGTAATATAAATTCTAACAAAATGCAAACAGAGAGGTCTAACCACTTCACAAACTTAACCATGTATTCTAATAAAACTGTTAGGCTTGTCCGTCATGTATAAGGTGAATTTCTAATTAATCTAGTACATATCATGCTAATTCATACCCATCTACTTAAACCTACGTATTAAAATTACATTGGCATTCTGAGTTGAATGATGAATATGTTGTGATAGTTGAATGTCTTTTCTGTGTTCATAATCGGAAAATGTCCCACTCGATTTACAAATTTAAATGTCTAATAACTAGTAGAGGTTTTATCCTCTGAAGAAGAGTCTAACGAGAGGATGCAGAAATATCAGAAATGTACTGTTCCAAATCATTAAGATTTTACGAACGTGTTTTCATCATTATCTTTATGTTTGCTGATTATCTAACTCACTTGTTCATCTTTAAAGGGGAAGGGTAAGTCTTTTGACACCTTATTACAACATCGACGGTTATCAACCGAAAAATTAGGTTCTGATCTTATAAATGAACAGAAATATCTTTCAAGATTTCAGGTTGGTTTTTTAGCAGAGATTCTCATAACAACAGAATTTATACTGAAGACAAGCGGCTTATCTTGCCAAAAACTGAATAACTTAAGAAGTGCCGCAACTTCGTACCACTCTGTGTGGCTGATTGAGGAATTCGCAAATGTAGGTGATCTTCACGTTAAGATTATTTCATATCAAAAAAGCACCAGTGACATTAAAAGCAGTTAGGGTTATCATTATGGTTCTTCGTATGCTTTCCACATACTATTATGTACACGTGGTAGATATGAATAACTTTCTTTCCAGCTTTAAGCTACAATCTCCGAATTATTGATTACTGGCTCAATCCAAATGCAGTTTTAGCACTTAATTTATATTTTTCAACATCCAGTTTATGGTTATGCTCGAGGAATTCACAAATAAATCAGTCATTTATCACAGAAATTATGAATAAATCTTGATGTGGAAAGCTTGTTTGATTTTGCTCTGTTACTGCATACTGTAGTTTTGGCTTATAAAACATCCTACATTGAGTGTATCATCAAATCCCCCTAGTACTAAAACATTCTGAGGTGCATTCAGCTCAATAATACGATGGTTTCAACATTTTACTATCTTTCAGTTTCTTCTAGTTTCTAATAATGTTTTTTTATATGAATTTACAGTCAACGTATGACTATTTATGAAGCTTTGAAGCATCCTTGGCTTAATGAAGTAGCCACAGATGAACAGCGTCGACGTATTCCAGCTTCACGCTATAAAGAATGCCAACGACAAATGCATGAACGAATGGTAGGTAGTGGGTAACCGAAAAATGACAGCAACCATATATGTGTATATTTTTATGCTAGTATGAGTACAGGTGTCAAAGTGAAGAGATAAGACGTATTTGGTGAAATAAAAATTACGTTGTTACCATAAAATAGAGCAAGAATCTTAAGGCTAATGATGTGCATGATAACTATCCAATGAATAGTTAATTCATATAACCCAGTTCCAAGGGGAAATGTTTTTAGCCTGAATAACTTTTAAGTCTTTAGTTTCGACCCTGAGTAACACCGGCTTTAACGACCAATAGAATGCCAGTGTCATCAAGGTTGTAGACTGACCATGTTGATGATTACCAATAATGACAGAAGCAGGGTAAAAAGGTGTTTCTTACCTAGTGACTCACATCACCTAATGCCAGGCACAGGAGCACCTTAGCATTGTGCCAGTTAGCACAATGACCACATTGCAAACTTGATTAATAAACTTCTGTTGGCATTAAGTAATAAACAGCTATAGTAGTTGCTCTCAACTGACCGACAGTGTGAGAAATGAATCGTGATAACAATAAAAATCATAAAGTTAGCTACTCATGAAATTAAAACGTATTGTGTAGCGAAAGAGTTTTGTAAAGAGGAGAGACGCAGGAGGGGGATACAATGCAGAGAGTTAAGGAAGAATTTGATGTTTACTATCGAATCCTACTAAAATTAGGTCGATCGTATTTAAGGTCCAGTTAAATAATTTTTTTCCCAGACTAGATGCAATTATATTTTTGTTCAACAGACTTCATCAATATGAGTTCATCTGTATATTACAATTCCTACGTGACGAGAAGTGAACATTCTAACCTTACTTAAAAACATAGTAGTTTTTAACATTAGTTAACGGACAAAAAGAAATCAGTGCAGTAGTTGGACATTGAGGCCTAGTTGAGTACTAAACCTGAAATTTGGAAGAGGGTAGTTTAAACCCGTCGGTGGTTTGTATTTTAAACTTTTTTTCCCTTCACTCTTATATGATACCAGCGTTCACTGATCAAAGAAATGGTACGAATTGCGTATGGTGGAAAAGAACATACATATGATGTAGTTGACTTTTATTCTTTGGGTCCCATATTTGAACCCAACCCCACATACTGAGGTTTTAGCAGCCAGTCAGTATCACCAAACAACTAATAACAGTGACTGATTGGGTTAAGCATGAACTACCACACGGTAGCTGAGTTACAACTGCTTCTGATGTGAGATACTATTTTTTAAAGTTAATGACTTAGCTTTCATGTAATTACAAAAGTGATGTCAAGAAGAAGCTGAGATGCCAGTTGTTGATTTGACAATTAAGAACTTACGTGAACAGTGATTGAGTAGTTGGTTAGGAATTTCCAGTTAAATTAAAGTTAGTATCCATGAACACACTACTGATAATCAAGAAGTGATGTAGAGTGGTTTGTTGTTGTTTTAGAAATTCTATTCAAACATGCTTTGCATGATCCTTATTAAAATAAATACAGAGAGAAGTCAATAAATCCATGACTTGAGAGTTACTGACTGGACTGTCTGACACAGTCTTGGTTTGTTAGACTGAACTTAAAGTTGAAGGCAAACACGAGTTGAAGCTGGATTCAAACCAGTGGCCTACAGTTTGTTAGAGAAACAATAAAATTTCTTTATCTGATGCATACTTTTAATTCAACTGAAATTCACGTCCACTATTTACTTCAATCTGAACTGTTTGGGAATTTAGATTTTATTCCTGTTTAATAAGGAAAATATCTTAAAACCAATGTGTAATTTATTGTTTTCTCCATTTAGGGAGATATATGGCAGAGAAGTCCAGCTATCGGTCATTTGGCAAATTATTCATCTATACGTCAAAATCGACGAGAGAAGTATCGTATACAGGAAACTAACTTTGGTATATGCATAAAAATTGTTCTTTTGGTAATATTGTTTAAAAAATGTAAATATCAGTCGGCTGATTACATTCACAAACAACTGTAAAGTTAGAGGACAAGAACCGAATAATTAATCCAATGGTTCAATCTGAACAGCCAATCAGAATATTCGACATTGAGTTTCGTGATGTAAAGGAGAAAAGTATATTCCCACAGAAACAACAGTTACTACACATTATCTTGTCAAATTCCGCTTTCTGATAAGCAGATAGACATATTGAGATGAGAGTGTGAAAAGAACTCAGAAATGCAAAGTTTGTAGCTAAAATGGTGGTAATTAATCGTGGCATGTTTATCACTATACAGCCATTAGATATTGCTCAAATATGTAGGCCTTTAATAGGGCGTGAGGCAGTAACACTACGCCAATAAATAATGAAGTTATGGTTTAGTTTCACATCCAATTAAACCTTGTTTTGAATTCACTGAAGAGACTTCTCAAAATTAAAGTGAACCATTATAGATAAATAAAATCAGAAGCATGATCAAGATTTGACCAAATATTTGGCTCTGAGAGAGATTAATGGAATTAGTTTGTGTAATAACTCTTCATCGTTTCATAGCTTGTTGTTGAACCTTCACCTACTCCATGGTTCACTTACCCTTTGCGAACTTCATATATTATCATACGTAAGCCTTACGTGACGAGTTTCATAATTAAGTGGGTGGAGGTAGTCGGCGGAAAGCCCTAGACCTAAGTCTCATACTTATTGGGACTCGTCAACAAGGCCTGTCCGCAACCCAAACGTAACTGATGTCACACCTGAGATTCGAACGCGGGTCACCTAGTACTGTAGTCAACGATGCTACCACTAAACTACTCGGGTCGCGATAGATATTCTGTAGGACTAGATTAAACACACTGATTAGTTACCCTCCAGTAACCGATCAATGTAGTTTTGTAATTCTATGTTAGTCTGTTACCTGTACATACTTCATTTGGAAAAAGAGCCTTGTAGATGAGCATTTTCTCTAGATCTCTGGAGTCTGGTTATACTAACTTATCCTGACCACTACTGAAATGGTCAGTCACGTTTGTTCATCTTATTAAAAAACTATCTGTCTAGCCGACATCATTTCAATGTTGGTCTTTGAAGTTATCGGTTGCTCGATTTTAAAGACTGTCCCAAAGATCACTGAAATTATCCACTTTTGTTTCGTTATGTTTCGAAAATCTTTTCAGCTAGAATAAAGAAATATAACTGGTTATTTCAGTATTTGCTAAGGTGGCTTGAGAGTTACTTATCATCGTTGTATATCTTTCAGGGTTTTCGATGTTTTTTCAATGCAAAATTACAATCACCAGTCTTGTTCTTTATGCTTAGATTGGAGGATTTTGGTCCTAGTCAATATGAATTACGGAAATAAGTTCATAATTCTATTTTGCAGCAGTAAAAATACATTTGGCGTTTGCTTTGAACTTGTAGAGTCTGCAGTAAGCTCTTAAGCGCATAAAAACAAAACTCATTCACAGTGGAAAGCAGAAGAACACGTGAAGCAGTCTTGCAATGCTGAAAAGTTTATAGTCACTGGATTTTAATAATTTAAAGATCCCCATAGATTATTCAGAACAAGAATAATTTGAGCAAACAATTGTTTTCAATAACTTCTTCAGGCTGTGCAGTTATAAATCCATGAGTGAAATACGATAGCCAAAATGAGGCATGATATGAACTCATTACAATATTGAATCAGTCCGTGTTATGGGTAAATGGAGACTAAATCAAATGAAACGGTGGAATGGTAATCAGTCTAGTGTGTTAGCTGTGCAATCAAATCAATATAGACGAAACAATTACGAAATGAGGACATAAGATTTTGAGATGCTGACTCATTCATATACATTCACTAGGCCATGAATGTGTGTTTATTTACTAAGGGTCAAATAATCGTTATATAGCGATGACTTATATTCAGTTAGGATGAAAACCCCGTGAAAACTATAGCGAAATAGAGAACAACAAATGTGAAGTGTTACGTCATGGCTGAAAATGACTACCGGTAATGGTATGAATGAACAAGGGTACAAAAGTAATAGCATAAAAACATGCATTTTTATCAATGTAATGACAATATAGGAAAAAGGAGTTGGAGTTTAAACTGGTAAGTTTATGGTAGGAAAGTTCATAAAGAACGTGTCGACCCTTTTGTAGGCCAAGGTAGACGAAGTGGATGTACATATTTCTTTTGAACATATAGACCAGGTTTTCTTGAGTTGATCTCTATGGCTTCGGCTATGGATAAGATGCATAGTCTTGCACTTTTAGGGAGATTGTAAAGGGCATGATGTATCACATATAAGGTGTAATCTACCTTGATCTGATGTCATGTACCTACCAGGTATGAGAGGACTGCACTGTTGATGCTGTTTGTCATTCCTTTCCCTAACCAAGGTGGGACTTGTTTACTATCAAGGATGGATAGAGCCCTATGAATAGGGCTTAAGTAACTTGCTCCATAGGAGTAGTTGAACTCATAAATGAGCATTGTTTCAATATGATAATAATAATAATAATAATTCTACATCGTGACTTACTTTGGCTATTGTATTTCACATATTCTGATGGATTTATAACTGTAGAGCTTGAAGAAGTTATTCACTCAAATTGTTCTTGTCCTGAAAAGTTGTTACCTTGAAGGTGTTATTCTAAGTATTTGATTAACTTGGGAATACATGCATCTTATCAAATATCTAAGTGATTACGTTAGAAATTAGGCCTACCAAAGAAAGTATGACTGTAAACTTCCGTAAATGAAGATATTGTCCAACAGCAGATACATATGAATTCCTTTGCTGAGACAATGGCTCCCTATCTAGCTGACGAAGTAATAGGAGGTTAAAAATGTCATTTTGTGATCAACATTCAGTCTTTTTTGAGGAAATCTAACTGAGCTTTTTACCATGAAATTTTGTATTCCAGATCGAAAAGAAGCTGGACCACGTTTTGTCAAATGGCCTAGTAACCAACTAGTTGTAGAAGGTCAAAATGCTCAGTTCGACTGTCGTGTTATGGCTGTTTCCGAACCGATTGTAACATGGTAATTCATTCATAGGAATCGTTTTATAATCCAGCTTTCATCATTTATTGATTTTTTTTCATTTAACAAGTAAACTTAGTAGTATTTGATGGTCATAGAAACACAAAACACGTTCGCCTGCTGAAAAAAATGGTTGAAAATGCCAATCATTTTAACATTATGGTTTTATTTGACTAATCTATACATTTAACTTGTGTTCACGTGATTGTATGTTGGTGCTACTTATGAGGTCCAGTTTCCATCCAGTTATTTTCCATCTTTTGAGTTTATTATAAAAAAACTTTCATTGAGTAATTCAAGTTAGATTTGTCGTAGGATCTATCTAGTTGCAGTAGAATAATGATTATAGGTTACTTCGTACTCTTAACTTCGTCTCAGCTCTTCGAATTCCCAACTAATTAGTGGCTTATGGAGGAAATGTAGTAGTGCTTAGAGGTTTTAAATTGGTTTTCTTATCTCCGTTCAGTTCACATATCTTCTGCTATGTTGAACTTATACTTTCGTGTAGATTAATAGTTTCAAGAAGTCTCGGTGATTTGGTTCAAGTTTCTCAGGCATCTTCTCAGCAGGATCAGTTTTACCTTCTTTTGGCTTCTAAGGTATGCAGCAGTGGAGCTTCGAAATTCGGTTTCTTGAAGTCACTCTATTTTCACCCGCAAATATGAAGATCATGAAAAATTTTATTGATGAAAGATTCTGTTAACGTGCTATGACATTTCTCTATCACGGTCGTGTGAAGAACCGACTAAATTTTACAAACAGATTCTTGCTATTAGCAAATTCTCAGTAGTATGATGAGGTTTGCTAGTTTGTACACTAGAATTCACAAAGATTAACAGTTGGGTAGGTAAAAGGTTTTCAGCCAATCTATTTTTGTACAAAATAGTAATTTTATATTGTTTTTTTGATTTTTAGGCATTTTGGTGATACTCAATTAACTCAAAGTGTAAAACATATGCAGCGATATGCTGGTCATGATTATTCCTTAAAAATTAATCGTGTACGAGTGGATGATGGAGGACATTATACTGTACGTGCTGAAAATAGCTTCGGTAGACGTGAATTCCCTGTTTTGCTAACAGTTCAACCACTTCAAGAAATCATAATCGGTAGGTTATCGTTTCCAAGATTAATAAGATCTTGTATATATATATATATATATATATATATATATATATATATATATATATATATATATGCCTATTACTTACTTTTAATGGGATCACTTATATATTCTGATTTCTATTTTTTATGTACAGAACCTCTGCCTCCAAAACCACGCAAGAAAGTTGAAACACCACCCGTTGAGATGTTCCATGAAGAAGAGACACCACCACGTTTTGCCTTCCACTTACGAAATCGTTATATTCAAGAAGGTGGGAGTGTTAAGCTTACATGCTCTGTGGATGGCAACCCTACACCAGATATCAAATGGTTTAAGGTAAGTGCGCAGTTGTCATATATGTAGTAATGATTGATACCGAGATTTTGTTCTACTCTTTAGGAACTTTTTAACATCCCCCAACTTCATAGTTCCTTTTAGTTGATAATTTCTTACTTTTTAGGCAAGAGTAGGTCAAAGACGGAATTTGTATTTCTGTAATAAGTAATTTACATTTCTTGTTGTATTCATTCCTTTACCCTCTCTAAAAACACCATTTGTCGGTATTGTGCACCACGACAGGTATTCTTGGTAAAGTTTACTTTATAAGGAATACAACTATAATTTACGTCTTTTTTCTCATAATTGACCATTACTTTTTTTACGCCACAATGAGGTTTATTGGGATTTCTGGTTTCAATTTTTTTGACTTTTCGTTTCGATGGTGTGGTGTCTTCTAAGCTTCGATATTTTATGTAGGACATGGATTACCGGACTTAGTGATATCGTCAGCTTAAACTCCTTTCAACCATATCTATTCTCTGATTTTGTCTTGAAAAGTCTAACAAATTAACAGCCACTGGAAAATCATGGTAACATTCTTCATTGATTAATTAGTCAGTAAAGTTTTAACTTGACTTACAACATTTACTTCATTAGAAGTCAATCTACTTCCAGCTTATAAGTCACTCGTTCCTAGAATGTCTCATAAGATAGTTTCGCCTACTTTGTTTTGGTAATGCTATAAACTATGTTATTTGTCGTGTTACTATACTACTCAGTTCTTGTAGGTAATTAGCGACCCCAAATAGTTAGAAAATTGGATGATTTCGTTTTTAATCGTTAATAGTGAAAAAATCTTTTAGTATTTTGTTAGTTGTAAATGCATCAGCTAGTCAATCTTCTTACGTAACCTTTTATTAGCATTCACATTATTCTCTCGAACTCTGTTGAACCACATACATTACTGAAACTTCTCAGCATGTCGACTACATCCGGATGTCTGTATTCTTCATCAAACAGTATCGTTCCTTGATAACTAAGTTCATTTAACTTTCGAAAAGCATGTTCAAATTCTTTGTTTATTTGATATTTAAATGTATTAGTTAATAAGCAGCTGATGAGAAAGTGGGGGAAAAAATGGTACCATCTTATTCTGCCCCAGTCGACGTTAGTTAACTGAAATAATTTATAGTTATTCAGTTTGAGTTACTCTCTGAGCTGAGGTTTCAGTTGGCAAACATTTCAGTGCCATACTAGACATTCTCACAAGGAAGCGAAGTTGTGATATACCGATTACATTGTCTATCATAACACTGAAAAGTTTGCCAACTGAAACCCCAGTTCAGAGGGCAACTGAATCTAAACATATACACCTTGGACTGTCTTCAAGCGACTTTTTTTAGTGACTGTTGGGTACGAGGTATTTTGACTGTCTACGCATCCCACATTATCTTCTATCTTTACTTATAGGAATGACACTTAAATCGTGGATAATTTATAACCTGGCACTGTGGTACATTAATTTGAATTTTCCGACCAGGTGAAAAAAATAGAAAACAGATATTTTTAATAAATGTAATTTTCCAACGTTTAAAGCGGAGAACTGAATCGATTGGTATTTTTCAGCTTACAGACTCTTTTAACGCGTATCTTTATATTAGCTTGAGGTTGGAGCTGACACAATTTACTTTGTGGTGGCTGATAAAGGATTGTACAATCAGAATCGTGCCCTGTACATGATTCTCCTCGACATAGTAAGTGAAAATGTTCCTAACGATACTGAAACCCAATAAGTCTCATCTAATGGAGTCAGAAAAGTGAAGTTAAAAAATGTAAATAAAATGTACAACATATTTCAAAAGGTGTGGTTGTTTTTTAATCTAATTAGAGAAGGGTATAATGCTGTAGTAGTCTAAACAGTCGATGGCTTTGAATCTCAGAGAGAACGCTAGCTTGGTAACAAACAAGTCTGTCTGACAAGATAGAGGTAGAATGAAACACTTATCCTAGGCCCTCCTGACTACATATAACTCGTGCTTAAACTAGCGAGCATAGGAGTTTGAGGTGTTATTCTTGGTCCTTCATTTTCTATAGATCTTGTGTACTAAAATTACCTGGAAGGAATGTGCAAGGCTTGGATTTAACTTTTGTGTTTATCCTTTCTTCGCTCATAGAGTTAAACTTTATTGTTATATAGTTTGTGCAACACTTTATAGAATTAGTTAATGATAAGACCAAACAAGAGAAATGTTTACATAATACATTTCACTTTGCTGGCATATACCCTACTCGCAATAATATTATCAAGTTTTCAACCGGCTTTTATAAGTTGCATCCTAACTTTCTTTCCTCGGAATTTATTTTCTTCGTTTTATGACTGAAGTGTGATTGCACTATTGATATTTTATTCGTATTTTCATTGCCGATTTCGTGTGTTGATATTAAAATGACTATTCCTATAAACTTGTAGACATTTTGCTTGTCTCCATTACGTTAAACTTATGACATTTTCGACTACTCGTAAGTAGTTAAAAAGCAATATAAAACTTTTAACGCTTTTTTGATGTGATTAATACTAGGTAGACGCTATCATACAAGGTCGTTGGTTCTCAATCTTTAATACTTTTTATATGATAATGCTTTGAAGTCGTTAGATTGACAAAAAGATCACAACGCAATCATTAGGTATCATAAACATGACAAAACACAAGAGAAGCCCAACAATTCTAAAATATAGGCTGGACGAAAACAGGATAACACGAAAGTTATCCATTACTGAGGAGCAACATTTAACAACCAAAAGTTCTTTTAGCATATTCAAATGATATTCTGATGTGGACAGTTTCTCAGATGAATAAACTACTTCTTCAAAAAGATGCTGAAAATAATTTTCGATATTCTTGTTTAGAAGTTCAGCAATCAGCCTTAATAATCATTCGTTATGAGAATCTTCGAACAACAAACAATAAAGATAACCAAACCTATTCAGTTTTCATCACTTTTATGTTGCCAAATTTTATGTGACTGTAATTAATAGTCTAGTCAAGTATGCATCTAAAATGACTCGAACCATTATCTCAGGGCCAGGTCTTATTAATTATAAATGAATGATTATGTTACTGATATGATATGGTCTTTAATAAGGAGAAATAAACGAGAGTCTAAATGAATCTACAGGTTACGGTCAAGAACTCCTATATGCTAAAAGCTGCTCATTATAATAATGATGGATAGTGGCTAGCATTGAAATTCACGGTGCTTGTTCTATCCTATTCAGGACTCGTCGGCCGGATGTTTTCCCCTCCCAGTGAGTGTTGTTCGCACTAAGACTGAGTAGTGGTTGCTTCAAACCCTGGAGCGTTATCTACTAGACCACTTATTATTAGTATCATTATTATACTGGACAGCTCAACGTTTAATTCAGGTCTCATTACAATGGTCACTTAAACGTTCTTACTCAACTATGTGATACACGGTATACCTGTTGATCTGAAGGTGACATTCCATTCGATTGAACGGGATTCTTTGTGATGCCGTGTCATTGTGGAAGGAGTGCCAAACAAGTGCATAGGGTTTTAATAAAAGCCCTACTGTAGGCCATTTAAATCAGTGACGGCCCACGAAGAACTGTCAGATGACAGTGTGACACTCAGTGATGTCTGCTAAGGGTTTCCACTGTGTCTGATTAACTTTGTTATGGAAGTACTATTAGAAGTAGTCTTGCTTCAGAATTCTCTAAAGTTGGCTTTGTATGAAAACAGCTGTTACTCAACCTATCTTAGGTAGGTGACATAGTCCTATTAATTTGAGGTCTTAACCAAATTACGGGAATTCTCAATTCTTTGGCAAAAAACCTATATACATTGAACAAGAGTTTCATATCACTGGAAAGCAAGATGATTCCCTATTGTTGGTCATCATCATGTCCTAGTTTATTGTTCGAGAGCTAAGTTATACAATGGATTGAAAACTTGAATGATTTAGGAAGTTGTCCCAGTTTTGTTTTTTCTTTTGAAGTAATCTCGGCATGTATAGAAAAGAGTTACTTGACATTTGTCAATCATCCCTAGTAATGTTGACCTGAACTGAATCACTTTTGTACTGGGATATTCCGTGTCCTGCCTATTTATCTGCTGTGAAAACAGTCAAGTAATTGGTACTGTTAATTACTAATGGAGATAATTCGGGCAGGTGAAGTGAGGCTCAAGAAAACTCAAAATTCCAATATCCAAATCAACGAATTTTTTTGACTAAGTGGTAAAACAAGTAAATTATAAAGAAAACAACAACAAATTACTTTCAACAGTATCGTTTACCAGCAAAATATCTCCGAGATTCTTGATTCAAACGGAAGGACGATTCGACAGAAACTAACAACCAAGAAGATAATTTAAGGATGGCACAATAAAGAAAACAAGAACTGACTTCATTAGCAAACAACTTAAAGAAATGACCAAAAATCAACCCCAGTGACAACAACAAGCAATCAGGGACAACAGGTACATAAAAGAAAGTATGAATGACTCATAAACTTGTACAAGAGGACATTTCAACAGAACATAAGGGAGTTTGAGGTTAATAGGGTTGCATTATAAATATATGTTAGGGTGTAAAAATTGATACAGTGGAAAGAGACCGGTAAAGTTAATTCAAGAAGCTACATAAAACAACAGAAAAATATGGAAGAGTCTCAAGGTATAAATAAAACGAAGTTTTCTTCCTTGTTCCTTAATACTACCTCATCTTCAAAATGCATATTCTCTAGGGATTGTTCTGGTCAAATAGATAGCCTATAATACAACACATTCTGACTGAACTGGTTATACTTGTCTTTCTGAAACAGGTGATTTTGCGAGTTAAAAGCTTTTTATTTCCACTTATTAATTAATATGTATGATAAACTTTCCTTTATTTTTGAAAATTAACTTACAGAATGGTAAAGAAATAAGAAAGGGTGAAGGAAATTATGAAATTCAACATATGCTTGGAATCACCTCTCTTGAAATATATTCCTGTTCAGAAAGTGACTCTGGACGATATTCTTGTCGTGCAACAAATAGTCGTGGAGAGGATGAAACTGACTGTAAAGTTATTGTTGAAGGTTAGCTAAATACAATAAGTTAGTTAATTTCCTTTTTCCATTGATAATTACTTCACTTATTTATGGAGCTATGGCATAGGCACTCGGCCTTTAACTAGTTGATTAACCTACATCAACTCATCAAGGTAGTATCAATAGCCCTCACACAATGAATGTGGCTGGCTGCTGATTGTACCAAGGTGTACGTGGTTTTTGAAGATACTTCAACCTCGAGTTCATTTACTTTACTCAGCTAATATCAGCATTTGAATTGATGCCTGTCAGTATTGTCAAGCCCTTCACAAGATATTTATGCATAAATAGCTTATTATTCTACTCGTATCTTTATTTTCTACCTTAGTTTTACTAAATTACATTTTAGATATAGGTTATTCACTTTAAATTTTTATAACAATAGTAGATTACCGAAGTTAATCATTTTATTCAATCGCTTTCTTTATAGCAAATCGTGTTAGACGATTCTTGAGTGCTCAACATGCAGACAGAAAAATTCGTTCCAGTAGCCAACAACCAACTGGTTTTGAATCCCGAACATATAATTCTTCATGGCGAGATGAAAGCAGCAAGTTGACACGACTTACTGAACGGCATGCATCAGAAGTACGGGAGGTCAGCGATTCACGTGAGAGATGGTCAATTAATGAACAGAGAGGACTACGTGAACTCGTGGAACATAGGACTTCAAATGGAGACATTCAACCAATTCGAGTTGTTGCACCGAAGTTACTAAAAGAGTTAGATCCTAATACGAAAGTCAATTTAGGCGAAGGTTTCAAGCTTGAAACGCGTTTTGAAGCAACTAAATCTCCGAATAAAGTTCAGTGGCTTCACAATAATGAGGTGAGTAGAAAACCTATCACTTTCACCATCAACCAAATTCATACGCACCTCACTCAGATGAAGTTGTGGACTAAACTATTTGTCTTCATGAATATATGTTAAATTATTTTTAGTGAGCATAGTTGATTTAGTTTGTGAATATATTCCTTCATCTTAGACTGAAGTATTTATCTTCATGCAACTAAGATAAACAAAGTTATTGTATATAACAGATTAGAAGTCATGTATTGATTAGTCACGGGAGTTCAACCAATTTCATGTTGTCTAGTCCTGAACGCAAACCGAATCCTATCGATCATATTTGCAACGTACCGACCAAGATAGGAGGCTCAGCGTCGCAGCACACATTAGTAGATGTTAGTTGGTTGGGGGCAATCGGCAGAAAGCTCTGCATCTAGGTTTCGTGCTTGTTGGCATTCATCAGCAAGGCGTATCTGCACCCTCGACGGAAATGATGTCTCGTCTGAAATTCGAACTCGCATCACCTAGTGTTGTAGTCAGTGACCTTACCACTGAGCTATTCCGGGCAGCGATTAACCTCCTCTAAGACTGGTTTACATGTATTATTCATGTGAGTGTAACCAATTTCATGTTGTTTAGTCCTGAAGTCCCCGTGATATAACATTGAAAATGATTCCTAAACTGACGAGTGACTTTAATGGCCAATCAGGTTAGGATATCTTGGCTGAGAAGGTGGTTTCTTGTAAAATAAAAAATCGTCATTGGTCATTTCAGCTGTTGCTAGTATAACCTTTAAAGTTACTCAACCTGATATCACAACCACTATCCACAACAACTGAAGATTGCAGAACAATAAAACAGAACTAATAGGACACTAATTTTGGTTTACAATCTAACCAGCTAGGTTGCTTTCGTTACATAAAAGTTTATGCAACTTATAGTTTTATTAAACTTGTTAGTTGTTTTGAATATTTTAAGCCTATTGTTTTATTTAAAAACAGTTAAATCAAATTTGTACTCCTATGACTTATATGTAACCCTTAGTATTAATTTCAGAATATTTGACTGAATCTATGATGAATATCAAATGAACAATTTGAGCAAAAAAATATTTCTTTTCAATTAGTTCTTCATCAATGGCTCCACACTAATACAGCATTTTCAAAACATACAATTACATACCAATCTAGTGGTGAGAATTGTTTAATGAAAGATTATCATACATACAATAGAAGCCATAGGAATTCACCAAAGCAAAACAAGCCTGTGTGTTCAGAAGAGATTTGTACAGCCTTTTTCTTTGCCTTGGCCATCTGTATGGCTTATTTATTACAACAAGACTCTTCATTTCATTCATCACACAATTGATTATAACTAATATTTAAATAGCTCTATTATTGTCATTATTATTACAGTTTTAGCCATCTTGTTCTCCCCCTACTGTCTCTAATTACCGTTAACAATTTACCACTTTACGTAACAATTCATTTTCGCTCTTTATTTACCATTATACAAAATCACAATTATGTAAGAACCCGTTTAAAAAATTTCACAAAATCCTTTTACTGTAATTAGTCTATGCTCTAGTTAATTGTCTTAATTACCTGATCAGTTATTCCCTTCTTGATACTTTGAGATTGATAACCTTTCATTAAACAACTCTCACCACTAGATTGGTATGTAATTGTATGTTTTGAAAATGCTATATTAGTGTAGAGCCATTGATGAGGAACTAATTGAAAAGAAATATTTCTTCGCTCACATTATCTGTTTTACCAAATGTCTAAATGAGAATTTTCGCACTACTGAATATCAAATGAGTCTTTTGTATACATGGGTCATTTGGTAGAATCGACTTATGACATAAATTGAAAAGCCTGCAGTAAAATGGTCATTGTTCCACTGTGAATTGTAATTTGGAATGAAGTGATAAGTGAAAGTGAAATCACAATCTGGGTCGCGGCAAGATTCGAACTAGCTTGGTGCTATACCAACAGAGCTACCAGATCTGGTCGCTGGTCAGATCTTAATTTCAGTTCAGTTGTGTTTTACTTTGATTTTAATTGCCAATAAGTGTTTGATAGGTGTAGTTATCAAAAAGATAGAAAGTGTTAACAATTGCCAATAAATACCTGATTCCACAGTGTTTTGCAATACTTAAAACTTTCCAGCATGATGATTTTAACTGTTGTACCATATCTTTCATTGCATGAGATCTACTGTGATTGCATAATCCTGGGTAGAAGATAAGAACAAATAATAAAATGAACAAATATTTCCTATTATCCCTCAACATGAAATATCAATTTAGATAATTTGACAAAGCAACCAACTTTTAATTTATTTAGTTTTTTGATAAACATATTGCACTCTCATTTCATTACATCAAGGTATCATATATCGAAATAACTTTATCAACTATAGGGGATTCTGATGGGTCTGGTACTACTTTATTTATTCACACTCCTGTATCCATTCCTAATTTAGAATGTAATACAACTAATCATCCTGTATCAAAAAATATTTCAGCATTATACAAAAACACTTAGTTGACCCTAGAAGTTTCTAACTTTTATTGAAGTCTCAAATAGACACTTTTAGATGGTTTACTAACGTGTGAAAAATTCATTCACTAGAGCAAATACACAACTTTTTACTACATTTGTTGACAATCATTATGATTCTGGTCGCCTAGTTTGATGACCACAAGTTTTCAGTGTTTCTTCCTTAGTAAATCATGGGTACTAATTGAATATTGATATATTTCTAGACCGATTTTACTCACAGTATATGCTTACCAGTTTTAAATTATTTCCTCAACAATAAATTTTTAAGTAGAAATATCTGTGTCACTTTTAATTTGACTCTATACTTAGCCATTCCTACGGCTAAAGTTAACCGAATTAATTAATTTACCGAGTGTAAACATAAATCAGTCAGCAGATTGTAACTGATACAGCTTTCAAGTCTTAAGTGTTCAGTACTGACAGAATTTCATGAATTAAGTTTACAAAAAGATCAATTCATAAGGTGATGTGACACTGCATTTTCATATGTTTGGAGTCAATCAATATGAAGCCATATCTGATCTAGGTTTTATGCTTGTGGGATCTCATTTTTTATTGGTTATTTGAAATCGCATCAATCAGTTTTAGCGTCAAAGATTTTAGTACCGAGGCATTAAGGTGTTGAATGACTCGCTGAGAGATACAATGTAAAGTTAGTAAGCAAGGTGAGCAAGAGGAAACTTCAGTTATCAGTGATATTTATTTTATTTTCATATATTCTGAAGTAATATTCACCTATACAGTATCTTTATTAATATATCCCCATAAGTACTTGTTACCATTAAACATTAGAAGATTGCTTAGTCAGAGATTTTTTTTAGTTATTTCGTATTTTAATTGATGTGACTCAAACTTCCTTTTATAGGAGATCACTTCAAATGCTTACATGAAGATCACAACATCTGAAGATGGTGGATATAGTTGTCTTGAAGTATTTCAGTCTCGTACAGAAGATGCAGGAGATTATGAAGTCAGAGTTGGGACCACTGTTACTCGTACAAGTGTTAAAATTGAAGGTATGCTTTTAATTCAAAATTAAACATTTTCGTTCTTAATACTGGGTTCTCGGCCACAAATTGTCTGCATTCTTATTTTTGTGAAAGGAAACAGTATACTAATAATAAAGAGAAATGTCCTACTTCATCACCCAGTAAGCCAGGTATACCTTAAAGAGCTGTACTTATCGTTTTCTGTTTTCTCTCTTTTTGCATGACTTACCTCATTCTGTTAAAACTGATTTATTTGAACGCGCTGATGACCTAGCAGTTTCTGTGTCAGTTCAAGTAGACTGCTCTCAAAATAACAGCTTACTATCTGAAACTGACCACCGTCCTTCCTCGTAAGATTCCCAACTACGCGCTTCAAAATATCGGACTGTTTATTTTGGTCTCAGGTGTAAAAAAGACTTCTGTGAACTACTTTTTTCCATAGCTTTTGTAATACTGATGGTAATACTGTAGAAAGTAAATCAAAGACTACCTATCTTCTGATCTTTGTTGATCGTTTCATCCCCTGTTGTCTTCAAAACTTTTGTCGCTTTATGTATCACATAAGGAAGCTGAACAAAATACCTCAGCGTCTACAATTTATTAATTTCTGTATTTTACCTATTATTTTTCATTGTTTTCTTTGATTTGCTTAAAAATGACTGTGTTGTATTGCTCAGGGCTTTGAAAGTTGTTAACAGAGTTGACTGTTTGCCCACGGTTCAACTGATTAACACCGTAGTTGATAAACATTTGAATTCGTTTACGCAACTAGCTTCAGTGATTTAAGCAGATACTGAGCATCCTCACTACTCACAGCTCTCTCTTTATGTTTCTTCACGGACGACAAGAAACAACTGAATAACACGTTATGGTCATATGGCTAAACACAAAACGTCAACCGTACCTTATTTAGTATGTAGCTTATATGGCGCAAAAAGCTGTTCAGTCAGGAATTACTTATCAACTTTGTAGCAGTAGACAATCAGCTATTCCAATCTTCTAATCTCTCATGTACTATCGTCTTCATTACTAACCTTGTTTACATGGTTTAATCTATACATAATTATTACCATTGCAAATGTGAACGAGTTAATTTTTGTTGCAATATTACATTTTCGGAATCCCAAACTGTCAAAAATATTGGATGGAATAAAGTGATCATAATATTAACAATAATAATCATAATCATAATAATAATTAGTAGTAGTAGTATTGCACCTGAATTTTTGTATCATAATTAACTTTATTTATACTGACTTATAAAACAGAAAACTTTTAAGTTAGTTTTTATCGTGTATCTGTTCGAAACAAACTTAAAAAGTTCAGATTGTTATGGGAAGCATATTGCTATGCATTCTACTGGCTGAAATCTACCGACTGATATTTACAAGCTTTCGGTAGTTTAGGATAAAGTTTGATAGTTTTCTAACTTCATATACAAGTAATCGTAAACATATCAAATCTGAAAGTCGCAAGTAATTAGTTAATTATCTTTTCATGAAGAAAATGGAAGAGGAAACGACTTATGTAATCACTGTTAAACATCTTTCAAATTCTCAAAACTATTAAACAGTTTTAACGTTTGGAAAGAAATATTTCCTTTTAATAAAGAAAGGTGTACATACTCTTCATACAAATATAAACATGATAGTAGGTACAATTTAGTTCACTAATGAAGTGACCGAGTAGAAGTGACTAGCAAAATAATGCAAAGTATGAGAGCGCTATTACCTCAATAAGACACTTGGACTTAATACGAATAGCGACTGTTCTCTCTGAGACCTGAAAATCAGAAAACAAAGATCAGCCTGTGACTTTAAGGAAGACAATTTTATTGAACGAAAATAACATCATTTATATACAGTTTTTCCTCAGAAAACAAAGCCAGTTGGTAATAAGTTGGACACTTATTCTGATTAGTCAGCTGTAGAGCAAAACTGTCCAATAAGGTCTTCCCTGCCTACACAGTAGCATGAAAAAAGGTTGGAATCCAAAACTCTTACCTTATTAACTGATGGCTTAGATTGCTGATTTTCATTCACGTCACTTCCCATCAACTAACGTGTTAGGAAAATGAATAAGGGGAATGAACTATATTGGGTTCCAAAGCAAAATGAAGAAGAGATGATGGTTTAGGTACTACTGTCTACAGAAAACCTAAACACAACAACAGGTATCTAGATTTAGGTTATCTTGTCCACTAGAAGTGAAGGCGAACTTAGTCCTGTGCTTAAATGGCAAATCTAGAGAACTCCTTAGTAAAACAAAAAAGTCTAAATGAAAAATTGAATATACAGAAGACAATACCGGTCAACAGTTGTAATCTAGAATTTAATAAATTCATTAGAACACAAGGAAATAAGTAGTACGTAGTAACGGCAAAACAAATACAAAGGACTTAAAAGCTTTTATAGAGTCCCTATACGGGGAAGGAACATCAGAAACTTTACGTAGAATTCTCACTATGGAATTAGGGTGGCCTACAAACTTACAAAATCACTCAGAGATCTTTCTCAATTTAAGGATGCAACTGACCTAATTAAACAAAATAATTTCATCTACCAAATACTATGCAATGACTACGAGGTCAGTTAGATTATCAGACTATGGGAATTTAGCCAAATGTAGATTAATAAGCCTCACTAGAGAAAGACCTCGGTTGTTGCAGCGCATATACTGACAAACAACCCTAAAACAGATTGGGATAAATTATACATATTGATGGTCAGTATTAGTCAAGTGAAGAGACTGAATCTTTGTCCATCGAATCAACATCCAACACCTATTCCAGAGATGAGGAAAGTCCTACTACCACAGAATGCAAATAATGCGAGGCGACAGAACTATAAAATCCGGATGTTGGAGGTTGTGTGATTATTTCAATGTGATTATCAGCAATAATGTAACAATAATAAAGTATAGTAATATAATATATGATAATAATATAATAGTACGCTTGAAATGTCGAGTAAATAGTACTGTATCAGTAGGCAATATATCAAATAAAGTTATTCAGTATAGAATTAAATTACCGCAGTGCCCAAGTTCTACACTTAATCAAAATTATAAATTCATTCAGAGGGATGCTTTAACTCTTTCATCTTTTCTCATCATGTTCAATTTTGACATTTGGCAGGTTTTATTTGTTTACGGATGGCCTTCACTGATTCCTTAGGAAGTCTTGGTCAGTAATTAAACCTATGTTGTATTATGATGCGCACTTACATGATTCTTAGTTCATGGAGATAATGATACGCCTAGATATGTATCATTTATAATATTTCCTCATCATCTCTTTGAACAAAGAATTTAACCCGAAACTGTGATCTACTGGACACCAAGAATGATGTCAAGTAGGAGGATAGAATAACTTCTGATAAACAATAGCAGTTAGAATGAAGTAGCTTTAACACTGCACGGGAATTTCGTTTTATTAAGTCGCATCACCCTACAGGTGTATCAAGATAGCCTAAGCGCACGGATGGTTTGTTTACGATATCTTTGTTGTTTTTTCTCCAGGAAAGTGACTTTAGGTGTTAGTTTTAATCTTACGTAATTTATGAGGTCAATTTCTCAGAATTTGTTAATTGTTTTTACTATTTTTAAGGTAAATGTTATTCGTTCTTCTCACTTTTATCAGTTTTCTTTCTCCTTATGAATCATCAATGTTTCTAAGTAGGTTCTGCTGTTAGTACACAGCTTTTTCAAGTTACAGTAGAATCCGAAGCTTAAAACTTTGACTTACTACATGTTCATACCAAGTGAATGATTGATATTACTCATAATAAAAAATACATACTTTCGTTTAATTTACACCCAGATTCCTTTAATTCGTTAAATGGATTGGTAGATAAAGTTGAAGATGACGTTTCAGACGACGTTTCTAGTCAAGCTGGCGATCAAGTAATAAATGAAAATGGTAATGCAATGAAAGCAACGGATAGTGGAATACCACCATCCTTTAAAGTTCATCCACTCAGTCAAACTGTCAAAGATGGTGATACAATTTGCTTGGAGTGTACTGTGTCAGGAGATCCCATTCCAGAGGCTGAATGGTACTACAATGATGGTCCAATTCAAGCTGGACATATATTTTCTCAGGATAATGAAGTTATTAAACTTGAGTTACAAGCATTATTACCAGAAGATACTGGAACATATGAATGTCGTGCTACCAGCTCTTTAGGCAAAGCGTCTACAGTTGCCTACCTGGTTGTTGAAGGTTAGTGTATATATAATTACTTCTCTCCTGAAAAATACCACCCTCTTTTAATTTACTTGTCACAACCAGTAATAAAAATGTCTGAACTCAAGTACTACGGACTCCGGTTACTATTTAGCGGCCGTTTTGTGGTTAATGCACAACATTTGGTCGTGGAAATATGGTTGCTGATGGTGTTTTTATTTGCTAATTTGTTTTTGAAATCATAGTAGGTAAAAGAATCTATTGTCATCCAAATATACGGTTACTCTGCTCCGATTGGTGGTTGAATTATGCCATAGTGTAATCTAGTTTTCATTCTTTCCATTTATCTGCTGATCATACTGAAAATTGTCAGTTGTATGCCCTAAGGTACCAGAAAAGCCTAGAAATATAGAGAATAGGTGAAACAAAGTTCCGAGCATACTGTTATGCGGAGGTTTTATAACTACTTATATCGTTTCTTCGAGTGAAAGTAACCGTACAATGTATTAGCTCTAAGAAACATAAGATTCATGTTCAACGTATGATGAATTCGTTTTGTAAAACTATTAGGTACATTTTCATAAACAATATCGTTTGTAATGTTTGATACCATAAGGAAGTTTACACTACTTCGATTAAATACATTATGGGATATTATGTGCTGATAAACCCCATGACCGTTAACGGTGTAGGAAACTAATCATCTGAGGCGGCGGCTTTATTAATGACGATGATAATGATAACTGTCAAAAAAACAGAATATGTGGATATTTTACCATTCATTCATCTCTAGTTATGTGTTATATTCATCTGTTGAAAGAAGCTAATAACTATGAAAATCTTGTATTGTTACTTTTCAGCTGCAGACGATACAAAAGGCCCTAAATTTCTTACTTTTCCTCAGTCACGCAATGCAAAAGAGAATGAGTCTGTCACACTGAAGTGTTCTTTTGGTAATTCGCCAGTCAGTAAAGGTAAGTTAAGCCTTTGAGTTGAAAATAAATTAAAATGGAATGAACGCAATAGTAGAATCTAACAGCTCGTTTCCAGTCCATCTTAACTTGATAACGATTTGTTTTGTTGTATTCCTTTATAAGAGCTAGAAAACTGAATGTCGTACCTTCAGTGTTTGATACTGAATTTTTCATTTATTTGAGTGACGTATATGGAATCAATCAACTTTGGAGCAGTTATGATCTAACACTAATAGTATTTAGGGGACCATTGAGAACCACGGAGTACTGATTCATCTGTCTTACCTCAACAGTATACACTAACAGCCACGTACGATAAAGAGCTCATGACTAACATATCTAATAGCAGGGTATCATGCAGCTACTAGGTTACTTCAAAAAAGTTAGCATTTCATGGAATCCTGGCTTAGTGTCTTGAAAGAACATTTACGCTCAGAATGGAGATGAATTTATAGTTATATCAACGGCGTGTAGGGTTAGAATGATTTTTATTGTAATGTAAGTATGGTATTCAATCTGCTGATTTTAAAAACAATATAAGTTAAAACACTTCATGGAGTATTAACCTGGAATCATATCTTTTTAGAGAGTTTTCGAAGAAGCTGCTCAAGCATCAATGACGGAAACAAATCGTCATGTTAATGTTCAGAATTGAATATTCTGGGTTCTCTGGCCAGTCATACATTTAATATTTTCGATCTATAATTTAAGAGACTCATAAAGATGAATCTGGTAGCTCTAAATCCAATGACAATTAGTTTTTACTCATAAACGAATAGGAACCCAGTAATGATGGAAAGGAGAATCGAAACGTAGGTTACGATGGGTTTCGAACCAGTGGCATAAGAATTCCGACATAGCACTCTACCAACTGAACTATGAGATCTACTTACTGACCATATCTTAACTTCACTTCAGTTATCGAAGGTTCTACCCAGCTGTCATGTGAACACGTGATACGTATCTGTCTCTTCATCTGGTTCCGTACTCAATGCTTGACCTACTTAGCCACTATACCCGGACAGGTATCTAGTGTGATTACTATGAAAGGAAGGTTGCGTATCATGTATTTGTATGACAAACAAACAACAACCTCGGTGTCTCATGTAAAGTTAAAACTTCGTCAGCAGCTGGGCCTCGTAGCTCACCTGGTAGAGCTCCGAACCGGTAAACCAAAGGTCGGTCTTTCAAAGCTTATTGTGGGCCATTTTCATTTAATCTTCATTTATTATCCAAATAACAGCTGTCTTAGATAGTTTCATTAAGAATAATGAATCTTCTTTATAAAATTAGTATTAGTGATATCACAAAGCCTTGTGACGGAATTTCCATGAGTAAATATCACAGGTCAGAGAACATTAAACCGTCATCAGATGACTGGGAAACTTCTTCTGAAAGAGGATTTCATCTCACACTACTTAGAATGCACTTTTGCATAGCTATTATTATATTTTTAAGATGGAAAGTAAAATGCTAGTATCAATAACAAATGAATCACTTTCGCTTCTCTCTTCACAGTTTCGTGGTTTCGTAATAATACTCCATTGGATTCTAAACATTTTGATTTGGATGTATCTGCTCAAACAAGTATATGCAAGATTCAGTCAGTGAAAGCATCAAAAGATTCAGGACTTTATTCAGTGGAAATCAAAGATACTGATGGTAATTTATCAGTATGTAAATTTTATCTTCAAATCTTACCATCCTCTCTCCTATTGGCAAATGAGAATAATTCAGTTTAAGTTATTTAAGCTTACAACATTACTTTGTACAGGAAATCAGCTTATCCTAAAGAAAATTACCAGCACCATCACTATTATCATCTATATTCAAAGTGTTGCTATTTCCTCAGTTTTGAACAGTATTCTTGTCCAAAATAGTAGCAGTACACAGTTAAATTACATTGTGCACTGACTCATATACACACAACCAAAACAAGCATCCTAACGAACTGATATTATCATGCTGGTTTTTATTTACTGGCATGAGATGGATGTAAATCCTGCAATTCTTCTTACTCATGTGCACAAAAATGTAACGATATTTCACTAGATAAGTTCACAGCATCTGGAAACTACACTACACTAAACTAGCAGAAAACATATTGTAGGAGTGGAAATGAGAAACAAAAATTTCATTATTCCATAGACGTTTTGATGTGTGTATCTAAGTACCTCTTTGTTTGTGCGAGTGTATGTGTATGTGTGCGTTTGTACGTGCCTGTGTTCACGCAGCAGTTTGAAGTAAACAACGACATGAAGGTTCAACAAAACTCAGCTATTAATGATTCAATAGTGTTTGACCCATACAAAAAAACTGCTAAGATCTTTTATCTCTCCTTCGCTTTCTTCTCTTTTTCTATCTTTTGTTTTCTTTCGCGATACATAAACTCGTTATGCAACCGAATAAATAATAAATCACATTTATTATTTAACCTGATGATAAGTATGTTTCAATATTTCGTGTTTTAATGACACTCCTTTTTCGTGCTTCTCATCTCTCCTGCTTGCTAACCCATTTATTATCCATTAACAGTGCACATACATGCACGCTTGTCTTCTTTCCTCTTTCTGACTTTTTCAATTCTCATTCCTATCAATGCATACGTTACAGTTTTGTCTCGTATACTTTTCTTTTCAGTCAGGAAGATGACAAACTGAACGAAGAGAACCGTTGTTGTGTTCGCTTTTTTTTAAAGAAGACGCTTAAACTAGTTGTTTTACGTTGATTAACACGTTTGATCCCCCAAAATGTCAGTGCATATTCGATAGAAAGTAAATATTTTTTTAAAGATACGTGTGTATGTAGTATTTATATTTATCAATTTTTCTTGTTTACCGGCCTATGTCTCTTCCATCACAGTCTCTATCTCTGTTTGAGTCCTAATAACTATTCGTCTGATTATTGTCTGGTCTCATTATATGATTATGAAGGTTGTTCTTATTACTGTCAGTCTTATTACTACTATCTTTTGTGTGGTGGGAGTTGCGCCAGATATATAAAACCAGTTCATCATGCATTTTTCTTCTTCCGAGCATAAGACATCGTTTGTTCGTTTCTTTTCTGTAGTCTATCAAAAGCGTTCTGTCATTGTTTTTGTTGAAAGAAAGTAGGAACTTTAAAAAAACTCTTCATCCAGTTATCTTCCAATAAATAACCCTTTTACTTTAGAAACCAAAAACAAACATTTAATACTTTTGATCTTAATGAAGAAAACTCATTTCAAATATGCAAAAATCAACCTGAACCTCGATAATAAATTTGCTTATAGATAAGATGAAAATAGTCTATTATTCTTCTGTGAAAAAATTTCCGTTATTATATTTGTCCGTCTCTTTCTGTCTCCCTTCAACGGGTTGTATAAGAGACAAATAGTAGGAATGATCCTGATTCTTCTTCATAATGTTATGATTTTCCTAGATGATGCTATTTTTTGGCCAGTAAAACCAAACAAATAAACATTTTTCTTGAAACGTTATATTCTTTTTATTTATTTTGTTATTATAACATCTACTGCCTTGTGCACGTGTTTATCATGAATTCATAAATCAACTTTTGTCTACTTTCTCATTCTTCCTTCGTTTTCCTCTTCTGACTATTAAAAGTCTCCCCCCCCTGACGTATAAAGTTATCACATTCATTTATTTGCTTACAATTACAAAATATGTCTTATTTCGAAAATACAAATAAACAATTGAATAAACAAAGAATATTGTCTGCAAAATTAAAATTTGACATCTGATACTTTTTTTTGTGTTGTTTAGGTGTTTGTACTCAGATACTAGGTCAAGCCTCGCCACCAATGAGGTCTTTGTTCAGATTCAGTTATCGTTAAAAAAAGTTAATTAACGGGATAAAAATGGTGATAAGTAAATAGGTGGAATGAAATAAACTATTTTAACTGGATAATTAGTTGATTATAACCTTAAAGTAAATGGTAGTCTTCAGTTAGTGATTGATTTCTCTAGATGAAAAAGTGAAGAGCATTTAGTGGTCCAAATAAGGCTACAATACGATGTTACCTTTTTATCTAATAAACTTGACTAACTTACTGTAGGTTCAACAGTGAAATATAAGCACTGATATCTAGTGATGCTCACGAACTTCAGAAACCCTATGCAACGATATTGAGTTTTCCAGATGGAAGTATAAATATGAATGCAGACAATATTCGACAATAACTTACAAGGGTGATACTTTAGAAGGGAAGATAAATAACTGTCAGATAAAATGATAACCAGGCAATATGTGATAGTAATAAATGCAGTTCAAGCTTGATAAATTAACAGACAAACTCAAAGAATAACAGAGATCTGTTCCTACTTGTAATTCACTACAAAAAGGATCAACAACTAATCTCAGAAACAACTTTGAATACAGTAAGGAACATAAATTCAAAGTATTAACGACTCATAAAACGATAAGAATACTGTTAACCAACTGAACTTTAATGGTTTGGTGGAAAAGGTTAGTTAATTAAGCTGACGGGAATCAAAGGTATTCTTCAGGGATGTTCACTTTAATCATTCTTGATTATTCTTTCGTCTAACTTCAAACAGACTAATTTTCTATCTAAAGTGCGTTTGCTCAATGTAAAGTGTGGCAATGAGAGTCCTTTCGGGTAATGTTGAAGTGAATCACAGTAATATGAAGGAAGATGAATGTTTTACATACATTTTTTTACTCGTTTGAGGACAAAGAGTGGTTTGGATAGATGGATCGGTTTATGAAGTCATATTAACTTTAATAGGTTGGTTGCTGAAGAAATTTCAATAAATGTACCAAATATCCTTCTCTGATTTTCCAGTAGACATCATTTATGGTGCCTGAGAGTTACGTGGACGCACATCAAGGAGTGAAGTTAGTATACAGAAGTCCTCGTTATCCTACTCTACAGCCGTGGGACATGTTCATCACCGATTTTTAAAAATCATATATGCCTTTTCGTTTCACTACTAATGTATAGTAAAATCGTATCAAAATTTCCGAAATTCAAGAGGCAACAATGTGTTTGAACACTAACTTTACTATAGGAACAAACTGTTTTGTAAAAATATCTGTAGTACCAACTGGTGTAAACGCCGTATCCATAGTAGGAAGTGATTGAGAAAGTGCTAATGATAACCTTTGTGAAGAACAAGGGTGCACTTAGTAGATAGATATTTCGGAGTATCAGAAAGGAGACAGAGCAGAGAGGTTATGCTATGAATTTTCACCACCAAACTTGCCTAATTTTGCTGACTGTCATAGGTCACTGCAGAAATAAGATTGGAAGCACTTCTGACCGGGTTTTTATTTCACTTCGATCATCACCCAGTATCAACACTAGTCTGCCAAACCCTGGCTCTCAGATAGTCAGAATGATAATCAATATAATGCTCTCCGTCTCTAAAAGATTATATGGAAAATGTGATGCATTTGGGTAATACATTTGGAACAATCTGATCACACATTTACTTATGGCGTCAATTTATAAATGAAAATGAAAGGTCAAATATGGTGAATATGAAAAGGTTGACACCAGTCTTGGAAATATAATCATATAAAGATCACCAAGGTGAATTAAGTGAAACGACAAATTGTTTTCTGCACACAATTCTTTTAGTAGTTATCTGATGTACTGTTGTGCGCTAAAAGGCTCACTGTCATCCACCTTGGTATTTTCAAGCGATTTTGTTATTAATTTCTCTAATGAGGCATTGAAGACATTTTAAAAATTCATGACAGTACATTTTACGATTTTTTTTGATATTTAAATTATTAAAAGAAGTGAAGCAGTAGCAATTAGAGAAAATAAATTCAACGAAAAACTTTGGTGGTTCAAAATTTAAGCAGACCGCCAAACTGAATCTCGTAAGATACCATAACGTATGAAGTTAGTTGGATTATATGCGGCAACAAGCACTTTATAGATATTTGGTTTTATGAACAGTCTGAACAGGTGGATTCACCTCTGCTAGTTTTCCTCACTATAAATTCATACACTGTCTTTCGTGTCAACCAGTACTTTTCTTACTAACTTGACCAAAGTGAGCGGATATTTTACTTTATATATATATATATATATATATATATATATATATATATATATAATATACATGTTTGACACTGTAAATAATTAAAGAGAGTCTTTTGAAGGGAGGGAAAAAAGAAACAAGTGAAGCCAGCAAATAAAGTGGAAGTGTGCTGTCTGTCTAAAAGTCAAATGAGTAAGCGTGAAATGATGTTATTGAAGAAGGAATTAAATTTTAATGTGATCAGAAAGCCTCTGAAAACGATCAAGTTAGCTCCAGTTTTAGAAACGATTTTCTTGCTTATACTAAAGTAGAAAGTGTATACAGTGCGTCATGAAGTCACAAACATCACAACAAATCAAAGAGGCGCTGTAACAAATTTAACTTATGGGTGTAGAGCCACCTGAAGAATACTAATATCTAGCAAATTAAAAGTCATAATAAAAGCTGAAAAAGGCAATTTTACAGGTATTCGGGTAAAGTTTATGAAAGAAAAGTATTAGAGCATTTGGAAACAAGACTATAATCTCAGTTAATAAGCGGTAGAGCACATTAAATAAAAATTAAAGTTGAAACGTGTAACTTACATGCATAAATAAAAAATCAAACTGTGAAATACAACTTAGTGTTCACTAGGTCATAAAACAGAACCAGTGCCTGATTCTATGTTACATTCAAGATTCATAAAATGAGATGTTTAGATAATTCATCGTTTGTCAAAATATCTATCAAGAATTTTCAAAGTATTTCAATAAAACATCTCTTCAAATGTTAAAACCGCACAAGATCACGAAAATGAGCCGAAATTACGAAAGGTTTGACGTGATTTCTCTTTTTACTAGAAAAAGTCTGTGTGTAAATCAACTAATATTGTACAAAATGCAATGATTATGATAAATGGAGTTGCAACGGGTTCGTAATTCTTATCAGTAGTGGGGTATTTTTACATGAAAGATTTGGAAAAGGCATTATGCAGTCTATAATATCAGCCCAGAATTTGCTATAGATATATAGACGGTAATATTATCATGGTTAAGAAACAAGACATGCAGGCTATTTGCAAAATTCAAATTTTGTTTGAGATTGTATAAAACTTAGAAATGAAATAGAATCTTGCGATGAGACCCTAAAATTCTTGAATTGTTTTTGCCAAAGAACGAATAAGAGTAGGCTTAAAGCGAAAAATGGTGGTAAGACAATGCACTCTGATTAATAAATAAATTTTCAATCATCCAATCAACATGAAACCTACAGTAGATATCAGATTATTAAACCGAGCGAAAGGCATTATAACTTACCTTAAAGCCATAGAGAATGAACTTTTCGAGGAAAAACAAGTATAAACGTATAACAATAACTTTATTCTGAACAATGTTCTTCTAAAATTAGAAATTTTCAGCGAAAAGTATATATATATATATATATATATATGTATAAGTACACATACTACTTTACTACATTTCGAAGTAATAATATAACAGTTTACTTAAAGAATATGAATAAAGAGGAATATTTTTCATTGTTAGTTAAACTACTGATGACAGAATATTTATTGTTGCAATTTTGATAAGTGAGTCCTGTAATTTCGGAATATTCATACACTTCACAGCCCGTTGCCATCCACCATGATGCTTTTCCTTTATTTG